AATTCTCGATCTTACCTGCTCCTCACTCACCAATAAACTTGAAAAACCACTGCGCTTGTACTCTAGACGCGTTTCCAACGTTGCAACTTACCCTTTACTTCCTATAATGATAGACTGATAGTCTATCGAGTCTATGATTGATAGACTCGCAAAAAGCAACATCGTCTGTCTCTCGTTTCACTCTGCGCCTCTTTGTCTGTGTGTGTGTGTTGGGAGTGCGCTATGTATAAAGGGGAGACATCTTCCACAGCGATCGGCGGCATCCATAGCGCAGTCGGGATCGCGCGCAACCGCAATGCGGGAGGAGGACAGTTCGACTCGCATGGGTGCCCAAGTTTTTGCATTTTTTGTTAATTTTGGATTGCGGTAGAGCGCGAAAATGCCGCCATAATAAGTGAGCGGAAGGGCAGTTTTGCAGACGTGTGTTGCTCTCTCTCTCTCTCTCTCTGTTTGCAGCGCTTGTATGGCGCTGAAAATGATATGAATCCGAAGAGACTCACTAAAAGGAGGGCTCTGAAAGCAGGAGTGATTAGTGACGGCCCGAGAGAACGGTGTGAACGGCGGGGAAACCGAGTCTCTCCTTGTAAGTGAGCGGAAGAGCGGAAGGGCAGTTCTGCAGGAGAGTATGTTGCTCTCTGTCTGTTTGCAGGACTCGTATAGGGCTGAAAATGATCTGAAACCGAAGAGACTCACTAAAAGGAGGGCTCTGAAAGCAGGAGTGATTAGTGGCGGCCCGAGAGAACGGTGTGAACGGCGGGGAAACCGAGTCTCTCCTTGTAAGTGAGCGGAAGAGCGGAAGGGCAGTTCTGCAGGAGAGTATGTTGCTCTCTGTCTGTTTGCAGGACTCGTATAGGGCTGAAAAATGATCTGAAACCGAAGAGACTCACTAAAAAGGAGGGCTCTGAAAGCAGGAGTGATTAGTGGCGGCCCGAGAGAACGGTGTGAACGGCGGGGAAACCGAGTCTCTCCTTGTAAGTGAGCGGAAGAGCGGAAGGGCAGTTCTGCAGGAGAGTATGTTGCTCTCTGTCTGTTTGCAGGACTCGTATAGGGCTGAAAATGATCTGAAACCGAAGAGACTCACTAAAAAGGAGGGCTCTGAAAGCAGGAGTGATTAGTGGCGGCCCGAGAGAACGGTGTGAACGGCGGGGAAACCGAGTCTCTCCTTGTAAGTGAGCGGAAGAGCGGAAGGGCAGTTCTGCAGGAGAGTATGTTGCTCTCTGTCTGTTTGCAGGACTCGTATAGGGCTGAAAATGATCTGAAACCGAAGAGACTCACTAAAAAGGAGGGCTCTGAAAGCAGGAGTGATTAGTGACGGCCCGAGAGAACGGTGTGAACGGCGGGGAAACCGAGTCTCTCCTTGTAAGTGAGCGGAAGAGCGGAAGGGCAGTTCTGCAGGAGAGTATGTTGCTCTCTGTCTGTTTGCAGGACTCGTATAGGGCTGAAAATGATCTGAAACCGAAGAGACTCACTAAAAAGGAGGGCTCTGAAAGCAGGAGTGATTAGTGGCGGCCCTGAGAGAACGGTGTGAACGGCGGGGAAACCGAGTCTCTCCTTGTAAGTGAGCGGAAGAGCGGAAGGGCAGTTCTGCAGGAGAGTATGTTGCTCTCTGTCTGTTTGCAGGACTCGTATAGGGCTGAAAATGATCTGAAACCGAAGAGACTCACTAAAAGGAGGGCTCTGAAAGCAGGAGTGATTAGTGGCGGCCCGAGAGAACGGTGTGAACGGCGGGGAAACCGAGTCTCTCCTTGTAAGTGAGCGGAAGAGCGGAAGGGCAGTTCTGCAGGAGAGTATGTTGCTCTCTGTCTGTTTGCAGGACTCGTATAGGGCTGAAAATGATCTGAAACCGAAGAGACTCACTAAAAGGAGGGCTCTGAAAGCAGGAGTGATTAGTGGCGGCCCGAGAGAACGGTGTGAACGGCGGGGAAACCGAGTCTCTCCTTGTAAGTGAGCGGAAGAGCGGAAGGGCAGTTCTGCAGGAGAGTATGTTGCTCTCTGTCTGTTTGCAGGACTCGTATAGGGCTGAAAATGATCTGAAACCGAAGAGACTCACTAAAAGGAGGGCTCTGAAAGCAGGAGTGATTAGTGACGGCCCGAGAGAACGGTGTGAACGGCGGGGAAACCGAGTCTCTCCTTGTAAGTGAGCGGAAGAGCGGAAGGGCAGTTCTGCAGGAGAGTATGTTGCTCTCTGTCTGTTTGCAGGACTCGTATAGGGCTGAAAATGATCTGAAACCGAAGAGACTCACTAAAAGGAGGGCTCTGAAAGCAGGAGTGATTAGTGGCGGCCCGAGAGAACGGTGTGAACGGCGGGGAAACCGAGTCTCTCCTTGTAAGTGAGCGGAAGAGCGGAAGGGCAGTTCTGCAGGAGAGTATGTTGCTCTCTGTCTGTTTGCAGGACTCGTATAGGGCTGAAAATGATCTGAAACCGAAGAGACTCACTAAAAAGGAGGGCTCTGAAAGCAGGAGTGATTAGTGACGGCCCGAGAGAACAGTGTGAACGGCGGGGAAACCGAGTCTCTCCTTGTAAGTGAGCGGAAGAGCGGAAGGGCAGTTCTGCAGGAGAGTATGTTGCTCTCTGTCTGTTTGCAGGACTCGTATAGGGCTGAAAATGATCTGAAACCGAAGAGAATCACGAAAAGGAGGGCTCTGAAAGCAGGAGTGATTAGTGGCGGCCCGAGAGAACGGTGTGAACGGCGGGGAAACCGAGTCTCTCCTTGTAAGTGAGCGGAAGAGCGGAAGGGCAGTTCTGCAGGAGAGTATGTTGCTCTCTGTCTGTTTGCAGGACTCGTATAGGGCTGAAAATGATCTGAAACCGAAGAGACTCACTGAAAAGGAGGGCTCTGAAAGCAGGAGTGATTAGTGGCGGCCCGAGAGAACGGTGTGAACGGCGGGGAAACCGAGTCTCTCCTTGTAAGTGAGCGGAAGAGCGGAAGGGCAGTTCTGCAGGAGAGTATGTTGCTCTCTGTCTGTTTGCAGGACTCGTATAGGGCTGAAAATGATCTGAAACCGAAGAGACTCACTAAAAGGAGGGCTCTGAAAGCAGGAGTGATTAGTGGCGGCCCGAGAGAACGGTGTGAACGGCGGGGAAACCGAGTCTCTCCTTGTAAGTGAGCGGAAGAGCGGAAGGGCAGTTCTGCAGGAGAGTATGTTGCTCTCTGTCTGTTTGCAGGACTCGTATAGGGCTGAAAAATGATCTGAAACCGAAGAGACTCACTAAAAGGAGGGCTCTGAAAGCAGGAGTGATTAGTGACGGCCCTGAGAGAACGGTGTGAACGGCGGGGAAACCGAGTCTCTCCTTGTAAGTGAGCGGAAGAGCGGAAGGGCAGTTCTGCAGGAGAGTATGTTGCTCTCTGTCTGTTTGCAGGACTCGTATAGGGCTGAAAATGATCTGAAACCGAAGAGAATCACGAAAAGGAGGGCTCTGAAAGCAGGAGTGATTAGTGGCGGCCCGAGAGAACGGTGTGAACGGCGGGGAAACCGAGTCTCTCCTTGTAAGTGAGCGGAAGAGCGGAAGGGCAGTTCTGCAGGAGAGTATGTTGCTCTCTGTCTGTTTGCAGGACTCGTATAGGGCTGAAAATGATCTGAAACCGAAGAGACTCACTAAAAGGAGGGCTCTGAAAGCAGGAGTGATTAGTGGCGGCCCGAGAGAACGGTGTGAACGGCGGGGAAACCGAGTCTCTCCTTGTAAGTGAGCGGAAGAGCGGAAGGGCAGTTCTGCAGGAGAGTATGTTGCTCTCTGTCTGTTTGCAGGACTCGTATAGGGCTGAAAATGATCTGAAACCGAAGAGAATCACGAAAAGGAGGGCTCTGAAAGCAGGAGTGATTAGTGGCGGCCCGAGAGAACGGTGTGAACGGCGGGGAAACCGAGTCTCTCCTTGTAAGTGAGCGGAAGAGCGGAAGGGCAGTTCTGCAGGAGAGTATGTTGCTCTCTGTCTGTTTGCAGGACTCGTATAGGGCTGAAAAATGATCTGAAACCGAAGAGACTCACTAAAAAGGAGGGCTCTGAAAGCAGGAGTGATTAGTGGCGGCCCGAGAGAACGGTGTGAACGGCGGGGAAACCGAGTCTCTCCTTGTAAGTGAGCGGAAGAGCGGAAGGGCAGTTCTGCAGGAGAGTATGTTGCTCTCTGTCTGTTTGCAGGACTCGTATAGGGCTGAAAATGATCTGAAACCGAAGAGACTCACTAAAAGGAGGGCTCTGAAAGCAGGAGTGATTAGTGGCGGCCCGAGAGAACGGTGTGAACGGCGGGGAAACCGAGTCTCTCCTTGTAAGTGAGCGGAAGAGCGGAAGGGCAGTTCTGCAGGAGAGTATGTTGCTCTCTGTCTGTTTGCAGGACTCGTATAGGGCTGAAAATGATCTGAAACCGAAGAGAATCACGAAAAGGAGGGCTCTGAAAGCAGGAGTGATTAGTGGCGGCCCGAGAGAACGGTGTGAACGGCGGGGAAACCGAGTCTCTCCTTGTAAGTGAGCGGAAGAGCGGAAGGGCAGTTCTGCAGGAGAGCATGTTGCTCTCTGTCTGTTTGCAGGACTCGTATAGGGCTGAAAATGATCTGAAACCGAACAGAATGACTCAAAGAGTTATTCTGAGAGCAGGGACGACGAACGGAAGCCACGCATCACAGGAACAACTAGCGGTGCGCTTCCGACTTGGAAAACGGAAAAAATCATGGATTCTGGAAGTTGATCGGATGCCGCGCTATACCGATTTCCAGAATAATTATTTATCCCGGTGCGCAGCAGCTCCCGTTTTCCCCCCATCTTTGTATTCTTCTCTTTTCCTCCACTGCCTTGCCTTACGTCTTGCATAATTTTCCTTTCTCTCCATCTTTCTATAATCCCTCACTTTTCAAGATCTTCATCTGTATTCCATCGCGACGACCGAAATACTGCCTTCAATCACAGTGAATAAACTTTTAATCAATTCTTAATTTTTAATTAATTCACAATCATGCTCCTATTACTTCACCCGTAAAATTCGAATTAGCTCGTGCAGAAAATGTCACAATCATAATTTAAGATCAACAATCACTGGCAAATGATCGGATGGCGAAATTTCCGAAGGGAGCGCCGTATATTTGGTGACTTTTTCGTGTGGAGGCATCGGGCAGACACGGACAGTCGAAACGTCTGAAATTTTGTGGTTTCTGCAAACAAAGATTAAACAGTTTGACATACCGATTCCCCAAATATAATCCAAACATCCAGAGAACCCATTCCCCGCCTCGTCTTTTGTGTAATTTGTGTACTCGAACACACCACTGAGACAGTCCATCGGCTGCTTGATCTTCAGTTCCGTTCCAGTCAGATTTTCGTCGCAGCTCCAGACTTCATCGTCGCTCGGGAATGTTCCAGTGCTCAAAATATTGTAGGAAGCCTTATTGGGCAGAGTATTGAAGTCGCCTCCAAAGAGCACTCGGACCTTGACGTTCGAGTTTTCGGCCTTCTGCTTCTCGTACACTTCTGTCACTTTCCGAATGCACGCAGTCGTCTGCATCACCTTCAAGTGCTCCTCCTTCGGCTGATGGTGTAAATGAGTGTTTGCGCAGACGACAATGGTGCCGGATCGCTTCTCGCGAATCACCACCACCTGCAGGACTGTAGGGCGACTCATAAACCGATCTTTCGTGGTTTTAGACTGTTCCATGAGATCTCGGAGATCCGCATTATTCTCCTCCAACGCAAGATCTTTGATAACAAAGGTTTCCTCGCGAACAAGCTCAAAGAGGGAGTTATCGAACGACAGCACAACTCCTTCCGAATTGTTGTTCGTTTTTTTTGAGAAGATTGAGGTGAAGCCCATGTGCTTGAAGAGCGGATTGATGTGGTTTTTATAGCGATGTGCGTCGACCTCCTGGAGAAACCACAAAGAAACGTGGCCATCGGAGAACTCGTGCAATTGCTTGAGAAGGAGCGGTGAGCGGTAGAAAATTCGTTGGAAATCCTTCGGACAGTGCGGGAACCACGGAACGATGCTGTCATTGTCCAGATTCAGGTAGATGTCGGCCAGAAGATTGTACGTCATCGCGCGGATTCTGAAAAATGACAAAATGAACGGTTTTCCGAGAAAAAAGATACTTACACATCGCCATTCTTGCTCAACTTATTCTCGCGGCACCACTGAACTTGGTCATCGGTTAACAGGGAATCTGGTCCACGGCAGACCGCCCGGGTACTGGAGGCTGCTCTAAACCTATAGACTTATAATAAAATGTAATCTTGGTGACTTACACCACCGGATAATCGATTCCTCCGTCCACAATAACCGCTACTAAACGATCAAGGTCTCTCGCTTTGGCGACGAAATACGGATGGGTGCTTCTGTACGTATAACCTTCGATTGCGAATTTTCGTTCTTGCTCGTCCACAAACTTGCAGTTGAGCTTGACGTTATCTTGTTTTTTCCGTTTGTCAGGCTTCACTTTAGGCGCCACAAAAACATCGTCCTTCACGAACCAGTGCAATTTGACGGGCGTTCCTTCGATTGTAAAGTCAATTTTTGACATACAGAAGTAGTCAATGATAGGGAGTAGTTGAAGCATACAGAGGTGAATCGGGTTGCTGTCACGAATCACTTTGTACTCGAAGTTGTTTATCAGAACAGATGTGTGATTCTTGTTGTCCACGTACTCCTTGAACGTTACAGAAGGGTCCAACGGTGCACTGGTTGCAGCTGCTTTCACTGTGATCCTTTCGATGGTGCCCAGTTCCATGAGGATTCTATCCTCTGCTGCGGCGCTCATCTGAAATTTTTTTTTTAATTAGTGCATAAAAAGAGGAAAAAGTACCTTTGGAAACACCTTCTCGATCATAGAATCTCCGAAGTTTTTCTGCGTCGTCACAAGAATATTGCTGAGTTCGCAGTCAACCACAAATTGAAGGAAGAATCCGTCATTGGCCCTTTTCTTCTTCGACGCCTCTTTATCATTCAAAATCTTGCGAATCAGCACACGATTCGACGGATAAACGGCCGCTTTCATCCTCCGACGTTCTCTGTATGAGTTTTCCTTCTGAAAGCTAACAAGTCGTGAAGATCAACTTAACTTGTTACCTTTAAAACGTCTTTCCAGGATTCGTTCGTGACTGTTTGCAGTTTGGTTGGTTTCCCATTAAAAAGTTGTTTCAGCAAACTCACAAAATATCTTAGCATTGGTCGGCACGGAATCTAATTGGCAGACTCATTTGATTACGATTTTTCAGTGCAAACTTCTGAAAATCCGCGAACCTCGTGTGCCAAAGCACCGAAAACGCGTCAGCACTCACGTCGAAAAGTGTGTCAGCTTATTTTTGTTGTTTTTTTTCCTCCAATCTTTGCCACGATTCTGAACGATTTTTCTTTGAAAAAACAACAAAGCGTGTTATTAAAAGAGTTAATTTTAGATTGTATATGACAAGAGCGCAGTAATAGTATGCTACGAGGTTTTTTCGGGCGTCGCTCCCGGTCCGTATGGATTCGTCTCACCTATCTTTGCGTAGTCACCATCATTTTCCTGTTTGCCACGTCACAATTCAAGACGACCACCACACACGCCAGGTTTATACCAGACGTAAGTGTTATCTTATCAGAGACAAATATGACAGGCCGTTCAAAGGAACTTTCTTTCAGACTGATGAACCAGATCTGAAGACCGCCGAGAAACATGCGCATGTTTTGGAAGCTCCAAAGCAGCATGAAACCATCGAGGGACCGGCTCCTGATCGAGTGCCGGATGTGCAGAAAGATAGCACAGCGGCTCCGAAATGGACGAGACGGACGCCGAAGCCGAAGAGAGAGCACAAAACGCCAGAGAACTTGATCATCAACGGGGAGAAATATCCGAAGTTGACGCCCGACGGAAAGTTCATCCCTCAACGACGGATCATCCATCTCGATCTCAAAGGAGCGCCATACAAACCGCACTACTTCACGGAACTCTTCGCATTTTTCAATCGATTGCAAGCCACCGGTATTCTATTGGAGTGGGAGGACATGTTTCCGTTCAAAGGAAGACTTTCTGGAGTCGTGAATAAGAATGCGTACAGTATGGAGATCGTGGAGAATATTCTGAAAGAAGCACAGAAGCATAACTTGCAAATTATTCCGCTTGTGCAGACGATGGGCCATCTGGAGTGGATTCTGAAGCTGGAGCAGTTTGCGCACTTGAGAGAAGACTCGAGATTCCCGCAAGTCATCTGCTTCTCGGACGACAGTGCTTGGGAACTAATAAAAGAGATGGTTGCGGAGGTGGCCGAAGTGCACAAAAAGTTCGGAATGCCTTACTTCCACATCGGCGCCGATGAAGCCTTTCAAATCGGAATCTGCAACGCCAGCACCGGGAGGATTCAAAAGGAAGGGAGCAGAGAGAGATTGATGCTGTGGCACATGTCCAGAACGGCACAACTCGTCAAAGACAATTATCCGGAGACTCAAGTGCTTGCCTGGCATGATATGATTGTGAGTGCTTCTGAAACGGACATCGAAGACTACAAACTCGCCGAGTTAGTGCAGCCGGTGCTCTGGAATTATGCAGAAGATCTCGATATGTACCTCCCGCGATCCACGTGGATGCTGCTGAGAAACTTTGGAAGTGTTTGGGGAAGTTCGGCATGGAAAGGAGCCGACGGCCCGGCCAGATACTCTACTCACGCGGCCCACTACGTCAAGAATCACGAGTCGTGGATCAAACAATTTTCAATGGTCTACAAGGACTTTGATGTGGTTGAGGGACTCATAATGACGGGCTGGTCTCGCTACGATCATCTGGCCGTGCTGGCCGAGACGATTCCTGTGGCTCTTCCGACACTTGCATTGAGCATGGAGACCATGCTCGAAGGCCGACCGCTTCTTGGACATTATCCGCGAACTGCCGAACTGCTTCAGTGCTCGCCTCCTCTCGACTTAGGACTCATGGCTTCTGGATGCCGGTTCCCGGGCGCCCGGATCTATGAGCTAGTCAACGAGCTTTATCAAAAGCGGGCCCAACTTAGGGACTACAAGGATGAGGATTTTGAGCTCAACGGTTGGCTTTCAAGGATGGCCGACGAGTACACAGTTTCTAGTCATTGGTACATTGATGTAAGTAATTTTTAGCTTCGAATAAAATTAGAACGTTACCATTTTCCAGAAAATCGAACAAATGATAGAAATGCATGCGTCGCCGATTGAAAGGCTAGCGAAGGATCTACGGTTCGAGATGGACAAGATCTTCTTCAAAAACACTGCCGACGAGTTTATTTTCACCTACATAGGCGACGATTTAGAATGGATCAAACGGAAGAGAGCCACTATCCAAAGGATTTCCGCGGCAAAGGCGTTCCCAGTCCGTCCCTACATAGAGTCAGCCACGTCGAAAACCACGTGCTCGTAGGTTCTAGAATGAAGCAAATCGCTGTGTATATATATACTCTTTTTCTCCTTTTTCCATGGTATAACATTTTATTTTTTCTCCGGGTCTCTAAATATTGGTGCTGCTCCCCGGGCAAGGTGCAACTGCTACCGGAGAACATTTAAAGGACCAGGGAACCCAAAAATTTTTTGATTAATTTGTGAAATGTTTTTGTGACTGTTTCAATTGTCTCTTATTGCCTCATACACTGGTGAAATGCTGCCTCTCAAAAATGCCAATGAACGAAACGGCATGCAGTTGAAGTTGTGGCCGTGGCCTAGCGCCAATGGCCGAAAAATATATAAAAATAAATGCGCTTCTCGGCCATTTTATTTTTTCCGCTTTTTTACCGGTTTTTTTCCAAAAATTCACGGTTTCTCCCATTTTGGCACTTCATATCGACTGAATGAAAACAATTTTTTAGCAGTGAAAAAATAAGTAAGTGCCGAACAAATGTCAATCCACTGAAAAACGGGAGAAACCGTGAATTTTTGGAAAAAAACCGGTAAAAAAGCGGAAAAAATAAAATGGCCGAGAAGCGCATTTATTTTTATATATTTTTCGGCCATTGGCGCTAGGCCACGGCCACAACTTCAACTGCATGCCGTTTCGTTCATTGGCATTTTTGAGAGGCAGCATTTCACCAGTGTATGAGGCAATAAGAGACAATTCAAACAGTCACAAAAACATTTCACAAAAACATCAAAAAAATTTTGGGTTCCCTGGTCCTTTAATTTAAATAATGGCCCCTCGCCTCTAGCTCTCTGATACCTCTCTCGCTCTTTTCTGAGCCAACGAGTGAGGGAGTTGGTAGAGCTCTGGCGGAGCTGTCTCATTGGCTCTCCGGCGGCAGCGGCTCCTCGTTGCCCTACACTCTGCTCGCGTGTTAGCGTGCGTGTCTGTGTGTGACACAAAGACGATGGAAACTGCAGCTTTGTGTTCCCCCCACCCCTCTCCTTCGTTTTTCTTCGTCTTCTCCTTCTTCTTTTCCCTATGGGAAACAAATGTAGAATTTTTAAGCATCTCAATTCTTCAATAAATTTCGTTCTTTCAAGTGAAAAAAGATAGAAAATGAGGTGAAAAAGTTTCGACTTTCAACGCCTCGGTTCACAATTTCCGCCGACTTCCCTTCCCCACCCACTTCCGATTCTTCTCCTCTTGCCTTTTTTGCTCTCATTCCATTTCTCGTTTACTCAGTTGCTCAAATGCCGGCTCCTGGCGAGGAGGTTAACCATTTATCGGCTCTTGATCAGTTTGTGGCGCCCGGGCTGCGGTTATGGATGCTCATCGCGCTCGTCGGAGGCGTTCTTCTGATTATGAGTGAGTCTTTTAAAATGAAGATTTTCCCTATTAAAACGCGTGTCTTTTCCAGTTGTCATCGTGTGTTGCTTCATGCGAATCAGAATTCCACGCACCAAACGTCAAATTGATTTAATCGCGGCTAAGCGGAAATTGAGGAAAACCAACAAGAACTCGACGGATTCAAACGCGCACAACGAAGAGAGAGCTCAGGCGATTGTGATGAATTCTATGCCTTCCGGAGGCACCGGGACCACCTCCAGACACACGGGATCGCGTCTCCAGTCACAAGTTTAACGAATGATTGCCTTTCAGATTCTTGCCAATAAATATTACATTTATTGCTCTTGCTTTTTATCGTTTCAAATGCCAATCTCGGTCAATGTTCCGACTTAAACCTACTCGGATTAGATGAAATCATAGTAGAGTTAGTAGAAAACTCGGTTGAAATTCATAGATATTCAACATCATTATGAAGTTGATACGACGATAAGCAGAAAAATGGACAATATATTGCGAACTCTCGAGAAGAATGCGAGAGAGCGTGAGGAGGAGGTGGCGCAGAGAAGAAGAGTCGAATTGGCGACCAAGTTGTACCCGTATATTCGGGGCTATTTGGTCAGGAAAAAGTATCGAGGACAGATAAAGTATGTGAAAAGGAGTAGTTCGAAAAATAGTGAAAAAGGTTCAGAGCGTTCCGTCCAAACTTCCTCAACGAGTTTACAGACCTGGAAAAAAACAATAAAACGCTTCTGACAGTCAGTCAAATGCTCGTGAAAGCTCCGAAAGTTATAGAAACGGCGAGAGCGCGGAATGACGTACAGGTTAGGTATTCACGACCAGGCTTGTGCGAAAATGTCGGAAACGGTTTTCCGTTTCAGAAAAAATGATCGGAAATGAACAGAAAAATGTTTTGCCGTTTCTCAAACATCCCGTACCTACGGACTCTAGCCGTGAAAAATGGTCTCTGATTGCGATTTTGAGGCTCCATAATTTTGCAATTTCAAAAATGTTCATTTCCGAGTTACGAATTGTTTTCGGAAACGTTTCCGACGGAAGTCATTTCCGATGTTCGATTCTGCACAAGCCTGTTCTCGACCTTTAAAAATTTGGAATTTTTTAAGATGCTGTGCAATATCTGCCGCCACCTCATCATTTCGGTGGACTCGTCGTCCAAAGATTACAGTTTTGTGGCCGCCTTCCTCAACAAAGACTCGATCAAAGAAGCGACCGCACTGATCACCTCGATCTTCTCGCAGATCCCTTCGATCCTCGACTCTATCAACGGCGACAAAGCCGGAGAGCTCAAGCAATGGCAATGCCTCATACACTTTGTGATAGTGTTCTCCACGAGTTGCACGTGGCCGCTGGTCCGAAATGCTCCGCAGGTTCAGCCGGTTCTCAACGGGCTGTGCGGCAAGATAATGAGTGTGTTTTACGAGGAAAAGAACTACGAGAAGCTTGCGAATTCTCTTTTTGTCTCCGTGAACGATCACAAACCGTTGAATGGCCTCGAGACGGTTAATGCTCAATTCTCGATCATCTACCGCCCGATCAAAGTTAACGGACAACATCCTGAGCTCTTTTCGATTTTTGTGCTCAAAGTGCTCACGTGCCCGGCCATTCTGTTGCATCTGAATCAGCAGAACATCGATCAGATCAAGACCACAAAGCTATTCGAGAGAACTCTTGTCTGGCTGCGTGCCAATCAAGAGGAAGTCGAGACGGGAATGGATGTCCGTCTGCTCATCAACCTTTTGGCGAATCTTGTTCAATTCGCTCACATCGATTGCGAGACCCTCGAGTCGAAAATGTACGAATGGACTTGGGCGGTCGGAGTCTCGCTCTCCAGATGCACAGAGCTGACGGTCAGGCACGGAATAACCAAGACCAGCCTTCATTATTGGCATCCCGTCTTCGGACACTACCTTCTGCCAATCGATAAACGAACAGAAGGCGCTCTCCGTAACGTGCTTCGTCAACTGAAAATGCTCTGGAGCTCACGAGTCGTCAAGTGCTTGTTTGGGAAGATAATGGAGGACAAGTCGATGTCGCCGTGTACAGCATCATCTGAGAACGGAAAGAATCAAAAAGACATCAGTGCTGCGTTTAGTAGTCAGTCAACTTGAAGTATGCCTGTTTTTAACGTGTTTCTTTTTCAGAATTATGGAAGAAACTGGGCGGCACCATCGACTCTGTCACCTCTTCCAAAGACAAATCGGAGGTTGAGTCGCCGCCGACACTCGTCGCGATAGTCTGTCAAGTGTACATGACCGTCTTGAGTACAATGGGTCATATGAAGGGAGAGATTGTGTCGGGCGTCTGTAGAGACGATCAGTTGCTCCGTCAGTTGTGGGCGTACCTCAAAGAGTGGGGCGAAAAGTTCGGACGCAGCGGGAGCTCCCTCTTCAATTCGTCGAGTGCCGAACAATTCGGACCCGTCTCCGCTTCTTTGCAATCACTTAATCGACCCACCTCTCCGCACACTGCCACTCTCCGACTTTTTGTGGACTCTGCCGCAGCTATCATTTCGTAAGCACACTATTTTTGATGAAAAATAACTAGTCACTTTGTTCAGAATCCTGGACGAAGAAGAGATTTTTGAAAAGGGCACTCCGTTCTCATTGACGGATCTCGAGTCAATATGTAAATATGTGAATATATTCTGCTTCCGAGCCATTTGGAACGGCGCTGTGGATGAATCAACTGCCAATTCGGCCGGTCTGTTCCAAAGCATGCACTCGCTTTTGATGGTTCTTTACGAGCGAGACAGTCGCAGATCATTTGCAAACGATCCAAAGTTCTGGCTGATCGGGTTAGTTTGGTTTTGAGCAGTTTTGACCCAATTACACTCGGCGGCTAAAAATTCAGATCCTAACAATTTTCTATTATTTCAGCGAGGTAAAATCGTCTGCGCTGACAATGGAATACGAAAAAAAGTTGGAACGCGGAATACTAATGATGAAGAAAATGGCTCATTTGGTGCCTGTCAAAGACCGAATGCTCCTGTTTCGACGACAAGTCCACGCAGACAAGCTCAGAATTCCGGTCACTGGAATCATGCCGAACGATCCGCAGTGTCAGACGTGGATCACGGTTCAGCGAAACCGAATAATCGAAGACGGATTCGCGCACCTCTCGAAGCTCACGATTCCCGCCCTGAAGGCCACAATCCGCGTGAAGTTCATCAATGAGCAGGGACTCGACGAAGCCGGAATCGATCAGGATGGAGTGTTCAAAGAGTTCCTCGAGCTGACACTGAAGAAGGTGTTCGATCCGCAAATGAACCTGTTCTCGACCACAAGCACCGGTGTCATGTACCCATCGCCCACGTCTTCCCTGCACGAAGATCATCTCGCCCTCTTCACGTTTGTCGGCAGAATGCTCGGGAAGGCGGTCTACGAGGGCATCGTTGTGGATGTTCAGTTGGCGCCAGTGCTTCTCGCCGCCGTGCTGGGCAGTCACAGATTGTGCGCATTCGACGAGCTCAGCCAGTTGGACCCCGAATTGTACAGAAGTTTGACATTTGTGAAGCGATGCGATGAAGATATGGCCGAGTTATCGCTCACTTTTTCGGTTGACGAAGACTTTATGGGCAATATTTCGACGGTAGACTTGGTGCCCGGCGGAAGGACCATCGCGGTTACCAATGAAAACAAGTAAGTTGGCAGCTCCTCTAACATCTTATATGTATTTTTGCTCAGGATCGACTACGTGCACCGAATGGCTCATCACCGCGTGTTCCGTCGAACTCAGGAACAGTGCAAAGCGTTCGTGCTAGGAATGCAATCGATTCTCTCGCCCGCCTGGCTCTCCCTGTTCGCCCCCAATGATCTTCAGTGCCTGATCAGCGGCGTCAACTCGTAAGAACTTTCCATTTTACTGTCATTTTTAATAAGTAGTTTTTCAGTGACATCGATCTAGCGGACTTGAAACGAAACGTTCAGTATTTTGGGGGATTTCACGGCAATCATCGGCTAATCAAATGGCTCTGGGAAATTCTGGACAAGAAATTTACCGCCGAGGAGCGCAAACTTTTCCTCAAATTCGTCACCTCTTGCTCTCGACCGCCCGTACTCGGCTTCTCCTTTCTCGAGCCGCCCTTTTCGATCCGATGCGTTGAAGTTTCGGACGATCAGGATCAGGGAGACACTCTCGGAAGCGTCGTGCGAGGATTTCTTGCCCTTCGCAAGGGAACTGCCGCTTCCCGATTGCCCACCGCCTCCACTTGTTTCAATTTGCTAAAGTTGCCCAATTATAACAAGAAATCATTGCTTCTCGAGAAGCTGCGCTATGCTATCCATGCTGGCACTGGCTTCGAACTTTCTTAAACTTTGCAATTATGGTTGTGCTCTACTGTATATCTTATGTTCATTTCATGAGTATCCGCTTGTTTTCACAAGTCTCGATAATACTAATATATATTTTTACTAGTCTGCACAGTTCTCATTCTCTCTTTCATCGGGTTTTTTTCTATAATAAACTGAAATTTTGCCGCGGTTTTATTAAATAAAAAATTAGTCTTCAAAAGGTAAGTTCAAAGAACCATGGGGCATACATGCGTAACATAATATGAGGGGAACGGACTCGTCTTAAGGACAGAATCAAAGGTGTTTAATTAGATAGTAAAAGTTGATGGTAGGTCAACAATTCGGCTTAAGCCTGGGCTGTGGCAGCCTCTTGCTTCTGCTCTGTTGGCTCTCCCGACTCTTCTTTCTTTTCCTTGTTGCGATTGTTGCGACGACGGCCTTTCTTCTCTCCATCGGCAGCTGACGCGGCGGCAACATCGCCATCTCCTTTCTCATTGGCGGCCCCGTTCTCTTCTCTTGGCTGGAGCTTTCCGCGGGCACGACGAGGACGACGCCTTCCACGAGTTTCTCCGTCTCCGCTGAAATAAATTTATGATTACCAGTTCCGGTTACACAATTCTCACCTTTCCTCAACCTGCTTTCCCTCCTCAGCATCCTCACGCGGCTTGCGAGCTCCTTCAGCTCCGCCAGCAGCCTTTGGTGGACCACGACGTGACTGATTGAAACGAGTGAGCAGCTGACGAGCGAAACGGGATCCGCGCACGTTCTCCCCGTCCGGTCCGGTCACGTTGGCGGCTTCCGGACCCTTGCGTCCCTCGACGATGTCGAAAACGACTGGTTCCTCGTCATCGAGAGTACGGAGGTAATACTTGATGGTGCTGGACTTGAGGATGGCAGTCTGGTGGACAAAGAAGTCTTCTTTCTCGTCTTCAGCTTTCTCGCGAGCGACGAAACCATAACGTCCGCGAACAGAGAACCACTTGACGAATCCTTTCACACCGGTCTCGAGAACCTTTTTGGTCTTGAGATCCTCCTCGATCTGCTTCACCTGCTCGTCATATGGTGGTCTTGGTTGGAATCTTCCACCCACACGGCCACCGCGACCGCGTCCACGTCCGCCGCGGATTCCGCGTCCTCCACGGGCCGGACGTGGCGCCTTAGTCTCGTCCGCCTCGTTGTTGTTGTCGACAGCGAGGTTGTCCAATTTCTCGGTAACCTCGGCAACTGAAAAATTTATTTTAGCAAGCCAGCAACACTTTTTCAACTGACCTTGATCTTTCTTCTCCTCCACAGTCTTTCCGGTAGCTTGTTCGGTCGACATGATGTTACACGGCGTAGGCCTGATTTTTGATGGTGTCAAGGGGTGAGGAAAATCCTCTGAGCCGATTGTGTACGACTACACTCTGAAAAAGAAACGGATTGAATAGCCATACAAATGCAAATGAATATGCCACGACGAGCCAATGTGTCACTTGGAAAACGAAGAAGGTGATGATGAAATGGAGGGAAGTAAACAGTGAGAGTGATATGGTCGATAAAACACGACGCATGAGAATTGCAAGTGGTGAACTGGAAATAAAATGACAAATGCCATCCGATTAAAGTGGACAGTACACGGGGAGTCCGGTCGGGCACACACCCGTTACATTTATCGATCTCTTTTTTGACCGATTAGGGAAGAGGAAAACAAAATAACGCACACGGATTCGTATGGACTACAAGCTCAACGAGGGCATTTAGAATTGCTAAAATTAATGTCAGTACTTAGACGTATCGCGATAGAAAAACCGAATTGAAAAAAAAATCAAAAACGAAATTTTGGGACTTTGAGCGAGATTTTTATTCAACCAGGAAAGTTCGAGAAGATAACGGTGCGCCGAATGGTCTTAGAGCGAAATTACATTTTAGGACAAAGCTTATTTGGATTGAGTCATAAAAGGAGAGGAAGGATGGCGTTATTTGAAAACTGAGGCAGTGCTCGCAAAGGAACTAGAGTGCGCGCGCATTGCAAGAAAACGCAACCCTGGCACGCTTTTCTCCCGATTTTTCTTCGATTTTAGCACAACCGTTGTTTTCGGCTTGAAACTCAACGATAATTGAGTACATTTGGAATGAACAGAGCAGGAAAATGTCGATACAGTTGTTTTCCAATTTTTCAAATGATTTCAACCGCAGAAAACACTTCAAAAATTGCAAGAAGCTGCGAAAATCGATTGAAGGCTGTGGGACATTAGCAACAAAATGACGTGTTTTTGTTGTTCTAGAGACTCGCGGCGAGACCTGAATTGTTCGAACTCGCACGCGCCTTTTATCTTACTGTACTTTCAGACATTTTTCCGTGTGCCTTTAAACAAAATACAGCAAGATCATGAAAAAACTGAGTTTTCAGGCGTTTCGTCAGATATGGAGCGGTTTAGAGAGCAAATAGCGCGAAGTGTGGGTCAATTAACAGAAGTGTTCTCATCGGATAGAGACGTAAATGTAACATCTTGAAGATCGAGTCGAGCAACAAAGAAAAATTATTCAGATAATGCTAGAAAACATGAACGACCGGATCATGAGCTCGTACGAAGCAGCACAATCTCCGCCGACGTTTGAAGAACTTCCCGCTCCAGTGGCCGCAGTGCGAACTAGCTCTCAAAGTTCTACGCCTAGAAAAGCTGCGAAGACGAAAATTTCCGATGAGGACGAAGTGATTAACGCCATAGATGCTGCCTATTTTATAGATAACGACGAGTTTGATGCAGTTGATTATGAGCTTAAAGTAAGAACGCTCTTTTGGATAATTAATTACGTTGAGAAAGCTTCCAGAAGTTGTGCGACGTCGAAATGTGCTACGAGGACATTCAGCGAGAGCGGTTTCGACTGAAAGCGCAGCACACTGTAGTATCCAAAAAGATCTCAACTCTAATTATGCAAAAATCATCTTCATACACTGCGCAAGTGGGTGAAATGGAGAAAATCAGAGACGACGTCGGCGGAGTCGTCGAGGAGATTCTGACAATTCGCAGGTCGCTGAAGTTGGCCACAGATCAAACCCGAACATGTCTTGGACTCATTGCCAATGAGAAGAAGAAGAATGTGCTGAACGAGCTGAAGAATACTTTGACGGCAATAAAAGCGCTGCACGAAACCGAGCACACCATCCGAGAAACTATTGAGAATGGGAACTTTCCGTTGGCCATTCAAATGCTCATCGAGACACAGATTCGGGCGGCCGCTTACGCGCATTTCACATGTATCAAGTGAGATTTCAGAAAGAAATAATTCAACAAGAAAAAAACACAATTCTTGCAGTGAGGAAATGTCGAAGCTCGCAGGAATGAGCTCTCTTCTGGAAACCAAGCTCACCTCCCAACTGGCCACCATCGCCGTTGTTTTCGACCCGGAAAAGTATCGATTCGTCTGGACCGCCTATGAAATGCTGGAAAAGACGGAAGTGGTAGCCGAGAAGTTGCTCGCCGCCTTCACGGAAGCCATCGAGACGACGACGACGGCTGTGCTTCTAGATAAACTTCTGGATAAGAAGGCAAACGAACAGGAGATGAAAGAAGCGCCGTACACGAGTCTCTGTTTGAAATTGGACAGTGATCAGGTGGCCACCACGTTCCGCGAAATGGGATTCGTCCTCTGTCGGAGTTTTCACGCTTTCCACAAGATTTTGGCATTTCATGGCTTGGAATCGGCTTCTGAAGCGTCAAAAAACGTGTATAAAAGCCTACTGGCCGCCAGGACGGACCTCTTTCTAACGGCCACCGGACGATTTCTGACTTTGGTCGAGTCCCGCGACTTTGTGAGCCTGAAATTTGACCACATTCTGGATATTGTCGACTCGATTAATCGATTCAATAACATTGGGCAGGCCTATTTTGCCTTTTTTCAAACAAAATTGGCAGATGCCATCGAGAAACGGACTGCCATCTACTTTGAAAGATATCACAAGGAAAGGGTCGAAGAACTGGCAATGTTTATTGAGAACGAATCTTTCACTTTGTGTCCTGTTCCGATTCAGTTCACAATATTCGATCTGCAAGATTTTGAGTTTTTGAAAGAATCAAGACACGACAACATTAAAGGGGGCGAAGACACGGATGAAAACCTGGAGGGAACTGTGGATCTGATTGTAACTGACTGGGAGAATCCTTTCTGCCAAGCAGCCATCCGGTCACGTCATCAAAGCACGTATAGTCAGAAGTCGTCTGACGAACGGAGCTACTCAACGACGTCGGCTCCAGAGCTTCGGAAGTCACAGGATAGCATTCTGGAAGACCCGCTGGATGAACCGACTGGTCCGCCGCCTCCGAATCTTTGCAACACGGCACTGAACTTGCTCCGATTCTTCGGACGGTACATACGAATGACTGCGCTTCTTCCGACGCTTTGCGCCAAATCCGCACCCGCTATCATCGATCTCTATGAGTTTTTCTTCGCCTCCATCTGCCATTTATTCGGATCAGAAGGTGCTGAATTCGTGGAAAGGATATCAAGACTTGCTGCCTGTCTAGAGAATATTTCGAAGAAGTATTCGAAAGAAAAAGGCTCCAACTCCCCGTTTCGGAAAGTGTTCCGCAATGGAGAAGGCAGTTCGGAGCAAATCTATCCTTCCCTGTGTCCAGCAGTGCAGATCGCATTCATCGATAATCTGTACGGAGCTTGCGAGCGAATTATAGCCGTGGATTCCGTGGAATTCGTGGCTCGACAGCTGGATCTCATTCGTCCCGTCATAGAATCCCTTCTCCTCGAAGATGTCCGCGAATCACTTCATCCCGTCCTAGAAGCCTTCTACGCCCAAGTACTTCCCTGCCATTCCGACGCGAAGACACTGATCGTGGACGCGTCCACATCACGCGCACTTCGTCTGAAAAGCTTGGTAGAAAGTGTGGCAAGTGTCAACTGGGATATTGGCGAGCTGAAAAGTGAGCACAGCCCGTATGTGCATCTTCTAGCCCAAGATTACGAGCTTTTCTCGATACGAATCAACTCTATCAAAGAGAGCGAACCGATCAATTTGACGGAATCAATGGAGAAGTTCTTCTGGTCGCGCGCCATTCACTATTCGTTCAAAGCGCTCGTACAGGGATACGGCGATGGCGGAAAGTGCTCAACGGAAGGGAGAGCTCTGATGCAGCTGGATTTCCAGATGATTCTGCTGAAGGTATGTTAAAATCAGATCACAATTTCTCATGAAAAGTTTTAGCTGGAACCTCTGTGCCAGATGAAGCCAGTTCCCCACGCGAGCTTCGTCGACGGCTACATAAAAGCGTATTATCTCCCCGAGAATGGTCTGGAGCAATGGATTAAATCGCATTCAGTTAGTCCGAATTCCTCCCAAACATCTTGAACATCTTTTTTTTTCAGGAATACTCATCGAAACAGCTGACATCTCTTCTCGGCGCCGCCGCCCACGTGAGCAAAAAGGCGCGGCTTCGAATCCTGGATGCTCTCAAAGATTAATCACGCATTCAACTATGTACCTAATTAATTTATTTCATTCCCCATCTACTTTTCCTCTTCATCCCTCTCTGATATCATTCTTCTTGACATAATCATTCAACAAACAATTTGTTACGTGAATTTCCCAAATTTCCAACTCCGTCCGCTCTTCAAAAGGGTCAATAGAACACCACGTGGCGACAGAAGACGATTTTGGGCAGTGTTCAGTACGCACAATTCAACGGCAGCGATGATGAGAAATCAGAAAGGGTAGGCTGAAATTTCTGATTACAAAACTTCTGAAATTTTCATAAATTCCAGCGATGCTTCCATCAACACGCCGAAACGTGGTGAGAATCCGTTCCAAACGCCGACGAGCAAGAGCTCCTCTACTGGATTCGCGATCATGTCCGTGGAGTTGCAGCCGTAAGCTATTCCGATATTTTATAACTGGTTTCTTGCTTTCAGGGGCCTTCCGAGAGTTGTGAACCATCAAGATTTGGCTCCGCCCGCCCATATTCCTCTACCAAAATCGATCCGAAAGCCATTCAATAACAAAAACGGAGGTGGGAGAACAAGAAGTGGAAACGGGAACGAAAGCGTTAATGGATCCCCGAGAACCCCAAATCGCTCCGGAGAAGGGAACAGCCGGAAAGGAATGGGCGGCTTCTCGAACCCAAACCTTCACGCCTTCCAACTCGTCAGCCCCCTTCCATTCGCCATGAACTCTGTCCCGATCCGCGGAATCAAAACGGAACACGGAACCGTTAAGTATCCGCTGTTGCTGTGCTCCCAGGAAGGCACTCTGATGATTTCGATGGCCGCCGGCGTCATCGTCGAGCTCTGTCTGGATCGGAGCTTCCGCGTCGTCTGCAACACCGACTTCATGGCGTACATCAACGCTACGGGCTCCGTCTCGAGCATTCTCCACAAATATGCGAAGATTGTGCACGGTAAGGAACACGTTCACTGCAAGTTTTTGAACGCCAACGATCGGATGGCCGTCCTGGGACCCGAGGGCATTCTGTTCAGCATGGATTCGCTCTCCGAAGCCTATCTTTTGAGCAGCGTCGCCGAGTCCGGACCATCGGCCATTGCACTCGAAAAGCCGACGTTTCCCATCCAGAACATGGACTATTCGATCCAACAGTTGTACGCCGAATCGGAAATTGGAACTGACGTAAGTTTCCCACTATTCAAAGCCTGGAAACAAAAGCATTATTCAGAAAATGGAAAAGTGCAGTGCGATCATGCAGAAGGCGATGTACGAGAAAAAACCAGATGGCACACTCGTCGTGCACATCAACGGAATGGTTCTGAAGAGCAACAGCGAGACTGGTGAAGTGTCGGTGGAAGCGAAGCCGATTCGGCTGACGATCAATTCGCAGACACTGTCGGCTCAGCTCAGAAGCTCGCACATCGACATGGCGATCCAGGACAAAGATAAGTGCTACGTGAAGAGAGGAGACAAACGAATCCACACTTCCCGCTCCGGAATGGTCGTCTCCGATGGCACTTGCACTATTTCCATGGATCAGTATGGACGAATTCTATCTTGTTCATAGTTCACAATAATATTTCCGTATTCCTATTGCACCCTAACCCTTATTTCCTGTAACCTATTCCCCTGTCTGACTGCTGCAAAGTGAAAGCGCAAAAAAAGTTTATGTAATTTATTGAAATTAGCATAATATAAATAAATAGGTCAAGTGAACAGCATTATAGACTATTTTAGCACACATTGCACAAAACTTTTAAAGCTATATTAGAGGGATGTATATTATATTTTTTAGAGAGATGCAAGTCCGGAGTCGCTCGAATAGTCCTCATCCGTCTGGGACACTTTGTAGACGTGCGTCTCCCTCGGCGGAATGAACGTGGCTTCGATGTCGAGCGGCTGGAACGAGGACCACGTCTCGCTTCCGTACTCGGCCCACCGATCCAGCGATTTCGTCCCTAACGGGGCGGTGTCACTTTTGTAGAGGATAGTGCTGTTCGCCTGGGGTGGCGGCATTTCGAAGATGTCCTGCTTGCGACGGTCGATTATGTAGACGACGAGCAGGACGGCGGTGGCGACGAGCGCGAGAAACGAGAAGAAGGCGAGAACGAGAGTGACGACGAGCAGAGAAGCGTTGGAGCCGTCGAGGGAGAACCAGGCGGACGGGGCGATCGTCGTCGTCGGTGCGGATTCTGTCGTCGTGCTCGTCGTGGTCGACTTTGATTCGTTGACACACCACGGACACACTTCGGTTGAAGCCTGCACTCGAACTTCTGCGACGAAACATTGACCTTGAATCTAAAAAAAGACAAATTGGTTTTTGAATTCTCTTCTCGACCACTTACTTGGATCGTGCGCTCTACAAACTCTGGCGTTTCGCTCGACTCGTTCTGGAAGACGCGAACGTATCCGGAACGATCGCAAGTTCTCGCCAGACCGTACACTGGGTCCACGGAGATGAACTGAATCGAGAGCATCCAGTCGGCGAGCCGTCCCTTCGGCCAATGAGTGACCGTCGGGCGCGCGACGCCGTTGATGTACTCGAAGCTCGAAGAGCGACGTTCGTGGTGCGGCAGAATTCGTTCGTCTAGCTGTAAAAAGGAGAGATTGATTTCACCAAGTTTTTTGAACTCAAAACTAACCGTCATGTAGCTCATAGCCGCGCAGCCAGTCGTCTCCGTTCCCCAGGACGTTTCGTCGATCGGGCACGTCTTTCTTTCGACCTTCTGAACGTTGACGTGCACCCACGTATCGCAAAAGGCCGACGGGACAAATATGAGGACAATTAGAAGAGAGATGAAGAAGGGAACGCACTCCGGAATTTGTGGCATGGTGATCTAGATCTGCAATATAGAAATTGGAAATGAGAATGAGAACAAAGGTAAATAAGAATGAAAACAAGAATGAGAATGCGCGTGAGCAGTTGTGGACTGACTAAATGAGCGTACGGATCACACCCCATTAAGAGGGTGGAGTCCTGGGGAGTTGGGCGTGCGCACAGACGATCTTTATCTCGTAAAAACTATGCCCACAAGCAGAGTTAGCACTTGACCGGGGCGATGATGGGGGGGGGGACGAGGTGCGAAGCGGACTCGTCTAATGAATTTTACGACTTGCCGCAAAAAGGACAACAAGAGTTTACAACTATTGGCTACTGTAAATCAATAAACTCATTAAAGCGGTTACTGGAGGGCAAGTAGCCAAAAAATGGTGTAACATGAATTTGAAATGTACCTTTTGGTAACCGTTTGATTGTGCCAATTGGACAAGAAAGACTTTAATAAATGCTTTATTTGGTAAGATCAATATGAAAGAGAAAAGAATTTGAGCAGAGAAACGAATGATTCGTTCGAGATTTGATAAGCGGACACGGCGGCAGAGCGATAGATCAAAACATGTCGAATCTGAAAACAAAGACTCTGGAACAATCTTATCTTGTCTTGTTTTCCCTTTCTTTTTTGTTTGGCATCATTGACAGTTCGTCTTTGTTCCATTATGCTTTTTGACAAACGGTCAACTTTGAGAATCTTCTGAAAAATTTTAATTGTAGTGTTGTTTAAAGTTTTCTTAGCTTTCAACCCTCACAATATATTATATATATTAAATTTTAACTTTTGTAATCTTGTTGTATCAGTGGCCTTCGCCCTTCAATAAATGAATGAATTGAAATTGAAATTTCAAATTTGATTTTTATCAGTAAAAACGATTTAAAAAAAATTCATTATCAAAATAGCAGCTGAATAACAGGAGTACCCGGAATATCGAGCAAGCGAAGCCCCTGCCCGATTTTTGGCCGCCCGTGGGTCAAATGAGGTTCTCATGCGGGCCAAACGCTCATGCCGACCCATTTTTTGAGAAATTCACATTTTTGTACACGAGAACTGGAATAGAGGAATGGAAAAAATGGGGAAATTGAGGAACATGTTTAGAAAAATCGCATTCTCTGCTTCTCCTTTTGTTGTGCCGCCAGCAGTTCCGGATTGCGTTCCATGACACGGGAGATCTGCAAATTTTTGTTTTTTTTGCAGTGAACGAATATGACCCGAGAGTTCGACTTCTTGCATAGCAATAACGTCCGAGAGAGGAAGAGCTGACTTCTTGCATTGCAATAACGTCAGAGGGAGGAAGAGAGAGAGTTCGACTTCTTGCATAGCAATAACGTCAGAGGGAGGAAGAGAGAGAGTTCGACTTCTTGCATAGCAATAACGTCGGAAGAGAAAGAGAGAGATGGTTAATGAACTCGGTTTATATAGTGACAGTGAAATCCCGCCCACTCGGCCGTGCTTAACCGCCACCACGCCCTCTTTAGATGACGATCACAAAAGCTGGAGGAGGCGGGACCGCACAAATTTCAAATAGGGCCAGGCAAATGTACTATGGTACTAGTGTAGAACAAAATAAGTGTTCCTGTTCCGGACTTCTTGAGAATATAGATGATGAAGACCGCTCTAAACTAGTCTGAAAAGGGTATTTGGCGGCCCTGGAAGTGATTTCCAGACCAATGTCCAAGAGAATGTGATAATCAGCTGAATTTCAGCATCAACTCATGTAAGAAAATGGAAATCATAGATTATATCAAGCTTCTCCTTCAGCTCAACAGAACGACAATACACACCCTTGTTTTTTTAAGGCGACCCTTGTTTTTCCTGGAGTTCTGAGAGAGACCCTTGTTTTTCGCGTTTCTTTTTTGTTGTTCCATTGACTGACCCCGCTTTCAACGCGAAGCAAACGCGCCCTATGGCAAATTTGAGGCGAAATAGCGTTGAAGATGGAGAGACTGACTTCTCCCCTCGCACTTTGGCGCTCGCTCGCATTTGAATAAGAATTCTCATTTTAACATTTTCGCTCTTCCGTTACTCTCGTTTCCATGGCGATCGTAGACTTTTCGAATGCTGCTTCACGAAAAATTACATTTTAGTGTCATTCACGCGAAATTTCCTCACGTTTCCCGCTTTAAAATACATTTAAATTCAATTTTCAGGCGGAAAAATGCAACGGAAGGAGAAAGAGAAGGAGAAGGACAAGGATAAAAACAAGGCGAAAGAAAACCTCAAAATTTTAAAATATGATCTTGTTGATGGGTTGCTCCCGGTAATTTTGCTTGATTTTAAATTAAATTTCCTAAAAACCTATTTTTTCAGGAAATTCGGAAAACATGTGGATACCCTATGTATGTAGAAGAGGTTACTACCAAAGGTTTGCAATTTTCAATGGATTGTAAAAAGAAAATGAATTCAGGTTCTTCGAAGAAAAAGAAGATGATAATTGAGGAGGAATGGACGATGCCAGAAGCCCAAAACTGCGGACTTTGCTCGGTTAGTGTGTGAAAAAGGCAGACGTTTATATAAGTTTTCATAAATTGCAGACCGGCGGTGATATTCTCTGCTGTGAACTCTGTCCGGCCTCATTTCATCTCACCTGCATAGGTTTAGAAGAATCGGATATTCCGGAGGGCAACTTTTACTGCAACCGCTGCAAACACATGCCCGAGAACGTGAGGCTATTCCCACCGGAAAAATGCTCCACTTCTACGTCGCCTACTTATCGAATCGAGAATGAGAATCGCAGAAATTGGGAGACCATCGAGTTTCAATACAATCGGTTTCGCCAGGAAGAAGTGGACGCCGGAAACGCTCCGAAGCTCGGGATTTCTGAAGAAGAAGCTATTCGGCGGAGCTTTCCGGATAGGAATCTGTTAAAAGCGCTCGGAATGGCGAACCATATGGATGTGAGCGAAAGTTGTTTTGTATATGTCACCAATTCCTACTAGTTTCAGTACAGTCTTCCACTGGAATACCTCAGAGACCGGCAATACCTGCCGGTTGATGCGCGGCACGGGAAACGAGTATCGTTTAGCGGAGAGATCTGTGCGCATTGCAAACTGTAAGTTCTTCCTATTCCGCAAAAACTCTGGAAATCACTTTATTTCCAGAAAAGACGAATGGTCGACGATGTTAAAGTGTGATTTTTGTGATCGCAAGTGGCATCAAAAGTGCGTCCAGCCGACATTAGTGGCCCTTCCAAAACTGCACTACTGGATGTGCCCGGCGCACCCGGAAACTGTACTCGAAAGTTTGTGGCAGGGAGATCAGGTGTCTAAGCACAAACGGTTGGAGATGTACAAGAAGTTTCGTCGAACAAATTATTCGGATTCGGAGAATCTGAAGGTTTTTCGAGCTTTTCACGACAAAGCCAGGAGGTTGAACTTTGCAAAAGAGTTAAAGAACATGTCTAGGGAGCACAGATTGTTCTATCCACCGGATGAGAAGACGGAACTCGTGGGATTTCTGGACATCGTGCTCTTCAAAAGAAGGAGTTATCGGAAGGGAGGCCGAGGGAAGAGGAAGAAAGAATTCAGCTTTCTGAGCGATAGTTACGCGATAAAAGGGATCGTGGAACCTATGGAAACTCTCAAAAAGCTGGTCGAAACTCCCAAAAAGCAGCCAGAACAACCGGCAGAGCGGGAAGAGAACACACAGGAAGTTCAAAAAGCGGTGAATGGATACGAAGAGCGATCTAAACTATTCACGGAAGAAGAACTCATCATGTCCATAATGCCATTCGATGCGTCCGCCCGTGCCGAGTTTCTCACGGAAAAACTGCTAGGCACGGATGTCGAGGTATCAACTGATTATCTCAAAAAACATGATGTGTTGGTGTCGAAATGCCAGACCTTCTACAATCACCTTTCGGAGCGAGACCTGATTCGAATAATGCGCAGAGATCTTGATCCGATTGAAACAGTTCGTGGGAGTGGAATTCAAGGATTGAAAGACTTCCAGGAAAAGCCGACGGCGAGGAGAAAAATAAAAGCAGACGTGGAGCCGATCATTCACTATCTCGGACTCGGAAGTGCGCACGCGGATCGACGCATCAACACACCGTCGGCGGAAGCGTTTTTCAGAAGATGTGCCCCACCGCCTGGTGCTCAGGAGGCGCTCCGTCCGGGTGTTCTCCGGGAGATTGTGCTCAATTCACAGATGGAAGCGGAAGAGCTAATCAAAGTATACCGGATTCACGAGAGTCCCGAGCAACTGCAGCATCTAGTCTTCCTGGCGTTTGACCACTCATTCGAAAGCCGAGAACAGCGGGATTCGTTTTTCCCGTCAAGTATGACACCCTGGTCGAAAGAGCCCCTCGGCGCACTGATGGCCCTGTGGTTAGAAGACAACGGAGGGCTTGTCGAGGAGAGAACGATGGAAGTGGAGCAAGGAGGTGGTCGGCGGAGATCTGATGGGGATTCGACGGACGAAGAGGGTCTAAACGAGACTCAGAAAGTGGAAAATCCTTCTGACGAACCCTCTCTTCAGTACAGTAATGATACTGGTCCCCTGGAGTTGCACGCTTCGAGAAGTGCTATTCAATCTGACCAAGGTACTTAAGTAAAGCACAATTAAACGTTTTTATTCCAACAGTTTAATTTTTCAGATGATATTCAAATAGTATCTGAGAAATTAGCAAGCGTAAAAATAATAACAAGACCTGAAGTTTACGAGAAGGCCGAATCGATTCATGGCGCAGAAGGATACTGGGGAGAGCCGGATGATCCGATTCTTGAGAGTAGACTGAGTAAAAGTATGTCGGATTTGGAGGATATTGTGCGATGGTCGAGAGTTAGAGTAAGGGGATCACGGAGAGACCGTTTGAATTGGAATGGACAACTTTTCAGATGGCTATTAGGGATTACGTCCTGCGAAATAGCGAGGAGGACATTATGAAGGAGCACAGTTACTACGGCTTTGTCGACAGCTACCGAGCGTATTCCGACGAGGACGAGATGTTGGAAGAAGCGCCGAAGGTGGAAGCGGCAGAGTCGATCCCAGAAGAGGTGGAACGGACGGACAAAAAGGAAGAAGAGCCGTGGCGCCGTCGTTCCTCAACTCCAAACAGTTGCTTCGTCTCGCCCGCCACTCCGCCTTCGCATTCATTTGCGGAAGACGAGAGCCCGGGAACGATAGTGAGAAAGAGGGGAAGACCGGTGGGATCCAAGAATCGGAAGGAAGGAGAGGCGACGCCGAAGCGGAAACGGAATCCGAATCCGACAGGAACAGGACGAGGACGAGGCGGCAGAGGCGGAAGACCCAGAGGAGTTTCCAGAGGAAGAGGTTCGTGAACGATTCCTCAGCCATTTTTGTATATTTCTTCATTTTCTAGGTGGAAGAGGATCCGGATCAGTGGCCAGCAGCGTGTCCCGACCATCAATTGATCAAGAAGATCTTGCGGAGCTTCTGAACTCCTCCGACACTTTAGAGGATCCGGAGACGACCGGAAAAAGACGGCTGAGGGATGAAGTGGAAAAAATCCGACACAAATTTTGCAAAATGGTAATTTCGAGGAGTTTGGAGAATTTAAAGGATGAATACACGTTACTTCGAGATGAAGCCCTCGAGAATTGGACGGAAGAAGAGTGGAAACAACACAAGGAACGATGTCTGAAGGGAAGAATGAACTCTCTGATTCCCTACGACCCCCGACTGTTTTTGCCCGCTCAACGAGTTCATGCGAAGATTGTCATCGATGGCGAGCTTCCCGTTGCAGTTCAGAGATGCTTGACAAAGTTCGGAACCGCCCAAGATTGCCACGTTCGTTTGGATCGATTCTCCAAAAAGTTTTGCCACTTTTTGGCCGATTATCACTGTGACATAATCCGGGAGTATCACACCAATGATTTCTATCTTTCCACACTCGCCAATGCAACTGTGATCGTCGACGGCGTTGTTGTTCGGAGACAGACGCTGACGGCACTGGAAGATGCCGAAAGAAGAAGAACAATGCGGAGTAATAGTCTGAAATTGAAAGAATTCATTGAGAAATCAATAAATTGCAGGTCCTCCACTCCTCCCCTCGAACATCAAGTGTCGCTGCCAAGTTCATATCGATCAGGAGACCGCGCATCAGGAGAATTGGCACACGTCCGACTCATTCGGAATCGTTAAACTGAAGCACGAAGCTCGTGTGCAAGTCGGATGTGTTCAGTTCACATTTTTGAGTCTAGGCTAATTTTTTAAATGTTCATTTTAGTTATCGTTGTCTTTTTCATTTTGAATTTTTCCAAGTACTCATGTTTCTGGCAGTCTTATTTGATGATCTCTGTCCGACCCATTTCCCGATTACATTTCATACTCATTGCCAACTAGCCAATTATGTATCTAACTTTGGTTCCGAGATAAAATTCTCTTTTACATCCATATTTTTAACTAGTCACTTCCAAGATTAGGTTACTTCCAGAATACTTTGCCAATTTTCTTTCTTCGTGAAAAATGATTGGATGTTATATTTTAGATGAATAATCAATGGGACGACACTATTTTTGATCCGTTCTCCTCGCCGGGCCTCTCATATTCTAGGCAAAGAAGATCCGAAGGAGAGGTAAGCAATCCGGCTCGATGCATTCCGAATTATCCATTTTCCAGTCGACCAGTCTGCCGCGGGCGCTTCGATCAGCAATGGATCCTGAATACGAGTACCCCGAAGCGTCGGTGGATCCGTTCGCCTCCTCATTCGTTTACACGGACGACGCCTCGCTCCTGAATGCTGTCTCGGCGCCTTCTTCTCAAGAACCCACGTCATCGAGGAGTCAGGCCATCGAAAAGACGACGACGAGGAAAACGACACAGAAAAAGCTCGGATATCCTAAGGAACGGACTTTGAGACGAGGGGAATATCCAGCGAATCATGTATATAATGGCAGCGAACGATTGTCGCAAGTGTCGCTTAGGGATTTTCTCACTGAGGAAAATGTCGAGGTACGTATTTAGAGAGCCTTCGAGTACGTGAAAACCCGGCAAACGAGTTGACCTGGCGCGATCTCAGGCTTTTGTGATATCTAAAAATACTTATTCTTTCCAGAGTCACCGCGGTAAGCGGAAACCGTTCGTCAAAACGGACAAGCAGACACGAATGTCGGAATTTCTGTTCGTGTCGCAGCGAGTGGACAAAGGGGCCCGCGAGTTTGGGCTCAAGACTAAGAAGATACCAGTAAGAGGGAGCAAAAAGAAGAGGGAGTCGTTGGAAAACCTGGAAGTGGAAGTGGAAGACGTTGAAATCGTTGAACAGCCCAGAAAAGAAGTACTGAAAACTCCAAAAAAGCCAGACGATGACTTTGACGCCTCTTTCGCTCTGACCACTCCAAGTCCTTATAGAAGAGCCGGAAAGCTCCAGAAGACAACGAAACTGGCCAACTTTTTTGAGACGTCTTCAGGACCCACGCAGAAGCAGCCGACAGTAACTGCAAATGATCCGTCTATTTATTTAAATGAATCCTCGCTGCTGAACGCTACACTATCGCCCATTCGCACTCGCACTCCTGTCAAGAGTCTCGCGGAGACGGTGCCCGTTTTCACGCCTTCTCCGGCGAAAAAACATCATGGCCAACACCCGGAAGATCGGGGAAAAGCGCAGGTGAAACGGGCGCTTAGAAATGGGAGCTATCTGGCGAATCCGAATCCACAAGTGAAAAGAGCAAAGGTACTTGAAACTTATGAACAAGGCAAAGTGTTACAGTAGTATCTTTCCAGCAACAATATCCGACTTTCGATTGTCCTTCGCCCATCACACTTTCGGATTCAGAGGAGCGCATCAATAAGCGGCCGCAAAGACCGACTCTGACAGCCGAAGAGGCGAAACGGAAGCAATTCGGAGCCCACATGGCCGAACGACATCAGATGATGCAACGAATCGTGGACGAGAAATTTGTGGAGGAGCGCGAGAATGGCGGGATCGAGAAGCGGCGGGCGGAGATGAAGCCGGGCGAGGTGGTTCGGAATAAGGAGATGAGGAAGAATCTGATGCACGGCGCGGCGTGTCCGTGTTGCCGTGGATATTACGAAGGATTAAATATGGGCGACGAGGAGAAGCGGGATTATATCAACAAGGTTTCACTGTCGCGCTCTCTCCCCATATCATTTGTATCGCCGTTTGCAGGTCAGCCGACATCGTTATGTGCATCAAGCGCTCCCAGACACTCCTGAAAAGTACTGGGACCTGACGATGGGTCCTCGCGACGACGATGAGGATGAAGAAGAAGAAAGAGGAGGAGGCAGCTGGCAAGAGAAGAAGAAAAGCACAGCTGGAATTCAGAACTGGAACTGAGGCTAGAAGTTCCCTTCGATTGTCTTTTTTATTTTATTTCCTTCCACATAAAAATCTCATTACGACTGATTCTGTTTAGATTTAGATTTCTTCTTCCACAATCGCTTTACCCCCCTCCCTACCTGCTCTGTCGCATAATTGTGTACGCGTTGGTGGTGGTGGTTGTGACTGCGGACGTCGGGGGCTCTCTCTCGTTCTCTCCCTTTGAGATATCTATGGGCTCACGCACGCATCCACCATTCTCCGCTTTTTCCTGCCTCCTGCTTCTTTGTTGGTTGCTCTCCGTGGCTCATCATAATGAACAAGGAAAGTGTATACTTTCATATAAATTTTTTCAGAAAACTTTTCAGAATGGCAGCTGAAAACGACGGATGGGCTAACGGAAAGCAGCCGGAGTGCGGTGAGTTTCCACCTGTTGTGTCAGTCAGTGGCACCGGATATTCTTAAAGTTTGGGAGCTTTTCGACTAGTGACCTTCCACCCCCTTTCCCTCAAACAGTTGTTTTGCGGTGGAGCGCACTTGCACTTTGGTTCTCGTTTCTGAAGAGAAAGTGCGTTGGCACTTTGTCAAGGGGGTTACCTCTCATTATCGTTCTTTCCGCTCTCCAATTACCATCCATCCGCCTCAACCCCTAAGTAGTATGAAACTCGCGGCTCCCCGTTTCTTTTAACCCTAACCACTTTGTTTTCCGGTCTCTTGCCTTTTGCCATTTTCCTCCATTTCCCCCCAACATCATCTCTCGGCCATATCGTCATGGCAACGCGCCGTTCATCCGAAGCCAGAGCGAGAGAAAGATTCTAACGAAATTGCGGAGAGCCCCACAAACTCGGGGAATTGCCTAACGGCGACGACGTCGTCATGGGGGACCGGAGGGAGACAAATTGTATTCAAGCCGCATAATATCTATCACACACACACACACTATAATTCTGAGAACAGGTGAATTAATGGTGGCGCCAGAGCGCCCAGCTTTTACGTTTTGTCTTAAGAGCTCGAGCTCGAGGCTGTAAGCGCCCACTCGCGCAAATGACCAATCATCGACTTACTTAGCCGCGAGAACCCCTCCAGAGAATTGTGAACTGAGAATTGAGAATTGCGAAATATAGTTGAAAGTTTGTCGCCCACAAAATGTTTACTGACAATCTGTGATCATGTTCGTGTTGCCCCCGGTTCAAACAGTCCCTCGGTTTCCTCGGCATTTCTGCCCATCCTTCCGCCACCGCCATTCTATGTCCTTCTTTCCCGTCTGACACCGTCCCACTAGCGCACACTCTCTCGTCGGCCCCGTCGTTGTTCCGTAGATGGTCTCTCGCTCGCGCTGAGCACGCACTTTTCTGCCGTCTTCTCTGACGTCTTCTTCCTCTTTTTCCCCATCTGCTACGTCTTCCTCGCCCCCCATCTCTGTCAATCATTCGCGCACCGACCCATTCATTCCATTTTTTGTGCGGCGCTGCCCTAAGACGTCGGCAGCAGCTCTCGTTCACTTCCATTTATCATACTCACTCCAAACGCATTCTGTCCTGGGGGAAAAGCAGCGCCCAGACGTTCCATAAAAAGATTGTCCTTGCCAACTTTCACCGCAGAAATTTCAGAGTGCTGCTCCAACGACAACGTCGCAATGAGGGCCGAACAACAACAATCGATTGCGCCCGGCTCGGCCTCTTTCCCCCAGCAGGTGAGCACAGATCAGCAGAGCAAAGCTTCTCTCTCAGCCAACTCCCCTTCAAAAGTATCGAGTTTCTCTAGTCACGCACAAAATTGCGATTCAGATGCCGCGGCCGCCGCCGAGCACCGAAGAAGGATCTATCAGCGAGGCGGCTCTGCTCGCCAAGCCGTTTGTCACTCCGAGCGATGTGCTCCAGTTGCCCGGAATTACGCAAAGTACGTTTTCGATTTATATTAGCACCTCAGGATTCTAGCAATGCCGCAATCGCATGTCGCTGCAATATTTGTGTGTTACTTATTGTTTCTTTGTATAGACTTCCTGTGCTCGCCATCTGCTAACATCTACAACATTGAGTTCACTCGCTTCCAAATCCGTGACCTCGACACTCAAAATACGCTGTTCGAGATTCAAAAACCGGATGATGAGCCCGAAGATCGGCTACAGTCTGCGAGATACGTTCGCTATCGCTTCGGGCCCGCGTTCCTAAAGCTCAAGACCGTCGGCGCGACCGTCGAGTTCAAAGTCGGCCAACTTCCGATTCGCCATTTCCGAATGATCGAACGCCACTTCTTCAAGGACCGTCTCCTCAAGTGCTTCGACTTTGAGTTCGGCTTCTGTATTCCGAATTCGCGCAACAACTGCGAACATATCTACGAGTTCCCGCAACTCTCGCAGCAACTTAGTAAGTACCATTATCACTTGTACTTGGAAAAAAAAATGAATATTTCAGTGGATGAGATGATCGCGAATCCGTATGAAACACGCTCCGACAGCTTCTACTTTGTCGACGGAAAGCTCGTCATGCACAACAAGGCCGATTACGCCTACGACTCCTAATCATCACACATCCATCGATATTCTCTCCCCCTTTGCCTAGTCTCTTCCGTAATGCATTCCGACACTCGTTTCCTGTCATCCGCGTACGCGCATAATTTCGAATTTGAACAACTCCGAGCCTCTGTAACATTCTTTTCTCCTGTCCTTTCCTATTCAGTTTGTCACCATAATATATCGAATCCATCCAATTTTCATTTTGATCGTGAGAACTTGGTTTCTTCATTTTTAATTAATCATGTTTCATTTCTCACTCCAATGTCGTCGTCGATCAACTCGGTTCCGCCCATCGAACTCGCGCATCGATTCATTGTGAGCAAAGGCGCAGAAGCTTCAGGAACACCTCATTCCAGCACGTCATCGATTTTAATGCGGATCCGGTGTCATGCATCAGCAACTCGACGGGAACGGTGTCCTATGACTCCATCCAATCACCAGTTTTCCTTCCGTCTGCCGAAGGCTCGGAGCCCGTCGAGCCCACGCATGTTCGCATCCAGAATTCCGTTCCTTTCCTTCTAGAAACACCCATTCTAGTGTATTCGGCAGCCGCCACGTGCTCACCACCGTTCAAAACTTCGGAAAGTGCTCAAAGAGGAGCTGCTTCAGACGCTCGTTCCAGTTGACATCGATCTGTTCAGAGCGATGAAAAAGTAAGCTGCATTTGCCATGAATGCTCGTAATTTGAAAACATGTGTCCTTTTAGAGAGCAAAAGACGAGAAGCCATGAAGTGAGCAGCACTTCGAAATGCGTCTACAACTGGCTGGATGTGAACAAGGAAGTGCGATCGGGTCTCAAGGAATGTTTCGAGAATTTCAAAAAGCCAAAGGGAGACGAGAAGCGGAAAGCGGTTTATTCGATGAGCATCGAACTGCCCGTCCGCAAGAAGACCGCCGCTTTTGACATTACGCAAAAGGTATCGGAGATTTTTATGGGACATTGTAGTACCAACACAATACTAAAATTTCCAGACCATCTCTCAGAAGCTCTCGACTCGCATTCACAATCAATTCGGCGCCGCTCTCAACGGTCAGCAGCAGACAAGCTTGGCACTCAAAGTTTATTCTCGTAATACAAATTAATGAATAGGTTTTACCATCTTTCACTCTCGCTCTATCGAACTGAGGCCCCAAAAGATGTCTGCCAAGAAAAAAACTCAAAGGCGGCGGCAATCATCAATTCCAAAGGGGGGGGGGGAACCCATTCGCTTGTTGTGTTATCATCCGTCGGTCGGAAAGCATTATCAGCCGCTTCTTCGATTCCACTATCATTTACATAAATCTGGTGGCGGGCCGCTGATATTAGAATTATTATGATCGTCTCTGTCTTCCCTTTCCTATCCTATCCGTCCCATTCTTCACTTTCATTTCATTATTCGCCTCCCCCCCCTTGTGATCACCATCCAGCGCCACTTTTGCTGCTTCTTCAAACAAATGCGGGTCAATGACTTTTTCAAGATATTCTCAATTTGTGAATGCGAAAAAAAAACACAAAAGTTTCGTGACGTGGCATCCCATCCAAACACTTGTTCCGAAGAGACAAGACCAGTTGTTTTCGAACCCGTTCATCACTTCTCATCCACCAAACTAGGCCATTATCTCTACTTACTTTATCACTTTTTCCTGTTCTCGCTTCTTCATCTTCTTTTTGGTTGGGTGCCCGGATATCTGTTATTGATCGCCACCACTTCCAGTCTGTCCTTCCATTGTGATCTTGTCACTCTGATTTCGAAATTCTCGTCGTCGTTTTCGTTTTCACTTTTCGGAAAATGAACGAGGAGAATGCATGCCAACGCTTAATTTCTTGTCGAATGATTAATGATCAAGCATTGATATTATACGTATCCCCAAGCCGCCTCGATCTCTGAGTCTTACCAGTCACTCAATCTTCTTCTTTTTCAAACAGAATTCAAGGAAACTTTCAAACTTCAATTTGCGAGATGAGATGAGACCGCTCCGTTATGACTTTACGATATCGGTAGGTACGCTCGAAAGTTATTTTTTCCTCCCAAATAACTTTCAGATTTCTGTGCTGCTCTTAGTCTCTTTCTCCTCTTCAAATCCAATCGATAATGGCCTAATAGACTCGGAGTTGATTCATGGTGATTCAGAAGAGTTACGGTAACCTTCTAAAACTTAAACTTCTAGAGTGTGTCACCCACAAGGCCGTCGAAGTGATCCTTTTGCTGGACGCCAGTGGTTCCATCGGAGATGACACGTTCAAGAAACAGCTATCCTTTGCAATGCACCTGGCTTCTCGTCTGAACATCTCTGAAGAGGGCTCCCATATGGCTTTGATTCAGTACGCTGAAACTCCGAAGCTAGAGTTCTCACTCGGACAATTCAATCATCCCACTCAAGTTAGTACAGTACAGACATACTGTTTCATTACCGCATGCACTTTTCAGTTAGAATGGGCGATCCAGCGAATAGAGTATCAGAGCGGAGCCACAAATACCGGACAAGCTCTTCGGCTGACTATGGACAAGGGATTGCAGGGAGCTCGTCCGGGCGTGCCCAAAGTTGCCATCGTCATCACTGACGGACAAAGCCAGGACGATGTTTCAGAGCCGTCGCAGTTGCTCCGCGATGCTGACGTCATGGTGTACGCGATCGGAGTGACCAACCTGGTGAACGTCCACCAACTCCATCAGATGACAGGGAACCCGGTGCGAGTGTTCACAGTGGAGTCGTTCGAGCAGTTAGACAATGCACTGGCTGATTCGCTGACTTGGAGCATGTGCAAAACAGAGTTTCGTGAGTTTGGCACCATCTAGGCATCAATAGAACCACGTTCAGGTCCTGGCACTCCTGAAATCATATGCGGACCCGATCGAATCGGAGTGAAAGCCTCCACAAAACAGCCGTTCGAAGGAAACGTTTTTGTCCAGGATCACTTTCACGATGAAGAGTGCAGAGCTGGCCCGGAAAAGTTCCCCGACGCTCGGAGCATCGGACTCACCGTCCCGTTCTCCGCATGCAACGTCCATCGATACAGATCGGTAAGGATTAAGGTAGTATTGAAATGCTCAGAGTCCAATCCAATCACTACAGCTAAATCCGAAGGGAATCTTCGTGGAGGTCTCCATCGTCTTCATGTTCCACTCGCTATTTATGACGAAGACTGATCAAACTGTGAAGGTTCAATGCTTTTACATGGAAGCTGATAAGCATGTGACAGTGCCACTTTCTGTGAGGTAAGTCATTTTTAGCTTTAACTCTCGAGCCTCTTATCTCCATTTTTAGCATGATAACTACAGTATTCCGTGAGCAAGTCTATCAGATGCCTCAGTGCGCGTACACCCTTCGAAAAGGCGCTCCGGACGGTCCGATTGTCAAGTTCGCCACTCTCGGACAAAGCGTCTACCATAGGTGGGAGTGTTTGGAAGTGGAGGGAGCCGACAAGGACACCTTCGGAATGCTGGTCCACTCTTGCTACGTGGATAATGGGTACGGAGACCGAGTGGATATTCTGGATCAGAATGGCTGCGGCCTCGATGCGGTTCTCTTATCAACTCCGGATTACGACACGTCTCTGCGGCTGGCAACAAAACCCTACCACGTGTTCAAGTACGCCGACCGTCCGGTGCTCCAATTCCAGTGTCAGATCACGCTTTGTCTGAAGTACGACGGCGGATGCGAAGGGATAACTCCCCCGCAGAACTGCAAAAAGTTGCCGGGCGAGGATGGAAACCACCACCACCACCATCACGATCATGACAGTCGGAGGAGGAAATTGGTGCGGAGATTGGCCGACGCCGTGGGCACTATTGACGTGTTCACCGATTCGATGACTGTTTTGGAGCAAGAGCCCGCTTGTAAAGAAGTACGTTTTGTGAAGTCTAAAAAAAGTCCCTTCTGATTTTTTCAGCCCTTCCACTATCAGTTAGTCGACGCCAACTCTTGGATAATCGGCACGATCACCCTGGCCAACATCTTCGTCTCCATTCTCACAATATACTTGACTTTCAGACGACGTCGTTGCAAGCCCGCCTAGTTTTCTCCCTCACTTTTCTCAACTAATCAGTGTGCAATATCCCCCTCCTGAATACGGTGTATTATTATAATTTTCTGTCGTTTTTTCAATGAATTTTCCATTTTTGATTCCGCCATGATATACATAAATCTGGGAACGTCAGCTGTCCGTTCAAGGAGAAACGATAAATTTCCAATCGTCTCGACATTTTCCCTTCCAAAAAAGAAAAGATAAAGGGCAGGGCAGCTATAGCAAATTTATTGAAGATTACTGTAGGTCCATGTCCATCAAAGCTTCATTTATCAAAGGAACGAAAAAGCAAGCGATTCAATACAAAGTGTTTCTGGATGGATGCAAAAAAAGAGTCACCGTCAGAGGCAGAGAGATTTCTGGAGAGAATGATGCGAATAAAGATGAAACTAAAGTATTAGCACCTCAAAATTCTGGCATTGTCGCTCTACGGCAATTCCACGTGAAAACCCGGGGCCAGTGAATACACGTGGCGTGCGGTAGAACGCGATTGCCAGACTTCTGTGGCTGCAATAGATATTGTTAGTCTGTAGAGTATGGAGATGGAGAGCTCGACGATGGACTACTGTTGGAAAAGTTCACAGGTTTTGTGTCATCGTCATCGCTCGACGTCTGTTTTGACTTTGACGAGTCGTCAGAGTGGGGCGATGAGGGGGAAGTGGGTACGGCGGCATTGGGCATGATCGGAGGAAATCCGGGCGGGAGCATGAAGGGCGGAGGAGCGGCTACAGAAGACGGCGGCATCGTCGGGCTGAAAAGTTTTGTGTAATATCCAGACCTTGTCTAATAACCTATTTACCTTCCATTGTTCGCTCCTGGATACGGAGCACCTCCGAACTGTGAAGCCGCGGTTTTCATCCACATTTCATAGGCGAACGGATTGAGCATGTAGGCGGCCATCTGCGGCGGAAACGGCCATCCCAGCCCGCCGATCCTCTGACGCTTATCCTTCATTCGACGGTTTTGAAACCAAACCTGCAAAGTTGTTCTAAATGTGTAATTGATTGCGCACGAACAAGAGCGAGACGACTCAAGTGTGCCAGTGGGAATTAGCGTCCCCAGTATAATGCTCCGAAATCACTCATGGCGCCCCGGGCGGCATCTTCCGAGACACACAGAGAAGGAAGGCTACGGCTTTTCATTTTTCAAGAGAGATTGATATGTATATGTTTGAAGCGGGCCCCGCATGTATGTCATGGGAAATGATTTGAGTTCGAAGACACTCTCGGGCATACGGTAACGCATTATGGAGCTGTTGGTCTCGGAGGAATTGAATTGGATGGAAAGAAAAACAGTCAAAGAAAAGGCGGCGACTACGGTGCTCACTCCCAAAACCCACCTTAATGGTGCCTTCTGGCAAATTCAACTCGGAAGCCAACTCGCCACGTGTCTTCCTGCTCACATAGTTCTCTTTGGCGAATTCCCTCTCCAACCGTCCGATCTGCTCCCTGGAAAATGCGGTGCGATAGCGTCGCATCTGTCCGTCGTCGCGGTTATCTGCAATGAAAGACCCGTCATTTTCCTCGTCTCCTGTTTCCGGTTGGGCGCTAATAACAATAATGAAAAACACGGAGAGACACTAATTTGCGATGGAAATTGAATGATGAAATTGTGAAAAACATAATACTGCTTTTCCCCCCCTCCCTCCGATAGGCTTCTGTTCTTCTGTTCTTTCATTAGATAATTGGCTCAGTTGCAATTTTATGAGCGGCCAGGTTTGGTGCCCCGGACACGCAACACCAATTAGAGCGTATATGGCAACATTAGGGCGATTGGGCCTCTAAGACACCCTCGGGGGATCGGAGGTGTCAGTATCAATTGGGTTAGAGCTTTTTTATGAGGTGGCGAGCGACCCGAAACACGTTTCGTCTCAACGAGAGAAGAGACTCTATCAGTGACGATAACCCCTTCGCAACATAATTGACCACTGATTGTAAATGCTACAGTACTCCACGCGACAGGTAAGGAGGGAGAGAGTGTTGTAAAACAAAAGAGAACATTTACGATATAATAGCTGGATAACAAACCGCAACACCCTCAACACAATTTTATGATTGGCGGCATCATTATTTCAGATTGCCGATAATTGCGGAGAAGGAGCAGGAGAATAACCCCTGGCACGGATCCTCGTGTCCATCACCCGCAACCGCTAATAAAACCTGAATAGGCCCCTGCGAAGCGTGTCATCCTAATAGGTGCTCAATGTGCATTTCCCCCCAGCTTCCACCAATCCAGGACATCAATCTCCCTCATTTGTCATTTTGCCAGTCCCCTCCTTAGATGGGGCGATGGGGGTCAAATTAGCTTCGAAGATCTGAATAATTATGTCGCCATTTTTCTTACCATACGGATGATGACGGCCGGCGGCTGCCGCTGCCGCAACTGCTCCCATCTCGTCGAAAGCCGAAGGCGAGAATGAGGAGGAACGGGCGGGAAGTTGCACCATTTCGGAGACCAGAGAGGGCACCTGCAAGGAATTCTGATAGAGCTTGTTAGAAATTAGTGATGTCTTGACATTGAGGGGATGTAACTTTCGGGAAATGGTTTGAAAGATCTCACATGCTCTCGATTCTGTTGGAATTTAAAAAGTTGCTAATGAACCGTTCGAAAAGAAAATAAAAGCAGATGAGAATAGTTGCTGTTTTTATAATTGAAAGAGTGAGGTTCTTAATGCAACTTTGACACGGAGAATGAAAGCATTACGGGAATTCGGAAAATTTGCTCTTAAAATGGACATAGACTTTCTATAACTCGGAGTTTCGAAACAGTAAAGTTTTCAAACACAATTTTTCGGGCCATAGAGGTTATGTTTGGAAAAACAAAGAAAATGCTCTCTGGTTCTTCTCGAACCGAGGTGCCTAGTAAGATTTCGAAAAAGAACGGCTCCTTGGAAACGAGAAATGACAGAAATGTTTAATGCAAATGGACGTGGAGACTTGAGCATGAGGCACTTAGAAATGTAACTTCAAATGGACACCCAGAAGTATATTCTTCGAACATCCCTATTGTTGCTCTATTCATCTCAATACTGACACTCAGAAATCATTAAAAATTACCTTATTGCCAATCAGAGACTCAATATCGAATGCCTGCATCTTTTCGAGGGTGATAATAATAGCGGCTCCGCAGAAAAAATATATATAAGTAAGTGGACAATTGAGAAGAAAGTGGGCGGTCTGTGTCAGTGGAAGAAGACGTGCGGCACGCTCATTCTCTCTCTTCAAAGGCGGACTACGGTAGGCGATAGGCTCCGCCCCCCCCTCTGTCCATTATTGAGAATTGGAAGAAAGTGGTGGCGTTTCTTTTTCTTTGAGAAATTATTTAACGCCAGGTCAGGCACCTAAGGGTTTGACTGAAATTTAATATAATCTGATTATATTTGCAGGATTATCACTGGAGCACGGTAGCTGAATCTGTAGCTTTGCAATTCTTGCATCGCTTCATCGAAATTTGCAAATCTGATATCTAAAAAAGGATTAATGAAATACAAATATCAATCTTTGTTCCGTTTAGCATATTCTTCTGTATGTATTCCATTTTTATGTGGCGGAAAAGGTGCGTCACAATCACAATCACACCCTCTTCCCCAATTGACATCTTCCGGTCGGTCCTTTCACCCAACGGGGTGTTATTGTTATTGTCGTCACCCATGTAGCGCCCAAAGACAATCCGAGTCATGATACCACAGCCACCACAGCCAAAAAAATGTAATGAAATGATTCATTCACTCTCGCAACATTTACGGCACGCACCAAGACAATAAACGAGCTGCTTAGTCATTCCAATTAATGACTTTTGATGAGGGGAACGAATGTACAGACCGGTAGACACGGAAATTGGGGAACCATCCATTCAGGGCTAATTTTTTATTGCATGTAATGCCTTCCATGATCGCTTGTTCACACATCTGCCATCGGATGATATCTTGCGCAACTCTTCATCGGATCAGCGGCACCCGCACGGTTATTACAGGAAACATTACGAGCGTAAACTTTGCAACTGTCGTCTAACTTGTCATCTGTTACGTGGTTTGTTGTGTTGTTGTTGCAACAAACACCGCCCGACAGGTCTACAACCCGGCTCGTAAAAGTGTGCGCAAAAGAGCGTGCCGCCCGTGTCTGGGATAGAACGGTGAGCTATCTCTTTCCGTTCGAATGTTAAGTATCTACTGTAGTAGTTACTTTTTGAGGAAAGACGCTCAGGGGGGAAGATCTAATTGGCGACATAAAGACTCGGGAATAATTTGTCCGTTTTATTGCATTCTCTCCCAACAAATGAATGAAATGAGGTATACATATATGGTTCAAGAGAACACAATTTATAAATAAATTGATGATGGCTCATAAAGTGGGCGTGTGTGCCACTGCTGCATGCTCTGTTGAGCCGCTCTCTTTCTAAATGATTAGTACTTCGTGTCCTTGGCACATGATGACAGATGACTGCGCGGCAGGGCGACATTCAACAGGCGTCTTAACTCTCAAGTACGCCACAGTCGACACTGATTTGCATATGCTAGTGCGAATTATACTTCTGGGGCACATTTCGAGCCTAAAGGGACACAATATGCGGCCCGAGTTTAGTGGAGAAATTAGTTAGGGATTTTAACAAGATGGAAATTGAATTCAAGAATTACTCGGTTGGTTTTTTTTCTTATTGTTGGAAGTGTATTTAAGACGCGATTTCCTACAGAACCAAGTAGTGGCCACATGTAGGCGGCACAAAGAAAAAAAGTTGCTTCGAATTGGTCCATTAGACTTTTATTAATTTGACGATAAGAAAAATTAATTTAAAAAGTCAAATGTTAAAGGTTATCCTTGATTGAGGGAATCTGTTATGCCAGACAAGGAGCCGAAACAGTTTCGGGCGAAGATTAATTGAAGCGAGCAAACCGTCTTTCGTTTTTATGTCCATTTCGTTCGAGCAGTCAATTCGGTCAGAATGTTGGTTGGGCAACTCAAAATACTTGTTCATTCTGTAAGATTTTTTCTGTTTCAAAAATTCTAGGGCCAACGCCACGTTTTCTGTTTTCCATATTTATCTTGTGGTTTTATTTTGAAATTATTTTTACCGGAATGATTCCACAAATAAATGAATCGTTCCAAAAACAGTTTTTGTTATGATTTTGGAGGAGAAGCTGACCGGCCACGAGTGGCCTAGAATCTGCGTCGGAATTTGTCAGTGGAGCGCATTTGCACACCCCCACACGAGGCCATTTTCGCTGGAATGTGTGCTTTTCTCTCTTTTTTTGTGTCTTTATTGACTGATTTGGAACGTTCCAACGCATTTTCGAGCTATTCCAGAAGCATAAATTGACCATTTTACAGAATGGTCGAAAGTAAAGTGCATCCGGCTATCAAGCCAGGCACGCAAGCTGTTTTGGAGTTGAAAAATGGACTCAAGTTTCACGGCATCGTTCTGTCGTTCGATTTGCTCCAAAATGTTAGTTCATGATTGGAAATGTCCACACCGAATAAATCAATACATTTCAGATTCTGGTCCTTGACACCAAAGAAGTGACGGCAAGCAAGCCGATTATCCGTGTCTTCAATTTGAATCACGTCATTTCCGTGAGATTTTAGCACTTTCCCGTAAATTGAACATCAAAACATTCAGTGCAATCCCGAAAATCTCAAATCGCCAGTTCACTTTGAAGACTACGCTGCCAAGAAAAATGAGCAGTTCACCATCAACAATGACAAAACCAAAACCAGAGAGCGTCTTCACAAAACGATGAGTGAGGTTGCACCGACGCTTATGAGTTCGCTAGTCTCTCTGCGCGGTCAGCAGGCTTTCCTGCAATTAAAACGTACGATCGCCGACACTCGCTGGTCTGGAGAAGACATTCGTGTGCTCGGACTCGTTTTGGTGCACAGCCCGTACGGCGCAGAAGATGTCAGGAAGGTTAGTGGAATCACAATATGCACATTCACAACCTGAATTTAGGACGCGAATGCGACGGGATTCGACGAAACCCGCGCCACGACTGCCATCGCCCAGGTCCAGAAGATTCTCTCGAAGCCGTTGACCGAGTACAAATCACGCGCTCCGCTCGATTTCACAATCGGAGCCACCGTCGTCAACTGATCATCCCTCTCTTTTTTTGCGCACTTTCCCATTCGCCCGAACCTGATGATGCGTACGATCCTCTTTCCTTTATTTATGCTGTTTTCTGCCAAAAATTCATTATTTTGAAGATAATCTGCAGAAATCTTCAGTTTCGGGTCGTTCTTTTGTCAGGTAAGTTTTATTGTATGTATCGTTTTTGTTTTCAGGTTTTCCCTGTAAGAACCTGAATATTTTGCATCTTTCTTTACAGCATTTCCGTACCCTTATTCGTAATTGAAACATGATTCTTGGTCGTGTTCTCGTGTACTTTATAACTTCAAATGGTCCATTACCATCTTGCTCAATATTTCTAAAGCTTCGTAACCACGAATTGACCTTAAAATTCATCTTCAGAAGATGTCAGACGATGAAGATATACCTCAACTCTCCGCCGATACTCTCGCCGCTTTGTCCAACTTTCAGGCAGAGCAACAGCAAAAGATCGAGGAGTTGAAGGCCGGAAAAATCGAGAAAGTTGACGAGGATTGGCAATTGAGTCAGTTCTGGTACGACGAAGAAACGTCGCGAAAATTGGTGACTGAAGGAGTCGCCGCCTCGTTAGCAAGCAGCGAACGGCCCGCCCGTATTGCTTGTGTTTCCTCGCCAACTCTTGTGCAGTTTTTCCACGAGCGAAAGGTGAAAAAAGAGAAATATACACGGACCCATTTGCTTGCAGGAGTATAAATCCGGAGACATTCAGCTATCTCTTTTCGAGTACGATTCCCGATTCGGCTTGAAGTTCCCTTCGGAATTCGTCCAATACGACTACAAATATCCGACAGCCATTCCACCGGAGCTTGTCGGAATTTTTGACGTTATCATCGCTGATCCTCCGTTCTTGGCGGCCGAATGTCTGATCAAGACGGCGCATTCGATTCGTCTGCTCGGGAAGGAAAGCGTGAAAGTGATACTCTGTACGGGAGCGATCATGGAAGACTATGTAGGTGATATTTTATTTGACCACTGAATATCAATTTTAATATCCCCCTTCAACTTTTTCGAAGTCTATAGCGGTTGCCATGATAACCATTTCTCTGTCTTCTCTCTACTTTGCGCCCACTAATCCACACCCTCTCCATCCTTTCTCAATTATTAGCCGGATTTCCAACTGATAATCTGTTTCAGGCGGCTCGGCTGTTGGCAATGCACCGGACGAGTTTCGAGCCAAAACACGCAAACAACTTGGCGAACGACTTTTCATGCTTCGCCAATTATCCAACAATAACTTTGTGATATTCAAATTTTCGCATTTTTGTTCTCTCTTGTTCTTGCTCGCTGTTTCTCATCTTTTTCAAAACTTTGCAAAATACGTTTCAACTTTCAATCTTCACTTTTCCGTTCCATTTTGTTGACAAATTTCGTGTTTGCATCACGTGCTTATCTCTGCTCAAAACCGAAAAATATTTATAAATCCGGGACCGCATTTTCAGAGATTCTTGATCGACTGAAACCGATGTGAACTCTGGTCTCTCCGGACTCACCGACCACTATTTTCTACCCAGGCTTTCTCACCTATTACTGTAAGTTTTTTTTCGAATTTTGAGTCACGTTATTTAATCAAATTACTTTTCAGTGTATACTGTGTATACTCTGGTCACTGCGTGATCCAACTTTTATCTTCGAGTTATGGCTCCGACGGGTCAAGGCGGACAATGGCAAGAAGTTCTGTGCTGCACTGTCTGTACTCGAGTAAGCACGCAATTTCCGAAAAAAAGTTCAATTCACGTTTGTAGCACTTCAATGAGATCTACCTGCCGGTTAGTCTCATCTGCGGCCACGTTATCTGCTGCAAATGCGCTGAAAAGCCAGAGAGCCAAACGAAGCCGTGCCCCCATGACGACTGGAAAGTGACGATTTCGCCGAAAGAGTACCCCACGAACGTGGCACTTTTGTCCGTCATCTTCCCTCGAAAACCCTGCATTTCCTTCTCCGGCGCCAAAACAGACGATGAAAAACGAATCGATCAGCTGGCGATTCGTATTTCTCAATTCTTCCGTGAGGCTGACTCCGAACGCGGTGGTACCGTTTCGAGTAGAGACATCTCTAGAACTCTACAAAAGAAAGTTCTCGCGTTGCTATGTTATCAGTGGGCCGAGCCTGACGGCAGAATGAAGATGCTTAAAATGAGTCGGGGAATTTGTGAGCGAGTGATGATAGAGATCATTCTCTCGATCCAGAGCAACACTCATGTCAGCAGCCAACTGTGGTCGGCCGTCCGATCCCGTGGTTGTCAGTTCCTCGGTCCGGCGATGCAGGACGATGTGCTCCGGCTAATTCTGATGACTCTGGAAACTGGAGAGTGTATAGCCAGGAAGAATCTTGTCATGTACGTGGTGCAAACGCTCGGATCAGACTATCCACAAGTCTCGAAGACATGCGTCGGCCACGTGGTTCAGTTGCTCTACAGAGCTTCGTGCTTCAATGTGCTCAAACGAGACGGCGAGTCTTCTCTGATGCAGCTGAAGGATGAGTTCAGAACGTACGAGGCGCTCCGCCGAGAGCATGACTCGCAGATTGTACAAATTGCATTCGAATCGGGACTCAGAATAGGGCCGGATCAATGGTCGGCCCTTCTGTACGCTGATCAGAGTCATCGTTCGCACATGCAATCCATCATTGACAAACTGCAGTCCCGTAACTCCATTGTGCAAGGAATTGACGAGCTACGTGCATTGGCCGGTTCGACCACTTCCAACCTCGTTCCCGCCTATCGATACTTCCTCGGTCAGGTCATTCCATGCCTTGAGTTTTTCATCAACCCGGATTATGAAGAAGCGACAGAAAGTATGGTGGCCAAGAGCTTGGAACAAGTGCGCTTGCTCCTCAAACTCCACTGCTCGCAGGATGAGCTTCGAAAAAATCCCCGAGAAGATCGGAGGGTAGTGCTGCCTCCAGGGATGGGTCTTCCGCAAATGTATCCGGCTCCTCCGATCATTGATCCACCGAGACGGAACAGAACGAGAACCATACCGTACAAGGCCAATCTACTCTATGAAGTTGATGAACAACCCACTGATCCTGTTAAATCGCAAGTACCGGTGAATTCTCAAAAGACTTCTTCTCATCCGAATCCTTCGCCTCCGCAACCTCCGCAAACTCCCCAACAACAGCAGCCACAGCAGCAGGCCGTTCTTCCTCCGCAGCAGTTTACTCCTCGTCAGAAGCGTTATCAGATGGGGATTCCACCGCAGCGGGTAGGATACCTGCCACCGCAGCATCAGTACCCAGTCCCTCCGAACTTTTATCCGATGCAACCTCCACCAATGCATCAACAGAGGTTCAAAGGAAGACGCGGTCCTCCACGCGGGGCTCCGATGCCGATGTTCGTTGGATTTGCCCCGGACATGGGAATGATGCCGTCAGGCCCACCACCACCACTTATGCCAGTTGGAGATGATTCTTCGGCTCCGCGACAAGTTATGATCATGCAATCTCCGACACATATGTCCGGCGCTCCTGTTGTCATGGTTTGGAAAACAGGTAGAGGGAAACTCTAAAAGTCAATTGTTCCAGATTCCGCAACAAGCAATGGGTCCTCCACCGAGTGTTACGCCCGTTCCGATGGGCTCCATGACACCTCAGCTTCCGGTTCAATGGACGACGACGTCTCCGACTGGAAGTGTCATTTACCCCGCCTCCTCTCCACCAGGACAAGCGGCACCCGCATTTTGGATTCAATCGTAAGCTACTTTTGAACTTTCTTCGCATCAAAAAAAATTTCAGAACTGAAGGCATGTTTCCGATGTTCGATAGCGGTGGTTTGATCTGGGGGCCGACCACGATGCTACGGGAAAGTGGAGCCGATGCCGAGCAGCTGTTGGCCAAGAGGCACGAGATCTTAAAGCGCTTGCATCCGTCGGAGGATGATGACGATGGCCCTGAAGATGGAGGCATCGGGCATGTCTCTTATACGGTGGCTTCTTCTGTGTTGGACGATAGAATGGATCACCATCCGATGGCAATGATGCCTGTCCCAACTATCGATCTGCCGGCAATTCCAATCAATTTCTCCAACATTCCGACCGACGAGACGATGACGATGATCGGAGAAATGGTGCAGAACCGTCCGCGCGCGCCGTCGATCACTGGCTCCACAGCTGGAACGTCGACTGTGGTTCCGGCTACGGTGCAGTCGGAATGCGGTACGATGAGTGTGACGGATAGTATCTGTCAACCGATTGTCACCCCTGCTATTCAAACCTGTGCGTACTGTGTTTGTGCTACACTCTCTAACATCTTTTAAGAACATCTTCTTTCCCCTGATCTAAATTAAATTTTCAATGTTTTGCTAACTTCTTCTAATTCCCCATACTTTCTTAGCTTATCCAAATTACAGTCTTATAAAAATATTCTCAAATTTCAGCTGCCACAGTACCTCCAAATGCTATTCCGATGGTTCAAGCAGTTCCAGTGGTGCCAGTGGTTCAACCGGAGACCTTCAACCCGTCGGTTCCTCCGCCACAACCAGGACAGCCGATGCTCGTCGACTCGGCCACCGGACTGCTCACCCCGATGCGTCCGATTCTTGTGGCTTATCCGCAGAACGTCGTGTCAAACTCGCTCGACAAGATTGTGGATGTGAAGGAGAGATTGAGTGAAGCGCAGGGTAATCACGACTTTTAAATTTTTAATTCATCATCTCAAACCATTCAGGCTGTGCTTCTGAAGCCGAGAACGCTCATTTGCGAATGGAGCTGCGGATGGCGGAAAGCGAGATGGCTCACCTGGATCCGTACACCAAAAACAACTGCTTGCTCCGCGAGCTCCAGCAGGTCGATCGAGAGCTCCAGCAGCTCCAGATCGAGCCCATCCGGCAGTAGTCCCTGAGAGAGGGAAAGCTCATTCTCAACCACGACCTATAATATTCCATTTTGTTTCTTTCATCTAGATGTTGGCAGTGCCGTCTTTGTAATAGCGTTTTCTTGTAACTTACCAGATTTTTCTCTTTAATGTACACCACAAATTCCATATTTATTGGCACGGAGTCCTGAGCGATAGTCAAGAGGCTTGTTGTGCATTTTCCTAATTCTGCCCACTTTTCTGTCCAGTCAGTCCTAGTTTATTTTCGCATATCTTCTTACCGTAGTGTTCGCGCCACGTTTCGAACTCGCTTGTTTTCTATGAAAATAAAGTTTATATAAAAATGATATTATGCGCACAACTGTAAACATGGTTAGGTTATTATCCAGTTCACTTTTCCTCCAACTGCTTATTCATTTTCTATCATTTGTCTTTAGAGAGTTTCAGAGAATGGCCGAAAAACGGTGTTCAGCTGCGGCTTTAGACGACGTGAGGGCGAAACAACGGGATTCGTGCGTGTGCCCGACGTGTGTGCCGTCCGAAATTCCAGAAGTGGCGCCTGAAATCGATCCGACGGCGACGGACTTGAACGGAGTGCCAAACCTATGGGAAACTGGATATCGGTGTATTAGGTACATGGGTTAGTGCGCTCCATCAATGTTTTTTGTTATAAATAGAGCGGAATTACAGGAACGTGCAACGGCGGACAAGTTTATCTGGGAAGAGAACGTGGAAAACTGGAAGACTTCGTGGCGATCAAAAGATTCAGCATAGACGACGTGGACGATTATGACGAGATCGCGAGAGAAGTGCGAAACATGCGGATGATGAGCCACGAGAAGATTCTCGAGGTCAAAATGTGCTTCGTCTACCACAACTGGGTGTATCAAATCACTCCGGCAATGAACCTCGGCTCGCTTTACGATATCGTCGTCAATTACAAAAAGTGGGGAATTAACGAAAGAGCGATGGCCGGAATCTCGCTTCAAATCCTAGATGCGCTTGCCTATTTGCACGAAAGACGCTATATTCACAGGTTAGTCAAGAATAATAATGCAATGTTGACATGACAATACAATTTTCTTTTTTTTCCAGAGATCTCAAACCTAGACACATTCTGATCGACGACAAGGGAAATGTGAAACTGACGGGCTTCCGTTACATGATTGAGCTGAAAAACCATTTGGATTGTGTGTTCGAGTTCGACAATTGGCTCCAGAATCAGATATACTACCTGGCGCCCGAAGTGCTCGAGCAGAATATGCGCGGCTACACCGCCAAGTCCGACATCTACATGCTCGGCATATCCGTGTGCGAGGCGATCAACGGAGTTATGCCGTTCGCGGAGCTCGAGCCGCCCGAAATGTTGTACCGGAAACTGAACGGGCAGGTTCCTCGTCCTGTTGACGAGATTAGTCTGATGGATGACGAGAAGTTAGGCATTGATATATGTAAGTGGAATGGACTTCAAGAAATCAAAATCCTCATTAAAACATTCCAGCTCAACGCCCCGAAGAGCATTTACGGCGTCGATTCTCGCGTGAGATGCACGCATTTGTCGAAAATTGCTTGCTTTTTGATCCCAATCAGCGAAAGTCGGCCGTCGATGCGAAGGATGCCGCGTGGCTTTCTTTGAAGGCGCACAAAACGCTGAAACCGAGTGATCTGAGCAGAAATCTCGAGCTCGATTACAGTCACTTTAATCTCAAGTTATGGGAGCAAGGTAATTCGAAAATTCTGGACATTCTCCGGAAACTGTTCTTTAGAATTTCAATAAAAGCAGGGCTGGGCTATTGGCCAGCACGGGCTTTTCGTTGACCGGCTCTTGACCTGGACCTTTAGACCACTTGCAATATTCCGGTCTTTCGGCCCAATCGGATGATCTGGTCCCGAGATAAGTATGTAGATCATTGGCTGAAATTGTCCGGAAGCCCGAGCTTTTTGGAAAAAAATCGGCCAATGATCCACATATCTCGGGACTCGACGATCTGATCGGGCTGAAACTTGGTCCCAATAGACCTCAATCCAAGTCGAACAATCCTGCAAAGTTTGGATCCGATCGGAATATTGCAAGTGGTTGAAAAGTCCAAGTCAAGGGTCGGCCAACAAAAAGCACGGGCCGGCCAATTGCCCAGGCCTGATTAAAAACACTTTTTTAAGTCCTTAAAGTTTCAGAACCTCTCCAGCCGCTACAACCCGAACAAACGTATGACATAAAGTTTGACTACTCTTCGATCTCCTAAATTTGTTTGAATAGTCTGAAATTTTCATGTAACTGTAAATATACATATAAACAAAACACAGTTTTCATTTTGATCAGTTGAGAGAAGGGAAAAGAGAGAGAGTGGGTCAAAGTATGAGCTAGAATGAGAGAAGAGTGAGAGAGAAGGAGACGAAGAAGGGAAATACGAAATAAAAGCGGAGTTTGTAAATGAGAAGAATCTGAATTCAGAATTCAAAAATCACGGCAACATGTAGATGATGGACGCGTCCTGATAAGTGGCTCCTTGCGTGTTCTCGGCGATGCACCGAAACGACTCCGAAATGGTTTCCTCGTCACCCATGACCATAAGATCTCCGTTTGGAAGGTGCTGAAATCCTACTCTCGAATGTTGTGTGTAATTGAATACGACATTACCATGTAAGCAGATAGTCCTGTAATTGGGCTCAGCGACTCGTCCTCTTCGATTTTCATCCACGTGATTTTCGGCTGTGGGACGCCGCGAGAACGGCAAGCCAACTGAACAAGTCCTCCGGGAAGTTCTATGCGTGAAAGTGTAAAGTCGGATATGATGGGAGGTGATTCCACCGGTTGCCGCACTGATTTGCATGATCCACGTTTTGACGGATCTGAACGTGTGCGGGTTTCGATTGAACAACGACTCATAATTACCTTTTTTAATTGAAACGATTGAAGTGGTGACTACAGGCTTCGTGCACGGTGACGTCGCCTCGCAAAAGTACTCTCCGGCCGTCCGCTCATCCAAACAATCGATGCGAAGGGCTGAAGTTCAAATAGCAAATGAAATGAGAAATGAGAAAACAAACGTTGTTTGTCACTCGAGTTCGAAGAACTCGAGCGCAACGTATTCATTTAATGAGGGTGTCCGCGTCTGGTGACGTTTCTTCTTTTTCACTTTAACTTTCGGAAAATCCAGGCGCTCAAGCTAGTTTTTTGAGTCCCAGCTTCAACCCTTTTCTCACCTGACTCGACCACCGACTGCCCCAAGTTAGTGGCCGACAAAAACGACTCGAAATGGGCGGCCGGGTGACTTTCGACTCGTTGTCCGCGGTGGTACCATGTGATACTCGGCTGTGGAGAAGCGTAGAATGCGCACCGAAGAATCACAGAGTCGCCCCGATCTGCTTTGATGTTTTCCAGTGGCTTATCGATTGATAAGACACTCGGCTCGATGAGCCCGTCGCAGACTGATAGAGGTCCTGCCACCTGGAAATAGAAAAATCGTGGCTTATTTTCTGTTCGGACCCGAACTTTGTCACGATATCAGTATGATTTATTTGAGTCTTAGCTCGATCTGATAATCTGATTAAAAGCAAAAGTTTCGAGTCTCAAAAACCAAATGTATCAGACCCTCTAGAAGGCGTAGGTAATCAAGAAAACCAGAAGCACTCGCCTTGTCCGACGACACTTTTGAACCCAGAAGAATGACGAGCAGAACGGGGGACAGACGGGAAAGAAGGTACATCCTGAAGCTGTAAAACTTCGGTCAGAGCTGAATCGTGAATCAGAGAAGCGAGTCTGAGATCATCCGGGAACTCGGAGTATGTCATGTTTTATGCCTAAGCTTCTCCCAAAACGAAAAATTTAATACATCCCGAGATGATCCGTCTGGGACATTTTCAAAGAAAAGAACACAGAAGAGAACAGGAACCAAAAAGTGCAAGACAACAAAACGATTTGATGAGGGGGGAAAAGAAGGATAGAAAGGAACTGGAAAGAAGGGAAAACAATTGAGAGAATGGATGGGATGGGTGGAGCGGACAATGCTGATGATGATTGGCGAATAAAGGGGAAGAAGAGACAGAGTAATTGGAAGCTCCCAAGAGCCCAAAGTTGGAAGGTCCACAATTTTTCTTTTCCCTAATAGTAAGTCTGTCTTTGCTAATAACGTGAGTTCTAGCAAAAAAAAACTTCGCTCGCCCCCCTCACCTTCAAATTTCCCATTCTATTTCGGCTCACTACTGATGAATCGGACACTTATCGTGACGTACGACGGCGGCGGGGTCGCCCATGCGTGAAATTCGAATCGGTGAACTTTTGGCAATTACGCCAGACGCGGTGTTCACTCGAGCAGACTTCGAGCCGCTCCACGAGCTTATATACATACTAACTACAATTCGTGTTTTGAATTTGTATAGATGCATTTTGAATATATATATATGTATATATTTTCGGAGCTTTTTCTTCATCTTTCGACTAGGTGGTCCTTCATTTGCACACTTTGTGTGAGCCAAAGCCCCCCAGGCGCAAGCATGGCCAGATAATTTCGCTTTAGAGGCACCCAGATGTGTTCCACAAAAAGTTTGGAAAAGGGTAGAATGACATCAACTCTTGAGAAGATGGGGAAGAAGGGAAATGTGAATCACAAAAAGTTAGAAGATAAAAATGACGAATATAAGCGGGGAGGTCGTACGCCCACGTTATCCATGGATCTGGAAGTGAAAGTACATCATCATCAGTATTTGCAATTGAATTCGTTCGGATTCCATGAACAACGCGGGATTCAGATTAAAGTAATGAATGGAAGCTATAAGATTTGAACCGAAAACAGTCAGTTTACAGTAGTTTTCTGATAATCAAAATGAGATCTCAACTCGTTAAGGAAATAACAAAAACTGAATACCAGAAAAGTAGGCGTGAAACGAAGAAACGGAATATCAAAAAACATGCGACTTCATCAACAAGCTTGTGAAGAGGCGATGGTAATTCAATACTTGTTTTTCGTCCCATTTTTTGTGGCAGAGCAGACAATCAGTTGTTCCGGAAATTGAAATTGTTGGTTACGTGGCAAGGTGTACAGACAAGGTATGGCGGAAATGAAATTTCGCCAACGAGCACGATGAAAACTTCATTAATCTAAATTCGGTGAAACGGGTGAAACCTCAGAAGACAGGTGGAATTTCGGCGAATGAGGAGAAGTAGTCAGAATTACTGATGAAATATTCGTCAGTGAAGCGCACTCTTCACCGAACCGAACCTTATCAGATGACTAGAAGCTTGGAGCTTGAAAGACGGCACGTTTTGATATAGAATATGACGTCGCACCGGGGGTCAGATGATGTCGTTTCGGTTCGAGAAAGAAGAAGAAAATAGCCGGGGGGGAAGCGTCTAGACTGGCACCGCCATTCGATCATTCGGAACGGGCTCCACACACTCAAAACATGTCAATCTGTCATTTGTCACTGCGACACCCTCCTTGTGAAAACAGATTGCGATTTTTGTTGGTCAAGATTCTTGACTCGAGAATTGGAGACGAAGGATCAGCTGTTCGAACTCCACCGACAGATGTAAGTCTTCGGAGGAAGGAAGGAAGGAAGTGGGGAGGGAGTTTCCGGGATCAAGGGATTAAGGTTCGCAAGCTTTTTTCATTGAAAGCTGCCAGTAACAGTGGTATTTGTGATTCAGAAGAACTCTAAAGTTCGTTCAGTTTCCACGTTTTCCAGTTTCCACATACCAACTAGACTTCTGACGAGATAGTACAAAACTACAGTAACCTACGTACTTCAAGAAATGACGAAACTAGAAAGAAGGGAAGATAATGGAAGTGACGAAACAGAAGGCAAACCTGAAAAACAAAAGAGGGGTGATCACGCTGGGTTGGAAAAGTTTGATGAGGGACGCGTCGAAAGATGTTAGAAAAACAAACAAATGAACGCACTTGATTGGATTCTCCGGAATTCTAACGCAACGTCTTCTGCTTCTTTTCAGTGTTTGCTTTTCAACTAAGCAGAAGACGGTGAAAATAGAAATTTGTGTGTGTGTGTGTGTGTGTGTGGGAGTTTCCCCGAGTTTTTTCCGGCTGTTGAATTTTAGTTTTAGTTCCTGGAATACCTGGAAGAAGTGCACAGAGTCCGTTCAGAGCAACCTTTTATACTATAAACAATTCAGAAAAAGAAAAACCCGTAGAAGCCATTGGTACAAGTGGGGGCAGAGAAAATGAAAGATTGACAACGAATTCGAAGAAGAAGAGATAATCTGCCGGAATAAAAATGCAGAAAGATTCGACCTTATGACGTTAGCTCATTTTAATCCGGGCGGTGGGAAAAGTTGGAGCTCCTGCTGCTCCTGCTGCTCACACGCAAACGCCGTTTTGGTTTTTGTAGAAGATTGGGCAAACCGCGGCTGAAAAATGATATTGGATTAGACTAGATTAACATTGACTACGCAGATATCTGTGTTCCGAGTTCGGGATACGGAGAAGTCAGGATTCGAACTAACTTGAACGATCCCTTATGGGTTACCGAGAATAAGTACTTACCGCACATCCTTCTAAACTGCACAGTACCCTTCGGACATGTACACTTCCTCTCCAAACACGTCGACGCATCATTGCACTGCTCGTCTGTTTCACATTCCGTTTCTCCGGGATAAAGCTCTGAAATAACAGAACAACTGAAAATAGGAATTCGAAATAATGACGTACTCGGTAGACAAGTTCCCATGGCTGCCTCGGCTTCAGATCTGCAAATTGGCTTCTTGATTTGACCTTCGGAAAGCGGCCGGATTAGAAGACGTGCTGAAGAAGAGATGATGTTGAATTTTCGAAAAAGAGCGCTTACGTTTGGATGTCCTTCTCTGGCAACATATACTGTAGCGAAGGACCGGGCTCTGACGACATATCCTGCTCTGACAGCGGCTGCTCGACGAGCATCTGATCGGATTTCCCGATTTGTTGAGTGTGGGGACGTAGCTGGCCCCGCACAGGTTGTTCATGAGCATTTGGAACGACGGCGGATGTTGACAACACACAAAACTGCCGGACATCGTCTTCAGACACGTTTCCGAATCCGCGCACGACTTCAGGCTCGTGATGCACATCTGTGGATGATCGACAGGATTTACGTACGGGTGAGGGCACTGCAGCTCTTCCTCGCTAATCGCGCTCTGCACGCACATGTCTATGCATGATTCATGATCGGCAAAGTGGTTTTGCGCTTGTGAATCAGTAAGTTTTCGTTGTGGAATGTAGGTAAACGAGTGGCACGTGTTGGTCTCAGAGTCATAATAGTATCTGGTGGGGTTCTGGGGGTCATCTTCAGAGTTTCCACTCGAAAAGTCGAAGGGAATGGGCTGAGCACACGCAACTTCCTTCTGCGGGCAACAATAATTCTTGTGACATTCGTAGCCGACCGCACACAACGAACACTTCTTGACTTTGATAGCCGGATACACTTTCGTCGGGCAGATTTCTGTGATATCCAACCCACAGCAGATAGGCTGACCTCCATTAGTTTGACTGGTGCACTTGTAAAACTCCGGGCAGTCCTCGTCCGCTCCGCATTGCTTCGGCTCTCCGTCCACCTTGAAAAGCTTCTCCCCTTTCGGACACCGACTTTTTAGCAGCAACTTTCGTGTGGTGGTGCCAAAAGGACCTTGCCCCAATTTCCGAGTTCTGATTGGATTCGCTCTTTTCAGGCTCGGATGTCGACAGCAGATGCCCTTTCGGTCCGTTGACTTTTTCATGCAAAAATGAGTCTTCGGGCAGGGATTCTCGGGATCACAGTACGTCTTCTGCAGTTCTAATAAGGAGCCCGGAGGGCACTTGGCTAAGGCCTGAATCTGACGAGCCTCTCGACGACAGCAAACGAATTTCGCCTTGACGTCCGAGTAAAGACACACGGATTGTCTGCAAAAAACATCATCTTTGCTTTATATTTATGAAAATACCTTACCCATCACTCCCACAATCATTCTTCTCCAAAGGAGAGCATGGAACACCTCCCGACTTCTCCTCCTCGTAGATGAATGTCGCTGGACAGACTTCGTCGGTTCTGGCGCAACAAAGACCGGAAGAGAATGGGATCGGTGTGAAGCAAGAAGTGCTCATTGGACATTGAGAGTCTCTGGAGCAAGACCTGGGCTCGGCGGTGCTTTGCCAAATTTCAGGACGAGAGCCCTGTAGGCACTTGTCTATGCGCTGAATGTCACGGCAACAGAAGTAGAGCATTCGGATTGAGCTGTAAGTGCACTGAAAGCCCATCGGACAAGAGTTCTGAAAACTTTTTAAGTGATAATTTGCAGTGTCCAATCTGACTCACCTGTGTATTTGGTGTGCAAGTCATCGGCTGTTGTGAGCTGAACTCGAGCATCGGGTGTTGAGTGGAAGAGCAGACGCCAAAGTTCGGACTCCCACAGCAAACGTTCTTTGTCTCATCCCATACGCTTTTGACGCAAGAAAAATGACGTGGACACGTCTTCAAAGAGCAGTCGAACGGTTCATCAAGGTTCGAAGGCTGGTATATGATCTCGGATGATGAGCATGCTGAAGAATTCTATGGATTGACTGAAAATAGTTTGAATTACTTACAAGCACTCTGGCAGAATTGATAACAAGCCACGCGGTTAGAAAAGCTGTTCGCGTTGCCGGCGCATCCGAGGTAGTTGAACTGAAGGCACGTCTCCGTATTGGGGTCGAAATAGAAACGTTTCGAAGGCGTCCCACAGGCGACACCTTCATTCGCATCGTGGGAGCAAATCCATTTACGGGAAGGGCAGCAGGATGTTCGGTTGGAGTACAGCTGAAAGTTAGAGAAGTTGCAAATGTTCAAGCAAATTATAATATTTCACCTGTCTAGTACACGTATGAGTGCTCGGACAATCTTCATTTTTCTCACAAGCAATGATCCGCCCGTTGCTGGAGTCAATCAACGCCTCCCCTCCGTCGGGGCAATCGGATCGGTGACAGGTCTCCATGCAATCCAGCCGAGTCACAAAGTTATTGTCGTTCCCATTACATCCCTGATACTCGAACTGATTGCATTTATTCTGCATCGGATCGTAATACCAACGTTGAAGGGTTGACATGCCACACGTGGTCCCTAGGGATAGGGTTTGATGGCATGTATACTCTGAAATGACTTTTGATATGGCGTAGGACAAGTAGTATTTCTAACCTCTAGCTGGGCAGCAAGCATGCGCAGTGCCTGTGTATACGCACTCGTAGTTTGACGGACATCTCTTTGATGACGAGCATCGTATGACAACATGATCGGATCCTTTGAACGGCCTACCAATGGGGCACTTCGGCTGAGCCTGCACACTGGAACAAGTGGTCTGACACTCTTCCAACGTGTCAAACTGATTGTCTCCGAGCAAACATCGGCTCGCGAGCACTGATTTGCACATGCTGTGCTCCGTGGAGTAAGTCCATCGGGTTATAGTTTCTCCCGGCTCACACTGTGCAACAGACCTCAAAGATTGTAGGCAGGTTGTAGCGGGACGAGGGCAGCAGACAGTGTGCCTACAGTCATGGGTCTCAGGGCACTGCGTTTGGCCATTACATCTTTGAACGTTATCACTGGGGTCGCGGAGCGGAGAGCCGTGAGAGCAGAGTCGGGCGGTGCAAAAATTGACGCACTCCTCCTTGTCCCCAAAGTTGTTGAAATTGCCGCCTTGTCCGTAGTACTTGAACTGCTTGCATGCGAGCTCATTGGTGTCCCAGTACCATCGTTGGATAGCATCCGCTCCTCTTCGGGGAGATCCGTTTGAGAATGGTCTCATGGTACTTTTGTCAACGTTCACTCCGCCGAGAGAGCTGCAAATGTAGGAGGGCGTCGGACAGCAGAGCAGACGATCCGATTCGTGGACTTTGCAGAAGTAGTTGTCGTTGTTGGAAATTGGGGTGGCGCTGAACTGAGGAATTGGGTCACCTCGAACACATCCTGCAACGGAAATCTTCATATCTTATTGAAAGTAGAAGAAAAAACTCACTGCCGCTACAATACGATTCGCACTGCCATTGTGTCAAGAAGTTATTCGAATTTCCGCCTTGGCCACTGTACTTGAAAGCGGCACACTGTCCCGTGGCACTATTATACCACCACCGCTCCTCCTCAATCACAGAACTGTCCCTGACATCTCCGGAGCTCATCGGCTGAATACAAGTCGTGCCACGTGTCGGACAACAGATTCCAGCAATGCAATCGTACACTTCTGGATACTCATCGCAACCGATAAACTGTGTATGGTCCTTTTTGGATGTGAAAGTGAGACACGTGGATACTCGGTGTGTGGCTCGTTCGTACAGGGCGCCATGAACTTCATTCGTGGGACAATTTCCCGGCAGTACACAAACGTTTCCCTCTCTTGTCTCAATTAACGTTTCGGCATCAGAACAGGCACATTGTCCCTTCTGGCACGTCGTCATTGGCCAGACGCCTTCGCACTGCTCATCGTACGTGCAACCAACGTTGCCGGGCTCCACTTCTGAAGTAAAAACGACACTTATTTGAAATCTGAAGATTTCCTACTCTTCCAGCACTGCTCATCAATTGGAACGTGTGTGCTCCGACATCTACACGTGCCAAGACATAATGCTCCGGACACACATTCGGTGGTCCTCGTACAATTTTCGCCCAACTTTTTCTGATCTGAAAATGTTTCCATCTTTTTCGTCCTACACTAATCTGTTTACCAGCCGTATTCCTTGCGTAAATCTGATGGAGGCCCTCGGAAAGAGGTATGGTGCCAAATGTGAAAATGGTAAAAGTGTGAATATAAATTATCAGAAAAATGACAATCTGATTAGACCTACACATTGTCAGACTAGATTTTAGTGGAGAAGGAAATACATTTGAAATCGAAGGTCGAAATTGTTTTGGAAAATTGAAATCCAATCCCGATCCGAGTCGTTTTTTGGTGGTGTTGTGAAAACGAATGAAATAGTGAGAAATAGGTGGTAGTAGAGGTCAGAGGGCTCTATCTAGCTGTGAGGAGTAAACAAACAATGACCACTTCAAGTTTTTGGCGGGGAGGAAGAGCTCGCGAACATACAGGGATATAGATGGTAATGTGAGAAATTGGAGTCTCATGTCGTGTCTCTTCTCTCCTTCTCGCACTTTCTTTGATTGTTGACAAAACAGAAAGAGACGAGCGAGCCTTCTAGGGCGATTTCGAGAGGTTTCGAAGGATAGGTGTGAGATGGAGTTGAAAACGGGGGAGCATTTAAAATTTTACTAACGAAAACACAAAAACCATCAAATCACCACTTATATTCTTTTTCCATTCTCTCCAAATACGCCTTCACATCCTCGGGAATACACATTTTACAGTCTCCTCCACACATGTAACATCCTTCATTGGCCATCGCCAGCTTCCTGAACTCCGAAAAGAAACCCGGCATTTCACATGTTGCACAACGGGAGAAATCATCGGCGACGATGTGACGGCACTGAAGACATTCTGTTAGTCTGATGAGTCACGAGTCAGTGATACCGTCAGAATGCACCAGGGAATGAGGCTGGAGCAGTGGTCGCAACTCCACGCGTACTCGGAAATGGAACGATCACAGACTGGACAGGGCGTCTTCTCTTCTGGAACATCCGTCTCATTCGATCCTTTGCGCACAACATCCTCAATCTTCTTCTTGTACTTTTCGTGAATCTTCGATCTGTGCTCTGGGCTCATGAGCATTGAGGCAAACTTATGAGCCGACTTTTTTAAGTTTGCTTGTAGACAGATCACGACAGCCGAGGTTAGGATGGGGACTGCGTCTGGAAATGATTTGTAAGAGATGAATAATGGAATAAAAGTACGACTCACGGACTGGAAACTTGCTAAGATCGTTACATGTCTTGATCATGCACCTCGCCGCCAGCATCACCTCCTTTCTGGCCATCAACGGCTTCACGATTATGTAGGCGTGCAAGGACATCAGATTTATGTTCATATCCTGTGGAATCTTCAGCATGACTGCTCTCAGGTTCTGATGCATTTGGAAGAGCAAGTCGCGAGCAACTCTATACGATCCTTTCACCTGATGAGCTTGTGCCACGACGACAGCAGTCGTAGCTGCATCTTTGGTCCTTCCAAGGCCCACATAGAGCCGGAATAGATGCGACGGATCCTTATTGTTACCGTCTTCGCCCAAAAGATACCGTACTAGCTGGGCAGTCAAATGCGCATCTTTCGCTTTAATCCCACACTCAACCGAAAGCTCCACACACTTTTCATCGTCTCCGTGACGGAACAAAATCGACATAGCGGTTGTGTAATGCCCCGCTTGGGTGTAAAACTTGGCGGCCAAGTACATATCATTCGCCTTGTTGTTATAATAGTTGGCCAGGTCCAGAGCGTGGCTAATGTTTCCGTGTTGCTCAATTGCGCTTGCATACTCGTCGAGCGCATTGTTCTTGTCCGCCAGGTCGAATGCCTCTTGGACGCACTGAGACATGACTAGGAATTGGATGGCGGAACGGTGATCTCCGAGTTTGACGAAGAACTTGGCCACGAGTTTCGCTCCTTCGATACTCCGGCTCTCCCGGACCACCTTGACAGCCTCATTGGGCTCGTTTAACGGATCCAGAAGCACACGGATTTGGTTGTCATAATCGCGACCTCGTTCGTAGCACTGTAAGAAAAAGATGGGTTGTCACTGGCTCTGGATTCCGAACTTACTTGCACAGCAATCTTGAACTTCTTCTCCTTCTCCATAATCTTTCCGTACTGTATATGGATCTTCGGACTCTTCACCTTATCCAGCAACTCTCCCACTTTTGCCAACGCATTCGCTTTCAAGCACACTGCCGCCGCTCGATCATAGAAGAGTCCGACTTCGTACAAGTGAGCAGCTTCTGTGTACTGCTTCATCTGCTCTAGAATAATTGCGCAGTCCCTCTTGATAACTCTTCCTTCCAATTGTTTTGCCAACTGAATGCCTCTTCTCAAATCGCCAGTTTTGATGGCCATTCGAGCCACTCCCGACTGACAGATCTCGTTGTGCTCCTGGAGTTCTGGAAGGTTGTCGGGATTCTCCACCACTCCCTTTTCATAGTTGGCAATAGCGTTCGCGTGATCTCCACTGAAACTTCTATTGTGAAAAGTACAGTAATCTCTGCCTACGTCAGCTCTAACTCCTGGGCGTACTCCTTTGACAAGAATGGAATTTCCTTGGGATTCATGGTTTCTGCAAGCACCAAAGCCTTCGGCCATTCCAGTAAATCTCGACGCATCTAAAAAGAAAAATTAAATTTATTTAATGTTTTTTGAATCTTTATACATTTAAAGCTTCAATAGGTCTTGAAGAGTCCAAATAAAGTGGTTCCGCCTCATCATATCGTCCCAAAATCGTGTACAACTGAGCGTGAAGCAAACTTTTCTCCTCGACATTCTCGATTTGCTCCAACGCGAATACCATTGCCGCATCTCCCAATTCGCGAAATATCCGGATTGCTGAATGACTCACTTTTTTTTCGTTTTTTTTTGTACCAATCAATTGATTTCCTTCCCGCTTATCTTTGGGCGGTGTGCGGTGCGACTGATAGCGATTGAGAAGGAAGAGTGGCGGAGAACACGAGCATCACCACTTTATTTATTTGACAACTCTTTCCCTTACTCTTAAAGACACGTTTCGCAACTTTTTTGTGAGTTTTTTGTATTGAATTTATCGCGCGAGATTCACAACTCACCCAACGCAACATCCGAATCCAAAAGTGCGGCGTGTGCGAATTGATTCCAATGCGACAAATTCATTGTGTGCATGCAAATCCTCCACGCCGTATTCCATCTGAAACCAGAAACATTTCTTTTTCCAGAATGTGTCGATTTCTACTCTTTTCTTTATTGATCCCACTGGTCTTTTCGATGGACGGAATTCTGGTAACTCAGGTTGGAATGAAGGTCTCCGGTCAGCTGACTTGTTCATCTACTAAGCTTACGGTACGGACACACTCTAGTTAAGTTGAAAGTCTTGTTTGAAGATCGAGGACATTTCATCTGCCCCTCTTACGGATACCGACGGCACCAGATGCCTTTACACCTATAATGGAACCGCTCCGATTACTGGAAAGGCAAATATAACTGTTCACTTGATGGCGGTCACTGTGTTCCATAAGACTACGAGCTCTGTCAACTATACAGGAGTCTTCATTCCTGACAAAACTGCACCGAACAAACTGGCAGTTCAAACTCTTGTACTGACTCAAGGTAGCTTACGAATGTGCTCAACCTAATGCTCACTGTGTTTCTTCAAGAGGTTTCTGCAACGACTACTGCAAAACCTCCGGAAACCACAACTACTCCAGCAAACGTAACTCCTGCCACTTCAACAGCAGGACCATTATCTACACCGACCCCGCCACTGCCTACCAACGCAACTTTAACGGTATTGCTTGGTTCGATAAGAATGGTAATCAGTCAGTCATTTCAGATTGATTACATCTACCTGCAATACGAGGAAAACCCGAAAAAGGTGGTGAAAAATAACAACGGCGGAGCAGTGGCTGTTGCCATCATTGAGGGCATTGCTCTGATTGCGATTCTAGCCTATTTTGGATATAAGACTATGGTGGATCACAAGAAGAAACAGGCAACAATGACAATGGCGGCCATGTACGGATATGAAAACAACTCGAGAAGTGGGTTAACTGATCAGCTTCATCTCTATGTACATATCGTTTTTCAGTTACTGTGCCAGACACTATCCGTATGTCGGATATTCCTCCGCCACGAGATACGACCTACGCAACGCCTGCCAGTATTCAACCAACTCCCACCAGAACTGTGATGACGACTTCACCAGAATTGGTCGTCCCAACATCTTCTACTTCCGCCACGGTAAGTCAGGTCTATCTACAATAATCATCACAGTTTTCAGACTGTTCAACATTCTCAAAATGGCGGACAGTTTAACGACCCGTTCGCTAGTTTGGAGAGCTGGTAGCTTTACCGATAATAATGTTGTGCTCAATTTGTACATTGCTCATCAGTCTTACCTGTGCATTAATAAATTTCTCGTCAGAATCTCATCAATCACATTTTCGGACTTGTCCGAAATTATCGAGTCGGTTTTGTGCGAATCCAGCAAGACCGATGTCAGTTTTCCGTTGCTCAGAAGACACGACACAATGCCTTTGTTCAGGGAAAGTGGGGTGTAGCCGTGGGGGAGTCGAGTGCTGCTCACGTATATCACTGGATCCCCTTGGATGTGCTGTTTGGTCAGCAAGAAAACGTGGATGTTTTGTTGATCGAACACGGCGAACGTGTTGCGGTCCACAACAAACGTCTCCCATAGAGCACCTTTGAACTGGAACATTTTGATCAGAATCAGAATCCTACAGTAATCCTCAACTTACATGCGCACTAGTCCCCACTTGCGGAAGCTTGAACACCTCGTCGTCAGTGGCACTGAAATAGTTTGAGTTCATAAATCTTTGCAAAGTTACAAGCATACGAGTAAATGATAGTGTCCAAACGATCATCAAAACAGCAGCAGATAACGTTTGTCGGATGCGGAAAAATGTTTCGGACAGGCACCACGTGGCGGTATTCACTCACTACCGCCCATTCGGTTAACGAGAAGTAGATTATATAATTGTTCTGAAAATATTCAGTTCTGTCAATTTTCTTTTTTTCGGGGCCCAAGGCGTACGGTAGAGATGCAGAACAGGCGCCTGAAAAAACAGGCGCTGACGCCTGAAAAAACAGGCGCAGACGCCTGAAAAAACAGGCGCAGACGCCTAAAATCGCCTGTTTCGCACTTCTATCGTCGAAAACGCATGGTGGCCGCGTGACGGTGGCCGAAGAATTTAATGGAGCGCGCGCCAAACGGTCGGCGGGAAAATTGATGTTTCTCACTTTCTCCTCTTCGATTTCCGATAAACTTTTCGCTTGCTCAGTTTTGCCTCATTTTTAAAACTCACGCTCGTTGTAAATATTAAAAAGTTTTCCGTGAGAGCGAACGACAAGAGCGACGAGCTCCGATTCACTTCGGGGAACTCGATTGAAGTATTCTCGTCGGATTTCCGAATCGAATGCAACCGGACTTTGTTGCCGTAGTGTATGGCAGCGTACGAATAATTGAGTTGTATGTGAGTTACCGTCGACAAGTATTCGACACGATTTATCACTTCCGCGTTAATTATTGATTCTGAAATGTAGAATTGAACTGAACGCCGTCGTTGAGTGATTCTCGTACGCTTCTCTCCGCTCTGTACCGATTGTAGCTGTTGCGATGCTTGAACTTGCGCCGGAGTGTGATATTCATAAAAATACACATTATTGTTGTTAGCCACTGCCAAATTTACAGGTCCCAAGCCCATTACAGTTGGCTCAACGCCAAGTTCCAAGGTGACTGATCCTTTTTTATCAACCTCGGCGACCAAAGTCACTTGTGTTAGGTTAGTGAGGTAGCAAACAGAGGTGTTGTAAGAAGCCGCCAAGGACGGCATTTTAGTGACAAAAACCGAGAGAACTCCGCCCAAACATGAAACGGCAACTAGCTGCCCGTCGTCAGTGACTTCGATCGCGCTTAGGTCTAAAAAATGCTCGACTTTTCTCGTTTCTCCTTCTGATTAACCCACTTTTGTCTGTATCGATATCTGTCATCATGACCACATTGGTCACTTCGTCCAGCTCTCGAACTTTTACCAAGTTGTCTCCGATAGAAAGAAGTTTGTTGAACGATTGACTGACTGTCAAAGCTGCTAGACTAGTCCGAAATTCCATAAACGAATTGATTTCACTTCCCATTTCTAGCTTATGTCCGGACACTGATATGATGTAACCTTTATCGAATCCAACCAGAATGTAGCCATCGTTATACCATGCGTAGGAGAGGATGTTTCCGTATTTCTCCTGGAACTGAAGATTCGCCGGGTCATTCATTCCATCGATAGTGCAAAGTAACAAGTGCTTCTTTCCAAGTACTGCGCTCAGCATCAACTGTCCGTTCACTCCTTTTCCGTTCACAATTCCATAGTTTAGATTAGCGGGCTCATAAGATGTGGTCATTGAGTTCACCGTCGTCCCATCCATAGTCGTGACTGCCAAAGTGTTATCATCGCTGCACGAGATGATCAGATCATCGGGAGTCACTTTAATTCCGGTCACACTCCGTTGATGCTTTCCCATTAAAGCTATACGTCTAGTTGTTCTGTGATTGTACACCATCAAGTTTCCTGCGTTATTGCCTACAACGAGAATGGGGCTTGTCGGCGACCATGCTAGACAAGTTGGGAGCTCTCTGAATACGACATAATTTGGTTTTTCATTATTTCGACGCCTACTTTGAAGACGTAGCTCCGCTTTCAACTGAATCGGTATTTCGAGAATTCACATCCCACAGAACTATTGTTCCGCTATTAGCCACAGCAATCGCGAGCACATCTCCTTCTTTGTCCCAGGCAATTTCAACAACTTTTCTAAAAAAAATTGATATTTCGGTGATATATAGTAGAGCCTACCCAGATTGGTTCAGTGCGTCAATGACATTCCCTTTTTTGTCGTAATAAATTACACTGTCGTTTGGACTGAAAGTAGTATCATCTTTGATTTTCTTCCTACTTATCATCTTCAAGATTTCTCGTTTTCATAGCCTACCATGCAACAGCCATAGTATGCCCATTTGGCCTCCATCGATGTATAATAGGTCCATTCCCATGTTCTTCTTCTCCTCTGCGATATTGGAGCTGTGAAATTTATCGATGAGCATGGATTATAACTAGTGGTTACCTTCAGACTCATCCCGAGTTGTTTATTCTCAATCACGAAAGATATTGAAGAGGTTAGCTTTGATTAGCTGATTGAAGCACAGGACGCGTTCTCTGTGCGCACACTCCCCAGGGGATATACGTTTCTATGACAACCCCAGTGCGCGCCCTCCATGGAACATGTAAATAAGGGAGAGCATGAGAAAACAAGATTTGTCAAGTCGCTTTATTCAAAAAAAATCAACAGGTGGAATACACATGGACGTATTTTCAAAGTGAACATGGCAATGATACAAAGTGCAAGCGTTGTCGTTGAGAGACGCTCGAATAAATGACTTTTGATATCAAGCGACTCGGAAAACGGAGAGAGCTCCGACGCAGTTCGAAATGGCAATCGATTTTCCATCTTTTGCCAGTTGTAGCCCGTCGAGATCTATAATACCTTTTGGTTGTAAGAATTTAAACTCGCTCCGTTACTTACTTTTCTTAGATCCTAGTGATTTCTCTTCCACTTTTCTCTCAACATCCAGTTTTCGGACTTTCACGCTTTTATCTCCAATTGCTATGTAGTGTTTGAGCGTTTTATCGACGACAAGGCCACTGAGATTCGTTTCAAATTCTCGAAAGCAGTTGATTTCTGCTCCAAATGGATCCTTTGCTGACACCATTACGACGAATCCCGTCTCGAATCCAACGAGTATTTGAGAACTGTTGTACCACGAATAAGCTTTGATTTCACCGTATCTCTCTTGGAATGTGATATGCTGTGAGCTGGTCATGTTGTCGGATGGCGCCAGAAATAGAAACTTCTTCTCTATCACTGCACTGACCATGATTTGGGGGCGTCCATTCTCCCCAGACACCACGTAATGATCGAGCATAGACGGCTTGCCCTTTACTTTGCACGAGCTTACATTTAGCCCGAACATTCTGTTAATTGACAGCGTTCCGTCACTGCACGAAAATATCAGATCGCCAGGGAGAATCGTCAACTCGATAACTACGGACTGGTGCTTGTCCTCCAAAATTCTCCGTTTTCCCGTTTTCTGATCAAAAATAGTTAGATATCCTTGGTCGTTTCCAATAACAAGAGTGGGACTATCTAGGGACCATACTGACCAGGATAAACATGTCGGGAGTTCACTAAAAATTTTATTTTCCCAAATTGTAGCTCAAAAAAGTTTAAGCGCACTCACTCATTTCCACACAAATGGCTTTCCATCATGTCGGTTGTTCTTTTGGCCACGTTCCACAGATAGATCCAGCTCTTGGTGGCTGAGGCAATTGCCAAGGTCCTTCCGTCTCTGTCCCAGCATATATCACGAATTCCTCTTAAATATTTCTTGCCATTTAACTTTTTTTTAAATCTCAGCAGAAAACTCACTCGTCGACTTCCTTTTCCTCGATGACTCTCCCGGTGTTGTCATAGTGAATGAGCTTGTTGTTTGAGCTGAAAATCGGCAACTTAATGCTTCTAATCCGCTGTTTTCTGGTTTACCATGCAACTGCAAATCCAAAACCTTTAGGATTCCAGCGCACGATTATCGGCGCGTTGTTGTGATTATCGCAGGAAAGTTGGAATTTAGGCTGAAGTCGTTTTTGTTAAATCATTTTCAATAGTTGAAACGAGTTTTACCTCTAAACTCATGTCGAAAACGTTCACTGTCGTTTTGGGCGAATGGGAAGATCACAGGGGCAACCGGCTTTTCAATAACAGAAAATATCAGTAAAGTGAAGAACGAATGGAGTATCAAAGCAGAATGTTATTTAGAGTACGTTTAGAGTATACCTTTCGTAGCGGCAATCACCATGGATACGTGGTATAGCATACGAGTACACGCGCATCTGGTCATCCAAACCGATAGAGAGTCCGCCCAGATCGAGGTCGGCGCAATATGGACTGGATTATTGGTTGCAGAAGACACACCGGTTAGGTTAATTAGGCGAGCAATGAGAGATTAGATCGGAGGACAGTTGTTAAGAAGTAGATTGAGTCACTAATGAGCACGTGTCACACATTAGAATACATATGCTAGGCTGAGAAGAGTAAGGCGCAAAGTTAACTTTCTTGAGTTCCAATGCCAAATTGAGTAGATTTCATGTCGAAGAACAATGAGGATTTCCTTAATTAATTCGGATCGGTTTGTAATAAAGGGGGAAGTATATTTTTTTTAAAGATGGAAGGATGCTAAACTCGGAGTTTATTGTTCACATGTTTTTTCTTGTCATTTCTCCGTGAGCCACGTGGTATCGAGTACCTAACAAAAAGCTGAATCAGCCGAACGCTTTTGGGTAGCTTGACAGTAAAAATGGCGACAACCTGCACATCTAACTGACAGATAATTCAAATTTTATGCGCAGCCGTCGTACTTCACACCCTTTGCACTGTCCCCCTCCCCCTCTTTCGAACGGCCGTTTTCGCGCCCTTGTTTGCGGCTCTCAGTGTCGATTTACGGAGGAGAGGAAGTGTTCCATTTTTCGACGGAAAAGGATTGTTTTTTTGTGATTTCGGAAAGAAAATTCATTCACAATGTTAACATTTGGGGAAACATTGCAGTGGTGAACCTATCGGATAAAACCATCTCGAGAACAGAGACTATGTTCGAAAAAGTCTTGTACTTCTGATAAAACTCGATTGTCTTCTTTTTCTCTCTCTCCCTTCCTCTCTTCATTACCCATTTTCCTTGAATTTCGTTTTTCTCAATTGGCAACTATCACTTCTTACACACGCACTCATCTCTTTATCTTCAGAGAATCGGAGGCACAAACCGGTCCGCGGTTCAACACCAATCGCAAAACTGGCGTCGAATACACCGAATACATCGAATCGGACGACACTTGGTCGTCGCTACGCGGTCGGATCCGCCGATCTCGCAACGCCGGAGCCGAGCGCCAAAAAAGGGTGGGCAATTATAAAAAGAAAATGCATTTTCTTAAACTTCGTAACAGCGTCAACACTATTTTCAAATAATTTTCAAATACTAATTAATTGTGGAAGCGTGATAATTGGCAGAATTTCAGGCTTATTCAAGAACATTTATAGAAAATTCTGGTTTCAATATTCCGATTTTATAAATGCGAAAATTCGCAGTTATATTGTTCCGTGGCATTCAAGTCACCTCGACCGATTTTATCTCTGCGTATCTCTCACGAGTGCTTATTGATTTTTCGTCGGACGCCTGCTGCCCTTAGCCCGCAATTTGTCATCGTTTTCAGTCGAGTTTCACCGTCGACTATGTATTCGCTGAAACCGAAAGTGGTTGAGTTTAATGAAGTTTGGAACGATCTTCGTCCATCAATCATCGACATTATCAATTTGCGCCCAATTACCAACGTTCAGTGGCATCACAAGTTCAGGTTCGTTGCAACGGCAAAAGTGTTGAAATGGTTGCTTTAAAGTTTGGAGTAAAAACATGATTAAATATTCTTTTTCGTTTTTCAGTGATGTCTATGACATTTGTGTATCCATCCCGAAGCCATTGAGTGATCAGCTCTACACAGAGGTAAATTAGTTCGCGCAAATGTAATTTTGAAAATTACCGCATTTTCAGGTTAAGAAGTGTATTACGGATCATGTTGCTCAAAAGCGAGCTGAAATAAGTGAGGTCGATCCGGATTTGTTGCTCCAGGAATACCACAAAATGTGGACAGTTTTCCACGAGGGAGCCATCTACATTCACCGCCTCTTCGGGTTGGAATAAATGAATCCATAATGGAAGGTGTAATTCTGTTCGTTTTCAGATATCTGAACAAGCAGTTTGTCAAACAAAAACGATGCACCGATCTGGACAACTTCACGCAGTACGCCGCCTTCCTTCAGATCCCGGACGTCAAGGAGATTGGATGTGTAAGTCATCTGAAGTTGGTTTTCACAAATCATCATCATGGTTTTAGCTGGCATTGGAAATTTGGAAAGAGCAACTTGTGAAAACAATTCTGGCGAAGCTCGTCCAGCTTCTGCTCATCGCCATTGACGGCGATCGAAAAGGAAACTTCCCGCAGGTAGCGTCAGTCGTCTCGGGCGTCATCAACAGTTTCGTCAAGATGGAGGAGACCGACTTTGAAGCCGTTCCGGAAGGAACTCGTTATAGAGCACGCGAGTCGACCACCGCTTTCTATCAGGAGAGCTTCGAGAAACCGTAAGTGTTTTAGAGCTTTCGATACTATTCTCATTCATTGTCAGACTTCTGATGGATACCGAGCAATACTACTCGGCACTGGCTCAAAAGATGCTCGCTGAGCTCAGCTGCAGTCAATACATGGAGCAGGTCATATTGCTTCTCGAACAAGAAGAGTTGCGTGCCAAAAAGTACTTGCATGAGTCGAGCGTCGACAAAGTAATCCAACTGTGTCAAAAAGTGATGATAAAAGCGCACAAGGAGAAGTTGCACGCGGTTTGCCACGAGCTCATCACCAACGAGGAGAATAAGGACCTCCGCAACATGTATCGTCTTCTGAAGCCGATTCAGGCCGGCCTATCGGTGATGGTCAAGGAGTTCGAGGAGTACGTCAAGAGAAAGGGACTGGAGGCAGTGGCCCGACTCTCCGGAGACAACGTCCCACAGCAATTTGTGGAGAATGTGCTCAAAGTGTACAACAAGTTCAACGACATGAAAACTGCTGTGTTCATGGACGACGGAGAGTTCTCCAGTGGCCTCGACAAGGCTCTGCAGGGTGTTGTCAACTCGAAAGAGGCTTCTCCGAATGCCAGTGAACGTCTGGCTCGTTACACAGACTCGTTGCTCAAAAAGACGACGAAAGGGTTGTCGGAGACGGATTTGGAGGCAAAACTCGGCAGCGCCATTGTCATCTTCCGCTACATTGAAGATAAGGACGTGTTCCAGAAGTTCTACTCAAAAATGCTCGCCAATCGACTCATCGCCAGCACTTCTATTTCGATGGACGCCGAGGAGATGATGATCAACAAGCTGAAGCAAGCGTGCGGATACGAGTTCACCAGCAAACTGTCCCGAATGTTCACTGACATCGGATTGAGTCAGGAGCTGTCCACTTCCTTCGACGGTCATCTGGTCGGCGTCAAGGAATCGCAACCAGATGTCAAGTTCGTCCCGACAACGGCTCTCGTCCTGCAGGCCGGCAGCTGGCCTCTGAATGCTCCGCAGTTGTCGACTAGTGCGGCGCACAGCCAAACGGCCCAAGAGGTGTCGAACTTCCACTTGCCGAGCATACTTCTTCCAGTTTGCACAGAATTCGAAAAGTTCTACACAGGAAAGCATAATGGACGCAAACTGACGTGGCTCTTCAACATGTCGCAAGGAGACGTCCGTCTATGCTATCTGGACAAACAGTACGTGGCCCAGATGTACGTTTATCAAATGGCCGCCGTGCTCTGCTTCGAACGTCGTGACACCATCAGTGTGCAGATAATCGGAGAGGAAATCGGAGTGAAGGGTGAGTACCTGCTCAAGACGATGCGCACGATTGTCGACGCGTCGATTCTCACGTGCGAGGATTCCACACTGACGATTAACTCAACGCTGAAGCTGAATAAAACGATGACGTCAAAGAGAATGAAGTTCCGATTGCAAGCACCGCAAATCAACAAACCAGTTGAAAAAGAGCAGGAGTCGGTGGCTAACACAGTGAGTTCTAAGGGAGGCTGAGCCGAAAAATAACAGAATTTAGTTTCAGGTCTCACAGGATCGCAAGTACTACATGGAGTGTGCCATAGTACGAATCATGAAGACGAGGAAAGTGCTGAAGCACAATGCGCTTGTCTCAGAGGTAAATATTTTAATGAGAGTAGTATTAATCTTCCAATATACCGTTCTTCAAAACAATGTCTTGCAGATAATGGATCAAACGAAAGGACGTTTCACGCCCGACATTCCGTTCATCAAAAAGAGCATAGAAGATCTCATCGAGAAGATGTACATTCAGAGAACCGACCAGAACGACGAGTATCAGTACCTGGCGTAATCTTCCTTCTCCAGCTCGTTTTACTTTATTTTATCGACGATATTTTCTGTGACCATACCTCCACATTCTATTCACCCTTTTTCTGTTCCCTTCATTGCGCCTAACTCACTGACCTTTCGATGGTTTCGTATTTATTAACACCTTCTGCAAAGTGTACAGTTTCAATTGTTTTCCTTCCCCATGAACACCCCTCGCAACCTCCTTCGAATTTTTTTCTGCTTCCAGCATCCCTTTTGTACGGACCTCCCTTCTTCAACAAATCCTTTACGACTCCGTCTCTATTTTAGAATCTATAATTGCAAAAATGTATTTGTACTATACTTGTGTGTTTGAGTACTCCTATCCATTTTTCTCGATGAAATAGTCTACATCTAAATTGTACTGTCCAAGTTCACGTGGATATCGAGACGTCGCGGTTTCGAAACGTCGGAGAGCCGTGGTGCCTAATTTAAACCGATTGAATGAGAAGTGTTATCATCAAGGAAACAAAATGCGATTATAGAGGCCTTTCAGCTTCGCAAATTCCGGGTCATTGTTCTGGTTAAAGAGCACGGCCATTAAAATAGTGACATGATGCTTCAGCCGCCGGAGGAAGGCCACTGCGACGGTTCGGAATGGCTTTGGAGGCTGATGCTTCAACGTCTGTGCCGACTGGAGACCTTGTACGGTCTCACATATCTTCTTCCAGCAAGAAACTATGAATCACAATCTGTTTTTGTCTTCGGTGAAAGTATCCCGCTGTAAAATAAAAACTGGGTGCGATTTATCAAAATCTCATTGAGAGAGACATCTGCGGTTTTTTTTTATTTTTGGGATAGAATCATTCATTCAGTAACACATTCATGACGCCATGATTCTTTTCTATTTTTTGGCAGGTAAATCGGAGTTACGGAAGTCCCAAATGCAGTTTTTTTTCAGTTTTTCTGCCAATTGTGGGCTCGCGGGAGCTTATGATTCAGAGAGCTTGTAAGATTAATCCAGAGCTTTCGTTTTGCAGACCCCGTGAGTTTCTTCCGAACATCTCATGACCTGAAATTCTAATTAAGACATTACAACGGCAAAGATCCGAAGTGAAAGCGAGAAAAAACACGACATATTTCTGCGATGGGCGTTTGTAGCAGCCAAAGACGCACAGGACATCGAGGAAAGCGTCGACACGGAAGAATTGGAAACGACGAGAAAGACGACGTACAGTGTGGAGGATTATTGTACAAAGTACAAGGCAAACTTCGAAGCTTACTGTTCTAGTGGAAGTTTTGAAAAGCTCGAAGGGCTTCTCGCTCAGTTCTGTGCCAGCTACACGAAAAACTGTGGGAATGTGGCTGGGAAGATTGCAAAAGTTGAGGAGTGAGTTGCAGTTCTTGAAAGTGCTCGCCAAATGAAAGTTCAGAGTGTTCCCAACTCCTCAGCCGTTTCTCTCTTCCACGACTACACTAGAAGCGCCAAAACCAGTAACTGATTTTTGCGACGAAAACGCGGAAAAGAACAAAAGTGAATGTGAAAAAGAGGGCTTCACACCCGATTCGTTCTGCGAAAACTACAAAAAGCAATGCGCGAAAGTGGAGAAAGTGGACGATGAAACAGGAAAAGATGAGGAGGACGATCTGTGAGTCACACGTTCTGAAACGCAGCAAAGTATAAGCGATTTTTCAGAGAAACTCCAGAAGAGTTTGAAATGAACCAAAAAGTTGAGCACAAAGAGGAGAAGGCTGAAGTGGCAGAGGGACAAGGAGCGAGTAACGATGAAGTGACCGCTTACTGCACCAACTACATCGAAAACTACAATTTCTATTGTGTTGGTGACATGTCTCCGGAACACGAAAAGTTCTGTAACTCTTATAAGAAGAACTGTCCGGATAGAGTACCGTAAGTTTAGGTCTAATTGCGGAGCTGCTTTCTTTATTTATAAAAATTTCCTCGTTTCTCTTTTTTGGTTCATACATATACTTCAGTTATGCCTATTGATATTGTTCGTGCACATTTTGTTAAATGCATAGCTTCCACTTTTCGTTTCAGATGCGTGGCATGTTGGTTCTTCTGGCTTCATGCCAAGCTTACAGATTGAAACAGTCGGGCTCATTTTTGGGAAGCGACGGCAGCAATTCGGGGGGATCGGAGAGCAGTACTGCCGCCGGTTCTGATGACAAGACGTACTTGTACAAAGGGTCGAAGAAGGAGTACTGCCAGAAGTTCAGTGTGAACTTTGAGTACTATTGCAAGTGAGCGACAGATTCTTTATGTAGTCCATGCTGATCTTCTTTACCAGAGGAACGATAGAGAATGTGGAAATCTTCACAAAGTTCTGCCCGTCCTACAAAAGAGCTTGTCTCGGCGGGTAAGAGCTTTTCCGTTGTATCCAGCGAATCTTTGTTGAATTTAGTGCGCCCGCCAACCCATTCACAGCTTCTAAAGCACCGAAAAAACAAGAAGAAGCTGGAGATTCGGATTTTCCAGACATTGAACATCCGGTACGTTCACGTTAGCCTATACGACAGACTAGACGTTAGTACAGAAGATTTTTTCAGACAGAAACTTCTAGAAGCTCTAACGCCAGACGGAGCAAGAAAGTGAAAAAAAGACCGTGCACTGCGGATTGTGATCAACGAATCTACCCGCACTGCACGAAAGAGTGCAAGTGCGACTATGACTACCCGGCAGTTCAAAAGTTCTGCAACCCGCCGCCGTTGCCACTCTTCCTGAACACGTGTCGTCTCTGGTATAACGGATGTCCAAAGTACGAGCAATATCACTACGCATCTCAATTCATCTACTCGAAAGCGGAGAAAGGAAAAGTGTTAGAAGGACCGAAGACTCAGACGACGTTCCAGTTGCTCACGCCGTCCGGCGAGACACTGCCCTACAAACCTGCAAGGGTTAAAAGAGATTCTGACTTGGTTTACTGGCCTGAAAATGGAAACTCAATTGATGATTTGGATGCCGAGGCCGGGAATTCTACTGTTCATTCTAATGTCATCGCTGGAGGAGGAGACAGAATTGTGAAGTCTAAAAATGGAACTCTCGTGCATCTGGTTGCTGCTCCACCGTTGCCAAAGCAGAGAAATGCAAAGTAAGTGCCAAAGCGCTAGCTGTTTTAAAAAAACATTCAGAGACCAAGTGCTCAAAGATGATAACGCAAGTGTCCCCAACTTGCCACGTGTCAAAAAGACTACCGGCGGAGAGTCCGTACCAGTTTACTCGGACAGTGTCTTCTCGAACGCTCTTCAGCAATACAACTCGCTCACCGACTCGCGAGGAATTCTCCACCGCCCACGCAGCAGATCCCCGTTCACAAAGCCCGGACTATGGGAGCCAAATCCGGATGATCCGCACAACAGAGATCACGCCAACAAATACTATTATCGGCCGCAATCGGTGAGTGTCGATTGGCTCCAAGGACAACTAGCCTGGGGAGCACATTGGGCAGTCCCGGCAGCCGGAACTGGTGGGACCGATGGATTCAGTGCCGTGCACTTCCCATCCATCGGAACTTTCCTCAACATTCCAGACGATTACGATTAGTTTCTATTCTATTTAATACAATTCTATTAAAAGTAAGAGTGAATATAAATTAATGTGTACTCATTGACTACTCAATAAATAATTTTTCAATAAAATTTCGCATTAAAAAAAGAAATGTTGACCTGAGTCTGGCCCCAACTGAACTTGAACCGATTCTAATTTTCACTAAACTGCCAACGGTACGTTTTCCACCGAGTCTTACCCCCAGAATGAGAGTGTACCCGACGAAAATGATGAGGACTCTGTGGAATCTTCTGGAACCTGAAGTAATAATAATTGTTAGCACCGCGAGGTTTAGTACCAAAATTACCAGAGTATTGTCGAAAATGCGACTGCCGCCAACGCCTCACTGGCCGCCATTCTTCTGACAATTCTCTGCATTGACACGTGAGCAATTTTTATGAGTTCGTCAAAGACTAAAGTTTTTTCCAGCTTCATTGGTTGGCGCCAGACCTTATTTTTGGCAACAAGCGTCGACGATCAGATGTCTACAGTCGTCTACTTCTTCGCAATGGTCGCCTACTTTGTGAGTATCCAAAGTTTAATTGAAATAATTATTTCGTCTATCAGATGGGATGTGCCATCCTCGGCACTTGCATGTGTGAATCGCCACGAAGTCTGAAAAGCACACGTGTTTATATAACTATTATTCATTACATTTGCGTGGTGATCTACTTCTTCTACTGGGATTCGTTATCTTTGGACGACTGGAACCCGGTGATTTACTACATGCCAATGTTCTATCAATGTATGTTTCTATTTCATACATAGAAAGAGAGAGCCTCATTCTGAACATTAACTTCCAGATACCTACTTGTTATTCCCCTTCCTTCTGTACTTCCACGTGGTTCACACCGGAGCCTGCACATATCATCTTTGCAAGGAAAAAGTTCTACAAGCAGAAGTCCTATTCTGAAGTGTTATCTTATTAAATTTGTTTGTTTTACATATATATATATATATATATTTATTTATTTATTTAGTGAACCATTTTTTTGAAAAAAACAACTGCAAATAATAGATAATCTACATAGTGTATCAAACAGAAAAGACTTACCAGTTCTTACAACAAACAATAACAACACAAAAACTGAAGAAATTCTGCGACGCAAATCGTTCTCAAATGAGACACTTCGTTCTTTCATACCTGTTTGCCAGCACCTTCGAGAAGGTTAGGGTATGACCAAACTCGTCCAGTTCTAGATCTTACAGATTGACCACTCACTCCTTCTCCTTCAGTTCTCTCAATTTGTGACGTCAATTTGTTCTCAATTTGTTCGTCAACTCAATTTGCCCTGGCAATTTCTCTTTCTCTTTGTGTGACCTTCTTTTTCTTTCCTCACTGTGGCCGAGCACAATCACACATATGCCGCAGTTGAACTTGGCGCACGCGACGGGACACGCAAACGCGTTGGGCTAGAGTGGAAGAGTGATGAGAGTGACGCGTCTGTGAGCAGAGACGCAGAGGAAGAAGAGAAACTTCCAACACTTGTGAAAAGAGAAGAGTTTGTTCTTCCTTTTCTTCTGTCCTTCACTCATCTGTTCTTGTTGTTATTTTCTCCTTAGTCTTGGGTTAGTTAACAACTTGTTCCTACTTTCTTCTTCTTTCTTAAACTAATCGAATATGCTTACAGGAGCTTGCTGCCTCAGTCATGTCCCGCCATTTCGTTTCTGTAAGTTAAACCTTAAGTGTCCACTTCTTGTATTGTATATTTCAAATCAAAGTTTAATTTTAGGCCCAGGCACAAACGCTCTCCATGCTGTACTTGGGCGTCCGCTATAAAATCTTAGACAAGTGAGCATATTACTTCTTACTAATTGTTTTACTCTAATTTAACTGATAATTTTGATCAAAAGTGTTTGTTTTTCTTTTGTTTAATATTTGATTTATATGTCTTAGATTCGCCGCAATGGATTTCGATACAAGAGAAGTCGTCATAGAGACGCTCATCCAGAAAATTGAGCTACTCGACGATCTGCTGCAAAATCGATCGGGTATGCAAAACCTGTAAACTTTTTACTTTCTCTTATACCAATTTTAAATACAATATTCCCATTTGATAAATTTAAAACAAACTTCCCCTAAAGTTATTAAAAGATTTTGTGTTTAGTGCGTGGCCACGGCAATCCAGCGATTCGTACACCACTCGTTGACGTCGTATGTTTTCTGTTATTCTATTATTAATAATAACACATTTATTCTCTTCAGCCACCTAGAAATAAAATTAACAAACAAAAAAAAAGAAGAGAAAAAGAGGGGGAATGTGGGTAGGGGAAGGAACAATGGCTTGACATGACCATTGGCCGGCAGTAGCCAGAGGTCAGTTAGAATACAAAAAGCTAGGGGTCTGACGTAAACGTTGAAAAGTTTAAAGTAGAGACTGGGGTTCGAGGAGCGAAAGGCTTTCAGAATTTGTTTGCATTTCAAGAGACATTTCAAGAGGTTATTCTATTATTCTGTTAACAATAAATTATAATATTCAAAAAATCGATGTGAAAGTGTATACATAATCATATAATAACTGAATATTTGTATTTAGCGTTCCTCGCTGAAAGGAATCCTACTGAGACTGAAACATCAAGTCGATTCCGCTGCAACTCTCGCAGATGAAGCTCAATTGGGTATTTTTTTAAATATATTTTAGAATGTTTGTATATTTTTCTATTTTGATTACGGACATGTATTCTATGTTTTTATAGGAGCCCCAGCGAATGCAGCAGAACAGGCCGCGTTGTCACGGGTGGACGAAGTGCTTCGTGCATTGAACGATGCGATCTCTCCTTCATCATTGATCGACAATTCTGCTACGGAGACCGACTGAATGTCTTATTTTTCTGTAATTTTATCTGTTTATTTATGTCGGCTATGAATCCTGATAAACATTGTATGACGTAATAATGTTTCTCATCACATTTACAGCTTCGTCAATCAGGAACTAGAGCAGTTTGCTGACCACAATTCTCTAATTGAATGAAAACTTGATAAAGGTACATACATTTCAGACTATGGAGACACTTCTAGAAGACATTCAAAAGTTATCCGCGATAAATGCAAATGAACTTTTCAGCTCTCGAAACCTTGTACGGTCTCACATATCTTCTTCCAGCAAGAAACTATGAATCACAATCTGTTTTTGTCTTCGGTGAAAGTATCCAGCTGTAAAACAAAAACTGGGTGCGATTGTTGACCTGAGTCTGGCCCCAACTGAACTTGAACCGATTCTAATTTTCACTAAACTGCCAACGGTACGTTTTCCACCGAGTCTTACCCCCAGAATGAGAGTGTACCCGACGAAAATGATGAGGACTCTGTGGAATCTTCTGGAACCTGAAGTAATAATAATTGTTAGCACCGCGAGGTTTAGTACCAAAATTACCAGAGTATTGTCGAAAATGCGACTGCCGCCAACGCCTCACTGGCCGCCATTCTTCTGACAATTCTCTGCATTGACACGTGAGCAATTTTTATGAGTTCGTCAAAGACTAAAGTTTTTTCCAGCTTCATTGGTTGGCGCCAGACCTTATTTTTGGCAACAAGCGTCGACGATCAGATGTCTACAGTCGTCTACTTCTTCGCAATGGTCGCCTACTTTGTGAGTATCCAAAGTTTAATTGAAATAATTATTTCGTCTATCAGATGGGATGTGCCATCCTCGGCACTTGCATGTGTGAATCGCCACGAAGTCTGAAAAGCACACGTGTTTATATAACTATTATCCATTACATTTGCGTAGTGATCTACTTCTTCTACTGGGATTCGTTATCTTTGGACGACTGGAACCCGGTGATTTACTACATGCCAATGTTCTATCAATGTATGTTTCTACAGGGTGGTCCACCGTTACCCGTACAAAAGTTTTACGCGGCGCGTAAAACTTTTTCTGAACATTAACTTCCAGATACCTACTTGTTATTCCCCTTCCTTCTATACTTCCACGTGGTTCACACCGGAGCCTGCACATATCATCTTTGCAAGGAAAAGTTCTACAAGCAGAAGTCCTATTCTGAAGTGTTATCTTATTAAATTTGTTTGTTTTACATATCTGTATATATATATATATATATATTTATTTATTTAGTGAATCATTTTTTTGCTTTGAGACTAACTACAGAAAAAAATTGGATGGATAAGTTATGTTTGTACATGAATATCAATTGGAGGGGATGGGAAAGAGAACACATTTAACGCTTAACGAACATCATAACCAGTCGCTTGTAGTCCTCGACTTGCGTCTCGAGCGTCGAAACCATCGCTTGGAGTTGTACTTTTCGCTTCTCAAGTCGCTCCTTCTCCTCTTTCGCCTCTTTTATTTTATTCTGACGCTTCTGACGCGACTTTTGTGATGCCAAATTGTTCTTGTCGCGCTTCTGGCGGTAGTCCGAAGACGAGTCGGCGGAGGAGACAGAACTGCTTACCGACGACGGCTTGCGGACGCGGGGCGTCTCGGAACGCACTGAAAATTCAATATTGTTTTGTGTTTACTTTTATTTCAGGGAACTAATAGGAGGACGATGACGTGACAGGTATGAATCTGATTCTCACGACTGTCAACTCACTTTTATTTTGATGCACCAACTGTGGAAAGAACTCGTCGACAGGATCGACGTCATCAGAAGATGTGAGAGGAGAAGAGGTGGAGGAAGCGGCTGAGGAAGGGAGCGGTTGCTCGACGATGGAGTCGTCGTGGATGTAGGCGTCAAGAGAAGTGATATCACAGCTCATCAACGAGTCCAGGTCGAGAAACTCTGGCGACGAGGCCGAGGCGTTGGCCGAGGAGGTACTAGCAGCTGGTTGGAAGAAGGTTGGGTCCGGGAAATCGAAGAAATCGTAGTTTGGGTACACCAGTGGTGCTTCATTTTCAAACGTCGTACTCGACGACTGGGGCATGCGCATGTCGGGCTCGTTCAAATGACGGCTCGAACTCGGTATCGAACGTCGTGTCATTGTAGTTTGCTCGTCGAGAACCACAATTAACTCGCAACTTGGCGGAGGCGTGAACTGTGGCGAGCTGTCTGCAGAAGTGGTCTGGTGGAGCTGGGGAGCTGTCATCAGGCAATCCGGCAGGTTTCGACAGAGATTTCGGATCGGAGGATGGTTGTGGGCGAAGCAGACTGCATCCTGCGGAGGTGAGTGGGCCAGCTGGGGAAGTGGTGGCGACGGTGGCCAAGCCGAAAACCCGACGGCTAGTGGAGCCGAGCACTGAAACTCGAGCAAATTAAAAGTCGGCTCGACGGGCTAATGTGCGCTTACCGGCTCCGAACTTGGCCTCGTCCATGTAACAGCATTGCTGTTGTTGTTCATGGAACATGTTAAAGACGGTGGAGTTTGCGTGGAATTGCATTGTTGAAAGAAGTCTTCAGGTAATCCGTTGAAGTCGAGTGACAAACGAGCTAGCGACTAGCTAGAAGGGGTGACTGTTCCTAAATGTAGGCTTGTTTGTCAATCAATCAATACATCAATTTTATTAAATTTATCAAGTCACACATAAAATTGATAGCCACGTCATCGTCTGATATTTATGAAATGAAAAAACCAACCTGGAGAGGGTGAAGTGAGTGCGCTTTCGTGCGTTTTGATAGCTCCTGGGAGGCGGACGGTGGTGGTTGGGGGACCTTGGAAGCGATCCCTTGCTGTAAAACACCACCGTTGACGCATGGATGAATCCCAAAAAGGTTAAGAAGAAGAAGAAGTTGAAACGGTTTCAAAAAAGCGATCGGTCGACAGTCACCGGGCAGACGAAACGCGAGGAGTGAGCGAGAAGCGTGCGGGGAGACCGCCGACGACTCCGCCCAGTATTGCACAACATTTGGCAAGATTTCGCATCACGTCACTCGGAAAGAGGCCGACGACCAGGGTGGACGAGGCATCAGGCACTTGACGGTGTCGCAGAGAAGATACGGAGGCGCACGGACGATGGACTGAGAGAAAGAGGGCTGTTTGGTTAGACGGGGCGGCCTAGCGACCGGCCGAATACACAACAGCGAATGGAAAAGAGTGTGGAAGGGGGGAGCGCGCAGAGAATCAGAACTGTGACGAGGAAACCACATGGAAGGATCAAAGAATCAGAATACTCTTTTCGATCTTCGAAAGGTAGTTGGTATCGGAAAATCTAAAAGTCTGAAAATCTGAAAATCTGAAAACATGTAAGAAATATCTTTGAACTGGGTCAATATCATATGATGCGCTTGGAACCCGTTTCGATAAAACATTTTGTCTAGGAGACCTTCTATTTTTGACTACGATTTGCCAATAACAATACGATATTAGAAAACGTTTATTCACATCCTTAAAACAGGAACACTTTAGTCAACCAACCACACGTCATTTTCTCTTTCGTTTTCTTATCAAAGGGCGAGGTTTTTCTGAGTAAAATACACACATCACTTTGAGATTCAATGTGTACAGAGACTCACTCACCCCATGGTCGATTCGGCGCCGACGAAGCAAATCATTCCTGCTTCACAGATCACGAGGAATTAGAACTAGAAAAGAGGAGGAAAGATTGGCTAGATGTCATTAGGGACGATTGTATTTATACTATACTGGCACAGCAATGTTGTGCAAGACTCGGTCACATGTGTGGAAGTGTGATGTTTGAACAGACAGACAGACGATATCTTGTTGCGAATTTAAGTACAGTAATGAAAATTGAAGGCTTTTTTGCGTTGTCTCTGCTATAATTTCGCCATTCCAATCTTCCTAAGAACATTGAAGTTCTCTGCCACCATATTTTTATCCATCTCTTAGAATCGTCATTTTCTTCTTTTGCTATAAGGACCTTGCCAGCCTAAGCGAGAGAGAATACTATTTGAGAAATGACAATCACAGAAATGAATTCTGAGTGAGCGCCACAGCTCATAAACGTGCTCCTACCTTCACTTTCTGAGAAGACGTTTGTTCGGTCAGTCAACATTTTATTTGTACGTGTTACAGATTTATGTACAAAGGTCTAAAAATACAGCCGCAACATGTTTTTACATCACTCTAAAAATAGGCGGAATATTTGTTTGTCCAGAAGATCGACGCTGTCAACATGTATTCTGAAAAGGGCTTCCCCCACGAAAGAATGCATGACTTTCAAGCTAACCCGTTCATTATGAAATAAAAAGAAACTGACAATAAAGCAGAGCAAAAGGAATTTAAAATAAGAGGAATCCGGAGAGACTCATCGCGATGGTGGTGAAGATTGCGGAGACAAGTGCCAAGTAGGCTGAGAAGCCCAGCTGAAAAATATATTTGTAAACCTAAAAAAAGTTATAACTCAATTACCTGTTCGCTGGCATATGCAGAATAGTGGGTGCAGTTGACTGCCACGAGAATGAACGCAACTGCCTGCATTATTGTTATCAGCGAGGCGAGCAGCGAGATTCCGTGGAAAGAGTGGCGGATACTGTGGCAACATCCGTGACGGTGGACTTTATATCTGTAAAACTCTATTATAAAACTGTATTAATCGAATTTCACTTACCCAGCATGCAAGTAGACGACAAAAAGCGGGAAGAACAGGCCGAAAGAGATGAACATGAGCCAACTGGCTGCGGCGAACCATGTCACTTCATTCGAACGGTAAGGCACTATGCCCACTCCTTCACTTGCTTTGACTCCAAAGTAGCTGACAGTAAAGACAATCCATCCTTTGGTGAACACGGCTATTGTTGTCAAAATGAAAGCGACGACGATGAGCGCACCAATGGTACCAACCGTCGGACGAGACATTTTGGTCGATTGAAAGAATGTGTGAAAAAATAATCTTTCTTTCTGAGTTTGAGGCGTTTTTATTTTTTTTTTATATCCTCCGTTATCAGACTGGTGTACGTCATGTCGATGAGTTTCACTATTCATGATTCACCGCGTTCTCTTGACCTTCTCCTTTATCATCCTGATGAGTTTGTGATATTGTACATACATTTAGTGTGAGGCGTATCAGTTGACAAAGTGTTACTGGAAAAGGATTTGCACCTGCGTGGCTTCTCAACAGGGATTAATTCCATAACAAGTGGAGCTAAGCTGCTCCGTGAAGGCGGCGACGAGGCTGTTATGGATTCCTTCACTTGGGCACTTGTTTTGATAAAAATATTGATATAACTTTCTCTTTTTTGCTCGTATTGGTATAGTTTGAATTTCATAAAAAAAAGTTGGTCTATGTTTGAATGTTTAAGATTGTGTGCTCACACTATTATGGCAAACGAAATGCGTGTGTTTCTTCAAACAAAGCAAGGCCAAGAAGTGATGGAGCGCCAGCAGAAGAAACAGACTTTTCAGCATGACCCTAGAGCTCTCTACCAAGATCATTTTGTTTCGGTGCTCTAAAAATTTGAAACATAACATGTAAAAAACGTTTTGCAGGTCCGTCCGGACTGTCTGGTAATCAAGCAATATTTCATCCCTTCGATGCTACCCTTTGAAATTCCATGGGATCAATTGGAATCTGTATTTTGTTCTCAAATTTTTCTCAATACCCCTTTTTTGTTGCAGCTAGTGTACAATCCTCAAATCCAGGAAGACAAGACGAAAGTGCGCGATAAAGGAATGGACGAGGAAGGAAGGTGGTGGGCAACTGATGTGTTGAGGTGAGCAGATTGTATTGTTATGAAATACGGAAACACTAACACCTTCAGAGCACACGAAAGAGAACTTCGCCTGTACAATGTGCGAATTGAAGCGGATTGTGAGCCGCGCAAGTCGGGATTCACTGTCATTCACATCGATCAGTTCTTGAAGGCATGCCGCCCGTTGATCCCCTACTCTTGCCACCTGTCCGGATGTGTTTGGTCCGAATAAACAGTTGTCCCGTTAACTTTTGCGTATGACAGCATAACCGCACGGCCCGGCTTTTCATACATAGGACTTTCGGTTTTTTCAATATATCTCCAGAAATCGAACATAGGAACCTCTGATTTTTTGATAAGAGTTCAATTTTACTGGGTTCTTCAAAATGAGCCAGGTCAGATGTAAATGTAAGATTTCTGAGAAAAGTTACAGCTTCACAATTTCCACTCCTCCGTATGCTTTGCCGGCCCGTGTAACCATTCGTACATATTCTGATAGATCTCATCGAGGTGACGGCGCTGACGAACATGTTATTTTCTGTAAATGATTTCGGGAGCAGCGCCACGTAAAACCGAAAAAACCGCCATTTTTATGACTGCCAACCCAATCGTCCCAGAATCGATGTCAAAAAAGTTTCGAATTTGGAAGTGAATCCTACATATTCTGATAGAGAGATGGCCGAGAGATGGTTAAGAGTTTGACTTCTTGCATTGCAATACCGTCGAATTAGAGGAATAGCCACCACGCCCCTTTAGGTGACGATTACATAGGTGGAGGAGACGGGACCGCAAAAATTTTAAATAAGGCAGGGGTACTATAGTACATCCATTAAACATGTATCACACATATATCAGTCTAGCAGTGCATACAACAAAAAACCGTTCTACGAAAACCCAACCAATTAGTCGGAGAGTACTGTAACCAATTAACCTTCTCTTTTGTCTTGGAGTCCAGGTTTCTTTGACTTTTATTATGAAATTGTGATAAAACGAATGTTTTGAGTTTGTTTTATTTTGTTGTGAGACACTGCTCGATTTCTGAGTCATCTTCCTCCTCGGCTGTCGCTTTCGCGGTCGTCTCCATCACGGCCCGGCTTTTCATACATATGACTTTCGGTTTTTTCAATATATCTCCAGAAATCGAACATTGGGACCTCTGATTTTTTGATAAGAGTTCAATTTTACTGGGTTCTTCAAAATGAGCCAGATCAGAGGTAAATGTAAGGTTTCTGAGAGAAGTTACAGCTTCACAATTTCCACTTCTCCGTATGCTTTGCCGGCCCGTGCTCCATGCAGCCACCTCCCCTGTTTTGTGCAGTTCTTTTGTGTTTATCATTATTTTGTACCCCTTTGATGATTCAGCAATTCTGAAGAAACCCATTGTCCAGTCCGACTGCACACAACAACACTCATGACCCACTTTCTTTTTCTGGCAGACGGGCCCACCGTTATCCACCGTATTAACGTGGGCCGAGGGCCGCCCGACGATTGGACCCACCAGTGGATGTGATGCAACTCGGGTCGAATGTCCTCGTCTCCAGATGGTGTGCACTCTCTCGCCGTGACCCCACAGACTGTGTGCACCAGTAAACAACAGGGTGGTCGATGACATCACTTCTGAGAAAGACTGCCTCGCTCTTCTTGTCGGGTCTCTTCTCGACCATCGCTCTGTTCTTGTATTTTTGGAAGGATTTGAATTTTGAATGCTCTGTGTTTTGAAGAGTGCCCCTTTCTGGTTGCCGAGGTGTGCTGCCAGACGTTTTTGTTCACTTTCATTTAAGTCTGTGCAGTTTCCGGGATTACAGTACCCTTCGTGACCAGTCTTTCATGCTTTCTCTCTCTCGCTTTCACTTTATTCCCCCTATTTCTCTCCCTCTCTCTCTTTTTCGTATCTTATCCCGACTTTCCCATTCTTTCTTGCCTTCACCATGGTGAGCACTATCGTCGTTGAGCGGTACAGGGGGCGGGGCGGGGCCATCCGGCGGCGCACCCTCACGTCACCCGACCTGCTCGCGCGCGCGCGCACTCGGTCCATTCGCCCCGCCCATAGGTCCGCCGTTCTTTGGGCCGTGCATGCATTCCCTCACTCGTCTTTCTATTACATCACAACATCGTCGACTTCTCTCCTCTCCTCTCCTCTTTACGAATCGATCACTCTTTCCAAACAACACTTTAACCTTTTCAGATATGCCCAACCCAAAAAAGCATAAGGTAGTCAACGAGGATGACGACGACACGGACGGTTCGTTCGAGGAGAAACCGTTCGCGAAGAGAAAAAAGTCGCAGGGACAACGGTCCGGGAACGCGGAGAACAGTCCGGCACCGGCCCAAAACGGTGAAGTTCAGCTACCCATCATAGAATTCACCACCGAACCGACCTTGGATGATATAATCCATCAGGACGCCACGTTCCCTTCCTACGAAGCTTTCGAGAAGCTTTTCGGCAAGTGGAAGGAGAAGTATCTTCATCCGTTCCGTGTCGCTTCTTCCGAATCCCTTCGCACCCAGGAGGGAGTTATCAGCGAACAGTTCAGATACCGCTATGTCGTCTTCCACTGTGTTCGTTACGGAGTTCCCCGAATGAGAGGTTAGTTCTCACTGATTTTTTGCTTTCGTTTTCAAAATGCATGCCCTGTTAGTAGCGCCCATCTGTTCCCTGATTTTGTCTTGCATCCTAGTTAAAAATTCCTCTGTCGGGAGCTGTGATCGGACAGCTGTTGCACGCCTCTCCCCGATCACTCAATTATATTTATACGCGACCAATCTGTATCCACCTGTCTGTCAGGACCCTGTACCGGAATGTCCTTGGGCCAGATTTAACAGCTGTTTCCAATGTGTTGTTGCATAATTCACATATCATCGTGTTTTAGGAGAAGGAAAACGCCCGAATCAGAACTACCTTCCGTGCCACTGTACTGCGATGATCCGCCTAAACTTCAGCTACCATGACCAGTGCCTTAAAGTGTCTTCTCTGGAGACGCGTCACTCGAACCATCAAATCGATCGGGAGCTCTACGACAAAATGGTCGCGAAGGAAAAGGCGAAAGCCAGAAAGATGTTGGAGCCAAAGCGCAAGAGCGCCAAGTTCGGGCCAGTTTGTGAGAAGAACGTCTCGGTGATGAAGGAGAAATCGGAGGAGAGAACCGAGGATGAAACTATGATGTCGAAGATGAATTGCTCCATCAAAAAGGAGATCGACCACGGCTACGACACTCCGTTGAACGCCACCGTCATTGCGGATTATCAAGTGGATGTGCAGTCGACTGAGACTCCGCCTTCCGAAGAGGTGCAGCCGGCTTCACCCAAGATTGCCGTGACTGCCCCAGTTCAGACTCCGCTCCCGTTGGCGCAAGTGCCCCTGATGCCACAGATCCCTCAACTGCCGCAAATGTCGCAGTTGTCTCAGCTGCCGTATCCAGGATTTTCTCAAATGACCGGCTTCAACTCTCAAATTCCATTCTCGCAGAGTCTTCAGCTGATGACTGACTACAGTCAACAACTTCAAAGTCAGATTGTGAGTCCCTGTTTCCTCGTGCCACGGTTTTGATTGTTTTGCATTTCAGGTGATGAGCCAAATTCACTTCCAAGCTCTGGCTAACCAGGCGTACCAGCCATTCGCGGCACCAACTTGGGCGCCTTCGCAGATCGGAATGGGAATCCAGGCGCCGACGCTGCCGACAGCCGTCCCTTCGAAGCCTCAGGAACTAGCCCCCATCTCACCGTCTGTCGATGAGAACGACGCACCAATCATCATTTCTCTGGACGCCATCCGTCCGGTCCCACTGCGTCCGTCCGAGAACAGCGCGTTCACCAAGGTTCTGGGTTCTCAACCACAGCAGGGGTCTGCCACCGAGCAAATCGGAAGCCTTCTCAACTCGGCGTCCAAGGTCCTCGGTCCGAACCCGGCGCCTGAAGTCGTTCAGGAGTACTTGAAGCAGTTCATCTCGATGTTCGCTACGAAGCAGGACACCACCCTTACATACACTTCCTAATAATCGTTAATTATTTTTATAATAATTCTTGTGCCCCGTTTCCACTCTCTTTTCTCCAACCCGAAGCCTTCTGTTCGGGTAGTTTCCATTTCATCTCTTTTCTGATCTCGTCCTTTTTATAGCCCACTGGTCCCATATGTTGCTCGGGTTTGAGGAGATTCTCTTCCTCGTAATATCGAAATTTGAATCACACATATTATTTTTTGATGGCAAATCCTTTTTCATTTAATTTTGGATAAACTGAATATGTTCTCGTCAGAAATTGTTCACAAACAAGACACACGCCACATTGTCTTGTGATAGATCAATCAGAAAAAATAGAAAAGCCAGAAATCATAGCTGGTTTCCGATTGCTGTCACTAATAAGTGGCCCACCACATTTCTTCGGAATATTTTCGTGGCTCGCGGGGAGCGCTCATCCATCATCCAGACGGCTCCACTCCGCGCCAGCCGCAAACCCCATCGAGTGATTGATAAAAAAGCGAGGAAGATAAGAGAGGAAAGGATTCATTTGAGCCCTCAGTTCGAACTCGCTTGATCTTCGCCATCATCCGATTCTTTGTTCGATCAAATCGCGAGAAAAAGTGTGTGCCCGGAGAAGATGGCTCTCCGGTGGGGCAACTGCCGGTCCGCCACTCGCTTTTGCAATTTCATTCCAATTCTTTCGCTCCCACTGGCCTTTCTCTCGCCGTCTCGGCGATTTATGGGCCACTCGGATCACTTCTTTCAACACTGATTTATTGAGTTGCTCACGCAAAAGTTGTGCGCTTCCGAGTGCACCTGATTCTTCCTGCTCCTCGCTGAACTAGTCCTCATTTTCAGAAGAGCCCAAATGATCCGCCCCAAACTCATTCCTCTGTGTCTTTCGGTGGTTCTGAGCGTATTCATTAAACCAGCGTCTTCGTCTCTTCCAACATTCGCGCCAGATAATAAAGAGATTTGTGAGGGGTTTGGGTATGAGTTTTCCCTTTTTTTTGGCTCAATCTGATTGAGTTTCAGTTTCAATTGGGCCGCTGAAATCAGATGTTTGCGTGACGTCGTCGGCAAGTGCTTGGAGTCGGAAAGCAGCGGATCGGAACGCAAAGGGAGATCTCTGCAGTATCGTCCGGAGGATAACAGACAGGACGCCGTGAGAACCGCTGATTACGGTAACCCGTATTCCTATCCAAGGCCGTACAGTAGGACATATTACCATCACTCAATCAGTTCCATTCGACCGCCAGTTCCGCCCATACCGGCGCCAATCACATCAACAAGCTGCAAGTGTGATGGCCTTGAAAAGTTGGAGGCCAAGTTTGAAAAGAAGCTGTACGAAGTGAAAATGAGAGCTCAATATGAGAGTGAGAAAGAGATAAAAGCTTTGGAGCAAAGATATGATTTCGATATGAGGGAGTTTCAGAGGATTACCACAAAGGATATTGCGGATGTCAAAGTGAGGTTTCCTTTTTTGAAGAAAAGATTACCTGCCAACTTTCAGAGACGACTGGACTATATTCAAGCTCCCAAAGTGGTCAACAATGATAACGAGTATTTTATGATCAGTGTGAGTTTCATTAACCAACAATAATAATAATGGCGTGGCGGCCAAAAATTTAGTTATGGGGTTATTCAGGGTGTGAAAAAAATGATTGTTTTCCTTTTTTTTTTTCGTTTTTTTAAGTAAAAAAATCCAATTCAGCGATGTAAAAAACGAAAAAAAAAACGGAAAACAAACACAATTACAAGTTCATGCGACAACATTGAATCATTTCTTGTAGAGAGAAGAGGGCTGGTACACAGCTTCCGAGAAATGCATCGGCTACGGAGCACATTTGGCTTCAGTCCACTCTAGATTAGAAAATGGACTCGTGAGCAGCCTGATTCCCACAAACATGACCGCTTGGATCGGTGCGAATGATATTCAGAAAGAGAGCGTCTTCAGAAATACTGACGGATCTGCAGTGGAATTTTATAAATGGGGACCAAGTGAGCGAACTTTTTTCAGTGATGGATCTAAAACTTTTATTTTAGAGCAACCAAACAACGAGGAGCACAATGAAAACTGTGTAGAAGTGGGTCACAACGGACTTTGGAATGACAAACTTTGCATTATAACCAGACCATTTGTGTGTAAGAAGAAGCTTCGATAGGTTCTAATTGCATTAAAAGAAATAAATTTATTGCGATTTCTTTTCGTTTCCCTCCCTTTCCTTGTATCTTCTCAGTTCCGCTTTTCTTACTTCCACGCCTTTTGTTCCCACTTGTAAACTTATTTGGATAAGTAGAATTAAATAAGATTTATCAAATTTTAGAAGGAAGAGAGAGAGCTGACTTCTTGCATTGCAATAACGCCAGGGGGAGGAATAGAGGAAGAGAGGAAGAGCTGACTTCTTGCATTGCAATAACGTCAGAGGGTGGAAGAGAGGAAGAGAGGAAGAGAGGAAGGGAGGAAGAGAGGAAGAAAGGAAGAGCTGACTTCTTGCATTGCAATAACGCCAGAGGGAGGAATAGAGGAAGAGAGGAAGAGAGGAAGAAAGGAAGAGCTGACTTCTTGCATTGCAATAACGTCAGAGGGAGGAAGAGACGAAGAGAGGAAGAGAGGAAGGGAGGAAGAGAGGAAGAAAGGAAGAGCTGACTTCTTGCATTGCAATAACGTCAGAGGGAGGAAGAGAGGAAGAGAGGAAGAGAGGAAGAAAGGAAGAGCTGACTTCTTGCATTGCAATAACGCCAGAGGGAGGAAGAGACGAAGAGAGGAAGAGAGGAAGAGAGGAAGAGCTGACTTCTTGCATTGCAATAACGTCAGAGGGAGGAAGAGACGAAGAGAGGAAGAGAGGAAGAGAGGAAGAGAGGAAGGGAGGAAGAGAGGAAGAGAGGAAGAAAGGAAGAGCTGACTTCTTGCATTGCAATGACGTCAGAGGGAGGAAGAGAGGAAGAGAGGAAGAGAGGAAGAGAGGAAGAGAGGAAGAGCTGACTTCTTGCATTGCAATAACGTCAGAGGGAGGAAGAGACGAAGAGAGGAAGAGAGGAAGGGAGGAAGAGAGGAAGAGAGGAAGAAAGGAAGAGCTGACTTCTTGCATTGCAATAACGTCAGAGGGAGGAAGAGACGAAGAGAGGAAGAGAGGAAGAGAGGAAGAGAGGAAGGGAGGAAGAGAGGAAGAGAGGAAGAAAGGAAGAGCTGACTTCTTGCATTGCAATAACGTCAGAGGGAGGAAGAGAGGAAGAGAGGAAGAGAGGAAGAAAGGAAGAGCTGACTTCTTGCATTGCAATAACGCCAGAGGGAGGAAGAGACGAAGAGAGGAAGAGAGGAAGAGAGGAAGAGCTGACTTCTTGCATTGCAATAACGTCAGAGGGAGGAAGAGACGAAGAGAGGAAGAGAGGAAGAGAGGAAGAGAGGAAGGGAGGAAGAGAGGAAGAGAGGAAGAAAGGAAGAGCTGACTTCTTGCATTGCAATGACGTCAGAGGGAGGAAGAGAGGAAGAGAGGAAGAGAGGAAGAGAGGAAGAGAGGAAGAGAGGAAGAGCTGACTTCTTGCATTGCAATAACGTCAGAGGGAGGAAGAGACGAAGAGAGGAAGAGAGGAAGGGAGGAAGAGAGGAAGAGAGGAAGAAAGGAAGAGCTGACTTCTTGCATTGCAATAACGTCAGAGGGAGGAAGAGACGAAGAGAGGAAGAGAGGAAGAGCTGACTTCTTGCATTGCAATAACGTCAGAGGGAGGAAGAGACGAAGAGAGGAAGAGAGGAAGAAAGGAAGAGCTGACTTCTTGCATTGCAATAACGTCAGAGGGAGGAAGAGAGGAAGAGAGGAAGAGAGGAAGAAAGGAAGAGCTGACTTCTTGCATTGCAATAACGCCAGAGGGAGGAAGAGACGAAGAGAGGAAGAGAGGAAGAGAGGAAGAGCTGACTTCTTGCATTGCAATAACGTCAGAGGGAGGAAGAGAGGAAGAGAGGAAGAGAGGAAGAGAGGAAGAGAGGAAGAGAGGAAGAGAGGAAGAGAGGAAGAGAGGAAGAGAGGAAGAGAGGAAGAGAGGAAGAGAGGAAGAGCTGACTTCTTGCATTGCAATAACGTCAGAGGGAGGAAGAGAGGAAGAGAGGAAGAGAGGAAGAAAGGAAGAGCTGACTTCTTGCATTGCAATAACGCCAGAGGGAGGAATAGAGGAAGAGAGGAAGAGCTGACTTCTTGCATTGCAATAACGTCAGAGGGAGGAAGAGAGGAAGGGAGGAAGAGAGGAAGAGAGGAAGAGAGGAAGAGCTGACTTCTTGCATTGCAATAACGTCAGAGGGAGGAAGAGAGGAAGAGAGGAAGAAAGGAAGAGCTGACTTCTTGCATTGCAATAACGCCAGAGGGAGGAATAGAGGAAGAGAGGAAGAGCTGACTTCTTGCATTGCAATAACGTCAGAGGGAGGAAGAGAGGAAGGGAGGAAGAGAGGAAGAGAGGAAGAGAGGAAGAGCTGACTTCTTGCATTGCAATAACGTCAGAGGGAGGAAGAGAGGAAGAGAGGAAGAGCTGACTTCTTGCATTGCAATAACGTCAGAGGGAGGAAGAGAGGAAGAGAGGAAGAGAGGAAGAGAGGAAGAGAGGAAGAGAGGAAGAGAGGAAGAGAGGAAGAGAGGAAGAGAGGAAGAGAGGAAGAGAGGAAGAGAGGAAGAGAGGAAGAGAGGAAGAGAGAAAGAGAGGAAGAGAGAAAGAGAGAAAGAGCTGACTTCTTGCATTGCAATAACGTCAGAGGGAGGAAGAGAGGAAGAGAGGAAGAGAGGAAGAGAGGAAGAGAGGAAGAGAGGAAGAGAGGAAGAGAGGAAGAGAGGAAGAGAGGAAGAGAGGAAGAGAGGAAGAGAGGAAGAGAGGAAGAGAGGAAGAGAGGAAGAGAGGAAGAGAGGAAGAGAGGAAGAGAGGAAGAGAGGAAGAGAGGAAGAGAGGAAGAGAGGAAGAGAGGAAGAGAGGAAGAGAGGAAGAGAGGAAGAGAGGAAGAGAGGAAGAGAGGAAGAGAGGAAGAGAGGAAGAGAGGAAGAGAGGAAGAGAGGAAGAGAGGAAGAGAGGAAGAGAGGAAGAGAGGAAGAGAGGAAGAGAGGAAGAGAGGAAGAGAGGAAGAGAGGAAGAGAGGAAGAGAGGAAGAGAGGAAGAGAGGAAGAGAGGAAGAGAGGAAGAGAGGAAGAGAGGAAGAGAGGAAGAGAGGAAGAGAGGAAGAGAGGAAGAGAGGAAGAGAGGAAGAGAGGAAGAGAGGAAGAGAGGAAGAGAGGAAGAGAGGAAGAGAGGAAGAGAGGAAGAGAGGAAGAGAGGAAGAGAGGAAGAGAGGAAGAGAGGAAGAGAGGAAGAGAGGAAGAGAGGAAGAGAGGAAGAGAGGAAGAGAGGAAGAGCTGACTTCTTGCATTGCAATAACGTCAGAGGGAGGAAGAGCTGACTTATCACCCCATGGGTAGAATTGAAAAAAAACTGAGACGGCAACAGATAAAATGAATATTTCTGACTTTATATACCCCTGTGGGCGTGGCCAATCTAATTAGTGGGCGTGGCTACTGAGTATAGTTAGTGGGCGTGGCCACTGCACCTCTGGCTTTTCCTTCTTCCTGTTGTGGGCCTGGTATACTTTCCCATAACAGTCCTTTGTCGGCATTCTTATCACTAATCTCCGCCGGTAATTAGGACCACAGGTGTGGGAATGTGAGCTTCAAGCGGATTTGCGGCAAGTTTCGAAGAAGCCGACTTAATTACAGACGGAGATTAGTGACGACGCCGACAAAGGACTCCGATGGGAAAGAACGATTGGGATTTCGAAACGTTATGGCACCTCACCATTCCAAGAGGATTTGGAAAAAGAGCAATGAGGAATTGAAGGATTTCCGATTTCGAATGCAAGCATTCAACACGGAGTCGATAGTCCGATCGGTCTTTAATTTGGACCCAATATACAGGGTGCGCCAAAAGTATAGTTACACATTCAAGGTGATGTAATCTTTGCAAAAATGCTCAAACCAACATGAAAATTCAACTATAATTTATTGAAACCACTATAAACGAGAAAATATAAAAGTTGTTCGATGCGGTTGCCTTTGTTCTTGACAACATCCTTGAGTCTCTTCGGGAATGCCTCTAATGTGGCACGGAAGTAGGCTGGTCGAACAGGCGCCTGAAAAAAACAGGCGCAGGCGAATGAAATCGCCTGTTCGACCAGCCTACACGGAAGTATTCTGGAGATAACTTGACTCATTCTGCTTCCAAATTTTTCTTCAATGACTCCAAATTGGGATGTGGATGTGCTTGAACGGTCAGCCCAGTTCGAAGACTGGCTGACACGAGTCACAACTCAGCAATCGGTTCAGACGAGGGTGCAAAGTAGATTTTTCGTATTTAATTCAAAATGCAACTTATCTTGAACTTCCTATTAGAAATTGCATAAAATAAGAAGACCGTGCCGAAACGCTCTGGCAATTCGATATTAGAAAGTTTCGATCTCATCTCAACTTAATACGATTAGCCAGTTTTTTCTTGGCCCAATCGAGATTTGAGCCAGCAAAGGTTTGGCGTGAAAATTGATTTGAGCACTTATTAATCTAGCTAAAAGATTTACTAATCTAATTAGGTGTCCTATTAATCTAATTAGGCCGCCGTATAACTCGAGTAGACTTCCATTAGATTAATAACGAAATGTCAAGAACTGATATTAGATTCACAAAGATTATGTTCATTAAAAAACCGACCGAGAGTGATCGGGAGCAGGGTTTAAATACAAGATGTGAATGTTGCGATCGAAGGAGAACGGAAAAGAAGAAACACGGAGAGATGCAGAACAGCAAGAAGAAGAAGAAGAAGAGAAAGGACAGGGGAAAGGAGGAAATTTCGGAGTGTCGTTGCACAAGATGTTTTTTGAAAGACTTCCTCATTTTTGTTTTGAAAACACTTATTAGGGTAATAGTCAGAAATCACTTTTGAGGCCTGATCTGCCACCAAAATGACAGAAAATGTATTTCGTCACTTTGATTTCAGTGCTAATTCTAGGTTTCTGTTTGTTTTGCTTTAATTTCTATTAGACAAATCACCGGATTAAATGTCTAATTGCACCACCACCAGATGGTGAGTGCATACAGAATGTTATTTTTGTTTGAATTTTCATTAGACAAATCACCGGATTAATTGTCTAACTGCACCACCCGCACGTGGAAGCAGGCCGAAACGGGCTTTGGAGTGGCAAACTTCGCATTATAACCAGACCATTTGTTTGTAAGGAAAATGAATGAAAATTTTATTTTTGTTTAAAAAAAAAGAAAATTTATTGCAATCTCTCTTCTTCTCTCTCCCTTTCCTTGTATCTTCTCAGTTCCGCATTGACCAACAGCAACTGCCGATTCACGTATTTGTAGCGCTTCTCGTAAGCGGCTAGAAGTTTTGGGATTACGAAAAGAGGACAAAACAACTTTTTTTCAGTCAGGCGCTCACCACATTTTCTGTTTTGAGACTCCAGCTTCTTTCGTAGGTCTCTCTCCTCTTGTACAATTTTATGAAAACTCTCGCGGAGCACTTGGATCTCGTCTAGAACAGAAAGGATTACTGTAGTGATCAACGTCTCTCTGACGTACTTCTCTCTTTCCACAGCTCCTCCCGCTCATGTTTGAACTGTTGACTGGCGATTTCGATGAGCGACATCACCTTGTTCAGCATGGTTCCCTCGTCGTTCTTTCCGCTGTTACTGCCTCCTTCCATCGACATTGAATTCGAGTTTGAACCTCCGCGATCGCTGACCGAATTGTTGGGAGACGACTGACAATACAACGCGTTTAATTCATAAAAGACCTTCAGGATTCTTACATCTTCCTTCCGCATGCTCTCCAGCGAATCCGAATCGTTCTCCGAGTTGCCGCCACTTTTGCTGAGGTTCAATGGAGTTACGTCGTCGCAGGCTCTCTGGCTCTGCATGTTCTGCATGTTAATTTCGTCATCGCCTCTGAAATTCGGAAATTTGAATAGTTGAATAGTATTTCATTCTCAGTAGTCTTGCAAAATTCTGTATGAATCAGATCTTGGCAGTGATCGGGTCTCAAATCAAACAGACTTCAGAAACATATTAACGAACCCATCAAAGTTAATATTATTGGTAGTCTTTTGAGTGAGCGCAACAAAGTGTTGCATAAGAATCTGCTGAGGTGTCATCCGTGGCATCATCTGATTGAACACTGGTCCGCTTCGCGAAGTTCCACTGCCGATCATACTCATTTTGGCGTCTGAAACAAACAAACACCCTTATGATGTGTTCACCGCACCGATGACGAAGTCCCCTACCATCCGACGACTTATCCTTTTTGATGGCTGTGTTCGTTCCACTCCAATCATCAAAACCTCTTTTCGAAGGTCTTCCCGGACGTGTGCTGCAATCGTCAAATCTTCTTATCGCGGAGAGAGAGAGAGAGAGAGCGAGCGCGAGATTACTCGGGAAGAAATTATGAATATTCGGGGAGAACTCAACAATATGTTTACCCGTTTCACATAACTCACCACGTGCTCGTGCAATCCTCGTATAACTTCTCGAAATCGCACGTTTCGAGCAGTTTGCACCGGTTGACACCCGGCTGAATAGCACCCAAACTGCGAAGAGCGCGCACCGGAAAAAGGGGATTATTGTTTTCAGAAGGATCCGGAAGCTTCTCGACTATTATGTTAGTGAAAAACTTAAGGCTTGGCGGAATCTTAGTTAAGCGTACCTGCTCAACATTGCATACTGTAGGGTTGATATCCAATCGTTTGAGTTTAGTGTAAACTGTATGAAGTCCTCCAACCATGTTTTTGAGAAATATCTCATAAACCTAAAAACTACGCGTATAATATTATGTCAGTCTTAGGTTACTTGTGGCAAACAAATCATTTCCTTTCCATCAATATCAAAAGCAGCGACACTGTGTCCTCTGAATTTGACAGTTTTTGCGTTCAAATTAGCACCACTGAACGAAAAAGACGAGAGCGACGACTGCGAAGATTCGCCGCTGTTGTTCGGCGACGACGACGCTTCTTGGAATTCATTGATGAGCGGGCTGAGCAGATTGTTGCTAGAAGGCTGCAAGTTGTTCACGAAACCACCTGAAAAAGAGTCTCTGGACCGTGTCGGATTGGGGGTAAGGGAAGGTTTGAAAAATACCAGGCTACTTGTACATCTACCTGTTTCATCGAATTTCATAGTGGAAGGTGTCCATTGGGAACGTAAATGGAAGAAAGATCACGACTCGAATGAAATAGGGTGAATGTACGGGGGTGAAGTGGGACTAGAAGTAGGAGATGAAGGAGAGGTGCGGGGCACGTCCGCCCCTTCTCGCCAAAATCCGGAGATTACTGGAGGCAATCCTCGCAGGTAATGCACATGGTCTCCGGATGGGTATTTCTAATTTTCATAAGTGCTTTGATATTCTCTCCTCCTACTCGCTCCCTACTCAAAGGATATTCTCGATGAACCGATAAGCATGTATGATGATGCCGTTGTGGATTCCAGAAAAAAAAACTATGACCCTCCGTGCGCACGGGACTTTTTCTGATGGGTCGCATCTTCGGAAAAAATTGAAGTCGCATTTGTCCTCATCTTACGCACACAGGGTAATGAATCTAGGACACCGTATGACTGAAAACGTACCTGGCACGCGGATGACGTCACAATCTTTGAGCTGCTTCTGGAAGAGCGCAAACTGTCGCAGATCGACCATACCCTGCATGGCCGTCAGAGCATCCATGTGAAAACAGGAAATGAGAAACACGGGAGGAATGTTTCTTTGAAGGTTTGTAATACAACACAACCTGAAAGTTGGAAATGGATGGCAAGTGGAGTCGCAATCGAATGAAATGTGGTTGAAGATAAGTATCGCGCGAAGGGGTTCGTCGTTCATTACACGAGTGGAAAATCGGTAGTGAAAACCGACGTTAAAGGACATTCCACCTTTAGACGAAAGAAGAAACTATCAAATGTCTTTATTTTTAGGGAACCAGAGTCTGTCTGTTGTTGGTATGGGGGCGGAGGGTTGCGGCCACGTGAACGGAGGAGAGTACTGTCGCCCTGGAAAGTCCTGAAACTTGCAGTCCGTCCGTCCTTCGTTTCCTTTTTTGACTAACAGGTGAATGCGAAAAGAAGCGAACTGATCGTTATCTTTCCTCTTCTCTCAACGTTTTATGCAACTTTTCTAATGTGTTCTTCCTCTTCTTCTACCCCTCTCTACTCACATCAATTCGAACATTTGCTTCAACCGACTTTATTCACAGTTTCTTGTAAACACGGCAATGCTCAGTGCGGAACAGGAGTGTACAAGAAGACGGGCACAATTCAGGGAGCACATCTCAACTTATTGTCAACAGAAAGAAGAAAGCGTAAGGTGCAGGGCGGGGGGTATGGTGGATAGATGGAAAAGATCACGATGGGATGAGGGTGTTGAGGTAGAATAACTGAGGTGGTTAATGTCAACAACGTGCCGGCCTGCGGACACAACAGAAGCGAAATCAACAGGGACTGTACTACAACTGGAGGATGGGGATGCAAGAAATGGTGAGAGCGGAGGCGGAAAAATAATAAAAAGGAATAAAAATACATGGCGAAAGGGACAAATAGGGGGTTAGAGATCGAGAATGGGGAAAAATCGGTAGGGACAGCAACGGAAAGGTATCGGACGGGCTAGTATCTGAAAAATTGGGCGCCTAGAGGCAACGGGGGATCTAAGAGCACGCGCATTTGCGAGCGATCATTCCGTTGACGTTGGCGACGGAGACGCGGCCGTCGCGGTTGACGTAGATGAGTTTGATGAACTCGTACTCGGTCGGGTGGCAGCAGAATCCGAGGTTCTCCACCTGCGACTTGACGTCGTCTCCCATGCGGTAGGCGGCCTTCATGATCTTGGTGTGTCCGTTCTCGCTGAGGGCGTACTAAAAGAGCAAAGTTATGATCGGATCGGAGTAGAGAGTTAGTTGGACTTACGTGATGAGAGTTGAGCTTGCAGTTTCCGCGGCAGAGGTAGGCGTTGTAGCGTGGTGGGGCGATGATCCACTCCCATCCAATCTTCTCGAAGTCGATCATGAGGTCGTAGAGGCAGCATCCATCCGACGGCTTCTCCTTGGTGCAGATCGGGGTGGCGAGGCGGCGAGAGCGTCTCTCTCCCTTGACGGTGGTCACCTGGAGGATCATGTTCTCGAAGTCGTCCTCGGTCTGCTGCGGGTGGATAGCGACGTTATGGCCGTTGACCATGGCCGAGACGAAGAGCCCTTTGATCGGAGAAGAGGTGTACCAGCGCTGGACGGCGTCGATCGGAATGGAAACGCTGATGCGCTCACTGCCGGAAATCGATTGAGTGTCGGAGATGATGAGCTCTCCGAGATATCCATCATCAGTCTTAGTGAAAACTTGGATGTGGACGTCCTGCACGACGCGATCCGGCTGGAGATTGATTTGGAAGATCAGCTTGGCCTAAAATGAGAACATTGCAGACAGGAAGGTGTTTCGAAAGGCTTACCTCAGTGATCTCATTGTGCAAGGTTCCGGGAGTCGGGAAGGAGGCGATGAGCTGGGAGCGGTCCTCTCCGTTCGACGGATCTTGGGCCAGGGTCATCGTGGTCTCGGTCTCCTTTTCCTCCAGATTGGAGTCATCCATGTCGTAGTACATGCTGCGGTACTTCTCGCGGAGCTTGGCGGAAGGAATGGTGCCATTCGGTGGCGGGACAGACATGTGGAGTTGTTGGAGGATGGAATCCTAGGCACAAAACGAACAATGAAAGGATCCTAATAATCTTGCGCTTACTTTTATCTCCTGGATGCGGAAGTTCTCGATCTCCTGTTGGCACAAGGCCGACTTGGAGCAGTTGAAGTTGGGGGCGAAAGAGAGGGAGCCTTGGAGAAGAAGCGCGAGAAGGATCACGGACATCATGGCTCTTTTCGGGTAAGGGAGCGTGAAGCAAAGGGGGGAAGGTTGGAAGCGGCAAAAGTTGCGCGAGAATGAAGCTTCAAGCCAAATCCGCCGCTTTTATGCTGGCCCGGGATGCTCCGCCCATTTTTTTCCGGTCAAAATCATCAACGAACTCAGAATCCGTTTGTGGGCGGAGCTTAGCTCGAGAAGCTCGAGAAGCTCGCGCACTCCGGCCAGCTCGCCGAAAAAGGGCGGAGTCCTGCGGAGAAGCGATGAATCTGATGATTGGTCGGGTATCAGCTACAGTAGTCTTAGTACCTAGGGCAGCAAACTTAAGTCCTTTTAGTTACGTATTCGTACCTTCGTCACACGTTGATCGTTTTGGGAAAATCCTGGAGCCTGACTTCTTGGTCAGCGTCCCTATACGCGTTCTCCGATTTTTCCTTTACTTCCTCCGAAAAGTACACTTTTTCATTTTTCACAACTCGGCAGTCTCGGTCAGAATTTGCGCAAACTTTACGCAATTTCTACTAGAACTTTTCGCAAAAATTGGCTGAAGGTTTGCGCTAAAATTGTGGGGACCCTTAAAGTTTGCGCAAATTCTGAGAAACGTTATGCAATTTTTGCGCAGACTTTAAGGGTCACCGCAATTTTAGCGCAAACCTTAAGCAATTCTAGTAGAAATTGCGAAAAGTTTGCGCTAATTCTCACCAATACTGCCGAGAACCTGAGATCCCTGAGATTCTTCCCACAAATGTCTTAAAATATCAAAGTCTGGCTAGAAGATTTATCGTGCGTAACTGAGAATAATCAAGTAATGAGCACTTCCCGGGGGAACTAGGTTCTTACCTCAATCAGACGCCTTCGGTTAGTGGGATGTCATCAGTTATACCTGGAGCCCGATATTTGTGTACTGGCTACCAACTTGAATCTCTTCCGGGTTCAGTGATTCTGATTAGACGTCCGCATCAATGAGTGACGTGGAAACCGGTTTATTTTGAAATTAAAAGGGAGATATTCAAAGAAACATTGGAATCGGGCTGGAAGTGAAAATTTTCTTACAAACATTTACAAGACATTACATTGTCATATATCGTTTTCTTTTCGGTGATGCGGTGCTGACAGTCTAATGCATTTCCTTGACCTTCGGCTGAAAACATAAGGATTCTCTTGGAATTCGTTAATATTCCGAGACAAATGTCTCGCGCACAAAGTGAACTTTGCAACCTGACATCGTTCGGAATTGTTTTCCAGTTATACTTCCCCTTAGAAAGAATTCCGGAAATGTTAATGTCAAGGGCCAAGCAAAAAAACATAAACTAATTTCCGGTCTGGGCGAGGGTGGCAGACAACTTCGAAAGGGCAAAAGTTGTTCCAGTTCTGATTTTTGAATTCCTAGTTCGCTTCAATCTAGTCTCGTTGGAAAACTTGAACGTTGAAGGTTGACTAGCTCCCAGAAATCAAAAGCTCAAACATTCCAGCCCTACGGTGTGAATCATTTAAATAACATCCGGAGCGATTTCCGAAACAAAAACAATTTCAAAATGAAAACCAATTTCCAAGTTTGTTTCCTTTCTCTGACACAACGGAAATCGATCTAGTTTCAGTAAAAGTTTATTTCTCTCCTGGTCTGGCCTCAAACTTCCATCCGTTGACCTTCAGGAAACGGGCGCGTGAGCAAATGGTTTTCCGGTTTGGAAAGCGACACCCCCACTTACAAGAACATAGATTGAAGCGGGCAAGGTTCTGAGCACTTGTTGAAGGATTTGGTCGGATACTTGGGCAGATCTGAAAGGAAATGCATGTTCGAATGAACACGAAAACTGCTGGGGGGGGGGGGTTCTCACTTCAACGAGATTTTGGGGAAGTTGAGACGGCCGGCGCTGAGTGCCATCACAATAACGTTGACTCGTCGCGTGCTTTCCGGAAGGACGTTCACAGTCACCTGAAAACGCGATTCTCTCTCACTTTTTCCTTGTTTTGATCATCACCATTTTCCAGAATATTATTAAGATGGACTGTCCAAGTGGACGGACTCATTTACCGCACGTTTCCGCCGACGGGGGCTCAGACACTCTGATCCGCTTATTGTATTACCACCACACCAAAAACTCCAATTGAGTCCTCCGACCAGACATGCCACCTGTCTTGCCGTATTGGTAGACACAAATAATTAAGCTGTGTCTAGAGTCGGGAGGACGGACCCGCTTAATTATTGTTCCAATCGTGATCGTCGTGTGGCAACGGTTTATGCTGTCAAAATATGACATCAGCTGGTACAATGCCCAATGCCGAAGACTACCGGGGGAGAAAATTGAAAACTGAAATTTTTAGCAAAAAAGTTTCGAAATATCTTTTGAGATTCCCACGAAGTTTTATCTCGCAGTAAAGAGTTTGTGAGAAAGTACGCCAGTTTCCCATCATTACCTTCCGTTCGCCACTGAACATGAACACATCGTTGAGGTCAAAGTTTGTGGTGATCTCGATCGGCTGAAATATTCTTGATTCCTATTTGATCAATTCATGTCAGGAACAAAGTTTGTACGCTTGTTATCGCCCACTAGGACCAGAGCTCAATGGATAATTGTCTCTGGAGACTGTTACGCAGTTCGTTTACAGCTAGGACCTTGCTTTTCACAATAACAATACGAATCTGGAGAATAATCCGTATCAGCAAGAGGAAGGGTAGTTTATTTTTTCGAAAACCGAATTGCTTGTGGGATTGCTCAATCGTCCAATACCTCTTTCGAATGGCTTCTGAGCTCGAAACAGATTTCGATTGGTTGGCGGACAGTCGGAGGGCTAGTTTTGATGTGGGACGAGATGGAAATCGGACATGCGAGCACTGGAATTCGGCACAGCGGAACCACGGAACGAACGAGACACGCGTTCGGAACGGACCTGAAAATTAATGTTAGACCTCTCCGGACTTTTCGTATGATTCGAGGTCTTTCGTAGAATGTACCCCCAGTTTTCAAACCACACTTGTTGCATTACTCATTCACGTCTACAATTTTCTACAGTAGGCTTCAAAACGTATTAAGACTACAATACTCTTTTAACTTGTTATTAGTTGTTGACATTTTCGCTAGAGAAGCAAAAACCATTTGATTCACGTGAGAAAAGATTAGTCATCGACTCTTCAGAAAGAGCAACGAGGTTCTTTGGCATTTAAAAATGTGAAACTACGTCCTCACTTCATACCAATCATGATAATGATGATGACTTTACTACCTTTTCAACTGCGTCAGGAATCACTTGTGAAACAGAGAATAGTTCGAAGTGGAGAGATCTCAAAATAGTTTTCGGACGTCAATGTGAGGGAATAGTACTATGAGATGATGTCAGCGGTGATCCGCTGTCTTTTTCCCGGCGGATACAACTGCAAACTCCAAAAGAGGTTCTCGAGGAGTGAGACTTCGGATTTTCGGAATGAGTGTTCTGGAGGAATTGGGAAGAGTGAAGTGCGTTTCTATTCTGGGTCATGGCGGGTGTCTAAACAGGTATTTTCTGCCGAATTTCAGGTAGGTCGCCACAACCAATCTCAAAGGAGAGCATCTCGAAATGGAACTGGCCGGAATAGAACTGCCCCAGAATAAAACTATCACGAAATATGCTCCAGAATATAACTGTACTGAAAGGAATAGAATTGTCCCGAAATATTCTGGGCAGTTCCATTTCGGGGTGCCCTCTCTCTCAAAGGTTATACACAAGAAGTGAGCGAATTTCGATTTTTGGACCAACTAACCGGTAAAATAAACGAAACTCTGGCCTACTACTTTTCCGTGTTATTTCAGGAACAATCGAAAACCACGTCATGGCTTCCTCTCCTCGCATCATTTTGATCGTCATTTTAATAGCGTTGGCTATTTTCAGAGCTTTCCGATCAGTGAAATGATGTCAGCCTTGTCACTTGTAGCATTAACATCCCGCACAGACTAATTTCCTATGTTTTCCATTGACATCCGCGAATACATCTCATTTGTGTATCACCCAAGTCGGTACCAGGCAGGATGTGAATTGTGCTCGCCGCTTCCAGTAAACATCTCTTTCAGAGGGGTTTTAAAAGTTTTTAGTCGGTGTTGCTAAGCGGAACTAGGACCGGAAAGGTTGCTCGAGAGCGTAGGTCGTGTAGGATGTGTGATTTAGGCCGATTCCGAGCTACATTTTATTCTCCGGAAACTTGGCCAGGGGGTCGCATGAGTCACCTTATTTAAGCTTTGTCTTTCAGAGAACCAGGCAGATCAATACACATTTTACAGAAATGTATTTTTCACTTTCAGAAAAATAATTACTTTTTAGATACAAGTGTGACTACCCCACCCACTTCTGACTGGTAATCCCAAAATTACCGCTGAAAACGCAGACCAGTCAGAAAGGTGTCGACTTCTTCCTCCGAAAGCTCGCACATAGAGCACAAAGAGCACGCACCTTTTCCATTCGACAGAAAGACGTCCGAGAGGGGTCTCCGATTCGTCTTCCTTGACGAACACACAGATCACAGCGGAGTAGCACACCGCTTCTTCCTCATCAACTTCATCTGAAAAAGCAATTCTCAAGGATACACAGAATAAGGGCCTTTTTAGGAGCCTAACCATTCAGATTTTTTCCGGCTCCGCCGTTCGTCGTATCGCAAAGAGTGACAACGTCAGCCATAAGGAACTCAACAGATGATATCACGATGACCGCCGCCGACTCGATTTTCACGTTCAGAATGTGATTATTGTTGTTCAGTATCGATGTCAGAGGGATTCCGTTCATGTTCATCACGCTACTCGTCACAACGAACGGCTCCTTGGCATTCACTCCGACCTCCAGAATCGTTGTCACTTCCTTGTTCTCGCCGTCTTCCTCATACGTGTATGCCAATTCTAATTGGAGAGTGTATTCTCCGATCAGTTGAGCCGAAAACATCAGCGGAACCGATATCTGAAACAAGTCTTTCAGTGACTCATTAGAGCAGCGCCAACTGCTCTTCTAATAAAGCTATTCTTGGCTCATATTCATGACTCCGCGTGATTCGTACGTACTGACGTAGGTACTAATTGGAAGGTGACCCAAGGGACTGTTCTTGACGCATTCCCGTGCTTGACTCGACTTGTTTACCACGAGTGGTAAATGTCAACGTACTGCGCGCGAGCTCCAACGGAATCACGCACGTAAGCGCCCCTAGAGACAGTGGACGAAAGCCGTCAATAGAGTGGCGTGTGCACGGAATAGATTCTAGAAATTGAATAGGAGGGAAGATTCTCTCGCTAATAACGCTTTGAATATTAGGGATGCGCTAAGGGAAGGGAACCCCGTAAAAGTGAAGGACATCGAATTCAAATCTACTTTTGGGAGAAGATACAAACTTCTTGAGAAATGGGAAGCAGAAAACATTTGAATGGAGAACAGATAATTTGTCACGCGGAACTAAATACTATATTTGGCAAAAAGCTGGGTTTCTTCAATTTCACAGAAAAACCCACACAATCGAACTCATTTTTGCCAAGAAAAATGCAAGTACTCTCGTGATCCTGTTACCGGAAACGCACAATGGTTCTGAGACCGCTTCAGATGAATTTGAAAAAAAAACTAACCGTATCGTTTCCATTCAGATTTTCGCAGACGTTCATTGAGAATTCGGACTTGAGCTCGGTTCCTTCTTTCTCGACGAATAATACGGCGGCCGCTTCGGTGAATTTCTGCTCGCTCCTCTTGAAATCCAATCTGGAAGAGCAATGAAGCGATTTTCAGAATTATGTACTCAAAACAAGGTTACCTGAGATTGCGGAAGGGAGTTCTGGCCGAGTTCCTGAGGACAAGCTCGGTGCTCGTTACTTCTCCGATCAAACAGTCCACTTTCACATTGTTCTCCAGTTTCACTCCGGTTTTTATGCTTCCAATCTTGAGGAACTCGAGTCCGATGACATTGTCCACGTGCAAATTGCGATTCAACGCGTTCTCATCGAACTCCAGCTTGCCACGTATTTGGCTTCCAATCTCAAGAACCACTTTGGAAACCGTCACAATCATGTTCTGTTTGGCTTTCCGAATATCCAGCGTGATGAAACGCTTCATCGGCTGCGCAGAGCTTATTTCGACAGCTCCAATGCTAATCGGGTCAAAGAGGACGACTTCTGATGCGGTTTCAGGAGTGCTCCCTTTTGCTTTCACGTACACAACCACGTCGTTGATTCTCAGCTTCTGGTCGATTTTCGATACCAATTCGACGCGAACAGCGATTTTTGAATTGAGTTCCACAATTGGTTGATCCAAAAATGAAACTCGAGTCTCAATGAACGACTCTATGCGCGAAGCTTGAATGAGGAACTCGGGACGATCCTTGAGCACGTGTTGCCATTGTTGTTGGTACGATTGGAGCTGGAATGCAACGGAACGTTATCTCTTTCTTTAGGAACGGTGAATATTTACCTGAGCTTGCGAAACATCATCCCCCGGAAACGGCGTACATGGTATCTGTCCGGACAGAATCTCCTCAAAGGCTGTGGAGCATTGGGAAGGAAGCACTTCCGCATAATCGGGACTCATGAGCTGCAGGCTACAGACGACGAAATCTCGGATGCTTGCGATGGCGTAGGATGCCCACGTCGCACGATGCATCATATCCTTCCGGACCGAATACGGCAGAGCAGTGTCCCTTGTCACCATTCCCCACAGTTGCAGTGCTTTCGGGATGTCGTTGTTGGCGTAGCAAGTGTTCGCCATCTCTATCATGATCTTTTTCTGCATCCGCACACATCCGTACTTCTTATACTGGGTCATCGCGGCCGTGAGCAGAGAAATTACTCCGTCGTGATTAACTACCAATCTCTGGATGATGGCAGTCACCGCGGCAGCTTCCTTGTCCGCCGACGCCAATCCTTCGTAGCCTACTCGCCATGGGCGTTGTCCGAAGAATACTGTTTCTGTATTTTCCAGAGGATCCGGTGTCGGATACAGCGTGCCAATCGGTGTATCTGTTAATTGATAATGTGCAAATTTATGTAAATCTTTAGCAAAACTCACTTCTTTTCAGAGCAGAAATCTCAGTATTCGCTGCCGAGAAAATGCTCGCAGCTTGATCGAGATGAGTTCCCGGATTGAGGGTCGCTAGGGCAGAGAGTCCTCCAGCTACGGCTCGCTCGAAGAGTTGTGCAAAGTGGTAGCACTGCTTGGCTTTCCAAAGAAGAAGTTCGATGGAAGCGAGGTTGGGAGTTGGATAAATTCCAGGGGCAGCAGAAAAAAAGACCGTTTGATGCTTCCGCATTTGGCTGATCGCTTCGAGAGCGGTACTGTGTAGGAAGCACAGCTCACACATCTGAAAAAAGCAAGCAATGCGTGAGCAAAAGAAATACCCACAGTTTGAAAATCTTACTTTATAATTGAGCAATCCGACGACGCTTCTCCATTCGAACATGTCCACTCCTTCCCACTGCTCCAACGTGTTCTTGCACTGATCATAAGCAAGTCTGTAATTCCTCAGAGCCGTGTGCGTATCCTGCCTCAATTCTGAAATGAACGCTAGCTTGAACTGCTGCCGGACGACGAGAGCCGGCGAGTTGTTCGGAATGCTCCGCGAGCGAATAGTTTTCAGTCTTAGCTGATAGAATCCTTGGCACATCTCGTGGAACTGGTTCTCCAGTCCTTGCACGAACTTTGGAATTTCCGTGAGTGGAAGAACAAGCAGTTGCTTGCGTTGCAATGCACACGCATGCTCGATCTCGGCGGACCGATCTGCCGCTTTCTGGTCGTCAAGACTCGTCACACTGAAATCGTAACATGACGTTTCCCAACTTCTCTACGTGTCTTTCTAGATAATCAAACTTTTTATTTCATTTCTATCAGAAAACTTGCCTTTTCTGAATCAAAATTAACGCAATCTTCGTTCCGTGCCGCAGGGAGGCTCTGATGCTCGCTACTTTGCTCTGTGCTTCAGTTTTCTTCTGCTCCCAGGAGTCGTGATCCCAATCCAAGTCGATAAAAATGGCAATTAAGGCTGGGACCTTGTCAAGATATTTTTTCGGCCAATCCCGTCGCAGAATCCCTGACAATTAAAGATATGGCTCGAAGACTACTCTGCTGACGAACCCTTATCCGGGCCGCATTCTCTTTTTGGAGGAATGTCCAACTCTCCGCTAACAACCCGTATTTGAAGTGGAGGTTTGTCCTCAGTACGGTTTCTGAGAAATTATTCTACTAACTGCGACTCGAGAATTTTGATACCGGAATGTATCGACAATTTCTTTGTGATAAGGTTTGTTAGCCGAGTCCAGCCCAGTGAGGAAGACAAGTTGCAGGGGCCGGCCAGCTATCCAGTCGCCAGCCTCCACTGGATCCATCTGATTGTTCAATTTTCTCCCACTATCTAAGTGTGCCTTGAATTGCAAGTATTGACGTGCTCAGAAAGTAACTGTTTGTTTTATTCACAGCGTACGAAGTAGGTTATGTCAACAATTTATTGATTGAAGACATGAAGTTAACAGTAACGAGACTTGGAAGCTGTCGATGGTCGTCGATCAATCAATCAAGCTGAAAATAATTACATTTTCACATTTCTAAACGTTAAAAATAGTACCTTCTTGAATCCGATGTCCTTAGCCTGCTCGCGGAAGCATCTACGGCAGAGGTCGAGGCCGTACTTGCGGATGAGTCCGTGGTGTCCAGCGCAGACGCGGCTGCAATAATTCAGATTTGGTTGGTTAAGACAATTGTTTCACAATCTTGAACAGGAACTCTAAAGATGATGTGCCTGTCTTCGAGATGTAAATTTATTTTGCAGACTAAACTAAACGTCAAAAGGCAGTTGCCAATTGCGTAATGGACATCTGCTAACACAAAACGTACGCCAAAGCGTTTCTCCAATAAAAATTACTTCTTTTTCGTATTTTAGTCAGGTTTAAATTAATCAAACTACTTACCAGGAGCGCGATCCTGGTCCGAACTTGCGTGGGTGCGAGAACCACAAATTTTGGAAACCCATTGTCGAAGTTTTCTGAAAAAGATTAAATGTGAGAAGTGAAAAAGAGCAACAGAGAACGGTACGCTTCAACACACAGCGAAAATATTCAACAGAGAAAGTGAGAGGGCTAACGCGAGTTTTCTGAAGGCAAAAAACGCAGCTTGGACAGAAAAATCTAAAGTTTTTTTCCAAAAAATTCAGAACGACTGCAGTTTTACGCGAAATTTAACTTGGCGGCGATGAATTACCCTAAAAACTAGGGAAAGTTGCCTTTTTTCGGCAAGAAACACTTTCCACATTAAGAACGAATGATATTCCGTTTCCTTTTGAAACAAATCAGCAAAAATCGATGAAAAATTGGGGAAAAGATCTAAGGGAAAAATATTTTGCGGCCGCTTTGGCTTCAGGTATACGGTTGCAGTCGTTGGCGTGTGTGTGCGCGTGGCGAGACCCACCAGGCCGCAAGCTCCGCCTCCCGAGGTCGTTCTGGAGGGAGGAGCCGTGCTTTTGAATGCCGAAGAGCAGAGCATTTGTGATTAGGAGCCCGATCGAGAGCTCTGAAGATCAGTATTCTTGATATATACTGGAAGTGTTCTACTATGTAGTGCCATCCACAAGACACCTATCGACGCACACACTTAAAATTTACATTTCCACTGATAAAAAATCACTCTCATTCTCTACCCTCCATATTTTCTAGTCTATCAATTCTTTGACCATGTGGGCGACCGGTGCGATAGTTTGCTCGCCAGTCTTTCGGATTCTGACGACGTGTTGCCCGATCCGAAGAGCGACAACATCCAGCGGGGTAAGTGGAAAATGAGCTGACAAAAATGGCTGCTTCTAAAGAAAGTGGAAAAGTTAATGTGGAAAACGCACGAAAGAATTAACTCCTTTATTGCCGGGTCGTTAAACAGGCGAGTTGTAGCACACTTATTGGTTGTTTCGCTCTTTTTATGCCTATCAAAAATTCATTGCTATTTTGGCCGGATAGAGCTCTTTCTGTCCAGATGGCGAGGAGTACCTTAACTTTTCTTTCATTTTCTTGATTTGACCTATTTCAACGATCACGGATCCTGGCAATAGCCTGTTTTTTATTCATAATCTATCGTCACGTTTGCGCCGAAATCCCTCATCCGATTCGCATGTCCGCGAACACGGTGACGATCAAAACAACGTGTCATTCTTCCTGCTCTCGTCCTCTACAATAGTAGATATAGCTCAGCGCACAAACGGCCCGGGGCGGAAACAATTCATAAAATACAACGTGCTCCGCCTAGGCTAGCTCCAAAAAGAACATGACACGCACATGATGATGCTCATACGTCGTTTTTATGAGCGGGACCCGCGCATCTACGTATTCTGTCCTTTTTTTCCGTTTTTTGTGGAAAACAATGTATATATCGAAGACCGAAAAAAAGAAAAAAGGGGGGGGGGGGGGTTCCCGAAATTTGTCCCAAGAATGTGAAAAGCGAGCACATTTCCAATTTCTCGCTCCAATGAAAAAAAGATACGAAACCAGGATAGTCTCGCGACTATAAAGTGCGGGAATATTCTGACTTTCGGCACGTTGGCTTTGGAAAAATGTGCTAATTGATTCTGGCTTTTCGCAATGTTCTTTTAGGGAGCTGAAGGAGACCGCTTTAATGCATTTGTGACTGACTTCTCCCATTAATTTCTGGTGTGTGTTAGTCTTCAGCCGGAGGCAGTTCCGCCGAGTTTGGAGGCGCTCAAATCAAGTGTGCCAATCGGCAACAAACTTGTTGTCGCCTTCAATTTTCAGCCGATTTTTCACACGTAAAGAAGATTGAAAAAAAGGGGCGAAAATGAGTAAGAAGGCAATTTCGTTTCCACCTGCAAATAGCGTTTCTTGCGCTTTATTGGTATCCGAGAAACGGGAGGTGACGTAGCCGACCCGAATCTGAGTAACCTTTCGAGAAATCCTCCCTAAATCCTTTCTGCCATCTATTTTTCATTCAAAGTTAACAAGTAGCCAGCTTCTGGTTTATCATTCGGTGCCTTAATCCTCTGAATATAATAATCTCGTGTGCGAGATAATCTCTGCAAGAAGAAGAAGAAGATGTGAGCTTTCTTAAACGATAAAAACATGAGAGAAGAAGAAATGTGTCTTCGTCGGGGGAGTGCTTCCAACAAATAACCTTTTCTCACAAATTATCCGCTAACATGCACGCAATTAGACGCACTTCATAACTTTTCGAGGGGCAGTGTCCGCGGAACCAAATCCGGCGGAACGATGTTATTACATATTCTGCGAAGAGAAAAACACGAGAAAAGGAAAAAGCAACCACATTATATTAGGAGAATTTTTTATTTTGCAGTATGCTCCGCGGCCCAAAACAGTTGACATTGGCAATGGAGCCGTTCCGATTCTGGCGTCTAAACCGGTCACAGTGCAGCCGAATGGAGACTATTACGAGCACGTCAACGGATCGGCGCCAGTTTCAGCAGCGCCGCCCGTGAAGCACTACGGGAACATCCATTTCCGGGTCGAGTACGACTTCGAGCAGTCCAAGGTGAATGGCTTTCATCGACAGACCGTGACGGCGCTTTTTATGACTTGTGTTGCATTGAATTCTAGGTGTCTGCAATTCCTTTAGAAGACATATACGAACTGCTTAAGTTCTGAGATTCAAACAATGTATTCTCCTGCTGCGTCATTTAATCTTCTTGGTCTAAAGCCTTATCTCTTCCAGTTATCCGTCACGATTGTCAGTGCTTCCGACTTGCCAGCCATGGACCGAAATGGAATGTCAGATCCATATGTGAAAGTGTACGTGTTGCCGGAACGTAAACAAAAGTTCGAGACTCGAATCATCCGCAACACTCTCAATCCCACCTACAACGAGACGTTTCAGTTTTCGGTATAATTTGGGTACTCTTTGCAAATAGTGGACTGCTTTCAGATTCCGTTCAACGAGCTTCACGCCAAAACTCTGATGCTCGTGATCTACGACTATGACCGATTATCGAAGGACGATAAGATGGGTCAGCTCTCGGTTCCGCTGGAATCCATTGATTTCGGCATAACCACTGATATCGAACGACCGCTCCAAAAGCCGGAAAAGGATGATGAAGTAAGCCTGTTAAGTGAAGTAAGCCTGTGCCCTTCGTTTTATTTTGCCGTCTGAGCCTCCCGCCATCGTAAACACGTTCAAATCAGGAGTATCGCACTCCGAGGATCTAGTCCGCTTTTCGGAGATAAAAGGAGAGAGAGAGAGAGAATATGTTTGATCCAGTATCCAAGATTGACGGGCTCATGCGTCTGACAGGCTAGCCAATTTTAATTTGTGTCTACATACATCTTCTTTCCGAATATCCGCTTTGTCGGATGTCAGTCGGCGTCGAGAAAAAGAACGAAACGAACCAAAAAAGATGGAAAAAACGGATGAATCTGGAGTGACGTGAATTGAAAAATTGATGATAGGTCTCTCGGAGATTCTGTGTGTATGTGCATGCCTTTTTTCTTCTTCATTTTGTCGGTGGGAGATAAACGCAGTGTTTCGTGAAATGAAGGGATTGGGACTTTGTTATTCAGACTCCCAATTTTGCAGAAAGAATGTCGTCTCGGGGACATTTGCTTCTCGACGCGCTACCGTCCGGCCACAGGTACCGTAACCCTGACCATAATGGAAGCACGGAACCTCAAGAAAATGGACGTCGGCGGTTCATCAGGTTAGCCGTCCTCCTTCTTTCCTCTCTCGAATAAAATTCAATTCAATTCGTGACTTCCTGTTTCTTTGCGTCAAAAAAAAACGTTTTCTGTCAACTCTCACTCACTCACTTTTCCCTTTTTACTACGAGATACAAACAAAAAACAATTAGGGAGGGGTCCTTTCCTCCACTCGGCGCGCCTCAAAAATCCTTCCAATTCTATTCCTCGTGACATTGGAAGAAGGAGAAGAAGAAGAAGAAGCGGGGGAGTTTGGATGGGGGACGATGACTCAATATGTAGTAAAAGGGCGCCTAACTCTCAAATTTCATGAGCATTTACATCTGAATTGCGACTGAGGGACTTTTAATTTTTAGATCCATACGTAAAAATCTACTTGCACCACGGCAGGAAGTTGCTGAGCAAAAAGAAGACGTCGAGGAAGTACAAAACTTTGAATCCGTACTACAACGAGAGCTTCCAGTTTAAGATTGAACCTCATATGATCGAGGTACACTCATTATACTTACTGGAATTAATCGTCAGAGCTTTCAGAAAGTACACCTCATTGTGTCGGTTTGGGATTATGACAAGATGAGCAAGAATGACTTTATTGGAGAAGTGACCTTAGGTTCAAAGCATCTTAATCTTCCCCAGGTGATTTAGATGATCTAAGCTGCTCGTGCAAACAGAAATGCTTTCAGATCACACACGCATGCAGTGAGCAATGGGCCGAAATGATGATGTCCCGAAGGCCTGTAGTCCAGTGGCACACGTTACAAGAGCGGATGGAGAAGGAGAAGAAGAAGGAGGACGACTGAAAGAGAAGAACTGCAAAGAAGCGAGTTGGAGATCCCCATCACATATCACTTTTCCGCTTCTGTCTAGTTTTTCGAGCATTCTCACCCAACAGCTTCAATGTATATATGATTTCAATTACCAACGTTGGATACGTGTCGATAAACCCCGAATAGATTCCGATGATTCATGATTCACAGTCAAATGAATAAAGTGTCATGGTTCTGAAAATTCGGAAACGAAACCAGTAGGCAAGATTTAGAAACCGAGATGGAGAGTGTCACACTTGTTACTCGATTTGGTGGTCATTTGATGAGGAGCGTTAAAACTCGTTCGCGCTTCAACTGTATTACGCAATTACGACAAGGGATGAAGCGGTCGGTGCGCGCCGCGATTCGGATGTGTCGCCTTTAATGTTTCCTTAAGTACTTCTGCCTCGCGCTGACCATCATTCCAGTTTGCACCGTCTAGTCTTGTTTCAATGCTGATCTTGGTAGGAACTCTAAAAGCTCAACTACATTGGAGCGTATTTATGAGAATTGCGATCTGTAAGGTTACGAAATAGTTGCAATGTACACTTGATCATCCTCACCCATTAGCTTTTTCTTTTTCGTCCGTCGCAATCATCCGTCAATCTAACATATTTTTCCGCGTTGCCTCAGCCAATGGTCACATCACATCCGCAACCAGTTCTCCCCCCAGGCTTCTCTCTGCCCATTTCCCCTCTGACGATCCAATTTCTTTCGAAACGTATCTTTCTTTTGGCATCTCTCTCACATCTCTGCCCTTTCCTTTCCGATCAATCCCTGGCACGTCAAAAAACTTTCAAAAAAGCGTAGCGCGATGTACGTTTTTACAGTAAGGTGCCCTTTGATCATCTTTATCATCCGCTTCATCCGCATCAACATCATCATTACACTTTTCTGATGGCAAACACTAACACATCTCACGTTTTTTGTCGATTTATGCGCAGCGGGTAATCGGATAATGTACCTCATTCACCATGGTCACATGCTGCAACGTCACGCGATTCATCCGCGAAACCCTTTCTCTGTCATTTCGTTAACCTGTACGATTGCGTCGTTTTCAGAAAATGCAGGCAAAACTGTTCATGATCCCTTGGATCATCCCGCTGGTCGTTGCTCAACGAGTTCCTGCTCCAACCAATGCCGCTCCTTCTACCCAAGCCCTGGTGAATTTTCTACCGTAGCTACGTGAAAACATCTTCAAATTTTCTGAAAATCAATCTGGGTTCACGTGGAATAGTGTAGATTGGCAAACACTAATCCTAGTCTTTTCAGACGAATGATCTTCTCGTTGACGCTCATCAGCGCCATTTCTACGAGATGCTCCGTCGACAACAGCAAATCAACGACGCACTTCTATTGAACAACGCCCTTCTCCACCCGCACATTCCTCAGCTACACATTCCGACCAATCCAGCTGATCAGTTGATTCCTCCAGCCCCACTCTTCAATCCCTTTATTCAGCAGACTGCTCGTGAGTTTATCAGTAATTTAGTTGATCGAGAAGGATCTAGATTTCAGAAGGATCAACTAGCAAACTAGGAACCTATGGAAAAGAAGAGCCGTCTGAAGCAGAAAAGAAAGAAGAAGGTGAAAAGGAAGTGAAAGAAGCTGAGGTGGAGGCTCCGGAAGAGAAAGAGGGAACTGTTGAAGCTCCGCACAGAGTTGCTGAGGCACCGAAGAAGACGTTGGCTGGAGTGAAGACCGTGTCAATCCAAAGAAAAGGGGAAGTTGCACCGAACGAGGAAGTGGTAACGACAACGGCCGTACTAAGTGAGGAAGATCTGGAAGTGGTTCAATTGTTCAAGAAACTGAATCTGAGCAAAGCAGAGACGAAAAGCATTGTGGAGCACGTGGAGCAAGTGGTTCGCGAAGAGTTGACTAAGAAGCTTAAAGAAGCAGAAACCAGTACGACTACAACTACGACTACTACTGCGGCACCAACTAGAACTACAACTGCTTCGGCAACAATAACGCCTACAGACTGGCCGGAAGAAGTGACAACGACCACTTCTCCAATGTAAGGGATTTCAGAAATTTAAATCCTTAATTCACAACTTTCAGCCCTCTAATGAGAGTTCGGAGTGAGGAGAATCTGATTCTTCAGAGGAACAACCTGAAGCACCATCCGATCAAACTACAGAGAAAGAAACTTCCAGACGTTTTGGAATCAGAAGAAGTTTCTCAAGGTTCCATAAAGACTTCGCTGACCCATCTGCCAATTATTGTGGCGAATGAGGAGGAGGATGCGTCCACGCAGAAAGCCACGTTGCACAAGAGGATCCTGATTGCATCTCAGGACCGGGAAAAGGAGAGCGATAGAGATTTGTTGGTCGATTTCGCAACTGGAGCGCCGTTAGACTTGACTGATATTGATGCCCCGAAGCAGAGGTCCGACCCGACCGTCGTCGTCTCAACATTGCCCACTCCGAGTCCGACGACAACAACTACGATTCCAGTCAGACCCATGCCTCAGTCGTTGCCGCCAAGACAGACTCAGGTACTCTTATCCTAGACCATCTAACGTGTCATATTTTATTTCTCAATTTTCAGCACGAAGTGACAAACTTCGAACGGCTGGCCACTGACTACCGTAGACGATTAGAGCACACCGGAGACATCAACAAGATCCTTCAGAAGATTTCAGAGAACGCTTATATTTCTCTTGGTAAGGTAAAACTCCAAGATTGTGAATGTAAAAAACTTTCAGTAGAACGTGGAGGCTCCCGCAAACTGTTCGGAATCTGAAACGGACCATCTCGGACCGACCGCTAAATTATTTTATTGTGCCCATATTTGTACATAGCTCACGGTCTCCAGAGCTGACAATATGGGCGTGGCCTCGGCCAAATGGCGTTTTCATGAATTGAGCAGGTTTTCTCTGATTTTTGTGGTCAAAGGCGATGAAAAATGATTGTTCGACATGAAAACACACTAATTCTCAGAATTAATGACGTTTTGGCGCATTTTTCGCGGATTTCGCTTTTTCGTCTTCATGCGCTTCAAAAATTCGTAAAAGCCTATATAATCGGTTTATCGAGAGACAAATGAGAAATTATCGGTTTTTCGTGGCTGATCTGGCAAAGAACAGAAATTTTGCTGTTAAAATTTCAATTTTGCGCCAATGTATCGCTCTATTGGGCGGGGCGCACTTGCCCTCATTGTCAGCTCTGGAGACCGTGATATAGAGACACTCATTCATACAAACATTCTCTGTCCACCTGCAATCAATTCAATTATTACATTGTTTTCCATATGAAATTTTCTTTTCTCTCCTTCCGCTTCCATTCTTCTTCCATGCCACTCCGGAGGCTGACTCTTGTTTGCCGTTCAGCTCAGCGGTCCGGTTGGCAGGTTACGCATGCTGGCAGCCAACACGAAAATGCCACATTTTTTGTTTGGGAAGGAAAAAATTCGAAAGTCTTTCGTACGTTTAGTAATATTCCCGCAGAATGATCATCCGGCCGCCGACGACGCGGCTTGCTGCGTTATATCAACAGTTTTACATAAACTCTTGAAAAGTCTTTGTTCAAGATTGCTCATTTTTTAGTACTAGTACTGTTCCTCCCACTTTTTAGGGGTTTTCGTTGTGGAAACTAATTTTCTGGCAGTTTTGTAGAAAATTGGTATGTGACAGTCAACTGTCGGAAACGACTTCTCGACAATTATGATCTTTGAAGCGGCGCCCACGGGCCACGTCACATACAAAGAGCCACGCACAAAAAAATCAGTGTGTAGTTCCCGACGCATTGAATAGTAATTCGAGAGTGTATGAGCGAGCATGAGAGCAAATACAGGCCCTCACTTTGTTTGGCATTTCGTTTTTTACTTTTCCGCGCACCGTCATCTTGTTTTCTCACCAGAAGACCACCCGGCATTTTTTGGCGCTTTGCCTGCATAATTTTCCATTTCAACTAAGTAGGGAGGAGAAGACGTTGCGCACAGTGACACCTCAATTTGGGCCGCATTTTCCATCCCAAGGTGAAATTGGGAGTATTCTCCGGAATTCTTGTATTTTCGCCTCCGTTTTGTTGTTCATATGTTCGTCTCTTTTTCTTTTTCTAACCATTGAAAAGTTGAAGACACTTTTTTTAGAAAACGACGACTGTTTGAGCTGATGGAGAAGGAGAAGGACAAAGATGGGAACGAAACGAAAAAAGAGGAAGGTGAGATCTCAATTTTTAAACATATAACTTCTAAACATTCTAAATTCCTCACTTTGCAAATTGAAATGAGTCACCGGCCCCACCCGTTCTCAGTTCGATTTCACCGTCATCATCGCTCATCGTATTGTCGTCCCGACCATCCTTCTCTCTTTTTCTCTCTCCCGCCTCCTTTTCCTTTTCAATACCACAATCCTCGCAACCAAAACAATATCCCGTCTTCTCCGTCTTCGTCTCTCGGTTCCATACTGTTTCAAGGTCTGCGCGTAGTAGAGAGGATACGGAATCGAGAGAGAAAAGGAGGGGGTACGGAAGAATTAACTTGGATGCCTTTGAAAGAGAATTTGCAACGCAAGATACGACTGTTTAACTACACACACCCCGTCAATTGATTCCATTAACTTCCGAGACTATTTATCGTGGTTTTCCGGATGATTCTTTCACTGGATTCTAATTCGTTTGAACTATGTCTTACTTCTATCCAAAAAGTACATTGCAACTTCATTACGAAAGGAGCAAGTATTGTCGAGTTGCATTTTTTGGAACCCCGACGTTTCGCAACTAACGTTAGCTATTTACCGTTAAATTGCACTGTCGAAGTTCACGCGGGTACCGAGACGTCGCGGTTGCGAATCGACGGGGTCTCTATTTTCCAAGCGTTGCTCATTTTCAGAATGAGATCAAAAAATAAAAGAACAGGTATCAAAACCTTTTTGCTTCCTAACTTGACATACCCTCTGTCAATCCGAATGAAACCGATTTCTCCGATTTTCGAGTTCCCATGAACATGCCTGTCTCTTTTCCTTCGTTCCCTCCTGGATAACCCGTAATTCATCTGTCCGTCGGTCAATGTTCGTTTGCTTCCCGCTCTCATCGAAATAGGTTTCTGTCCTCCCCATGTCTCATCTAACCTAATCACCGATACACTTTAAAACGCGTCTCTTCGCGAATTCTCCTGTGTAGACCCGTCTAATATGCTGTCTTACAACAATATATCATCATAAGCCTAGAATACGGTGTGTACGTGGGTCTATATATCAATAATTACTTCTTCTGGCGATTCCAATTTTTAGTTGGTAGGGCTTTGTTCAGTTATCGGTAGTTGTGTTGATGATTAGTAGACGAGAAAGATCGAAAAGTGAGGAGAGAAAAAAAGAAGACGAATAAGGAGAAGAAGAAGAAGAGAATCGGTTGGGCGTCGGCGCTTCGGCGCCACGCCCTTGCCGCTATCACAACGCCTTCTTCACCTTATATTTTATTGTTTCTTCCTTTCTCCGCCTTGACAACAACCCCCGCACAGGAATTGCCTTCTACTTTTTTGTATACTCTAGGCCGACAGTACTGTTAGGTGTCAAACAAGTTGAGGCGCCTTAGACACACCCGGCAAAGCACCGAGGTCACACATGTGATAAGCCGGCGAGTTATAGTTCTTCCCCCTCCCCCCCTCTTTTCATTTTCTTTTCCTGTTCGTTCTCTTGCCGCCTCAATTACAAATCAAACATGCATTGGAGAACACTTGAAACACACTCTGTGGCTAGTTGAAACTGTTCACATTTCTTCCTTTTCACGACGACCTGTCCGACGTGCCTTTTCTTGAATGTTTGGAGAAAAAAGAGCTGAAATGCAGAAACTATAGTCCATTTTCTCGGAATAGTTAGAAAGAATGGCGTTTCGAATTCAAATTTCGACACTACAACGAAGTAGAACTCGCACGAAATGAAACTGTTACGATTCGGAACTCGCAGTTATATTTTAACGTTGCGAGTTCCCAATCTTAACAGTTCTATTCCGTGCCAGTTCTACTTCGTTGTAGCGCCCAAAGTTCGCTCATGGCAGCCATTCTCTCAATTCGCTTTGCGCCCGTCCTAAAAGTAGCTGCGCCTTTAAAGGTTCGCTCGCCGCGCGCGACCTTTTTCTACGTTTGTCAACGAAAAACAAACTATTTTTCGTGTTTCTTCTGCCCCATAAACACTTGTGGCAGCAGAATCTTGTGGTGGGTGAAACCACACAAACCAGAATTATCATTTTGTTCAAATCACTAATCACTCACATTAATTTGGGCGTCTTGCCGAAAACGTCTTCTTTTTCTTTTCTTTCTTCTTCTCCTTCTACGCCACTATTTGTTGTTTACTTCTTTTCTTTAATCATTTTGCACGTGAAATGTAGTGTCCCGTTCTTATTTTGAAGTTGCCAACTTTTCAGAGCCCTCTGTTGAAGTCTTTGTTCGCCCGTTAGAGGTCACTGTACCAGCTGACTTTCTGTATCAGAAGCCAGGTAATTTTGCCGTTTTTTCCAATTCGATAATCCCGAAATTTCAGAAGAATCGAAACCGCAAAAGACGTACTGGTCGACGATGACATCGAACATCCATACCGAGACATCCATCAAAAGATGGTCCATTCCCCCGGTCACCATCGAAGAGGGAAAGCCGCCAGGACCGGTAAGAACTATTGGTTAAGGGGTCATAGTTTGCGTGGGTGTGCCCCCTTCTTGTCGGTTTTTCTGTCCCATAAAATTTGAATTGAATGATGGAATAGAAGCACGCGTCTCGGCGGAGAAGTCGCGGCGCCGCCACACCCAGATTTCTCTCCCACACCTCTTTTTTTGAGAAAGAAAGTTTTTGCTTGATTTTTGATGTGGTGCGCGTACTGGCAAACTTGTTAGCGGTGATCAATTAAATAGCATTCCGGGTGATAAGGCTAGGAAAAAATATTTGTTCTCTAGGAAGAACATCAGTTCATTAAACTCACTCTCATAAAGAAAAGGGGGTCATACACGTAATCCTAGTACTGCATAACACAAGAAGTACAATAAAAACTAGAAATTGGAGGAGGAAGGGGGGTGGGGGTGGGGAAAAATGAATGAGGAAAAGGAATGCGTCAGACATACATTCACATCCAATCAAGCATGCCGAATGTTTCGATTTCAGCCAAACGCATACATTTGACAAGCATGTCCTCTCTCTTCCACTTTGCCTCTTCTGTCCTGTTTGACAGACTGACTGGCGGGATACTAGTAAATCTACCCCCGTGGGGCCCTCCGGCCACTTTCACCATTCTCCACCATTTCACAGTAGCTTTGTTTTGTTCTTCTTCTTCTCTACCTCTCTTACGTTTCGACTGTCGGCTATGTACGCATTGACGATTATCCCGAAAAAAGCGAAATGTTGCGCATCAACAGATTTTCATCCTTGATAATATCGTTTTTCCGTCAAATTGCATTCTAATTTTTCTTTTCCCGCGTTGCAAAATAGCTTCCACGTTCAGAGGCGTCAAACTTTCCATAACTTTTAACTTTCCATGTGATACCTATTTGGATACCGAAATCACGGCCACACCCTTCCGTTTCTCGCTCTGTATCTTTTTCCACTATAACCTGTTAGTTCAAAAACAATTTTCTCGAATGCAGACTTCAAAAAGAGAACGATTACACAACAATTAGACTGTGGGTGACGTGAAAAGATGGTGGAAATCTATAAACCACCGGCGAAGCGGATTTCCAGCCAGCTCATGCAGAAGCTGCGTTTGTTTGTAAGAGATTATTTCTAGAGAAAAAAAAGAATAGAAGACGTTCATATCAATATCAAACGCTTTGAATTTTCAGGAAGAAAGACCTTCAACCAAAGAAGGTCGCGAACAAGCGGGAAATGTGCTCGGAGTCCATCCCAACTACAAAACAGGAACAGGTCAGCCGAAGCAAGAGATTCCCTTATCGAGAGTTGGAGCTTTACCCAATGGAACAGGGGATTACAAAGTGACTTCGCTGCAAGAGACCTACAAGCAGACGTTGATTGACCCGAAGGTACTTTTCAAAAAAATTTAAAAAGACACTTGATTGCCTTGAGTTTGCTTGCTTTATTCATGAGAATTGATGAGTGGTTTGAAGTAATGATAACTGAGTAAACCCGAGATGAAATGATTAATTGTTGGCGAAGTCGAAGTTTTGGTTTGGCTGCCGTTGATTTCCACCTCGCATTCCGAAGCCTGACGACTGGTCGAATCGCGTTCCTGAGTTGGACTGTCGCTCGAAGAACTTCTGATACGATGAAGTATTGTCGTTGAACTGGCGACCTCCTTGTTGAGATGGGGATTGGCTCTCATTGTTCATTTGTCCGAATGGTCCGAAGTCTGATCCTTGCCCGCGGCCTCCTGATCCTTCTTGTCCACGACCTCCTGGCCCCCCTGGTCCACGCCGTCCTGGGAAGTCATCCTGTCCTCCTGGTCCAAAGTCTGGTCCCTGTCCACGGCCTCCTTGTCCTCCTGGTCCGAAGTCTGGTCCTTGGCCACGGCCTCCTTGTCCTCCTTGTCCACGACCTCCTGGCCCTCCTGGTCCTCGCCGTCCTGGGAAATCATCCTGTCCTCCTGGTCCGAAGTCTGGTCCCTGTCCACGGCCTCCTTGTCCTCCTGGTCCGAAGTCTGGTCCTTGGCCACGGCCTCCTTGTCCTCCTTGTCCACGACCTCCTTGTCCTCCTGGTCCACGACTTCCTGGCCCTCCTGGTCCACGACTTCCTGGCCCTCCTGGTCCACGTCGTCCTGGGAAGTCATCCTGTCCTCCTGGTCCGAAGTCTGGTCCCTGTCCGCGGCCTCCTTGTTCTCCTTGTCCTTCTGGTCCAAAATCTGGTCCCTGGGCCCCTTGGTCATTAGACTGGCTACGCTGCGATCCTCTCTTAGTGAAATCGTTCATTGGTCCGTTCTGTCCACCTTGTTGTCCCATTCCTTGCTCTTGAGAGCCTCCCATCATTCTGTACATGAATGGTCTTTGCTGTTGTTGCGCGAACATCATTGGTGAGCCGTACATCATGTTTTGCATGGATTGCTGAACTCCGAATGGAACCATGGGAGTCTGCGGCTTCGTGGCTTGTCCAAAAACGGGAGTTTTGCTCTCGGGGCGGTAGTTTCTAGCGATGAAGAACAAGGCTCTCACTTCCTACAATAGGCATGACTTAGTTGAATGAAACTATTGTGCGTCACTCACTCTTGGGAATGTGACTGAAAGCTTGCGGATCTGATCATGCTGGTCTCTTCTGGTCAAGTTGGTGTTGGAGAGAATCTCTTCGAGCTGATTGTAGACTGTCGATATGTTGGCAACGACAGCTTGGACATTCTGAGTGACAGCGTCTTTCTGTTTCTGAACCTGTTTGGTCCACTCATTGAATTCGTCCTAAAGTTCATCATATTTTTGAAAAAAAGGGTAACCCTCACAGTGACATTGAAAGCCTTAGCCCAGATAGTCAGTTGCTGGTTTTGCTGATCCGTTGAAAACTGATCACTGCTGACAATATCAAAGAACTCCTTTCTCGCAAACTGCGGCACTTGCATGAGGAACTTTGGAAACAGTGGCGGTCCATCCGAGGATGGACGTGGTCCTCCGAATTCGAGCTCTGAGGAATCCTCAGAGTTCTGTGCCAACGACGAAGGAATCAATAGTACGGAGAGCACAATAAGCAGTCTCATTGTTCGCTGAAAATGAGGAGAGTTGGAAAAGAATGTCATAAATGAAAGGAAGTCGAAAAGTTGAGATGCTTTTCTCGGTTCTGACGGGTCTTTAAATAGTTCTTACCTAGTCCTGGTGATCGAGATGTGTGTTCTTTTGAGCACACATTCACTCCGCTCCCTCTGTTCTCCATCTCTCATTCCTCGGGGTCAGTTTTTTCGTCGACGTTAGAAAGTAAACTTCTGTGTGCGCGGAACAAAACAGTCTCACGTTGAAAGCCGATCATACGGTCACTAACCTATTTGAAATAGTGGAGCATTCGCGGAGAGCCCCAAACAAACACCTCTCTTCTTCCGCATTAGAGATCCGCACCATTTCAGAAAAAATTTTAAAGGGGGGTAAATTCGAGTAAACACAATTAGAGGTAACTTTTCGGGGAAGGTGTCTACTTTTTAAAGTACAGAAAAAATACATCAGCGACAGACAACAGCGCTAGAGCGAACTCAGATTGTCATTAAAAATAGCCGAGTTGGCACGTGCCACTCTGAGTTTGCCCCTGTTCGATAGAAAAATCAGTTCAATGGTTTTAGGTCGTTTCCAATGCGAGCATGCCGTATCTCTCGACGCGGATTCCGGAGGCTCGGCGTAACGTAGCTGGAGACTTTCCGAGCGAGCACAGCAAGAGAAGCCAAATCAAACTTGAGCCGCTGGAACAACGTAGATTCAGAGTGAGTTTATTTAACGTTTTCCAATTCCATTATGTGAATGGTGCACTTTTCAGAGTACTGAATCCCGTCCAATCTCAACGAGCAACTATCTCACCGAGAGTGTTGAACGTCATCGTGAGATGGAGGCGTCGCGGCTCAAACAGTATCTTAAAGTATGTAAATGGGTTATTTGGATCGTTTAACTTTCAAGAATAACTTTAAGGCCAAAGAGACTGATGCCAATCAGCCGTGGAACAAGCCGGGATGGCCAGGACCGAAGCCGTCTGCAAATGACGAGAGTCTTCGTGAGCTTGAGACTATCAAGCAGGTTAGTCGTCCATTCAAATTCTATTCATAAACTCGTGCCGCTTTTTCAGAAAGTGGAAACGCTGAAAAGAGTAAGTTTGAGTGTTTTCACTTTCGTTGTCTGTGCATGTTTTGTCTTGTCTTGTTTTGTCTTGTCTCGTCCCATTTTGAAAAGGAAGTCCCTGGCTTGGAAGCGACACTCTTGGATGATCACCTCAACTACTGACACGTTTCCCTTTTTCAACGACTTCTGACTTCTTCCCTGCAAGTGTGATGACGTGTGCGTAATGTGTAGTGGTCTCCCGATATTCAGAAAACTTCACAATCAATGAATGACGTGTCGATGCCGGCGCCAAGCGAGTTCGAGAAACTGAACCCGGTAAGTACAAGGGGTTTTCATATTTTATTTTGAGTGATGGTTGAATTTCCAATCTCAATATGTTTTCATTGAACTCTATAATTTTTCAGCAACCACAACCTTCTCCGATCTCTCCTGGAGAGTCTGGATGGCTGATCAAAATGCGCAAGAACCGCTACCTCGACCAAGCGTCCAAGCTGAATGAGCCGAAAAAGTACAAGTCAATGGAGCAGCTACCAAGCTCTGGAAAGGTTTGTGAACCCCCGGTGGCGCCCACGCCATACAGCCTCCTCTCTTGCTAATGAGCCAATTTTGTCGTCTCCCCCTCCGAGTGCATACTCTGATCGCACACTATTCGCGAGTCTGTCACCTCCAAATTGCGCGGCTATTTCTCATCGAAGCCTCTTGAAACAGCCGACGCACACACTGTGTGAGGCCTCTAAGCTACTGTGCTGCGCCCCGAGGCAGCGCCACGGAGTAGATACGACTGGATGGGATAGAACGTATTTCTCCAATGTCTCTCTCTCCCCTTCCCCCTGGCTTACCCTCCCTTTGCGCACTTTTGTTGACAACTGGGTTCTACTTTTTGCGGATTTTCGTTTCAAAAAACCGTTTTGCGCCAGGAGTTTGTCTTCTACTGTTTCTTTTTTACAACAATTCCCTCCTTTAAGGCTCATCCTCAGTAGAATCTAGTGATATGTCCCTCACAATCCCTCACTGTAGTTTTTAGTGGTACAGGTAGTTTTGCAAATTGATGTTCAAGATTTCAAGGCCTATTATTTATCTCTTGACATTTGAATGCCTTATCAGTGGTCTTTTAAAAAACTCATCAGGCCAATCAATAATCCGCCCCCAAAAACCTATTGACTTTCAACCCCGACCTCTTACCGCGCAAGACAATTTGTTTGTTTCAAAGTTTGTTCAAAACGCGGAGTGCGCGCACTGTTCATTGCATTTTTGGTGGGGGCGCAGGCTTGCTTTGAGGCAGTAATCCGAAACAAAAACAGCGTGAATGACGAGGAAGCAGCAGAGGATTGAATGAAACAATGAGCTACTTGTTACAGGTCGGCAACGACGAGAAGCCGGAAGGGTCGGATCCGTTGCACTGGCAGCTGCGCAAGGAGTTTCATCTTGCCAAATACTCAGTAAGTCTCTACCGAGGGTAACCATTCTTGTCGTGTTCTGCGGCGGAGGAACACGCATAGCTGACCCATAGTGTGCTCATGGTGATAAGTGTTCATGCGTGCGCACCGATCAGCTCTCTCCCTCGGGGTCCTTGCTTTTCTTTTTAACATACGAAACAAGCGCACCAAAGGCAAACACATTGTCGAAATCCAAGGAGTTCCCGGCGCACAGTCTCGGCCTCCTATTATCCTTGAGACTGTTCCACCCGAATGTACAACATGCACATTCCACCATGTTTTAATTTTAAATGGATTCCTTCTCACTGTGACGAATGAGAATGATCTTTCATCACTAATTTGATAGAACAAAGTAGCTGTTCAAACTTTACTTTTTTGCTGACCGACACTATTTGTCTCAGCTTGGTGAGAAATGTCCGACATATTTTCCAAACCCAATCCAAACCTCTCCTCCTCCATTTTTTCTTTTTGTTCTGTTTACTCGAGTACATACCGTAGTGGTCGGCCAGTTCGCTCAGCACTTCGCTCTTCCTCTTTTACAGTCTTCACTAAGCCTTCACTCATTTGACCTATGAAGTTTCACAGCAATCTGGCAATCAGTCTAAATTTACTTCTCATAGACCATCTCTTTATCGTTTCTTACCATTTCTCGCCCTTCTCTACCCATTATTTCTCTTTTTTTAAATCTCACTCGCAAGTCTTTGAGTACCCTGTCTTAGGGGCGCCCGTGCAGTTGCGAGAGCGAGAGAAAAGAGCGAAATAATGAAGTAAAAGCGAAAAGAGAGAGAGAGTGAAAGAAATGGTGACCCGCTATATACACCGTATTGACATTTTGTTCGTAATGAAACATTGACCCGCTTAGCCCAAAAAGCTACTCTTTTCTGGCTCTAGAGGAGGGTTCCTTCATGTCTTCCAACGACGCCAATGAGCCGCCCTACTCGACGGTCCGGCAGCTGAGAGCCGAGTATCTTGCCCGGGTGGCCTCCTCGTCCACTTCTAGGCCGTCGTCCACGTCTCGGACGCCAAGACGAGGCGCAGTATTCGGCACGAGATCCACTCACAGTCTGCCTTACATTCCAGAAGTTGAAGAGGTTATCACACAAATGATCACACTATTCAGCCTAGAATCCATACCCTTTGAAAGCATTTCTCTATGGTCATTACTTTCAGGAGCGTCGTGCATCATACCACGTGGAGTCATCCTCCTACATTCATAGCAGTAGCAATCATCCGGCGGCACCGCATCACCACCAGCCTCCGCCATCTCCACCGCCCGTTCCAGCAGTGATACAACATCAGTCACACCCTTCTCAGCCACCTCCGACTGCGACCATCTTGAACAGACCGCTGTCGAAATCGCAGTTGTTGTATCCACCTGGAAGTACCGAGAATATCGCGAGTGAACGGAAACCTGCCATACGACCTCCAGAAAAGGTACAGTAGTTTAGAGTTTCTTTTGTGCAATTATCTCAATTTTCAGACAGTCTACGAGAACAATCCAATAGCTCCATCCGAGTTGAATGTGCAGATAAAGCGGGCTCCTCCTCAAGGTCCACCTCCACCACCACCCGCTCAACCCGCTGCATCCTCGTCTCGACCGGAAGAGTTTGATTATCCTGAGCGGTTGATGAGCCCACCACCTACTCATCAGCCAAGATCGATTCTCAAAGGATACTCGTCTCACCAATACTATTCTCAAACCAATCTTTCGGAATCTCATCAGTCAACCACCTTGAATCCACAGCAAATGCATCCCCGACCCTCGGACCGTCGCACTCCTACGCATTTCGAAGATCTTAGTGAAGATGAGAAGACACGGATCATGCACGAGAATCTGCAGAAGCATCGAAGTATGCGCAGTGGTCCAAACGGACCGCGCCCAACTGTGACATCTTTCAACGGACCATTCTTCCGATTGGAACAAGTGAGCCCGGGACAGCAGCAACGCAGTCAGTCCGTCGATCCGAGCGGCGAACGTCTTCTGCAGCACACGCGTGACATCTCTGCATCGGAAATTGAGCTGAACCAACACAACTTTTCTCGCAATCTCGAACCTTCGGTAGTTGTGTGGCCACCGCTTTCCGATAAAGAACGGAGAAGGCCGCCGTCCGTACTGGCTAAGAACTTCAATGATCCCGATAAGATAGATGAGTACCACCGGCAGAAAAGGTTGGAGCATGAGGCAATACAACGACATGAAGAGCAGCAGATGATTAGCATGACCAAGCAGATCAGAGCCATGGAGATTCAGCAGCAACGGCTCTACGAACAGTCGCATGGAGTGACGTCTCCGGTACCGATCATGGAGTCCATCTCTCCTCAGCCGACTCACCACTACCCAACACATCCGTACCCCACCCAGCCGCCTCCGCAACATCAACAGAGTCAGCCACCACAACAGCAGTACTATCCACCTCCGCCTCCACCTCAATCAATGAAAGATCCGGAACCGCTTCCCTATCCAGTGCAAGTTTTCGAGACACGGCCAATCTCGGCCCTCTCTGATCAAATGGATCAGCCACCAACCAGCTGGAAGCGCACTTATATTGTTGAGAAGCCGAGAGATATCGCGAAGAATGAGATTCTGACTTCGGAAGAACTACTCGAGAAAGAATTTTACGACGTGGATCTTTTAAAGCGACGTGAGACCTTTGTGGAAAAGCCTGACGAGCCGGTGAGAATCAACCGACTTGGAAAGCGATGGCAGCCACCGCCGGAGAAGCCCTATGTCTGGCCGACTCTTCGTCGTGCGATGTCAGTAGAGCCAAATATGAGACCTATTGATTTTTCTCCGGGAGTCCCCGCTAATTATGATGATGCTGATGAGTACAAGTGGGCGCCCGTAGTGAACGATCCGGGATATAAGAAAGAGGAGAAGAACTTCACGCCAGTGAGCAGTCCTCCAGCTTCTCCCAGAAGAGGACACGGTGCAGGGCCTTTGGATGAGCCAGCGAAGCGACAGGCAAAGTATGTAATACAGCCCAGTCCTGACGGAAGTCACCGCCCGAAAACCGTTTTCCGGAAAGAGAGACACGCTCCTAGCGGAGGTTTCTACCCGCATGCTCCCAATGCAATAAAGATTGTGAAAAAGAGAGCTCAATCGGTTCAAGGAATATTGTCGCCTTCTGACAATGTTGAAGTGATCCACCAAAGAAACTACCACCGATTGGATCTGGAGCAGAACGGACAGCACAAACTGCGCAGAAGTCAGCACGGAGGAAGTGAGATTGACTTGAGGAAGACCCAAGATCTGCCAGATTGGGAGAAGATCTATGAGCTCCCACCGCACAGCTCGCAGATTGTACAGAAAGTAAGTTCACATTATCAGAGATTGTGATGTATTTTCCTTTATAGGATATGCCAAGACACGTAGATGTGCAGCGGAGGCTCTCCAAGTTTGAAGGCTCCATTCAGAATCTTCGCGCGGCCAGTTCACAACAGCACTTGGACAGCGTAAGTCTAAAGGGGGTAGTGATAGCGTACACCACCAATAGTGAATTAAAAAAAAGAACTTCAAAGCCATACATGCTTGTTTTGTAAACCTTTTGCCGCTCTCAGTTTTACATGCTCATTTACGCTTCCCCATTTCCCCGAGTGCCGTGTCTTTTGGGTGTGCAAATGACCATTACAGATGCAACAGTTGCACTTTCCAATGCCTGACTATGAGCCGCCTCAACCACCTCATCAGCAGAGAAGGCGCACAGAGTCTTCCAACTATCGCAGCGGAGGGGCACCTCCTCCGCCTCCTCCGCCCATGCCGATTCAGCAACCGAGAGAGGTACTTGAAAATCAGCAATCAGGAGTTCTCAAACAGTAATCATTCAGATGTCTCGTCGCAATTCGGTGGCTTCTACTCGCATCGATTCTCCGTCTCTGATGGTCCCTCATCACCATCAACGGCAGTCTCGCTCCGATTCCCGAGGTCCTCCACAGTCCATGTCACGTGCGGCTTCTTCGATCCCTCTCTCGCCTCAACCGACTCCGCAGCACCATCACCATCATCATTCTCAACGACCGACGACTCCCGGAGCCACCCGTGCCCGAAACTATATTGCTAGGGCAACAGCTCCGAGCCCAACTCCGTACTCCTACGATCGGGCGAGAGCGTATGTTCCGCCAGCGTTGCCGCCTGGATACAGAGTATGAGTTAAAGATTCTGACAATAACATGATACTGTTCATTTAAGCTCGCTGACCCACAGCCTGATCCTCGCGCGATGTCCCCTTCGCCGGGACACACTCGCAAGTTGATTCGGAATGTGTCCGAATCAGCGCAGCGCCTCAATCCATCCGGATCTACGCCTCAAACTTCGAGAGCGCCATCACGACACTCGCATCGACAGAGTCCCAATCCCCGATTTCTATGACTAGAGCTTCCCTGCCAACCCAACCTCATGCATTTATCATAGGCCATTATAGAGCAACCTAGTCGTTGTATTAATAACTTTCTTACTGCTTTCTCTCACGTTCTACTTTCAATATTGAATCTTCCCGTTTTGCTCACCCATTTCCGATGGCTTTCTTCTATTTCATTCTCAAAAATATTATGTTTAATTTGAGCTAATTGTCCCGTACCCTCCTACCTTAGTATATGTGTTTTTTTTTTTTAACTTTTACCCTAATCCAGTCAATTTCTGACAGCTGCATCGTTCGAAAAGCAGGTGAGATTTAAAACAAAATACGATTCTTTCAGAAAAAAGAATCTAAGCCAGGGATTTCTGTGTCTAAATGTTTGCATGTTTACGTTTCGTTGCGTTAATGTTGTAGATGTAGAACTGTCATGTCCTTCTCGTTTCCAACATTTTTTTCATTTCAGGAAGCCAACAAACCGCCAGCGGTAAGTTTACCAACTTTTTTGGAAGGGAGTACGGTAGATCTAGGGTGTGGCTAAGCTAATAACATAATTTATTCATAACGTTTGGTTACTTGACAACAACTGACCACTAGAGCTTCCTCATTCATCTCGCAATTAACACAGAACGCGGAACTTGACGAATGGTCGCGACGTGGCGAAGAACTGCGTCGCCGAGATGGACGATCCAAGTACAAGCTCGTCGAGTCGGACATCTATAAGACAGATCCAGATCCGATCCCCTCCAGTTTCAAGGTCCCCTTGCTTATTGATTTGTTTCTGCTTCTCCTTAACACTTGTTAGGTTTAGGATCAAGTTCGTGAGCTGCTCGAGTCGAGAAACTCTGTGGAGACGACCACGACAGCCCGGGATCAGGATAAATCGGGATATGTGACGGTTAGTGACCTAGCACTTACCCTCCACGAAAAGCGTGTGCAGTGAGCACTAGTAGGCCATAGGAAACCCATAAATCTATCCCAAATGACACCCTTTTGAGATCTCCCACTAACTTTGCAGGATGTCTCCACTGCCACCTGGAATTTCTCGACTCTCGACTACTCTCCCAGATCTGTGGTGAGCATGAATGGAGCCCGTGATGATATACTAAAGGTTTTAAACTTATCTCTCTCTATTTTTCATACATTTTGCACACACGTTACGCACCTCGGTACTAATCTCTGAACGGCTAAGTACTACTATATACTAACCATCTACCGTACAACCGACCTCCGTCCGTCGTCCGTATCTCCGTACGAACGACCTCTTTTCTTATCTCTGTCCGCTCTGCAATGTGATAGTACAGACGGTGCCACCACTTCGTACGAAGACACCTCCACCGCCGCCCCCGCCGCCACGTCGCTACGAGCTCTACGAGCAACACGAGCGCTACACTTCTGCTCCAAATCTTCAATCGGCCGTCATTCGTATTCAGGTTTTTCAAAACTATTGGGTTTTTCAGTTATTGTTGTGTCACACAATGTCTATTTGCATGATAATTATAACGTGGTGGTTGTACGCTATGCACTTCTTTTTCTTCTTTCCAACGCTATCATCAATCCATGCGACATTTTTAGGATGACAAGCCGCGCAGCATTATGAAGAGACGAGAGCTCGAGAGTCGCGAGCAACTGCTCTACCCGACTGTCGACACCCAGGTCGTCAAGTCGTTCGTTCGTAAACCGACTGTGACAGAGACTGTTCAACGATTCGAGGAGACTCGCCGTACTGAAGAGGTTAGTGACTTCAGCATTAAATCATCAGATGAACAATTGAGTTCCAGGTCGAGCGTCGTGTGCAACGCCGTGAAAAGAAGGAGCGCCGTAGTCGTCATCATTCCTCTTCTCGTCATCAATCCGGATGGGAGGGACAGACCGGAGGATACCAAGGTACAAAAGTCGCATTACAGACTGTAATTTACATTCGACTATTTGTCTACAGTTTATTCATTCTAACAAAGACTACCAAAGCCACTTCTTCGGTTGAATGTCGGTGTGATTTCACGTTCATGTCGGTGTCCCTTTCCAGAATATCGTCAAGGTGCCGTCGCCTCCCTGCCACGTCGGCAGATCATTCGTGAGGCGGATCGTGCAATGACCGAAGAAGAAATGAACAAAGTGGTTCGCGAGGCGTACGCAGCAGCCGACGAGGCCCGACGTGACAGCCGTACGAGTTCACTTCCTTCCTGTCCCTCATTCATTCTCACCCTGGGTTTCTGAATTTTTCGGAAAACTACTTTGTCCTATTTCTCCTATCCTAACAACAACATCTTCCTATTCAGTTGATCATGATTCTTCAGGTCATCGCAGTAGCTCGCTGAGCCGTGGAGGATATCTGCCAGGAGGTCAAGAGACCTACTACCGCCAGGAAACCACTCGTCGTCAGCAACATAACAATTACGTACGTTTCAGATGTTTTGGGGACTTAACACACATGCTCATACTGTTTCAGGACGACAACTTCAACCGCGGAATAGCGCATGCGCGTTACGGTTCGTTGTCGGATTCGTTGCGTCGCGGCGAGCTGAAGTACGTACCGAACGGCGAGGTTCGCCAATCGTTCTACCGTGATGGAGCCAACGGAGGACAGAGAATGCACAAAAGCTACTCGACACGTAAGGAAATCAAAGTGAACTGAATCTACTACGAAAGATGTTTTCAGGTGATGTGTTCACTGGAGAAGGTGATGACCGTCGCTCCGTCTCTTCATTCCGTCGTGGAAGTCAGCAGCAGGTATCTCCATTCGTCGAGTTCCCACCAACTCTTCCACGCGGAGGATACCGTGAGGATGCCCACTTCCGTCCGGTGAGCAAGTCTCGCAGCTTTGCCGATTGGGACGATGCCGGACGTGCTGGAGTGGGCCGTGAGGTCCGTCCATATCACGACGATATGAGCAGACTCGAGAATGAGTTCCGTGATTCTCTGCTCATGCCACTGCCAGCTGGCAACATGTAAGTAGAATAACTTGAAATCAGGTTTAATGGACGCATATTTAGGAATGAGCGTGATCATAGAACCGAACAACTGCCAGGAGGCTATGAGACATTCAACAAGGAGAGACATGCCAACAGTGGAAGACGTTCTGGACGTGATGGAAAACCTGTTGACTTCAAGTACAGTCTCGAATCCATTAAATGACAATAAACCACTTTTGCAGCGAGGCATCCCAAGAGTACAGCTACAAGAGGGAACAGAACTTCGATGACAGACGTCGTCGTTAAGAAATGATTGCTCTTCTGAATCCGATCGTTCGCCCGGTCAATCCATTTTCGCTCGCTTCCTGCCTTTTCTTTTCGGTGCTCGCTTCATGATTTTGACTGGAAAGTTAATCAATTCTATCAATTCTATGCTTAGTAAATAAGACCTCTCGAAGAAAGTTCCCCAAAATTTCAGTTTGATGTTTTATAGTTACTCTATCTTTAATCCCTCTCCTGCTTCCAGTGCCACCGTGTTTTGTCAAATTTTTTAGAATATACACTATGTTATTTACGGGCTGATTCAACTCACCAGAAGTTATGCTTTCAGATGAGTTGCGTGGGTTCATAAACAACATAATTCTTTGACTGCTGCTCAGAAACTGCCTTTTTCCACGCGCATTTCGCGTCTTTCTTCCCTTTTCACCTTTTGCATAAACTTCGTACGTATTTTACTTCTTCGTCTGTTTAGTTTCATGAATAAAACATGCACTTAAATTATTGGCTAAACATTTATATCAAAACAGTGCATTTAAAATGGGTTCGGGCAGTTTCCCGTGTTGATGAAGACCGACTTTAGATGAGTGTAATGCTCGAGGGCTGCGACGCCATTTTCACGACCGAATCCGGACTCTCCGAGTCCTCCAAACGGGACTAACGGAGCTGCAAAGATCATAAAGTTACTTCAGTCAATGGGGTGAAGAACTTACAAACGTCATTGTACGTGTTTACGTAAACATTACCAGCATTCAAGCGCTCCGAAACTCGATACGATCGTGCCAAGTCTTTGGTGACCAAACCAGCCGCCAATCCCATCTTGGTATCATTGGCAATCTTGACGGCTTCTTCTTCGGTTTCAAATGGAATGATTAGAAGGACAGATCCAAATATCTCCTCCTGATAAACAGTCATTATACGAGTGATGTCTGAGAGGATGCATGGGGAAAGGTAGAAGCCGCCCTCGAGTCCATCAACTACCACTCGTTCTCCTCCACACAATTTGGTTGCTCCTTCGGCAATCGCAGCTGAAACACTGAATTTTCAGTAACTCAGTTTCCAAAAAATGCAGAGGCTAGTGATTATTGAGAAGGAAAACTGACAACTAATGTATCCTTCCACTTTGTTCCGATGTTCCGCAGAAATATGAGCTCCAACCTTTGTGTCATCATTCAACGGATCTCCAACTTTCATCTTCTTCGTTGAATCGACCAACTTCGTGGTGAACTCCTCGAGTATCTTTCTGTGCACCAACACTTTTGAGGCATTCGAGCAAACTTGTCCCTGGCTATAAAAGTTTGCCATCATTGCGCAAGAGACGGCAGTATCCACGTCAGCATCTTCGAATACGATAATTGACGACTTTCCTCCGAGTTCCAATGTTACTGGCTTTATATTGCGTTCCGCACACGCCTTCATGATCTTTTTTCCTGTCGGAATACTTCCAGTAAACGATACTTTCGTCACATCGTCATGCAAAATTAGATCTTGAGCAGTCTGCGCATCTCCTTGAATCACATTGAACACGCCATCCGGGAGCCCGGCAGTCTTCAGAACTTCCGCGAGGATCAAAGCAGTTACAGGCGAGAGAGGGCTTGGTTTGTAAATGACCGAGTTTCCACAAGCGAGAGCAGGAGCCGTCTTCCAGGAGCATGTCTGAATCGGATAGTTCCAGGCGCCAATGGCAGCAACGACTCCAACAGGAATACGACGAGTGTAGGCGAAGCGACTCTGATCGAGAGGAACATGACGACCAAGGAGATCATGAGCTGAACAAATTTTTGCTTTTGATAATAATTATCATTATCGGTCAACCCTACAGATTCCTGAGTAAAATAAGAATGTATCGACACATGAAAGGACGTCTGCTTTTGCCTCAGATATTGGCTTTCCGTTGCTGACGCACTCCCAATGTGCAATGTCATTGCAGTGATTCTTGAGCAGCTCCGCGGTCTTTCTCAGCACTTCACTTCTTTCGATCCACGTTTTCTGGGCCCAGCCCTCTTGTCCTTTCTTTGCCGCTGTAACGGTTAGATCAACTTGTTCCTTAGTTGCGTAGTACCACGTGGCTATTGACTTTCCTGAATCATTATCATCACTTTTCCTGGATAACTTGCAAGAATTTACCGCTTCTGGGTTCAATGACGTCAAATTTCCGATCGGACGGCATTTCAACAAGCGATCCTCCGACAAAGTGTGAAGCTTCCAGAAATTGTCCCTTTTTCAGAGCGTTAAGATTCATCAGATGTGGCAAGATGCGCATTTTGGGCTGTAGAAGTTAGAATTCAGAAACTATCGGGATATTTTGCTAGCGAGCAACAACGCGTCATATTATTTTCAAGTGAAAACAAAATTGTCATGACGTGACTTTCCCAAAACGCACCAAAAGAACCGGACTTCTTCTGAGCTGCGCCGGATGAGAGCCCTCGTCTCCTTGGGGCACTTTACGTCCTCTCTTCTCAAAGTACTCTCTCCAGAAGTCAATCAACTCGCCCTTCACGTTATTAAAGTTCAAAGAATGACTCGGCCATTTCATATCGTCAGTTTTGAACGCTTCCGTGATTAGCTGACTACAATAATACGATTCACTCCCTTCGGAGTTGAGAAGATCAGAAGAAAACAGGTCATTGTATGGTAATCCTATCTTTGTTCGGGACCACGCGGCAGCCTGGTCTTTACGTTCTTCAGACGTCAGGGGAGTAACTACTTCAACGTATGACGGTTCGTTTTCAGCTATGCTTTTCCAGAGATTGGGATATTCTCTAACTCCATCAGTACTGGCTTCAATGATGGTTCCCAAGTTAGACACGATTGCCACGTGGAAAAAGTCGTTGTTGGCGACGACTTTCTCAACGGCTTCACAAAACTCAGAAGCGGTATTTCTCCCAAAAAACACCAGATCCCCGGGATTGAGCATCTGCAAGATATGGGTTAGTCAGTAACTTGTGTTAGATTTGAAGAAAAACAAACGACAAGTGATACGGATTTATTACTGACAAGAAGAAAACATAAACGTTCTTATCACTCAATGGAAGAGAGGAAGAAAAGTAAAAAAAGACAAACGTCAAGGACATTCGGCCGCGAGAAAAGGGAGGGTGCGAGTAAATAATGTGATAACAGGAAGGTTGTTTTTAATTTTGCAGAAATATGACTAGTATTTTCAGAATGCTCTATCACAAAAAATGCCGTATACCTGTATTTGAGGAAAAGTTAGTGTTATGTTTATGTTAGTAGATGGTCAAACCGGCTGACTAGTTACGATGATTTCTTCGAATAATGAAGAGGCGCTGCTGAGGAACTTTTGAACCGCAGCAGGCATGTGATCAGAGAGCACCGACACTGAGAGTTTAATTTCACTCAGGCATCTGAAATAACAAATTATAGTTCACTTTTAAAGCTATAGAAATGCTTACTTCGGATCTATCCAAGTTTTAGACGTTGTTCCCTCGTGAGAGGATAGATAGACTATCCGTCCTGGCACGTAGAGTTGCAATCGGTTTGCCAGGCTTTGGCTTTGGCTGCGAATCGACAGACAGCGTGTTGTTGCATCAGATGGTTCCAACGTCTGCTGCACTCCACCGTATGAATTCCCACGCGTCAAAAGCGCCGATTCCAAATCGGTAGCGTCTCGCCGAACGCCTGAGAGGCCTTCGTCTTGCCACGGATACTTAAAGAATAGCTGATAAACACCACGAATCAAAATCTCGTGCTTGGCTCTTTGGCAAATAGTGAGCTCATTGAAGATACGCTCTCGGAGCCTATGCAGCGACTGGAATGACATCCTCGAGACGATATCATCTCCGGAGACTACGCTCATAACGTGTTTCTCCATTTCGTCCTGTCCAAACTCGCTGATAACACATCCCGGTGGTGCAAAGGCATAGCAGATGACGGATGGGTATTCTTGCTTCAGAAGCATCGTCAGAAGGGAACCGACTCCTGCGCCTAAAGAATGACCGCAAACGACCAACTGATAGTCCGGATTGCTGATGAACAAGTCGTTCAAAACTTTGTTTTTGCTGGAAAATGAAAACTTCCATTAGAATCAAATGCATTCACTCACTTTAAACAATCAAATACATATCTGGCACTTCTCAGCATTCCTCTGTGCACTCGTACATCCCCTCGCTTATCGATCTCTTCGTCTTCTCGCAATGTCGCATCCTGGTCCACGTCCACCGTCAGAAGCTCATCTTCAAGGCTCAGGTCTGTGACAAGGTCGATCAAGGAGCATGATCCGCGTATTGTTATCACAATCGATCTGCGATCATGATCGGCAATTACTGCAAATGGAGTTTCGTAGACGCGATTTCGGAAAGACATGAACTGAAGGTCCATGTTGCGCTCCTCATTGGTCAGTATTACTGCCGCCGTGTTGCAGTAACAACAGTTGTCCTCCACGACCATCGACTGTCCCTGTAAGAAGTTCACAGCTTGTCACAACTATTTTCAAGGGTCCGTCTACAAAAAGTGAAGGCAGCTGCACAATATTCACAACTTATTAGTACAAACCGCGCCGTGCAAACATTTCACACCAGAAACCCCTACCTTTCTGCACCTAACCAGGGTATCCGGAAGGCTCTTCTCCTCCAACTCGATGTCTCGCTTCTTTTGTTGCCTCGCTCTCGTCACGTTATCAGAATGCTACACGTTTCAGAAAAAACAAAGACATTACAAAATAGCAACTAGAGTGGAAGAAGTTAGCGGAATCAGCGTTGAATAGAATGTTGTTTTAACGAAGTGTAGTTTTAATGAAAATAGGCGTTTACCTGAGCGCATCGCATTCTCCCACAGCATTGAAGCTTCCTGAATAGACGGTAGATGGCACCGATGCGGAAATTGTACAAAATATAGGTCGGCCATCCGTAAACGCATGTGGCATGATGCAGGAAGTATTCCGCGTCTTTCAGATTCATCCAGGAAGGTCGAGAACCTGGAAAAAACTATTAGTGGTTCAGTAATTGGAAAACTAGTTATTTCAACTCACTTGCTTCTTTTTCTTGAATCGGAGGATACTGATTGTTAGGTGAATGATACGCGAGAAGGAGTCCTGCGAGGACATCACTGGGGACCAGGTCAGAATCAACAAAGAATGAAGAGATTAGAATTGCAACTTCATCCAAGGCAGCTCTCATCGAATGATCTTGACCGATCTTGAAAATGCGCATTCTTCTACTCCACGACCTTTGAGCAATAGTTGCACTGTCTTCAACATCATTTTCAGTCAGATGAAAGACTATAATAAGTCCGATTGAGGCGGTGAAGATGAGAAACCATTCAAGAATAATGGTTACTCGAGCAATCGTCGCAAAATTACAGCTATCGCCGCCATTAGTTGCCCCTAAATTGTCAATTTTTGTAATTTAACGACTTTCTGATGACTCACTAAACGCATGGATGGTGGACAGAATAGTGAGTGCGATTTCGACTAGAAATATCGGGAGTCTGATGTAAATGAGCTTCGGCACCAATCTTCTAGGCTGTGAGTCCATGATAGTGCCTCTCGCTGAGACAAGCGCTGTCAAAATGGCTGAAACAAACTCCAAACTTGAAAAGCTGAAATAAAAAACTTACCTAGCAATATTGTGATAACATTGATAACTAAAAGGCCCAGAAACTGAAGAGTAAGATTGTGGGTGGAACATGACATCGGAAAGTGAAACAGGAATACGGATACTCCAAAAGTCACCCTAAAAATAAACATGTTTCTTTTTCTTCAAAGTTACAAGGCTTACCATGACGTTCTGACGATCGCTTCTGTGATTTCTGGGAACACGAAGTCGTCGCTGCCGATGTTCCATTGTCTGTTAAAGGCTACAAGCGAGGGCATGACATCGTTTGAAAGTTGGCAGTCTTCGAACGAACTTAAAAATTGCGAAATTATTTTGTCAAGTTGATGTCCTTATAAGGACATCAACTATATATAATTATAACGGAGAATGTGAAATGTTGCTGTGGGGCGCATTTGCTGTATGGCCTTGTGGCCGTGGTCGAGAATGTTTTGGCGGCAGCCTGCGAGACCCATTTTTCCTTTTGAAAATCAAATGGGGCTATTCAGCGTATGTTTGTTTTCCGTTTTTTTACATCGCTGAATTGGATTTTTTGACGTAAAAAAACGAAAAAAAACGGAAAACAATCATTTTTTCACAGCCTGAATACCCCCAAAACAGTCTGTGCTCATTTGGTCGACAGTGATTCTTTGCGAGGGTGACGAGGAAAATTCTAGTCCATTTGCCCCGGGGTCGCAGGCCGGGGTACTAGGCCACGGTTTCCGCCGATTCCCCCGGCTGAACAAGAAATTATTAGACCACGCCAGAAGTTAGGCTAGGAGGCCGAGACGAAGAAACTGGGCCATGGGAAATGTTTCACGAATTTCGCGCTTGTTTCATATTTTAGCGCTTGTTCTCTGTCAATTAATGCTTGTTTTCGGCTGAGTTTTGTATTTTTTTGTCTCAAAAATGAGAGAACGCAGTTTATAGAAGCTTTATTATTTTTAGTAATTGTTATCAACAGAGAAAAATTGCCAACAGCAAAAACTAATAACAGCGCTGTGTAATATTCCTGCAAAGCAGTAAGAACGTCCTCAAAATGCTGTCGGAAACAATTGCGGCTAAACAGAAAGCGCACGCGCCGAACTTGCAAAATTGCGTGCGGCAATTGCGCAAGGCCACGCCCCCTTCTTTGAATGGTGGCCGAGTTCGCGGCGCGTTTCTCACTACACCCTCGCAAAGAATCACCGTGGGTCATTAGTCTACTCCATCATCGATCAGGTTTCATCGCAAATCGGTTATTGTGGTACTCGTATTCATGTTTTCACGCAAATGTCCCCTCTGCGTGCGCTAATTCTTGTTTTGAGCCCAAAATTAGGCCAAATACCCTTATCTGTACTGAGTTTATGTATTTTCAGCCAAACAACGAATTCAAAATAAGCTGAAAAAACTGTCATGCAATAATGGGTGCTTATTTGAACAAACCGATAGTTGAGAAGGAGAAGGAGGAGGGAACCGGAAATGGGTTGAGCTTTGCTTGTACCACGATGCAGGGCTGGAGAGCCAATCAAGAGGTATTTTCGTTTTTTTTTTCTTAATTTTTCACGTACATTTGTTGGTTTCAGGATGCTCACAACTGCGTCGTCGATCTTCACGATGGATGGAATATGTTTGCGGTGTACGATGGACACGGAGGAACAGAAGTATCCAAGTTCACGTCCGCAAAACTGCCCGACTTCTTGAAGACTCGCAAATTTTGGGAAGCGAGCGATATCGAAAATTGTCTTCAGACAGCGTTTGTCGATTTTGACGATTTCATTCGCTCTGAAACTTCTCTGAAAGAGCTGAAGGTATTGATGTCTTTCCATGATCTTGTCTAGAATAACCGTTATAGGAAATTGCAATTTCTGGCAAGAAGAAGAAAGTGAACAATTCTGAAGATGATGCGGACACAATCGATACGATTGAGGAAAGCTCCATTCCGCTGCCTGAGCTCATAAACAGATACGGAGCTGCGGCCGGTGGTGGTGGCATTGGAATATCGTTGTTCAAAGCTTTCATGCTGAATCAGGGAGGAGAAGAGTCGGAAGAGGAAAGTGATGACGACAACGAAGATGAGGAGACTGAGGAGACCGAGGAGAAGACCGAGGAGGACGGTGACGAAGAAAATGAAGAAGTCGAAAAGGCCGAAGAAGCAGAACCAGCTGCGTCAGGAGACAAGAAGAAGGTGCATAAGAGATGCAGCAAGTCGCCAATTCAATCAGAGGCAAAGAAGTCGAAGTCTGATGAATCTCATGATAATGAGGAGAAAGATGAGCCGGAAACGGATGTGCCCATGTCATCTTCGTCTGCAGAAGCAGCTGCTGGTGACACTGCTGAGTCTGAAGAGGATTCTGACAAGGATTTCGTTGCCGATGAAGAAGTTGAGGAGGAGCAAAGTGATGAGGAGATCGAAGAAGCCGATCTGAGCCAGTTTGTTCTCGGTGCTGGAGGAGCGGAGACCCCGGGAGAGGACTCTGGAACTACTGCTTGCGTGTGCCTCGTTGGAACCGACAAGATCGTTGTCGCCAACGCTGGAGACTCAAGAGCCGTTCTGTGTCGTGCGGGGAAAGCAGTTGATCTTTCTGTGGATCACAAGCCAGAGGATGAGGTGGAGACAACTCGTATTCATGCCGCCGGAGGATCAATTGAAGAGGGGCGTATCAACGGAGGTCTGAACCTTTCTCGTGCGCTCGGAGATCATGCATACAAGAAGAATCGGGCTCTTCCGTTGAAAGACCAAATGATCACGTATGAATTGTGAGCAGTCATTCTTCATAACTTGTTTTACAGTGCTCATCCAGACATCAAGATCGAGCCGTTGACTCCCGAAGATGAATTCATCGTTGTGGCTTGTGACGGAATCTGGAACTCAATGGAGTCTCAACAGGTCGTCGACTTTGTCCGCAATCTTCTCAAGGAGGGCAAGTCGTGCTCCGAAATATGCGATGCTCTTTGCGATTCATGTCTTGCCGATTCGACCGATGGAGACGGCACTGGTTGCGACAACATGACAGTTATCTGCGCCACTTTCCAGCGCTAGATTGATAAATCTCCTATTCCCATGTTCCTTGATCCTCAGACCCTTCCCAGCCTCTTTTCTTTCTGTAACCCTTCCCAATTCCGGTGTAACTGTTGGCATTGGCTCTAAAACCACACAAGGCACTTCATCAGTAATTGGCTCAAGTAATCTTCATATTTTTTCAACTTCTACTTAATAAATTATCAATTTTGGGCCACTTTGACTTCTTTGATGCTGCTTTCAAGTCCTTGTAGCCCAGGGTGTCAGTGAGTTTCACCGGTACGTAGTGACGGCATCGAAAGACCACCTGTTTCACTTTAATTTTGGATCCGAACTCCAGTTTGAGAACGGAGCTGTTGTTCTTGTGCAGCTCGTAGTTGAGCGCCGAGAAAAGTGAAAGAAGACGTCCGCCGAATCGGATCACACATCCGTACGGGTACATCTCTTTGAACAGCTGGTGACCGCGCAGTATCAATTGAATATCATTGTTCGCGCAGAATTCCTCGACGACGTTTCGGGCGTAGGTGAAAGAGATTCCACGATGGCTCAGTCCCCAACCACTCCTTTCCGGCTGAGCTGGATCCGACCAGAGAAGATCGCAGGGCAGTCCGAACGGAGGAATCACCAGAGGACGCTCGATCTAGAAATGAAGTTTCGCAAATATGGAAAAGTTGCGGAAGTATCTCACAGCATTGATATCCTCAAGCGATTGGAGCCACGGAGAGATGCCACCGTGCGCGCAGAACACTTTCAGTCCGATTGTGGCCGCCAGGGGCATGCAATTAAACGTCTCGATGAACATCTTCCACACCTCCAGACCCACTTCCACGCTCTTGTAAGCTTCGAGACATTCGTCGTAGAATCCGTAGTTGAGAGTCGTGTTTATGTCCTCGTGATTGCCACGAAGCAAGTAAACGCTGTCGGGGTAGCGATGTTTGAGACAAAACAGAAGACACATGACGATGATGCTCTGAGATCCTCGATCTACGTAATCGCCGAGAAATAAGTACTTTTGATTGGGCGGCGGCTCGCATGCATTCAGAATTCGAAGCAGATGAATGGATTGGCCGTGCAGATCAGCAACAACGTTCACCGGATCGCTGTTGAGTTGGAGCAAAGTGGGCTGCTCCAGAAACGACTTTTTCATCTTCTCGGTCAGCACTTTGATCTCTTCAACGGTGATTCCCACATCTATGTGAAAAATTGGAAGGCCCTCTGGCTCGTGATCGAGAAAAACCAGTGGCGAAGAGAGGATCTTGTAGAGAAGAGCGAAGACGTCGTCGTCATGGTTTATCGCAGGAGTGGATGGAGGTGCAGCAACCAGTGAATATGCGGATGCAGTAGAGTTCTGAAACCGATCCTCGGAGTGAGTCAACGTGAATCTACTTACTTCCACGATTTGAGCCATTTTTTTGTTCAAAATCTCATGCTCTTGCACTAAAAATAATGAAGAAGTTGTACAAAACGTTATTACCCTCTCAGTTCACGTGTGCAAAAACAATAAATTTTATCTCAAAATAAGATGCCATGAATTATGAATAAATACTACGGAATCTATAAAATTCATCTTTCGCAAACGTAGAATAATCTGGTTTCGACATGGATGTGTCGTATCCGAGAATGCTCAAAAATGGAGCAATTTCATCTAGCTTGCCGAGAGTGTCCTCGCTGAAACAGTTGAACCACGATGTGAGAGCATCCGTGTTGATCGAATTTTTTACTTGTGACGCCGAAAATTCTTGTCTGAAAATAAAGAAGTCAAAGTTGTTAGTAACCCCGTTCCTTACTCATTCAAATCAACTTCAGCGCCAATGAGCTCGTGATGTCGTAACATTTGATCGGAGTACGGTAGGTCAAGAAAGTTGGTGACTCTCTGTATCTCATCCTGAGGTTTTTGTATCAATCGCTCATAATACACTTTGATGCATTGGCCCGGAGCATTATTGCATTGAAACACCATTTTGCGAATCTCCTGATTCCATTTAGCAAACATGCCCTGAAAGTTCATGACGATTTCTATCAATTGGAGCTCGTCGAACTAACATTTTCATCAGAGGTGTTGTAACCAGCCACCGGAACTTTTCTTTCTATCATAGAGTGAATGACTGCTCGAGCATCACGGAGCATCAGAATGAATTTGGAATTAGGGTAAAGTCTGCGGATAGTGGGTACCCAGAGTGCCGTATAAGGATCTTTGTTGCACAGTCGTGGAGCCAACTCTCCGTGCTTGGCAATAATCTAAAAAGCTGTTTGTATCATGCCAATACATTTTCAAACCTCTGTGATAAAGGCTGAAACGGCATCATCGAAAACTTCTCCAGTGATTCCTGAATTGTTGACCCAATCATTCCGCCATCCAGCTTGCCACGTCAGAAAACTCGGCAAAAGCATAGTTTCGCCACCACTAAATTCTCGAACTTTCTGTGGCATAATCGTTTACCCCAAACCATCTAACATATGGGTGTGCATCCAGTATTGCTCTCATCAAAGTGGTGCCTGATCTGGGCACTCCTCCCACAAATATCAATTGTTCCAAATTGGATAACATATTTCTGGAGTGTCTAGCATCTTTCTGATTGAACAGAAGAACTTGTTTCGAGAGACTCATAAGTTCAAGCTGCTTTTCTAGATGTCTGCTAAACATTTTCGAAAATTGAAAACTATATGTTGCATGTTTTACCATTTTATAGAAAAAGTAATCAAGGCGCAAGAGACGAATACAAAAATGAAGCAATAAAGGAAGAAGCTGGAACTAGTAGAGTAGAGCCGACGAGTCAACATTTTGTGAGAGCTGCGAGTTCGGTTAATATATTCGTAGATCCGAACGAGAATCGGTTCTTTGTTTGCACTGATTCTATTTAAAAGCGAAAGCAGTCAGTTATGGAAAATAAAATCGGACGATAACGGATAAATGGCGCCGGGAAACTGTTTTGACTGGAGCAACGAGCTGTTCGACGACCTCTGCGATATGCTGCGTCGCTTCTGCAGATCCTTCTTATCAAGCAGCGTTGCGGCCATCTTTGGACGAGCTGCCACATGGATGACGGTTGGTCGGTTGATCGCCATCTCGCTGGAAATTACCTGCAACCCATTGTGAGAATGTGTGTGTGTGTGACGTCCCGCACGAAGAAGACAGAAGTGTGGAGAGTACGATAAAGCCATACTTTACTTGAAAAATAAAGAAAATACAAGTGGAAATGGGAGGTCGTTCTTTGTTTGGTATAATCGTCGGAATGTGAGTGTTCATTCCGAAATTAACGTGACCTCAGAAGATATATTGCCCTTGGAGCCCACTTTGCTCTCCGCTCTCCAGCTCAATTTTTGGCTCAGAATCTGAAAACTGCCACGTCAAAACAAAAGCACATTGTGCGAAGCGGTGAAATACGTAAAAACACAAAACACACACCTGAACATTTCAGCCCGTAGGTTTGTGCGCTGCATTATCCAACGTGCCAACTTTCGACTTTGCGTCCCATGTTAGCTTTTCGGACACAATCTTGACGTCAGACTTGGCTGGTGTGTAACTTGTTTTCGAGCCGACTTTTGGCGGGCAATGTTACAGCATAAAAACCTGTTAAAAAATAGAAATTGCTGTTTAAAGTCGCAAAATTTTCACAAAAATTACGAAAATTTTCTCAAGAGTGGGTGGAGCGATTGATTGCAACTCTGGCACGCCATTTTAGCAATTTTGCCGCACGCGGTTTCCTCTTCCTTCATATTTTTTTGCATATTTTTTTTGAGGTCTAACTTCCGGGCCGACCGGGCCGGGCCGGGCCGACGATTTGCTGGCCCGGCCCGGCCCGGGATTTGGCTAGTCTGATGTGAACTAACTGAAAATCTTTACAGGCAACGTCTGGAGTTTCCTCATGGCGCATTTGGCATCAGTAAGTTAAACTATTTTTGTGCCCCTTTTACCAGACTTGCCAAATCCCGGGCCGGCCCGCCGGGCCGGCCCGGCCCGGCCCGGTTTTGGCCCGGCCCGGCCCGACCCGCTCGGGCCGGGCCGGGCCGGGCCAGCAAATCGTCGGCCCGGCCCGGCCCGGTCGGCCCGGCTCCGCCCACTCTTGAGAAAATTTTCGTAATTTTTGTGAAAATTTTGCGACTTTAAACAGCAATTTCTATTTTTTAACAGGTTTTTATGCTATAACATTGCCTTTTTAAGTCTATAAAATTTTAAGTCTATAAAATTATGTTCGTTTCGAAGTTCTAGTTCGCTTTGAATTTTTAGGTGCATCCTCCCGGGCCGACCGGGCCGGGCCGGCTGGGCCGGGCCGCGGGCCGGGCCGGGCCGGAAAATTTCCAAATTTGGCCCGGCCCGGCCCGGCCCGTTGCAAGTCTGCCTTTTACTATATATGTTTTACAGAAAATATTATTTCAGGGCGAGGCACGAGAAATTAGCGGTGCTCATGGTAGACTCGTGGGAGTATTTCAAGAAAAGTGAGAATTGAATTTCCTATCATTTTTGAACCATTTATATGTTTTTGATTTTTGATTTCTCTCAAAAATTACGGTGTGTTATTATCTAATTTTTATACCTCCAAACTATTTAGATGGCATAGCGAGAGAACGTCAATAAGCAGTGCGATCAACATGTTCGATGGCTTATTGGGTGTCATCATCAGAATCGATGTTCAACTTGCGCGCGCATCAGGTACATAGAGAAATTTTATACAATTTTGAAAATACATACGGATTATATTCCTGCCCAAGAGCATTTCAAACTCCTAAAATTATGTAGAATAATTTGTAAATATTTAGTGCGAATTCATCGCAATGTCAACCTTCGACGTCCTGATGTTGATGTGGTATGATTTTTTTCTGAAAGCCTTTCGACATAACACTGGCTATTTAGCACTCTACGAGACACGACGTCATGAAGCGTTTCAGGAATCAGGTCAACTCTGCGTGTCAATTGGCCGACTTGACTGACATAGGTATTTTAAATTTAAATATTTTTAAAATATTTTTTCAATTCACTGAGATGTACTTATTCTTAATTGTAGGGCCCGCTGCCAACGCCGACGAGCGCGCTGCCTTGGATACAATCAAGTTGGAGCTTACTCAGCTACTTGATGAGATATCGCCTTCGCATTCTCCGGGGTCCGCCACCGAATCGGACTAAACAACCGGTTGACTGTTCTTGGTTTCGGTCCATAACTTATTGCACCTGTCTATGTGGTCCTGATAAAATTGCATAATTATCTTCTTCATCACATTTGCAGCTCTGCAAATAAGAACTAGAGGTGAAGGAGTTAAATTCTACTTCCTGGGAACTTATCTTATCCGGCAAAGTATCTCGCATAAAGACTCCTCGGAAATTCTTGATTTTTAACTCATTGACGAGCTCTTCGAGGTCAAGATTTGTTAATGGCTTCAAGTCTTTTCGGAGACCAAAAGTAGTCATTTAATAGCAATAAAAACAATAAATACAAGTGAAAAATTGAAAGTGGGTAAAATGGGTAAGTGGTGCGCCAGACATATTTTGGTCATTTTTCAAAAATGACACATTTTGGGGAAATTAAGTACGATTTTCAATGAAAAAATGTTTTTAAATTGTTGAAAATCTGCAAAAATCGCATTTGGGCAGAAAATGTGCGCCAGCGTCAACTTCTTACATATTATTAAAGCATAGTTTTGCCACCACTAAATTCTCGAACTTTCTGTGGCAGAATCGTTTATCCCAAACCATCTAACATATGGGTGTGCATCCAGTATTGCTCTCATCAAAGTGGTGCCTGATCTGGGCACTCCTCCCACAAATATCAATTGTTCCAAATTGGATAACATATTTCTGGAGTGTCTAGCATCTTCCTGATTGAACAGAAGAACTTGTTTCGAGAGACTCATAAGTTCAAGCTGCTTTTCTAGATGTCATGCTAAACATTTTCGAAAATTGAAAACTATATGTTGCATGTTTTACCATTTTATAGAAAAAGTAATCAAGGCGCAAGAGACGAATACAAAAATGAAGCAATAAAGGAAGAAGCTGGAACTAGTAGAGTAGAGCCGACGAGTCAACATTTTGTGAGAGCTGCGAGTTCAGTTAATATATTCGTAGATCCGAACGAGAATCGGTTCTTTGTTTGCACTGATTATATTTAATGGGGCTATTCAGACTGTGAAAAAAATGATTGTTTTCCGTTTTTTTCGTTTTTTTACGTCAAAAAATCCAATTCAGCGATGTAAAAAAACGAAAAAAACGGAAAACAAACATACGCTGAATAGCCCCATAAAAGCGAAAGCAGTCAGTTATGGAAAATAAAATCGGACGATAACGGATAAATGGCGCCGGGAAACTGTTTTGACTGGAGCAACGAGCTGTTCGACGACCTCTGCGATATGCTGCGTCGCTTCTGCAGAGCCTTCTTATCAAGCAGCGTTGCGGCCATCTTTGGACGAGCTGCCACATGGATGACGGTTGGTCGGTTGATCGCCATCTCGCTGGAAATTACCTGCAACCCATTGTGAGAATGTGTGTGTGTGTGTGACGTCCCGCACGAAGAAGACAGAAGTGTGGAGAGTACGATAAAGCCATACTTTACTTGAAAAATAAAGAAAATACAAGTGGAAATGGGAGGTCGTGCTTTGTTTGGTATAATCGTCGGAATGTGAGTGTTCATTCCGAAATTAACGTGACCTCAGAAGATCAGAGTGCCGAAGAATGAAAGTGTTTAGGAGTGTCGTCATAGAGAGCTGATGTCGAGTGTGGAGGGATTGCGACTGGAGTTGCTGGATACGTACCGAATCTTCTCGTCAAAAATCTAAACAAGCAGGTGAGTGAGCCTGCGCTAAGAGCTTGATACAAACTTTAACATTTCCACCGCCCGGCTTGTGACTCATATTGCCCTTGGAGCCCACTTTGCTCTCCGCTCTCCAGCTCAATTTTTGGCTCAGAATCTGAAAACTGCCACGTCAAAACAAAAGCTCATTGTGCGAAGCGGTGAAATACGTAAAAACACAAAACACACACCTGAACATTTCCGCCCGTAGGTTTGTGCGCTGCATTATCCAACGAGCCAACTTTCGACTTTGCGTCCCATGTTAGCTTTTCGGACACAATCTTGACGTCAGACTTGGCTGGTGTGTAACTTGTTTTCGAGCCGACTTTCGGCGAAGCGTGTGAAAAGTCTAGTTTCCTGGATTCTATTTGAACGTTTCCGCCGCCTGCCACATGACTGGCGTTTTTTAAAGATCCCACTTTTGACTGCGCTTGATACTTCTGAATTTAATTGTTTTCCTTTAAAAAAAGATTCACAGTCTCTTACCTTTTTCTCCGAGAAAATTTCCACGTTTCCACCGCCTGCCTTGTGATTCGTAATACTTCCAACTTTACTTTTAACGTTCACAAACTTGGCATTCACTTTCGGAGTGAACTTCCCGACGTTATCAATGCTCCGAGTGGATGTCGATTTTTGAACATCCGAGCGCTCTCGGGACATCTTTCTGAACAATTGAAAATGCTTTCTATAGAAAGTGTGAAGCAAAGAAAGGGTATTGGAAGAATGTGACAAAATTGAGGGGGAAGAGCGTTGGACGGACCCAAGAGGAAGCAATTATGGAGTTTTGAGATATATTTCCTTTTATAAAGAAGAATACTTACGATTCTGTGCGAAGTGATGAGTTCGGTCGCGGCGCAGGAGTACGGGCGGTCGGTGTAGTGGAAGGACTGAAAGAGCAGACATAAAAAATGAGATGAATGGAAAATGAGAGAAGGCTCACAGCAAGGAAACTCACCGAGCATCACGTGATGGAGTCGTTGAAACTGGTTTTGGCTGTCGCAAAAGAGCTGTGGGGGGACGGATTCCGGATCGGGCTGGAGTCCGAGGACTTGGACTGATTTGCTTGTCCGCAGGCGAAACTGTCTCGTTCTCGTTGTTCTGCATCAATCTAGACTCGTTTTGATCAAGTTTCAGGCAATTCAGTTCGGAAGAAGTGATCTCTTCCATAGTCTGAGTGTCTGGGACCGGACTCGGGACAGCCTCTTTTTTAACTTCTGGCTCCACTGATGCAGAAGATTCTGAATCAACTGGAGCTTCTGCTTCTTCTGGTTTTTTCGGAAGTTCTTCTGCTTCTTTCGGAAGTTCTTCTGGTTTCAGAACAACTTCTGTTTCTGCGATTGATTCTTCGATTGAGCCTGGCTCCGCTTCTTTAGGTTCGGGCTTCGGCTCTTCGATTGGCTCGGGCTGCGGCTCTGCCTCAGTCAATTCTACCGAATCTTGAATAACGATTTTCTCGACCGCTTCTGGTTGTTCCTCTGGTGAACTTTCTCTCGTAAACTGTGGAGGCTCTGCAAAAATAACATTTTATAGAGAAAAAAGCTGTAAATTCTCACCGACTAGTTCTTCGACGTTTTCTTCTGAAGCTTCAACGTTTACCTTTTCTGACTCTGGTTCAGGTTCCGGCTCCTGATTTTTTTTATTCTCCTCGGCCTTGAATTACTGTCATGACACGAATGTAACACTTGGCAAAGCAACAAGAAGCAAAAAGATGCGGAAGGAAAAAAGTGGTGAAGTGGGGTCTCTTCACTGCCAAACGGTGTAATTCACAGAAGGTGTGTCATCTATTCATGTGTCGCAGTAAATGAGCCTTACACGTCCTTGGATTTGCAAACGGAGAGCGAGAGAAGAGAAGGGATCAAAACGCGGAGTCGGTGGTGGGGATGAAAGGGCGGTGAGAACAGAACAACACGCTCCTACATTGTACACAAGATAAAAATGTATGTAAAGAGTGACGCCGAGACAAAAATAGTGAATAATGGACACACACCATGTGAAATTGAATACTATGGGATTCTCGGTAGCCCTCCGAGAAGCAGGCTCTTAGGGCGTGTTTGTACGGATTAGAGAAGACAGAGTTCGGTTTTTATTACTATTTTTCTGTTTTGATTCCTAATTTTTCTGTTCTAATTGTGTCTGATGTCTCGTGAAAAACTAGAAATGAGGGAAGGCACAATCCAGAGTAAGTGCCCATAAAATGTAGCGCCCAGGCTGTGAGTATAGTTCAAACAGCCAACAAACACGACGAAAACACACAAAAACTCGAAGGAAAGTGTGCGATATTCAATTTTCTAGCAAATATCACTTCTGCCTCGTCATGATAGATTAGTAGGTTCCGGTAGTTTGGTTGGGCAGCAAGTGCGAAAAAGACCAAACGCAAAGCCATAGTCAGGAATTAGAACTAAAGGTTGACGGATGTGGATGTGAATACTTATTTCTGGGATGATTACTGTCGCGTCTGTTGGCGCGACAGGACTCTCTGCGCCTCCCTCGATTACTGTACTCTTTCGCCCACTCTATTCATTCTTGATTCAAAATGTGAGTGAGACGCTGTTGAACTACATACATACACTCAAGGCGATTCAAAACAGAAGAGATCCAGACGGGAAGAAGGAAAAAACAACGGGCACAGCACAAATTCTTGTCGCGGAAAGAAAGTCTGAGGAAGGGCGCGGAAAGAGGGAGGCGACTGGGAAAACACCGTGAATTCTCAAATTCAAACAAAAATCACTGATTTTCTGCGGCGGGCAATGTCAATAAATCAGGAAGCGCGGAGATATTGAAAGGAAAAGTGACTTACTGCGGTGAGGGAGGAGTGGCGGTATGGGAGGCAAATCAGAGAGTAACTAATGAAAACCAAACAACAACTTGTTGTTTCCCTCCTCATCCACTCCATCAGACTCTTCTCTTTCTCACACCGATCTCCGCGCCGTTTTCAATTAAGAAAAGCCCATCTCTCCCTCATCGTCTAACCGATTAAGAACGGACTTCTCATCAGGGAACGCACGCTTTTGAATATGAGATTGTAGGCGGATGGATGGATGGAGGCATTTGGCAGATTGCCAGAAAAGTGACAAATGGCAAAAAGAGATTTGTAGGGGGATTGAATGTGCAGATTGAAATTCAAAGTGGAATTGAAGTCGAAATCAAAATATTTGCTTGTACGAATTGACCAGCGGTGAAGCGTCACACAGCTGCGCATACCGTTTCCTCTGGACTGTCATCTATCGGAATATCCTTTTTTTCGGGCGATGGCGAGCCAGAAGACATCTGGAAAATTCAAAATCGGAATGGTAAGACGAATGTTTGATAGAGATAGAAGGGAGATTGAGAAAGGTTGGAACACAGAATATCAGAAAACCTGATGGTGGCAGAAAGGTGTGCAAACAGTGATCAGTGTCACTAGAGCTGCTAACCCATGCTAATGGGACAAAATGTTTGCTGATGGATGTAATCCCGCGCACTCCTCTCCGCAAAAAAGTCGTCTTGCTCTGGCGCTCTCTCCATCTCTCAGAAGACGTGATCATGGGCGGCCTCTCACGGCCACGGCGTCCTACTTTTCGTGGCGGCGACACTAAAAATATTCACAAATCAATGAGCGGGTGCGGCTCTCAGAAGGCACGCGAGTATGCTCATGAGCGTACGAGTCAGTGTGCGCTTCGAGTGAGTTTGTGTCGGCTCTTCCGCAGTGAGAGGAGAAAGAAGGAAAAAAAGAAGAAGAGGAGGAGGAGGACTCGTCTGTCCTTATGTGAATGCTTTGGTACACCTTCGTGTGAAATACAAATGAGTTGACGGCGGGAAAAGGGAGAGAGGGACACACCCTGCGGCAAAACTGAAAACGCAAAAAGACGGAAGGGAAGGAGGAGGGGGACGATTGTATAGAATTGCGAAGTCTTTGCACATTTCTACGAAAAACCTTGGTCGAGGGATTGATATTCTTCCAATACTCTCTGTGCCGCTCTCATCGTCTTTGCATGTATTTCCGCTCATTTTCATTCATTTTTAAGCGATAGCTTTTTTTCCTCTTTTTTGGCCAACTCATCGTTGTTGACATCATGCGGAGGAAAGGACGAAAATCAACATGGTTAATCTATTCTGTTTAGCTTACTGTCAAATATCTCTGTAATTCGACTAAAATTGAGAATGGAAGTCCAAAGAATTTGATCTTCGTGACTGACTATGACTGACGGTCATGATTCCAGAGAAAGTCTTCAAAATTTGTGTCTGAATTTGTGTCTACTTATTTGTTTTTTATCAACACTTTTAAACTTCAAGCTATTGCACATGCACATATATATGATATGATTGTCAATTTGTTTGTAGTTTTTTTCCCCCCTTATTTGTTTGTCATGACCGCGGTCACGAACTTTTCCATGTTACGTGAAGTACGGCAGAGGGTAATAGAAATACACACTTTGATGGAAGCTCAAATCCATGCAATATTTAAACATTCACAATCTCTCATGTGAGAAATGCATTTCCATCTAGAAAACACAATTTATTGTCTCTTTTTAGTAACAGCATTGAGAACAAAAGTTATATGGGCTTATTCGAGATGCCGTTGTTACTCCTTTTAAGATTATGGAGTGTAGTCATCGTCGCCCATTTGTCTGAAATTGAAAAGTTTGAAATGATCTGTTTTCATCTGTCCTTTCCATTTTGTATATGGCAACAATCCCAACTTTTGAAGTCTAAGAAAGTGTCAGCGCTTTTCAGCGCTGCTCAATTTCAGTTCCAACATTTTCGAAAATTATTTAAAACTACCGTACTCTGGTGGGGAAGCTCAAATCGTCAAGAGCAGTTGTAATCGAAGCAAGAATCAAGAGAAGAACCAAAAAACGGAGCTACAGATTGGCGAGCATATTTCAATCCCGCTTCAAATATTTTTCGCGTTCAAATTCGTTTAACGAGATTGTCACTGCTGCTGATCAGCTCTTTTTCTCTTTCTACTGACGACATTCCCTGTAGAACAGTGATTCTTAAATTTGATAAATCTTATTTAATTATACTTATTACTTCCAAATAAGTTTACGAGTATGTAGTAATTCAGTGTTTGCCTGAAATTTTGAAAACAAAGGAACGTCATGAAAAGACTCATTCCTTGGAGAGGAGCACTAAGCTCCTGCGATGAGAACCGAAAGGATTAGAGAATGGGTGAAGCTCGGGGAAAGAGCACTTCACGAGTTATGCGAATTCTGCATATATTCAGAACTCTACGAATTATTAAAAAGGAAAGATGGAACAATATAAACGCGAAAAAAGACATTCATTTCGTCCAGAAGTATTCCCGGAATATTCGGTTGAACCGCGGAGACAATGAAGATCTTCCAAAGGAAAAGTTTACTAAAAAAATTTTCGTCCAATATTAATGGCACAGACAGTCATAGCCGATAAACAACCGGGCGAAGAGAATAAAAAAAATTTAAAAAAAGAGAACAGTTTTACGTCAAACCTTTTCTCAGAAAACTCCATAGAAACGTGACAGCTCAATTTATTACAAAAACATTTATTCATCATAAATACGGGTAGAGATGTAATTTCATTGCCTGCTATGAAGGAGAGGAGGTTTCATCTGAAACTTCAGCTTCTGACTTTCTACGGCAAATGAAATATTCCGGTACGATAATGGAGAGTTCTCGTCTGCGAAGTGCCTGGAACGTATTATAGGGGCACCGCACAGAAATGGCGCTCTGTTGAGAAACTCTTTTTGCAGTGCAAATTGAGCGACCTCGGGGCAGAGTTTGAAAAGTTAGGCCACGTTTTCAGTGGAAAATTACTTCGCGGCCTAGAAATTCTGCTAGATTGCGAACAGCGCGCCCTTTCTATCCGGTGCCCCTATAATAAGAGATAGCATAACATCACTGGTTGTGACAGACGACAGTAGATGCGAGTGACATAAGTCTGTCGGGACCATACCCGGAAGAGAATGAAGCAGATTGGAGCGGAAGACGTTCATAATGTTTGAACCGTGAGGATTAAGGAGATAAGGAAATTAGTTCTAGAAGTTGAATATCGAGACGAGGAAGAGATTTTTTAAAGAAGTTTTCAAATCCGTACAAGGTTTTCTAAGAGTATCTGATCTTCAAACATGCGAGCGCGGTGACAAGGAAAATCGCCGTCGGACACATTTCGGGGAAATAGCTGCGATCGTTTTGAGCAGATTGCACGTCGTCGTCGACTCGCTGGTCGAGATCGGAGTGCCAGTCGAGGGTGCTGGACGAATAACGGCCACAGAATGACGAGCCATGCGATGGATGTGTTTGGAACCAAACGATTGTACCTGAGTCAGATCTTGCTTCGTCTCAACGGAAAGTCCAGATGACAGCCCGGAGTCATCAGCTGAGATCGAGTGCTGGCCATTTATGATCTGAACATTTTCTTTTTACTTGGACAAGTTTAAGGCAGACTTGCAACGGGCCGGGCCGGGCCGGGCCAAAATTGGAAATTTTGGGATGCACCTAAAAATTCAAAGCGAACTAGAACTTCGAAACGAACATAATTTTATAGACTTAAAATTTTATAGACTTAAAAAGGCAATGTTATAGCATAAAAACCTGTTAAAAAATAGAAATTGCTGTTTAAAGTCGCAAAATTTTCACAAAAATTACGAAAATTTTCTCAAGAGTGGGCGGAGCCGGGCCGACCGGGCCGGGCCAAAACCGGGCCGGCCCGGGATTTGGCAAGTCTGGTTTAAGGTACCTCGCCTGTTTATTGGCCTTCCGTATGGCGCTCGTTTCGGAATATCCCACTTTCATACGATCAATTATAAATCGGAGAACCTCCCGCCACAGTATGATGGCTGAGTCTATCTCGGCGAACGACATATCAGATTTCTTCGAGAATCTGAAAACAAAATTTCGGCGTCCGATATGCTTAAATGACTCGAACAACTTGTTATTGGCTTTCATGGCTTTGCGAAAATGGAATAGGACGCACTCCTTGAACACTGACCAGTAGTGAGCACTGAAAACACGCATTTAGAGAGAACTGAAATAATTCTCACCTAAATCCGAGTTGCTCCTCATGCTTCGCATGGATTTTACCAAGATTCAAGAATACGGCGTCCAGTTGAGAAGGATCATCCAGATGAGTCATTGTGGATTCAATTACTTGAATAAATCGGACTGCGTGAAAGATAAACTCGTTACTTTTCTTGTCCTCCCTGTAGAAAGAGAACAGTCATTGAGCATCTGAAGTCTAACGCACTTGTAGTCTTTCATCATGAATGAGAACATAAGCTTCGCGTCTGGAGCTTGTTCAAAAATCATTTGAAATATATTGACAGCCACTTGTTGCATGTCTCTGAGATGAATGGGATTCAATGGTTTGAGAGTGGTACTCACTTTGACACGATTGCCCACGACTTGTTCAGAATTTCTCGATCTGTTGGCGTGAGGTGAGAAAGTGATTCCATCATCTTGATACTGGAAAATGTACTAACAGTTTCGATGGAAGCGAGTAAAAGTGACAAATATAACTGAATTGCAAATCTTATGCAAATTATAAAATCTCTTTCATAATTTTCGGCGCGGAGGACTGCATAAATTTCGTTTATAACTATTTTCTTTTCTCAATTCACCACATCATCTTGAGGTTGAAGATTCTGGCATTTAATTTCGATGGTACAACAAATTTAGGGCACAGCAGAGTACAACTTTTTCAATTTTAGGGTACAACTTCATCGATTTCAGGGTACAATTTTTTAAAATACACTTTAGGGTACAACAATTCGAGGGCACAACAATTTTGGGGTATAATTGTTTCATAATTTTCGGGCACAATTTCTTGCAATTTTGGGGCACAACAACATGGTTTTTTGCATTTTTTGTGGCTTATTCAAAACCTTCATTCCAACTCAAAACAACATACAAAAGCATGACGTTCCTTTGTTTCCAAAATTTCAGGCAAACACAGAATTACTACATGCTGAACTACTTCTTTTCTCTCAATTACTATATCGCCTCAATTACTATATTGCCTCAATTACTCCTTTTCTCTCAATTACTTCTCCATATCTCAACTACTACAATTTCTCAATTACTTCATTTATCTCAACTACTTTACCATCTCAATCACTACAAAATCAAAATTACTGAGACTTAGACAGTTTAATAATTTTAAGATTTCAAAAGCACACACTGCGAGATTCGTGATTAGCATTTTCTCATTGTCTCTCTTCATATCGCTTTACACCTCTGTTCTTTTACTTTTTCTCCAATGAACTGATTTTTTTAAAGGACCAGGGAACCCAAAAATTTTTTTATGTTTTTGTGAAATGTTTTTGTGACTGTTTGAATTGTCTCTTATTGCCTCATACACTGGTGAAATGCTGCCTCTCAAAAATGCCAATGAACGAAACGGCATGCAGTTGAAGTTGAGGCCGTGGCCTAGCGCCAATGGCCGAAAAATATATAAAAATATATGCGCTTCTCGGCCATTTTATTTTTTCCGCTTTTTTACCGGTTTTTTTGCAAAAATTCACGGTTTCTCCCATTTTGGCACTTCATATCGACTGAATGAAAACAATTTTTTAGCAGTGAAAAAATAAGTAAGTGCCGAACAAATGTCAATCAACTGAAAAAAATGGGATAAACCGTGAATTTTTTTGGAAAAACCGGTAAAAAAAAGCAGAAAAAAATAAAATGGCCGAGAAGCGCATATTTTTATATATTTTTTTCGGCCATTGGCGCTAGGCCACGGCCACAACTTCAACTGCATGCCGTTTCGTTCATTGGCATTTTTGAGAGGCAGCATTTCACCAGTGTATGAGGCAATAAGAGACAATTCAAACAGTCACAAAAACATTTCACAAAAACATAAAAAAATTTTTGGGTTCCCTGGTCCTTTAATAAACATGTACGCGTGTGCGAATTTTCCACGATTTTTTCCTAATTTTCGATGAAAAAAGCGCGAGGAGACGTTTTCGAGTGATAAAGATGGCTTCGCGAACAGTCAGTTTCGAACTCGAAAATGGATAGAAAGCTCGTCGAACTGGTGAAAAAAAATTTTTTTTGTTCAAATAACATTTCTGGCTGAACGGGACTTGTAAAATTTTTTTAAAGCCCGGCCCGTTGCAAGTCTGGTTGTACCCTAAAATTGAAAAAGTTGTACCCTGTTGTGCCCTAAAATTGTTGTACCATGGAAATTAAATGCCGAAGATTCTTCCGTCCATTCGCCGAATGAGAACAAAAAATGGTGGGAAAGAGCATAGATAAAATCGAGTGCTCCGTTCGTGAATTATTTTCGCTTTTTGAAGTTTTATTGCCACAAAATAAAAATTTTGGCAGGAAACTCGAGAAGGCAGTTATTAACGACTCTACATGCGAAAAAAGATGACCAACTGGTGTTGAAGTTCAAATGGAGCAGACTACGGTAGATGATTATTGGTTAGAAGACTATCGAAAAAATGGAAGTGGAAGAGTTGTGAAGACATTAAACCGAACAAAAATGGAAGTCTTCTAAAATGTTGACGAGTCTCGTGAGATTCGAACGAAAGGACAACGGGGATTCCAATTCCAATAAAGGGGGAATGAACAGACGGAATAGAATGGCTGAATATAGGAGAGTAGAAAAGTGAAGATTTGAGGATCTTACACTACATGAATACTAGTTTCTTCCAAAGAGTATGCTTCAAACGCAGTAGTATACAAATGGTTGACGCTGGACGGTCATTTTGCCCAAATGACGTTTTTTGCACTTTTTGACTATTTTAAGGCTTATTTTCATCAAAAAAGTGTCTAAGCTCATCGAAAATCAGTCATTTTTGAAAAACGACACTTTTAGGCTGGACGTAGAAGTGACCATTTTGCCCACTTTTGAATTTTTAGAGTACATTTAGACTAAAATCCGCAATAATACATTATTTACATCTCAAAATCATCGATAATCAAGTCTTTTCTATCAACTCACAAAAACTCAGATTGCTTTTTATCACACTTGTCGCGTCAAACGCGAGAGGAAGATACGGTAGACCATCAGTGGATGGTCTTCCATTGATTCCTTGGTCGCGGTTCGGCTTCATTGACTCGGTTGATGTTATGGAACCAAAAGGACGCAGACGAATCGGAATGGTACCGCCCGACACCGTCGACCACAACAAATCGTCTCGTTCCTATTCCCCATTCATCGACACCAGGACTCAATTGAAGCTCATCGTCCCATTCCCAAGCCCCATTCATCGGTGCCAGGACTCAATCGAAGCTCCCCCCATTTCCCCATTTTTTGTTTATGTTAGGGAACCTATATAAGGCTGCGTCCCGGCATTCGAATTGTTCTTACGTTTAATTTTACTGTTTGTTTTGTGATTTTAGCTCCAATAAACATTTTCGTATCGAAACGAGTGTTTGGATTTTTTGGGCACATTCCCATCATCATCTGGTGCTTAGTCTCGCCGAGACTAAGCCAATCACGAAAACAATTCCGAGAAAAATAAACTAAAGAACCGTCCTTTTCTGAAAAGAAAAGACAACACTAGTATACAACATCAACAAATAATTTATTAATTCAACTTAAAGAGGCCTGTTTCCGACAACAAATAAGCATCATGCAATGTTCCAGTAGAAATAATTTTTACATAATTAGCTGAAATGAATGTTTTCAACATCGTTTGGTGTGAAATAGTCTGGCCAGCAGCTACAATACCCAACAACGATGGTTTACCAGCAAGCAATTGTCGGCCAAAAACTGGACCACCGGACGCTCCAGGACGTGCCGATCCATGTCCGTGCAAAGAATGGCCAACGGACAATAAGTTGCCTTCCAATTTGGCTGAGATTCTGCCGCTTAGCACTTGAAGAGGATTACCATCATCAGAAATTGGTGTTCCCTAAAGAAATTAATTAATGATTATGCAAATGGGCTCATGTGTAAAACTGACAAGTAGATAATAAGGTTGACCAAAATATGCGTGGCGAAATTGGAGTTCATCATTTACCATCAAATTCTCGTCAGATTGTAGCAATATAATATCTTTCTCAATTGAATAGGCACGGATCTTTACTTGAATTTTTTGACCTTTCATTGCATGTGTGAGATCAATAACAGCATCTCGATGAGACTGAATTTCATCAGCATTTGGTCCAATAGTGACAAAATGCTTGACACAGTGATAACATGAAGCCAACACATTATCAGTAATCGCGGTCGCGCAAGCAACTATTCCGTCCACGGTGTAAACGTAATTTTTCATTCGTTCGATTGTTAGTTCTAAAATATAATATCAACAAATTACTTTGAACTCATGATAAAAAAGTACCTTCATTCGGAGAAGCGGGCAAATCAATCATCATCGGTGAAGGAACTGAAATTAATAAAAAAAATAGTTAATTGACAATGTTTAAAATAAATCTTAAAATGTAAAAATCAATAAAAGGTGTGAAATATTTTAAAAAAACGGACTATTAATTTAAAAACTGACATAAATCAATAAAATATTTTTAAAATACCTTGAACAGCTGGTGTTGATGGTCTCGAACTATTATAAACTAAATAAGTAATATTCGGATCCCATCCATCCGGATTAATAACTTTTCCATCAGAGATACTAAAAAAATAAATATAATTTTTAAAAAAATATAATTAAGATATTCTTTCAATCAAATACAAAAAAATTTCAAAATCTAAACAATATTTGTTTAAGATTAAAAAAAAGAAAATACCTCAGTAGAACCCTTCGTGATTCATAAGCAGGATTAATTAAGTTTGTTGCATCAGAAAATCCAGACTTTAACGTTTCAAGCGATAGTCCATCGTCGCTATCGGTATGCATGGATAATACATCGCTCCCATCACTGATATTTAGTAAAGGCATAGCTAGGTACCGCAACGGGTTTCGCAAAACTCCGAATTTCCACAAAATTCTTGTTGGAATGTGTTCCCCTACTCTATATGAGTACGCTCCCAACTTTTTTCTCCAAAATTTTCGGTACATCCCGAGTTACACCCCTTCAAAGTTGGCCTGTTTTCTCCCCGGTTGGCGGCAGAGGAGGGGGCGGAGTCTCGTCTGCAAGTCCGCCGCACGCGTTTTTCGCCTCTGTTTGGTGGCTGAAAACAAAGAGGCAACACATATATTGAAGAAAAATAATGTTCTAAAAAAGCAAAACATCTTTCGAGGTCAAAAGTTTCGAACCCGACACCTCCAGACTGCCGAGTGAGCACTCTGCCACTGCGCTAATCGGGCGAAGGCGCGCCGACCGCCAATGGCGTTGAAAAGTTCGGTGTGCGCGGCCCCTTCTAATGGTGAAATTAGTGCTTTTGCGGGCTGAAATCCAAAACATAACTGACTGTAACTTTTTTCGGACAACAGCTAAATGAAAATATTTAGCATGGATCGGTCGGAAATTTTATGCTGAATCCGATGGTGTAAAAATTGGCCGCGTGTATGGTACTTCTGACTCTCAAATCCCCCGAAAACTAAAATTTTGACCGAGCAAGCTCCATTCAAATGAACATAAAAATTCTCCCAGGGGGTCTTGGGCTCTGAAAATTTATATTTGGGTTCTCAAGGAGTTTATCTATCGATTCCAAAAATAAAAAAGTATGGTCATCGCTGAAAATTTTTCACAATTTTTTGTTCTAGTTTGAGGGTCTGTAAAAAAAAACGGACAACAGCTATTCCGATTCTGACTTCAAAAACGGATTCCCCATCACTTGAACTGTAAAATATCTGAAAATTAGCCGCGTGTAGCCATAAATGTGGCCACACGGGCTCTCAGACTGACTTTCATTTTCGTTTTCGCGTTTTTTTGAGAGAACGGTAAGTTTTCATGAGAAACTGAGTTGTACATTGGATTCAGCATGGTCGATTACATAAAGTAAACCGTTTTGGGTATGGTACGTCATTTGGGGACCTCACTACAGACCGTCAAACATGCGCGCGCGGAAATCGGGAGAAAATTCGTCAGGCCGCGCCCCCTCCTTTGCGCTCCCTAGGCATAGCCTAAACACGAGTCCGTGACAAAAGGTCGCAAAATCAAAAATGTCGGAAGACAAAAGGTCGGAATGACAAAAGGTCGGAAAAAGTGCAGAAAGGACGGAAAAAAATGACAAAAGGTCGGAAAAAGTGACAAAAAGGTGGGAATAAAGTGACAAAAGGTCGGAAGAAAATGACAAAAGATCAGAAAAATATGCGAAAAGGTCAGAAGAATATACGAAAAGGTCGGAAAAAAGTGACAAAAGGTCGGAAAAGGGAAAGCGCGCCACACTGTGCAACACCGTCACGCAAAATTGAACAATTGTTTGTTCGAAGGCAGATAAACAGTTTTAGAAGCTTCGATCGGAGATTTGGCGCTCTAATCGAGCGTAAATCTCGAAATCCGGTCGACCGTCTTTTGCAAACTTCACTTTTTTATTCCTTGTCACAATAAATGCGATTCATAATGGATAGAGATTGCTAACGAACAGAAGGAGCATCGTCGTCAAAAATCATTGCTTATTATTTTACATGTTTCCACATTTCATTTATTGGTTGTACGATGTTGTAGAAGTAACATTTTGTAAATCTTTAGGAGATGAAGAGATTGAATTTATAGATCTAACTCATTTTGGAATAGAAGGAAGTTTAGCTCTTACTCAAGAACAAATACCCATTAGAATACGATCCCTTGGAGATAAGATTTGGTCTTATTCACAAGGAATTATTTCCAGTTCTTTATGGGGCTATTCAGCGTATGTTTGTTTTCCGTTTTTTTCGTTTTTTTACATCGCTGAATTAGATTTTTTGACGTAAAAAAACGAAAAAAACGGAAAACAATCATTTTTTTCACAGTCTGAATAGCCCCATTAGGAAAAACTTCCTTCGGTAAACTTCCTAGAAGCGAAGAGATTGTGAATCTCAAGAGTTTTAATGATTTTGATCTCAACTTTTTAGATGATAAAGTGATCTTTCATGAGCACATTCTTATGGATACTAAGACCAATATTGAGGAAGAATTAATTAATGAGATGAGTAGTATAGGGGAGCAGATTATGCCCATCAACGAGAGAGTGTGCTAGAACGAGAGACGCAGAGAAAAAAGTGACAGGTCAGCCAAAAGCGAACCCCGCGAACCAGGGAAATACCGTGAATCCCAAATATGGTCATTCCAAATATGGTCACCCCAAAATATGGTCACCCCAAATATGATTCGGAATATGGTCATTCCAAATGTAGTCATTCCAAATATAGTCATTCGGAATATGGTCATTCCAAATATGGTCATTCCGAATATGGTCATTCCAAATAAGGTCATTCCAAATAAGGTCATTCCAAATATGGTCATTCCAAATAAGGTCATTCCAAATAAGGTTATTCCAAATATGGTCACCCCAAAATATGGTCACCCCGGTTGAACCGCGGAGACAATGAAGATCTTCCAAAGGAAAAATTTACTAAAAAAATTTTCGTCCAATATTAATCGCACAGACAGTCATAGCCGATAAACAACCGGGCGAAGAGAATAAAAAAAATTTAAAAAAAGAGAACAGTTTTACGTCAAACCTTTTCTCAGAAAACTCCATAGAAACGTGACAGCTCAATTTATTACAAAAACATTTATTCATCATAAATACGGGTAGAGATGTAATTTCATTGCCTGCTATGAAGGAGAGGAGGTTTCATCTGAAACTTCAGCTTCTGACTTTCTACGGCAAATGAAATATTCCGGTACGATAATGGAGAGTTCTCGTCTGCGAAGTGCCTGGAACGTAAGAGATAGCATAACATCACTGGTTGTGACAGACGACAGTAGATGCGAGTGACATAAGTCTGTCGGGACCATACCCGGAAGAGAATGAAGCAGATTGGAGCGGAAGACGTTCATAATGTTTGAACCGTGAGGATTAAGGAGATAAGGAAATTAGTTCTAGAAGTTGAATATCGAGACGAGGAAGAGATTTTTTAAAGAAGTTTTCAAATCCGTACAAGGTTTTCTAAGAGTATCTGATCTTCAAACATGCGAGCGCGGTGACAAGGAAAATCGCCGTCGGACACATTTCGGGGAAATAGCTGCGATCGTTTTGAGCAGATTGCACGTCGTCGTCGACTCGCTGGTCGAGATCGGAGTGCCAGTCGAGGGTGCTGGACGAATAACGGCCACAGAATGACGAGCCATGCGATGGATGTGTTTGGAACCAAACGATTGTACCTGAGTCAGATCTTGCTTCGTCTCAACGGAAAGTCCAGATGACAGCCCGGAGTCATCAGCTGAGATCGAGTGCTGGCCATTTATGATCTGAACATTTTCTTTTTACTTGGACAAGTTTAAGGTACCTCGCCTGTTTATTGGCCTTCCGTATGGCGCCCGTTTCGGAATATCCCACTTTCATACGATCAATTATAAATCGGAGAACCTCCCGCCACAGTATGATGGCTGAGTCTATCTCGGCGAACGACATATCAGATTTCTTCGAGAATCTGAAAACAAAATTTCGGCGTCCGATATGCTTAAATGACTCGAACAACTTGTTATTGGCTTTCATGGCTTTGCGAAAATGGAATAGGACGCACTCCTTGAACACTGACCAGTAGTGAGCACTGAAAACACGCATTTAGAGAGAACTGAAATAATTCTCACCTAAATCCGAGTTGCTCCTCATGCTTCGCATGGATTTTACCAAGATTCAAGAATACGGCGTCCAGTTGAGAAGGATCATCCAGATGAGTCATTGTGGATTCAATTACTTGAATAAATCGGACTGCGTGAAAGATAAACTCGTTACTTTCTTGTCCTCCCTGTAGAAAGAGAACAGTCATTGAGCATCTGAAGTCTAACGCACTTGTAGTCTTTCATCATGAATGAGAACATAAGCTTCGCGTCTGGAGCTTGTTCAAAAATCATTTGAAATATATTGACAGCCACTTGTTGCATGTCTCTGAGATGAATGGGATTCAATGGTTTGAGAGTGGTACTCACTTTGACACGATTGCCCACGACTTGTTCAGAATTTCTCGATCTGTTGGCGTGAGGTGAGAAAGTGATTCCATCATCTTGATACTGGAAAATGAACTAACAGTTTCGATGGAAGCGAGTAAAAGTGACAAATATAACTGAATTGCAAATCTTATGCAAATTATAAAATCTCTTTCATAATTTTCGGCGCGGAGGACTGCATAAATTTCGTTTATAACTATTTTCTTTTCTCAATTCACCACATCATCTTGAGGTTGAAGATTCTGGCATTTAATTTCGATGGTACAACAATTTTAGGGCACAGCAGAGTACAACTTTTTCAATTTCAACTTCATCGATTTCAGGGTACAATTTTTTAAAATACACTTTAGGGGCATTTAATTCGGAGGGTACAAAAATTAGGGGGTACAACAGGGTACAAATTGTTTTGGGGTACAAAAAGTCAAGGGTACAAAATTTTCGATTCTAGGGTACAAAAATTTACCGATTCAGTAGGCATTGATTAAGGGGTACAACTTTTATGATTTAAGGGTACAAATTTCACGATTTTGGGGTACAACAATTTTTTCCCATTTTTTCATGGGCATCAATTCAGTGAAAAAGATCGTTCAGTCCGTCTTGATGCGCACGAAGAGTTTCTAATATTTTCATTGTTTTGTTTTTTAGTGTTCTCTAATTTAATCTCTCTTCTATATTCTATATTCTACTACTTCTATTTGATCTCTTTTCTTTATTTATCCTTGTTCATTTCTGCGCTCATTTTTGTTTTTTTAGTCTAGGTTGATTCTTTGTTATTATAGGGGCACCGAACAGAAAGGGCGCTCTATTGAGAAACTTTTTTGCAGTGCAAATTGAGTGAGCTCGGGGCCGAGTTTGAAAAGTTAGGCCACGTTTTCAGTGGAAAATTACTTCGCGGACTAGAAATTCGGCCAGATTGCGAACAGAGCGCCCTTTCTATTCGGTGGCCCTATAATATTACTTACAAGTTGTTTTGCTGTTTTGGCCCTTTTAAATTCTGCAATTTCACAGCAGAATTTCAGCATCTGATGTTGTGTGTGAAATTTACCCAAGTAAAGATTGTTTCTCGAAATGACACAAAATACTGCATAAAACAAAGCATGGCTACATACGGCTGTGTCTCGTGAGCTCTCAAAAATTCAAAACTGGAATGAAAACTTCGAAAATGTGCTTCGTGCAACTTTTGTACCCCAAAATCGTGAAATTTGTATCCTTAAATCATAAAAGTTGTACCCCTTAATCAATGCCTACTGAATCGGTAAATTTTTGTACCCCAGAATCGAAAATTTTGTACCCTCGACTTTTTGTACCCCAAAACCATGAAAGTTGTACCCCAAAACCATTTGTACCCTGTTGTACCCCCTAATTTTTGTACCCTCCGAATTAAATGCCCACTTTAGGGTACAACAATTCGAGGGCACAACAATTTTGGGGTGCAATTGTTTCATAATTTTCGGGCACAATTTCTTGCAATTTTGGGGCACAACAACATGGTTTTTTGCATTTTTTGTGGCTTATTCAAAACCTTCATTCCAACTCAAAACAACATACAAAAGCAAAAACGAATTTTGCAAAAAACCAACGAATGTCTAGTTAACAAAAATCCTTCAACCCTACAGCTACAGGTTGAGCATACTGTTTGACTAGCCTCTCGCTCGTCTCTCTAATAGAGCTAATTCAAAGAGGACAAATCCTTTCGGTTCTCTTCGCAGGAGCTTAGTGCTTCTCTCCAAGGAATGAGTCTTTTCATGACGTTCCTTTGTTTCCAAAATTTCAGGCAAACACAGAATTACTACATGCTGAACTACTTCTTTTCTCTCAATTACTATATCGCCTCAATTACTATATTTCCTCAATTACTCCTTTTCTCTCAATTACTTCACCATATCTCAACTACTACAATTTCTCAATTACTTCATTTATCTCAACTACTTCACCATCTCAATCACTACAAAATCAAAATTACTGAGACTTAGACAGTTTAATAATTTTAAGATTTCAAAAGTACACACTGCGAGATTCGTGATTAGCATTTTCTCATTGTCTCTCTTCATATCGCTTTACACCTCTGTTCTTTCACTTTTTCTCCAATGAACTGATTTTTTCCTAATTTTCGATGAAAAAAGCGCGAGGAGACGTTTTCGAGTGATAAAGATGGCTTCGCGAACAGTCAGTTTCGAACTCGAAAATGGATAGAAAGCTCATCGAACTGCTGAAAAAAAGTTGTTTTTGTTCAAATAACATTTCTGGCTGAACGGGACTTGTAAAATTTTTTTAAAGCCCGGCCCGTTGCAAGTCTGGTTGTACCCTGTTGTGCCCTAAAATTGTTGTACCATGGGAATTAAATGCCGAAGATTCTTCCGTCCAATCGCCGAATGAAAACAAAAAATGGTGGGAAAGAGCATAGATAAAATCGAGTGCTCCGTTCGTGAATTATTTTCGCTTTTTGAAGTTTTATTGCCACAAAATAAAAATTTTGGCAGGAAACTCGAGAAGGCAGTTATTAACGACTCTACATGCAAAAAAAAAATGACCAACTGATGTTGAAGTTCAAATGGAGAAGACTACGGTAGATGATTATTGGTTAGAAGACTATCGAAAAAATGGAAGTGGAAGAGTTGTGAAGACATTAAACCGAACAAAAATGGAAGTCTTCTAAAATGTGAACGAGTCTCGTGAGATTCGAACGAAAGGACAACGGGGATTCCAATTCCAATAAAGGGGGAATGAACAGACGGAATAGAATGGCTGAATATAGGAGAGTAGAAAAGTGAAGATTTGAGGATCTTACACTACATGAATACTAGTTTCTTCCAAAGAGTATGCTTCAAACGCTGAAAGAAAATGCCGTGTTTCATATAAACAATAGGAGACGTAATTGGCAATTTCGAAGAAGAAGACGATGCGGCATGCTTTCCTTCTTTTCGTTTTCATTAGCTCTCCTCTCCTGTTTCTTTTTGTTGTTCATTTGTCTCGTGCTACTAGGATTAGGTCGATGATTAGGTGGGAAATGACTTTGCCCCCGCCATTATCTATTTCCACCTCCAGCCACAATGTAGAAAGAACAAGCAATTTTGTTAAGAAGGAACTGAATTAGAATCAAGAACGTTTTATTTAAAATCCGCAGTTGAACACCGGCATACATTTAAGAATCACTGATCGGACAGATATGCGGAAGGGGATGCCACAAAGAACTCTTTGAAGGCAAGAAGCATTGAGGGAGTGGAGACAAAGGAATGAAGAGCGAGTTGAGAAAAAGAAACTTCTTCTGGTAACTGCATTAACAACAACAAAGACAGATTGTGTAACGGCTCCGCGAATCACATTCCTACAAAACGATGGATCGTCTCGAGGCCCAGAATGGAGCCTTCGTCGATGCCGTCGTAAATGTTGTCGCCCAGGAATCCGTTGAATGTTGCATTGGCGAAGTCGACGACTTTTATGCGGACTAGATCTTCAATAGGAAGGCTTCCTGAATAGTATAAAAGTTAATAAGAATGATCCGAAAGTATACAATTACCGTCGAAATCTCCTTCGATGACAATGAGAAGAGAAGCACCGAAGAGTCGGACTCCGTTTGCCACTAAGAGCGTCTCTCGAATCTTTCTCAGTTTCCTACGAACTTCGTCGAGTATCGTTCTCGGAACTTCGAAGAAGAGGCGAATAGACTGGAGCAACTCAGTCTCTCCCATGGCACGTCCCTCGTACTTACTGATAGAGACTCTTCGACCCATCTCGATACAATCGTACTTCATTCCACACAATCGGATACCGAGAGTCGCAGAAGTTGTGGCTTGACACTTTGCAGTCATGCAGGCGATCTTGGCCATAGAAGCATGATCACCGTGTTGACGTGTGCCTAATTTCAAATCCAGAACGCGAGGTGACTTCATTCGATACGTCAGGTCCGAAATCACGATGAAGTTTCTGGACACTATCGAAATCGATGGTCAATAATAATTAACAACTTACTTCGATAGTTTTCTTTTGTTTAGTATCGGCGATCCTTCGATACTTTCCGGTATGACAACGTTTTCCAACTGATGAAGTCGGCAATTCGCACAGTTATCCGAAAGATGGTTCACAGAACTCCCCTGAATCGTGGAGCAGCATAGAGGAGCGATGTTCTTCAGAATAATAGGCATTTGTTGATAGAAATAAAGTTCCCGCTCATCGCACGGCTTGAGAAGATGTCCATTAGGAAGAGCAGTGAAGGGAGTGTGACCTCCAACCTGAAGTGAAATTTGGAACATAATCTTTCTATGAGCTCTCAGTGTACCTGGTGGTCGAAAGGTTTCAACACATCATGCACGTCGTGTGTTGCTCCATCAAGTGATGAAGCTCTTTTGATATTGAGCACCATTCTATAACATAGATCATAAAGGAAGAGTTCCAGGTAGAGGAAGACAAGAGAAACGGTTTTTTCTATTTGTTTGATCACTGAGTTACTAAAAAACGAGAGAAAAGTAATGGAGAAAAGGAGCGAACGAGTATTTACACTTGTTTGTTCAACAACTTTGCATGATTCAAGAGTGCCACGATAAAATCCGAACTGTTAACAAGTAATACTTATTTGGCAGCACAAGGGGCAAAATTCAGACAAAAATGGTTAAACGAGCAGGAGAAACGTGCGAAAATCGAAAAGGAGCATGTAATTCGAGAGTAAATACACAGAAAAATGGGCGTGCTGATCAGGTGAACAATACGCAAATCTTTATTTAGGGTCAATAGGGAAACGGATGACCCGAAACTAAAGGATAAATGAGACACGAGTCAACTCAAGAGAAAACATCAGAAAAAAGAAAGATCTTGGATTTTTGTTCAATGAAAAGGGAGTTGGTTACTCGCGTGGGTGCCAGATACAAAGGCGCCATGTGGCGTGTGCCTCGTAAAGCCTCACGAATCATCAAGACGAAAAGCTAGGAGACACAGATCTGAAAAAGATCACAGACAGCTCGATCTCTTTGCTCCGTTGATTCTTTGAGAACGCGTCTGGTCTCATGCGCTTTTTGTGCACTTGAAACCTAACCAAACGCTGCTTGACTGATCCTCCTCCCTATCAATAGGTTGTCGTAATCGACAAAGAGGAGTAGGTCGAGCGCAAAGTGTAAGAATCATGTCTACACTTCGCTTGCGATTCATTGTCGATTTCCGGCGCTTGATTGAATTGAACCCAGAAGAATGGAGAGTGGGAAACGATAACAAAACATCAGGGCTGACACCACCGACACTGTCTTGATGATGGATTCATCCTCTAGTCTGAATGGACGGAGAGAAAGGTTGTGAAGAGAGGAGAGAAGAACTGGTTTTGCAATAAATTATGATAAGACGACGATCGTGACGCGCCAGAAATGGGAGAATGTGGCATGCATGTGAACTCTGCACCTAGACATTAGGACTGTTTTAGGCTATGTATAATATGATCATCGGTTTTGAACTGGCAAGATTTGAAAATATTGAAAACCCGAGTGATAAACTTGTTGGTTTTTTTCTCCAGCAATTATATGTTTCACGATCAAACTACTACGAATGACGAGCGATCGTAAACATTTCGGAGAGGCTCTTCACTCCTGTCCACACAGGTATGTATGAGACAATGTACGCAGGCAGGAACGCGACGTAGGAGATGCCGAGAAAACGGAGGAGACAGACAGGAAGACGCTCAGGCGACAACGGGCGGCGAACCACGTGGGAGTGCGATCAGGTGAGGCCGTCCACGTAGAGGAATCGGAAGTTGTCGGACGGAGATAACAATGAGATGGGGATTTATGATGACGATACATGTTTGTTGAAGTTACCACGTCTTCAAAGATCGTCGTTTATTGAATAAGAATAGAGTTTATCTTCGGGCTAAACTTCCATAAAAAGTTGCGAAAAAGTTCAGCAAGATATTCGTGAATAGGTAGTATTGCATAGAATCAACATTTCTTTCGCTTCGACTGAACCTTCATGTCGTTCACACATGACATGCAAGTGCGTGGCCGATTCGGATGATCGAAAGGGCAGCTTTGCTTGTTGCAAGAGCTTTCGTAACGACACATGCTGTGCGAGTAAATACACTTTGCGCCGGGACACTGGGGGAAGTTTCTAGAACGTTTGAATTGTATGACTCATATGAAAACCACAAAACGCACTTGCATTTGACCGGAGGTCCATGAGGGCATCTGCCAATTCCGCGAAGAGCCACCGCAGTAGAACCACTAGATTGAGATAATTCCGTCCCATGTCTGTACATTCGCTTCTTCACAACCTCCTTCAAAACGCATATCGTGGTCGTGAAATATCAAAATACACAACTTTGTAAACATGATCACGGAACTCGTTCCATCCGGAATCCGACATTTTACTTGCATTACTTCCAAACAGCTCATCACAGTAATAACAGATTACAGACTTTTGAGAATGTTTGTGCTGTATGTGTGTTGCCAATTGAGAAACTGTAACCGTTTTCTGAAATCTACTTTCCCGTCAACTTCTTATTGTGATCCCACTACCATTTCACATAAAGCACAGCATATATCATTGTCGTGCAATCTGATCTCGTGTTCCGACAGCTCGCGAATTGTGGAAAACTCACGTCGACACTGTTTGCATGGGAAAGGAAAAGGCGCCAGAGCCTCGCTGAAAAAGGATAAACATTACAAAATATTTCTTGAGTGTCCGTGTAAGCTCATCAAAACATGCCTCCCATTTCTGAAGAAAACTGAAATGTACATTAGAAACAGAGAGATCATTCAACGGTAACATGAAATAAAATAAAATAAAAACGATACTCGAGCCCTTCAAATGTTCCTCGGCTTGATGAGCGACTTCTCCTAGTTTTCGGACTGGAAAGGAACGATAACGAAATCATGAACATTCAAAATCACCTTCTGGATCTAGATCTATCACTATCAGAGAACGTATCCCGGCGTTGAGAAGATCTTCAAACAAGTAATTTTCCAAAACGTTTTCAGTAGTACTCACAATTTCTTGGTGCGAATCTTTGGAGATGCGTTCCGTTTCGATACCTTCTTATAAGATCTTCTATTCTTGTAGTGGCAGTCGTCGTCACTCATGCTTGAACGTACTCGGCAGAGTATACTTGCCGTCTAAATGAAAGAAAACGAGAGTATGCTCTATATCAACGAGTTGTGCTCCACGAGTCCGTTGTTATGGAGACACTCCTTTTTCGTTCATAATTGGTAATTTTTCGCCTTCCGTTTTAGCTTTGGGAAAGCAAGTTAGTTACTTTTACATGAAGATTTATTTACGTAAAGCAGCTCATGAACAATGAAATGAGAGCTAACATCCTCGCTTCTTGACTGCGAGGTAAGAAGCGCAATTCGGACAGAAATGTTTGACGTCTTTGGAAGAAGCACAGCAGAGCCAGAACCAGATGGGCCAGCAGACGAAGCATCCGATGATGAAGATTGCCCACCAGCAACCTCCTGTTGTGTGCACAGTTCGTGTAGTGACGGTGGTCTGAAATAAACAGAACTTATGATGGCATTCCACGCGACGTGGTCTCCCATGATGAAACTTTCGTACATTATCATACTCACTTGGCATCTTGGACAATATTCTAAGTACGGAACATCGTATTCCACGTGTTTAACATCACAAGTGACTATAACTGCAGTCGGTTGGACAACTTGAGCTTGGACAAATGTGGCTGTCGGACGAATCGGACCTCCGTAGGCCGGAGAAATGTACACTGGCTGCATTTCGACAGCAATTGGAGCAGCTCCCTGTCCTACGGTGTACGGTGGCGGGGCAGAGCTCATTGAGACAGTGGATACAGGATATACAGGAGTGGTTTCAACGCCCATTATTTATGAATTTAAAGTTAAAAAAAATAAAGGAAAGGCGTTTATGGGGGAAAATGAATTGTGATAAAGAAAAGTGTGCAATCAATGCGACGCAACACTGATAAATTTTAGTTCAGCCCATCCTTATCATGGTGATTCACGAGTGAAAAGTCATCTACCGCTCTTTTCATGACGTGCGAGAACGTGAATTTATTCGAGTGTAGAACAGAATTACTGTAGTATCTTTCACAATTCGTTTTGGACCTAATCAAAACGAATAATTAAAAAAACAAGGGGATTGATTGGAACACGCTTCATTCTGAATCAAATAATCAATTGTACATATTATTCTCCTTCAGAAGCTTCTCGGCGTCGGCGGCGCCCGCATTGCAGTATTGTTGGAGTATATCTCGAGTGGGTGGGAACAGAGCGTTAGAGATTCTCTTCACGTTCGACAACGTCAATTTCATGTTCTGATTGAAGAACGCAAACATGAGATCGTTGAAGAGAGCGGACTTCTCAGCAGGACAAATGTCGGCATCTCCAGCAAACGCAGTCACTGAGACAGTGCGCCGGTCGAGGAATTCCGGCAAAATGTTCGAGTAACCGCCATCTATGTACGGCTGAAAAAGATGAACTCGAAGTGTTTATGGGTAGTGTGAATAATACCTCTCCATTGATACATGGAGCTTTTCCGGAAAGTCCAGTCGAATACATCGGATGGTAGCAGCTGGCCATCAAGCAGTCAATCAAATACGCTTTGTTCGGGAAGTTCGAGATCAGCTCATTCTTCCAATTCTAGGAAGGGTATTGTTGGCATTTGAACAAACACGTGTCATCCTACTTTTAATTTTGTCACAGACACGAAGAGCAAGTTGTTAGCCTTGGAAACATCTTCAGGAATGAATCTCTCGACTACTTTTCTTAATTTCTCTCCAATTATGAATCCAGGAGTCATTGCTCCGAGCGGTGCCTCGTTTACCTCGTCAGCCATTTTGTAGATCTCTTCGACTGCGTCGGCCATTCTAAAAACTATCATGATCAATTTGAAATTACAGCGCCACACTTCTCAGGATTAAAAATGAGCAAAGTGGCCACGAGACTTCCGGAGGAGCATCCCGCATATCTGTCGACTCGCTCTAGCAGCCGACTCCCATGCTCGTAAATCATCTTGGCGGCTCCAAACTGATAGCTTCCCAAGAAACCACAGCCACCAAACGAAATACAAGCTTTTTGAGCATCTGTGCTCTTTGTTTAGTATTTTTTATGGAAGAAAGAATCACCTTTGAGAGGGCTTCTGTTCGCTGGATCTCTTGCATGTCTCAGTGTAGTTCGAATCAAGTCTTCCTCTTTCTTCGAGACCGAAATGGAGGTGGTGGAGGAGGACGTCGAGCATTGGCTTCTGTCTTCGTCATTGCTTCCTGCTTCTTCACGCCCCTGATCAAAATCCGCAAATGTTATGAGGAGCTTGTCCAAAATTTCCTCGGCGTCTTTGAAATCTTGAAGATTTTCCAAACTGAAAATTTCTCTGTCAAGGTGTTTTGAGAGGATTCTCACTATGGAAATCTGGTCGACTTGTTCGTCATATTTCCTAGAAATGAATGCGACAAATAATAGAGAGAGCTTGTTCAAATTCATCACGTTGATGATTCATTTTTCCCAGGAACTATTTTACGTTCAATTCGATCTCATAGGCAAATGCCATCGCGTGACTCACCGTGTGTAAGGATATAATGGCACAGTCCTGAGGTCCTCTATCCCCTTGCTTCTTCGCTGACCAACAAAACACACTCTTTCGTCACATTTTTCTCCGCTTCTTTTCCTTCATGACCACTACTTCCTCCTTTTTTTCTCTCTTGAAACTCTCGCGATATTTCTTCCCCTGCAATCGTTTCACTTTCCGCTGTTATTATTGTACTCTTCTGTTTTGAATCATGTTTGGTCTTCGCAGAAAAACGATCACACATCGGCGCCAATGTGTTTATCGCGTCCACTCTATTTAGAACATAAATTTTGCCGTCGGCGTCTCCTCAATTTCCCTTCCTCTGACTGTGTTTCGAGTCCAAATTTCAAGGCTGTTTACTCTGTTCGTCCTCTGTGTTTGTACTTGTTTTCCGCGGCCAATCGTTCCATTCTTTCAGATCAATGGCTAACCAAGCTAAGCTAGTTGACCATGAAGTCTACCGCGATCCTGTGGACGGTACGTTGGGAACAAATGAAGGGAATCTGTGAATATGATCTTTGCTCGATTTCGTTATATCCAACCGATGCTCCGTTTCCCTTTTCATTTTGAAGAGTGCAACGGGTGCCTGCATTTAGGAGCCTAAATGAGTTACAAGCGAAATAGTGTGTGCCAACTGGAGACCTCTTCGTAACTGGCGCGGTCGCCTGGCACAACCCCTTTCGTCCGCCCTCTCTACTTCTTCTTCTTCTTCCCCTTCTGCTCCTTTTAAGCTCAAAGGGTCTCCGCTGCGTGTTTATATTCGTCAGACGCTTTTATCTACCTGCGTGGAGATATCAAGTCGTACTGATATCAAACGACCGCCAACATTTTTCCATTCATTGCATTCGGTGTCGACCCACCTACAATGTCATCGCGTAAAGTGGTCGAGTACAAAAAAGTGACCACCTTCGGAAACAATGAGGTTACCGTACTTGAAACTACTATGGAGCAGCGGAACACGCATCGTGTTGTTAGGACTATAAACGGTTCTGCAGTCGAGATTAATCATCATGACAATGGAGAACTTAAATATCATGACTTCAACTCTATTCCTATTGATAGACAACCAGGGAACAAAGGTTCATATTCACAGAGTTCCATAGATAGCAATGAGCGTACTAATGCGTTTGTTTTTCAGATTTCGAGTTGAACTACCAGGAATATCTGCCCGAGGAGGATGGAGTGATTACCAAAGCTCCGAAAACAAAGACCAATCGTGGGCTGAGCTGCCGTATGAAAGGTTGGATCTCTGCTCTAAGATTAATAATCTGACAAGTGAGCTCTCTTTTCAGGCTTGTTTGACGGATTCGGAGGAAATGAACTGAAGAACGTGATGCATCACATGCATCGTCGTCATCCACGCAATGGACAGGCATTCACCAACTTCATGCTTTCCGGAAAGATGGAGAAGGTTATGGACCAACACGTGCGCGACTGCATTCATCACTTTGCGAGAATACATCCGGATACTGGGCATATAATGGGAGCCATTCGTGGAAACGACTTTTTCAACTTTGGAGGGCTTCACAATAGTCTGGGAAACACTGGAAAAGTGTACCTCGATAACCTGATTCGTGGAAAATGTGGAAAGCGCAAGGTGCATAAGTTCAAGCCTATCATCGAAGAATTGGACTTTGGATCGGCAACGTCTCCAGGAAAGCAGCCAGCTACTCCTGCTCCTGCCGTTACTCCCGCCGCTCCTGCGACTCCTGCTACTCCTGCGGTTCCCGTTACTCCGGCCAAGCCAACTGTTCCGGAGAAGAATGTCACCGAGCCGGTGTATCCGACAATCACTGATAAAGTCAGTGACTTCGGTCTCGACTTCGAAACGGAAAGAGATAAGTGTCTTAGTAACAAGACACTCTTCGAAGATCCCGAGTTTCCGGCAAATGACAAGTCTATCTACTACCGTACTCCACCAAGCGCCCGTATTATTTGGAAGCGTCCAGGAGAAATCATCTCCAACCCTCAGCTGATTGTCCAAGGAGAATCCCGTTTTGACGTCAAGCAGGGAGCTCTTGGGGACTGCTGGTTCTTGGCGGCCCTTGCCAACATCACTCTCTACGATGCTCTTTTCTATAGAATGGTTCCACCGAACCAAAGTTTCACCGAGAACTATGCCGGAATTTTCCACTTCCAGTTCTGGCATTACGGAAAGTGGGTCGATGTGGTCGTCGACGATCGTCTGCCCACTGTGAACAACCAGCTTTACTATCTCCACTCTCAGGACAACACCGAGTTCTGGAGTGCGTTAGTTGAGAAAGCCTACGCCAAACTTCACGGAGGATACGAAAACCTGGATGGCGGCACCACTGCCGAGGCTTTAGAAGACTTCACTGGTGGTCTCACCGAGTATTTTGATCTGCGTAAAAGTGATAAAGCTACCGTACTTGCTGCTCTTGTCAAGGGAATGGAAATGGGATCGCTGTTCGGATGCTCTATTGACGTTAGTTTAAGATTACAAAAAATATAATGAGACCGTGTTTCAGGCTGATGCGAACATAAAAGAAGCGCAACTCAGTACTGGGCTTGTGTGCGGTCACGCATACAGCATCACGGCCATCCACAATATCACCTATTCTGGGGAAGACCTCACTCTGCTGAGACTAAGAAACCCTTGGGGAAATGAGAAGGTTAGTGTTCATGATTCAATTGCGAATCAGTCTTATCTAATGCTCTAAGGAGTGGAATGGAGCTTGGAGTGATGGTTCTTCGGAATGGCAGAAGATTGACGAAGCTACCAAGAAGCAGATTGACGTACAGTTCGCAAGAGATGGAGAATTCTGGATGAATTTCTACGACTTCTTCGCCAACTTCACCCAAATGGAAATCTGTAATCTGACTGCCGACATCTTCGATGAAATTGCGGAGATGACTGGAGTGAACAGAACCGCGGAGACTGAAGAGGAGCATCAATGGAACGAAGTGATGCATGACAGCGAATGGAGTTCCAAGAAGGGAACTGCTGGAGGATGCAACAACAATCCGACCACTTATCCAAAGAATCCTCAATTCGCCACTTGGTTCACAGCTCCGGAGTCATCGATTGAGGGTGATGGTAATGTGACCGTCATCGTCGCTGTACTCCAGAAGTACAGAAGAGAGTTGCGAGCCGAGGGAAAGGATCTTCTTCCGATCGGAGTGTCCATTTATCAGTCAACTGATTCTCGCCAAGCTCTCAATTCGCAATTCTTCTCTCAAAACCGTCCTGTCGCGCGTACTTCCGTGTTCATCAACACCCGTGAAACGACTGTCCGCTTCCGCGTTCCTCCCGGAAAATATGTCATCGTTCCATGCACCTTTGACGCCTATGACGATGCCGAATTCTTGCTTCGCGTCTATGCTAACGGAACCTTGAAGTCCATGTGAGTTTATACCGTTCGTAATACTTTGTTCAGAAATTTTCAGTCTGCTGTAACGACAACGACGCCGCCCCTATACTCCATCTTCTACAATCTACATTGCCGCTTAAACTTTGCTTTCTGGTATTCACCCATAAACATTTATCCGCTTAAGAAAAACGCCGTTTCTTTCAAAAATTAGCGATCGCATACAAGATCACCAATCATTTGCACAAAACTGATTCCCTGAGCTTGCTTTTTTTTTTTTTTTAGAATTCTCGTTTTCGTTCTAGAACTTGTTAATGAAAAAAAGCTGAATCAATCGTTCATTTACCGGTAAAAACATCATAGGTTACTGTTTGGAAAGTTCCAGGTACGTTGGCATTGTTGATCGCATACTCTCGCCTGTTTACGGGCGCTGGCTCTTCATCGTTGAAGTAACCGTCTTTTTCATCGTCGTGGGCTTCAGGAGTGTTCATCACCTGGAAAATCGAATAATCAAGCGCGGGTCCGTATAAGTCCAGGCTACCTCTGCGAACTGGTCGCCGTCTCCCATTGCAACGACTTTGAATTTTGCCGCTGGAAGTAGAATTTCTCCTGGGTGACAGTCATTCAATGCAACCCATATATCTCTCCACTTGACAGTATGTGGTTCTTTTCTGATTTTGAACATCCGTGGCGTGTGGAGAAGTCCGAAGATCGGGCACCTGATGAAATACGGCATTTCTTTGCAGCCGATAGCACTGGGAACGTGGAAGCAAATCTAAATTATACATCAGTTTCATTACTGAAATCAGCGCAACTCACATCTTCCTTCCCGGTTGTCCTTTCAGTTCTCAACCCGGATCGGATAGTAGCTCGTTCCGGGTGCACCGCAGAAGCTGTCACCGTCCAGCGGTAATTCCCACTAGTGGCACAAACAAGCAACTGTGTTCCAGGAAGATACTTGGACTTCTCTTTGAATGGAAGTCTCGCAGGAGTTCGTGGAAGTCTCGGGAAGAACAGTTTGCCGTTTTGATCAAGCACAATTGCCAACTCGTTCACCAACTGTAGACCCTTCTTGAGCTTGGTCAATTTTGCCAATTTCTTGGTATCAACGATATCGAAGACAGAATATCTTGGAGTTCCTCTGTCTGATGGTTCGCTCGAAGTTATTGCAACTTGAAGAGAGCTTTTTGTGTACTGTGAATTAAGCCAGACCTCGAGCTTATTCTGAGGATCATCGACATAGCATCCAAGAGCCTCACAATAGTAGAATCCTGGGAAATCTTCGCAAGAGCGTATTGTCGCCTTGACACACTTTTTATCGTCGGTAGTGGGGAATGGTTTTTGGTCTCGGAGTTCTCGCACATTGTGCACTGAGTACACATTCAGAAAATCCATCTTTTCAGCGTCAAATGTAACGTTTGCGCCTGTAATTCATACCTGTAGACATATCTGCTTTCTTCACGAACCAACTGCTGGGAACTCTTCATCGTCATTGATTACGAATCGACGGAAGCATACATTTCGATGGCTTAGATGGATCGAATACGGCAGAATCTGCTTTTTCGACACAACGATGCCCCGCATCGCTGTTAATGACGAGTTGAGAGGTGACACGAAATCCGAGTTAGCGGTCTTGTCATCCACTGGATCGAAAAAATTGTTAAGATTGCCGTCATCTCCCTCGTTCCATGCCTAAACGTCGAACAAATAAAGCTTCTCCAGCTTCGAAATAACTCACAGCGATTCTGACCATGTGTTGAAATTTATGAGAAACGCTCACAAACGATCTCAGCTTATAATTGATAGTATCATTAGGCATAAGTTGCAGTGTAACCCACGCGTTGACAACGACATTCGGATGACTGTTCTGTTCAAGATCATATGCTGAATCGAAATCATTAGCAGAGAAACTATTGGAAAAACTAACGAATTTCGAGATTTGGCCACATTCCGAGCATCCAGAGCACACCTCTGTTTCTGGACATAATTCCCGGGAGCAAAAGCTGAGTTTCTCCATTGAGCATCCGTGATTCATAAATGTCCTGTGAAGGCGAGAATTCATTCACAATTGTTACAGTATTCCCTTTAGAATCAATCTCGTTCCAACTGATAACTTGTCCATAGAGCATTGATTGATCAAACCCCACAATTTTTTTCACCTGGCCTCGCTCACTGAAAAACTAATCTATGATAGAAGTTCACACAAATTGAACACAAATGTACCTGAGCCCTTTGCCAGACTTGCTCTTAATATCGTATTTTTGGAGAGTGTCCACGGGAATAATTTTGAAGTCGTTTACCTCCTGAATTGTTTCAATATTTATCAGATCAGAACACGCTGTATTTTACCTGGTAAGAGTCAACAATAAGCGCGAAGTGGTAGAGACAGCCGCCTTCGGGTATCCCGTTTGTGAGAATTATTCCTTGTTTCATTATGTTTCTGACAATGCTCAATGAGTCACATGTTCTCAAGGTCAAAAGTATATCATGTTAAACGAGAACAATAATCTACAGAATTTTGTTGCACCAAAACTCTATTAGAAGAAACATGTTTTATTCCTTGGGTCAATCACACATAATACGTCGTTATTCAAGTAAGACCAGACAATTGTAGAAGTTTGACAGCGGGGAAATGATATAAATTTAAAAAAATTAATATTTCTGATTGCTGTATTTTTCCTTCTTGTCGCGGCTCTCCTTCGAATACTTACGATCTTTGAACTTCGAATTCGGCGGAGAACGTTCGCGACGCCTCTGGTCATTGTTTTTACGAGTGTCCGAGCCATTTCTTGAACGGTTCCGTTTGTCATCAATTGGAGACCACGTCAACGAACGAGATCGCGCCCGAGACGGCCGACTCCGCTCGATATCTCGAGAATTCCGTCCATGGGCAACATTCATGGAACCCATTCTAAAAAAATAAATTTTATCCATCGGGAAACTAAGTTCACACACCGTCTTGTTGGCTCCGGAATGTATCTATCGGCACGTTGTTTCTCCTTGTTCGGCTTGCTCGGACGATCTGCTGGAACCGCAGAACTTGAAACTGCGACTGTAGCTGGACTGGCCGGCTTGATTTGACCATCCACCTTTTTCTTCATGAAAGAGAGTTGCTTCTGTAGTAGATTTTGTGCAACAGATTTTGGAGTTGGATTATACTGTGCATATTGCTGATGATGGAATTGCATCGGAATCGTGTCCGTTTGTTGCGCTTGATATTGGGTCGCATGTTGCTGATAGAATTGCTCATCAACCACAGAATTACGATCACCAGCCGAGCCACTTGTCTCCGACTGTGCCAACATCATCATTTTTTGCTGGTATTCATGCGGGAACAGGATTTCATTTTCATGAACAACGAATGCAGGCTCTCCATTGGTATAAGGGATCACTGGAACACCTGAAAAACAGTTATTTTTGTTAGGTTCGACTCAGCACATACCTTTCGAGTAGTACAATGCTCTCTCACGGCCTCCGGTATATGTGATAATGAACGGCATCAACGCGTTACCTTCCGCATCTCGTGGATAAATCGGCTCGTCTTTTTCATCAAGCGGCAGAACGACTGTGCCTGAAACCAAAATTTAGAATGACGACATATAATGTTTCTACCGCCGAATGACCGAACATCCCCTTTCTTGAAGATCGTTTTTTTCGATGTGGAAATTGAAAATGTCTAAAACGTCAAACAATATTTGATGTTGTTACGAACTCGTTTGGTTTCTTACTTCAATATTCAACAGCACTTTTTGAAGACTAACCATTAACGTCGGAAGGCACGTATGCACCAAACTCTTCTGGGATTCTCGGAAACGCCGGTTTTCCATCATCTCCAAGTGGAACGCAAACGCAACCTGAATCATCTACGGGGAAAAGAGGCAAGTCGTCGTATAGCGGGTAGATCTGCAATTAGTATTGTAAAACATTGCATGCTAGCAAACTTTAATTACAGTTTCGCCCGTGTCGTCTTTAGGAAGAATTGGACGCCCTTCATCATTGAGAGGGAAAACTGGCTGTTGGTAAGAATTGAATCCAGCAAACCACGGAGCTTGTGGTGGTAACTCAAATCTTGTAAAATCTGGAAGCAAGAAAATAACATCAGGCATTTAAGGTATCGTATCTTTTCTCTTTTCTTTTCTGCAACCTTTTCATTCGTAATATTTTTGAAACAAAAAACTAACCAGTACTGTCTCTGAATGATTCAAACAGAAACTCAAAGCACTTTGTAGAGTTGTTCAATTTGTAAAAATATCCCGAGAGATCCTTCGCATAGACAACAGACTCTTTCGGCCGATAAAAATTGTAGCCATTATGGGCTATTTCCAGAGCGTTTATAACTTCTTTTCTACAAAACATCTCGTTGCACGGCTCCGACGTGATCTGTTCAAGATAGGGATAATCGGAACCTGCTGGGAGACCAATTCCAGGAACTGTTTTTGGCTTGCGTTTGGAAGCGGTTTTCGCCGGAGCTTGTGTTTTATCTGTTTCCGACATGTCTTGACAATTTTTAGCTGAAAGTACAAAGATTAATGCATTTATGGTTCGGAATATAGATAAACCGCGAAGTGATGGAAAAAAACGTGTATTTAAATAAACGTGTTTAAACGAGTAGGGTGGAGTCTGATTTGCAACGTGCGGCGCGCAATTTCGCAATATTGCAGCAGGCAGTTATCGAAGTTGACGGATGTGGTCCGTGCACACTGCTTTCTTTCGAATAATCGGAAAAGTCTGCTAAATATGAGCAGTTCTGGAAGAAAAAATACTTATTGTAATTTCAGAAAAATTTCCTTCGAGGCCAAAAAACCAAACAAAACAAGACTTTTGCAGTAGTCGTGAAACGTCAGCAACGAATAAACTTAGAAAACATTTATAAACAGCACAGACGAACATACTTCGAAATACTCGGAATGAACAATCCACAGAAAACAAAATGTTGAAGCTGCTAACTCGGCGTCCGCAGTGGGAATATTAAAGCTTAGTGCTGAATGTGTTTTTCAAATGAACATGCTTCTGATCCCCTCAGTCGATCTCTTCACTCGTTACTATCCCCAGACTACAGTAACTCTGTTTTCCAATAACTTTGCCTGTTTTTAAGAAGAAATAAAACAATTATACGAGATTGAAATCGTATAGTGAAGGGTAGAACGCCGCCAATTCTGATAGCCGTGGGATTGTGCCACGAAGAAGCTTCTTGTTTGTTCTCTCATTATGAAAATTATGGGAGAAGTCCTGCGTTTTCGGATGTTTAATTTTTGTACTTTTTGAGATGCACCCCCGAATTCAAAAAGATAATGTAAATTGATTCGAGTTCTTCACCAGAGAATTGCGAATTTCATTTTGCAATATCATGATCTTTTTCTTCGTATATTTAAAGTTTCATTAATGCGTTTCTGTGTACAAACATAGCTGTGTGCGTTGTTTGTGAGCAACGAAACCAATGGAAAATATAACATGGCAGAAAAACAAGTTTGAGATAAATAAAATCATCGAAAACGCGCGTAAAAGGTGGGTTTTTTAGTTTTTGAATACACTTTATAGGCTTCTTTTTCAACAACTCTTCTTTACATATTTTTGCGAATGAGTAATATTCAGTGTAATAATTCAAACTTTTCGTACTACCTCTCGATGCCCTCTTTCCCAAACCAAAACCACTTTCCGCGCGCGAAAAGTTAATCTTTCGGAAACACAAGAAAATTCCTAAATAGTCTGTTTCTCTTCGCTTCCAAAACAAAAATAATAATAAGCAGGAGAAAAGACGAGTACTCCCCCCCCCCCTTGCATCAGGGACAGGAACCTGTCAAGAGGTTCGGCTCGCACACTTTCCTGCTATGCTCTCTCTTCGCCGACGACATAATGATCTGCGGGCTTCAATAAGCTACATTCCCGTTTCTTAATACAATTGATAAAATAAAATCGCAGCTGCCTTCAGGCATCTTTGCTCTTCTGCTCCCTTCTCCTTCATAATTCATCACTTACACTCCCTCTGATCAGCTGTCCACTCCCACAACGTTCATTGCTTGGCTCTCCCTTGAATCTGAAAAACTTGAAAATCTCTTTATACTTCTGCATACCAATAAAAAATTTATGTTGTTTCCTCCTTCTCTCTTTCCTCTCTTCGGTTTTTTGTACGTCATAAAAATTCGAGACTTCACTGAGGTTTCGTCTCCCCGTAAAATGATTTTTTCCTGGCTTCCTCTTTGCTTGCGAGTCTTCCCACTCGAACATCTTCGATCCTTCCCTCACTGTTGGGAGACGGGGAGGGTTGATAAACAAGCTCACTCAGAATATTGTTGTTTTGTCGTTGTCGGAAAGCGCACAGAGAAACACGAGAATTGCGCCTCCGCTGTTATTCTTGCTCGACTCGAGTTGGTTTCATAAACTACAGTAATCTCAGTAGTAATTTTGAATACCAAAGTCCATCTTTGATGTTCTATTTAACAAACTAGATACGAAAGAGCTCAAGCTTGTTTTCTAATGGAAAATTTGATTAACGTCTTTTTGTGTGTGACATTCGCTTTTCCAACTTTACATGGCAGCCTAGATGAAACAAATGCTTTGTTCCTTGCTCTCTTTACACACCTGCTCATCATTCTCGTTCTCTCCTAAGCTTGCATAAAAACCACTGCTCCCACAATACCGCCTGATGGTATTTCTGTAGTTTCGTTCAACTTTATCGAAACCAAAACATCTAGCACAAACTGTAGAGAACATAAGTAATGGGGCTATTCAGCGTATGTTTGTTTTCGGTTTTTTTTCGTTTTTTTACATCGCTGAATTGGGTTTTTTGACGTAAAAAAACGAAAAAAAACGGAAAAAAAATCATTTTTTTTTTCACAGCCTGAATAACCCCATAAGACGAAGCACAAACAAGAAAACAGGAGCCATCAAATTGCAATTACTTTTATTTTCAAGTTTAGTTCTTTGCGCTTATATGAGCTACAATGCCATTGCAGTCCCAGTTTAAGTATACTTGGAGATGCACTTTGCACAAGGACAAATTAGATGATGGTAGCAGTGTACTCACCCTTTTTCCGTTTTCCCTAGTTTTCTCAAGTAGTAGCTTTTCAATCTCGTTTAGGAATCTTTTAAAACGAGCATGCTTCCCTTAGTTTTTTCGTTCGTTGTTGCAGGGAATGAATAGTTGCTTGTCCGGAAGCATTTCTTCGCGATCTTAATCTTGATTCCTGAATCTAGGATTCGTTTCTGTTCACGTTTTGCTCCTCTCTTATTTTTTTTATCCACGATCGACCTTTAAACCTGATTATAAATCCGCATTTTATTTTGTCGAAGAGCTACTTTATTTCCAGTGATGATGCGAAATTAGATGGATTCCAGCTCATTGTGTCTTCCTGAATCGCAGCTTCGGCTATCCGGCTCCGACCTTGAATCATTCCTTTACACAGTGCTCTTCCCACCCATTTGTCTTTTCGGGATTGTGGGAAATGCTCTCACCATCCTGGTGCTTGTCAATAATGACTTCATGTCAAGGCAAGAGACGACGACAAGCGTTATTCCTTAGTTTGAATCCTTTTTATTTTCAGAGCAAACATATTCCTAACATGCCTGGCAGTATGTGATGTTTCTTTTCTTCTTCTCATAATTCCACACTCTTTGGCGAATTTTGACAGATTCTCTCTCAATTACACTTTCCGCTATTTGTATCTTCCGTCAAAAATGCATCTGATTGCTTTTGCGAACTGGACATCTGCAGTTGCGATATGGTGAGTAGAAGTTCTGTTCGAGACGCGAGGTGTAACATCTTTTCAGGCTAGTAGTAGGAGTTTGCTTCGAGAGAGTGGCCGGTGTCAGATCGCCATTACACAGGCTGACAACGCCGTCTCGTGGGAAACTAGTAATTGGGCTCGTTGTACTTTTATCATCATGCGCCGCTCTCACTTTCTACAATCATGTGTCTCATCATTGTTTCATCAAATCCTTCTGCAACGCTTCGCAAATTATGGCAGTATGTCTAGACGTCAATCTGGATGTGTAAGTTTTAGGATAATCAAAAACATCCTTTCTGATTAATTTACTCTTCAGGTGGCCGAATAATCGAACGAACATTTCGCCTCCGGCCTTGCGAACATACGTAGCTGCCACAAGAGCAGCGAATGCAATGTTAGTCGTGTTCCTTCCAATGATACTTCTAGTCATTCTCAACGTGATGCTACTGTACTACGTCAAGAAACGCTCGTTTTTCATGTACGCATCTTTGGGTAAAGTGTCTGCGAAGATGCGTAAAGCAGGCGAAGTGGCCCTTCCGTTTGTAGCCACTCTTTTTCGAAGACATTCCGATCAGATTCTCCAGCAGAGAACAGAGCATAGAGTTGCGGTAACTGTATGCGCCGTTGTGACATCTTTCACAATAACTCAGGTAATCATGAAGCAAGGCAAAACTATATTCCATCTTCAAGCGTTAAGGCACCGTCTGCTGTAGTTCTAACGGTAACCTCGCTTTTGAAGGAGCGATTGGATTCCCAATGGTAATTAGTTTTAGTCTACCGCGACCGATACGCTGTTTTTTCAGGTATCATATGACAACCGTAACTTCTTTCTTGGTCGTTATTGGGAAAAGCCTGAACTTTGTTGTCTTTTGTCTCTCGTCCAGCAGTTTTCGAAGACGACTCATCAATACACTCCGATCAAAATATGGGTCTCGAGACGAAAAGTTTGTGTTTTCAAAAAGATTGTAATACATTCTACCGTAATTTTATTTTTCTAATAAGCGAAATCTCGACCGCATTTTGAAAGTTTTGTTAGGGTTATCCGCGTGAGTTACGGTAGAGCGTGAAAAATTACGTAGACGAAGATCTCCCGATACATTTTCTTAACTGCATCACGAGCAGTTCCAGGCGTTCGCACTCGATAAACACAACCTACACAAGATGTGACAGCCGTGATTCGAGAATTTTATCGCAGAAAAAGTCATTTCAAAGTATCTGAATAGTTCCTATTTCCTTCCCTATCTATCTCACTTTGATTATTTTCTAATGGGTACTATTTATAACGATTCTGCAACGATTTCCGTTCGATCTCTTTATTTTGACAAATAAAAATTATACGAGCAGTAAATAAAACATTTCATTCAGTTCTTTTCGACGGCCAGCATTTTCAGTTTTTGACGAAGCTCAGAGTTCTTCACCATCTGCAACGGCGTCATTTTCTCGTTGTTGTTGATGCCGATGTCGGCACCGCGATGCACGAGAAGCACTGCCACGTCCCCGTGATCTTCGTCTCCAGCCAAATGCAGCGGAGTGTTCCCCTCGCTGTCTTGCTTGTTCAAGCTGCATTTCCCAGTAGAAATCAAAGCTCGGATAACTGTGTCATGTCCCATACTGGCCGCTCTGTGCAAAGCGGTCGCTCCGAACTTATCCGGCAGGTTAATGCAATCGGGATCCGCTCCGATCAGAAGTTTCACGATCTGAGTGTCCTGATTTAGTTCAAATGCCAAAACTGCAATGCTCTTAACCTCTATATGATTCTTGCTGCAAGCGTAGTGCAAACTGGTCTGTTTGTTGGCGTTGGCATGCTTCACGTCGACCAGGGGCTGCGTTAAAAGATATCTGACTATGTGAGCACGTCCAGCCGAGCTGGCGACCATTAGCGGAGTCCATCCGAGCTCATCTTCTTTGTTGACATCTTCAGGGTTGTTGAGAATGGCGAGCTGAAGAAGAGGAAGGCTTCCGCCAACCGCCGCGAAGTGAACAGTCGATCTACCCGAGTCGTCATTGAATCTAATAAGATTCGGGACACGAGTCAAAAGACGTTTGGCTTCCTTAAAGTACCCTTTTAATTGTAGGTGTTTCAGACATTCGTACGTCATCTTTCGCTTCTCTCAACAGTTCGGCGAGTTCGTGAACGAGCTCAACCATTTTTATTCCGTTGTCTACAGACGTGTATGCTTTATTTTCAGTTGTGGAAGTCATCTAAAATCAGTAAACATTCATTAGTAGAAGCATTTTTCAAAGTAATTAACGAGTGCAAAACAGAGCTTTTGAAGGACCATATCCATTACCAAGTAAATAATTTATTTCAGAAGATCCAAAAGCGCGACAAAACTCGTTTTTGAAGAATGTAATAAACGACCCCGAAATAGAAAAGGAAGAAGAACACAAGCAGAATCTTTTCAGTGAACTCTCGCTGCTCGTACTTCGACAGAAGTTTTCTTCCTGTCTGAAAAACATAATTCATTGAAGTGCAGAATAACCGAGATGTTATTATAGGGGCACCGCACAGAAATGGCGTTCTAATGAGAAACTCTTTTTGCAGTGCAAATTGAGCGACCTCGGGGTCGAGTTTGAAAAGTTAGGCCACATTTTCAGTGGAAAATTACTTCGTGGCCTAGAAATTCGGCCAGATTGCGAACAGCGCGCCCTTTCTGTCCGGTGCCCCTATAATACCGTGATGTGTCCTTTTTGGCTGTCATATTCTGATTGTGTGTATCCCAAAACAGATGACGAATGTACTAGTGAGCTCATAGTCTGTTCGTTGCTATCGACAGTCTGAGCCATACTGGTCACAAGATCTTGAAGGCGATTGGCTCTCTGGAAGGTCGCAGCTTATTTTAGTTAGAAATCAGTTCACCCACTATTTCCGGGTCAGCAATCTTTATGTTACCAGTTGCCATCTTGCCATCCCTCGTCAGGAGCAACGATTTTCTTTCCTCGCTCACTGTAAAAGAACATATCACGGCCCGGCTTTTCACACATGCGACTAGCGGTTTTTTTCAATTTATCTTCAGAAAACGAGCATAGAGAATCGAAATCGAAGAAATCGAACATCGAACATAGACCTTCGTCATTCTGATAAAAGTTCAATTGTATTGTGTTCTTCAAAATGAGCCAGGTTAGAAGTAAATGTAATGGGGTTATTCAGGCTGTGAATTCCGTTTTTTTCGTTTTTTTACGTCAAAAAAAACCCAATTCAGCGATGTAAAAAAAACGAAAAAAAAACGGAAAATAAACATACTCTGAATAGCCCCAGAAGGTTTCAGTGGAAAGTTACAGCTTCACAATTTTCTGTCCCCCGTAGGTTTTGCCGGCCCGTGCTCTGGCAATTCGATATTAATCTAATTAGAAAGTTACTGATCTAAACACGACCCAATTAGATTCGACTGTTTTTTCTTGGCGCAATTGAGATTTGAGCTAGCAGACGGTTGGCGTAAAAATTGATTTGAGTACTTATTAATCTAGTTAGAAGATTTATTAATCTAGCTAGACAATTTATTAATCTAATTAGGTGTCATATCAATCTTATAAGGCCGCCGTTAGATTAATAACTAAATGCCAGAGTGCATATATTTAGAACCTTAGAACTATTTAGAACTATTTAGCTGGAAATTGTAAATAGCGCCTACTGATTTCCTTTCCAATTTCTTCTGATCCCTCTTTCAATCTTCTTTGTAACTGATTCAACTGCTTCTCATGACTTGACACATTGATTTCTACTTTTTTCCGTTCATTCGATGAAATAATCTGAAGAAAAATGGACTTGGTGTTTCCTTGAAAAACTCTTACTTCACTTGAGAGACGTTTCAAATTGCCAATTTTTGTCTGCATAGAGCGCAGTAAGCGTTGGGCTTCCTTCACATCGCTCTCCAGTTGTTTCTTATCAAGTGATCCAGCTCTAAAACCGTGGTTAATGTGCGTATTACTACCCGATTTACCCTATTCTGATGGCTTCTACTTTTCCTTTTGTTACTTCATACAATCGATTGAGCTCAATATGATAGCTTCTCGCTTCTTCAATCTTCACACTTGTACTGCTAACTTCCATGATCTGATTCTATGAGCTGAAGAGCATTTGTTTAACTGGAAATCATCAAGCAGATAAGGAATATAGGTCGATACCGATAATTATAGTTTCAATGTTTGAAATGAAGATTTTGATGAACTTTAACTTTGAAAGTAATTTAAAGCCGTACAGAGGATCCTAGCTAAAACTATGACAAGATTAGAACATCGTCGTTGCGTTTACACATTGAATCCGGCAGCACGCATGCAGGCCTTGTGGGCCTCGATGAGCTTTCCGCAGTTCTCTTCTCCATTTTCAATGATGCACGTATCCCGCACTCGTTTTGTTTCAGGGCAGGCACAGCATGGCTTCAACTTCTTCTCTGGACTCTCCTGTGGCTGTAACACCTTCTCGGTCAATATTTTTAATTTTCATTCGGGAAATACCTTCTCGATACTGGCTTGTGGCGACGGCATGATGAATGAATTCTGAACTGTTAAGCGCACCCAGTTGTGATCAATGCATTGTTATTCAATAAGATACATCAAACGATAGTCGTGAAACTGATCACAGGAAAAGAGAGAAAACACATAGATGAAAAGCTCCGTCATTATATTCCACAGACAAGATGAACAGAAGAGTATCTCATTAAATACGGGTCTCGGAATTTATAAAACAGTGCGTCAGGAGACTATTGAAGGGAATTTGGGGGTAATAGTGGGAGAATAAAATGTTTTACTGAAATTGTCGGTAGATAGATGAAATACCAGTTGACGATAGGGGTTAGTGAAAATAAAGGAGAAAGGGGTATGCGAGGAACGGTGTATAGGCTATACAGTATAGCTGTAAGACATGCTTTCCACAAAAAAGGGAGAAAACGATCCAACATAATGGGAAACTTAGAAAACAAACGCTGGAAAACACCTTAAGTACTTCGAAGAGAATTCAGATGGGTTTGGAATCAGAGATACGATGAAAAATTGTTGAACCGAGATTTACGAAAAAATGTAAGCGGTGGCACGGTTGAGATCCCAGTTGTGGCAGCTTAGCACACTAATAGCCTCCTCCTAAATAACCAGTTCGACGATTTGTCGGAATCATTAGCTACAAACCTCGCGAACTCCCATATCTCTGAGCTTGTCAACGCGAGTTTGGTACTCCTGACTGATATTGAGTTGTCCTTTCGCAAACTTGACAGTCCAGAACTCGGCAGTAGCCTGTAGAATGACTTGCTGTGTACTTTTTTTTTATTTGAAGGCATTACCTTAAACACCGCTGGCTTGTCCATGTACTGCTTGGCGACAACCGCGTCTTGGGGATCTTTGGGCTCTGGCGTGCACATTAGAGCTTGAATTGAAAGAAGGACAGTGCGAAGGGTGAGCGAAGCGGCCCTAAAAATAAAATTCTGTCAGAAATATTTGGCATGCAACATTACCATTGATCCTTCAGGATGTCGAGGCAGATGACGCCTGTCTGCGAGCTAACGTTCGGGTGCCAAATCTTGGTGGCGAACTTGACCTACAACAACTAAATTCTCAATTTGAAAGGCACTTCATGTCTTACGTTTGGCGGCGAAAATGGATACTGATCCGGAATCTTGATGTCCAAATCGAACATTCCACCGGCGTACGGAGTGTCTGGCGGACCGCGGATGTGGCCCTGAAATTGTTCACTTGGAAATGCGGATCGACAGCGGTTTTACCCTGATCTCAGTCAGATTCTCGTTCAGAATCTCGATCATAATTCCAGTCTCGCTTATTTCGGCGTTAGTTACAACTTCCTTGCATTCTCTTTGCAGTCTGTTCAGAGCGATGTTCGACATTTTCTGCAGAAACCAAAATTGCCCAGTCATTTTTCCGACTGACACGTTGACGGAACATTAAAGAAAAGCGAAAGTTTAACATTTATTGCGTACAAAAAAGGTAGAAACGATGTGAAATCGGTCACGAGGACGGAGCAACAATAGTGGGAGATTGATGCAGCGCCGATCGATGCTAAAATAGGCAACGCGTTATCTCGGAGTGTCGTACTAAAAGAAAAATGAGAGTGAAACCGCGTGATCACAGAAACAGCTACATGTCGTCCATGTTTTCAGTGATTTTCAGTCTGAATAACATAATTTCCCTATAATATAAAAAACCACAGTTAAGAAAGTATATGTGTCGAATTTTTAATTCAAAAAGTGACATCTCACATCTCAGAAAATATCGAGTTAAGGACTCTTGTAATCAGTACTGTAGCACCCGGTTATCAAATCAGATTTGACTGAAGGTTATGAATATTATCTAACATTCTCATGTAGTGATTAGAATACTAGCGTACAATGGCTACTGATAACTCCCCAAAAAATACAGAACTGCCACTTCCCTACAAATAATTACTTACTGAACGTCGTCTTTTTCCTCCTTCAGTTCACTTAAACAAGAACATTCTTGTTTCATCTTAACTATTTATTCATCCTCTCAGCCATGTCCCGTACTCGATCAGCAGCAATTTCGTCAACGAAAGAAGAGCATATGGACTTGATGTCTCCGGAAGGATCATCAGGTTCTCCATCAGCTCCTAATACTCCAGCCAATTCGGGACTGTTCATCAATGATCGCAAAAAAGCTACGCATTTACGATGCGAAAGACAACGAAGAGAAGCTATCAATGTTTACTCATTCCCAGCTTTATTTGTACAATTAAAGTTGTTACAGAGTGGTTACAACGAGCTCAAGGACCTCATCCCACAGACTACAACGTCACTTGGTTGCAAAACAACCAACGCAGCAATTCTGTTCAGGTTTGTTCAGCAATCTTCACTACAGGAGAAAACAAGTTTACTGTTGTAGAGCATGTGATTTCATGAATCAGTTAAAACAAGATATTTCGGAGTCTGACAAGGAACTGGCTCAACTCAGTGCTCAGGCGGCTGCACTCGAAATGATTGCGTCTGAGTACGAACAGATGGCATCTTCGGTCCCTGCAGTAGGCCAATCATCAATCCAAGTGAAAATGGTGAATCGTAACCAAGTTTTTTTCAAAATGTCCTTTCTGGTATTCAGCTCCAACTTCTTCTTGATGATTGTTTCACCTCGTTTTCCGAACAAGTCGACTTCACAACCTACGCGACGATCACAAGAACACTCCTTTCCTGGGTTGAAAATCTCGCTGCCAACAATGAACCGTTCAAGAGCACGGCTGGAAAAATGGTCACAATGCCGTTTACCTCGCCATAATTCATGTATTCGATCATTCATAGACAGAGTAAAGAATTTACAAAATCAATTTGTTCACAAAATGCCATTCAACATGGAAAAGCCAGGAAGCCAGTGGAACTGCGAATAAAACTTAGAAAAAAGTTCACTGTCCGTCCAGTTTCGAATGATCTCTTCAGTGTGAATGATGATGGGCACCTATAATTGAAATATTAAATGCGATTCGTCCAGTGGGACATACAAATTTCGGTATAGGATGTGCATCCACCCAAATCTCCTCATCGAAAATTACCATCAGGGGTCGACTGAAACTTTTTCGGTCGTTTGAGTATAGAAAACCAGCTTGTCTCAGATTTCGAAGAGTTTGAGAAATGTCGCAAACAACATCGGTTTTCTCAGTATCGTCCACATCCAATAGCAGTTCACACTGAACCTCCTCCAGCAAATTCTTGTCCATTTCTGTTTTTTCCGTGCGTTTCATATTCAACGTATTGTACTCTACACATGTACAGTACTTCTTCTCTCCTTGTAGATAACTTCCTATCGCAAACGGGGAGATCGCAATCAGACTGGCACTGAACTTTTTGAGCTCGGCAACAAAGGTCTCATTGGAAACGATCACAACATATCGAGTTGACCACCAAAATGAACTCAGCGGTCCGTATGTGAGGTTCATGAAAAACAGAAACTCGCGAAAGTTTTGATGCCTGAAAACTGTTCCGATTCGTAGTTTAATTAAAATTCTGACATTCTCTGGACACGGGCCGGCAAAGCATACGGAGGAGTGGAAATTGTGAAGCTGTAACTTCTCTCAGAAACCTTACATTTACCTCTGACCTGGCTCATTTTGAAGAACTCAGTAAAATTGAACTCTTATCAAAAAATCAGAGGTCCCTATGTTCGATTTCTGGAGATATATTGAACAAACCGAAAGTCCTATGTATGAAAAGCCGGGCCGTGCTGGAATGAGCTCTTTGTAATTCAGTGATCACGGAACGCTACTTTGCCTACGTTCACAACTTTTATAGAAAGTGTTCGTCGTAAGACTTCATGAGTAGGAATCTAACAAAAACGTCTGCAAAGTTTTCTGATTGCATTGAATGCTAGGTACTTTTTTAGTTTGTCCATGTGTCCTTTGAATTTTTCGTCTATTGCATCCCCTGGTTTCTTGACCAAATCAGGAATCTCCTCTGCACTTGATACGTTCAATTTCAAGCCAGGAATGGTTGTGTAATCGAATGGCTTCGGCTGAATTTCATCTGAGTCATAAAATTTTCTAAAATTATACCTTGGGTAAACGATTCCAAACCGCTAGAAAAACAAAAAAGCCAGAAATGTTCAAAGCAAAATAAAGAAGAACATAGAGCATATTGATTGTTTCAAGAGTGACTACTGATTATCAAACTGTTATCTTCACCACTGAGACCAATGAAGATAAGGAAGAACAACGCACATGAGACTACACAAATGAAGTTTGTATTTAGTTCTCTTGAGAATACGTTAAACGAAGACGGATGTCGACAATCGAATCAGTGATGTGGAATCCAATGCTCCAATTCAGGAAATGTGTCGATCGAAAGCAAATGTCATTCTCCAGGACAACAATGCTCAGAACTTTTCATGAATGCGTTGTTTTTTTTAAATAATAAATCTTATTTAGAGCTTAGATTAAGATTTGTTTTAATGAAAACAAATTAATCAGCCAGACAACTGAAACTTAAGAAAAACATGGAAATTGTTGGCAAATACTGAATTACTAAGTACAAAATTAATTACTATATTTTTTAAATACTATACTACTGAATTAATACATGCGCTTAATCACTATAGTCTATGTAAGCTACTTGGGAAGTGCAAAATCTGCACACACGCGCTTATAGTTTTCTTTTCATCAAGTTTTCCATGCGATGATAGCTTGAAAAGCGATCAAGTTTACCAAGAGTCTTAGTGATTCGGATAAAGTGTAGTAATTGTGCGTAGAGTAATTCAGTATTATAATAGTTAAGTAGATATAGTAATTCAGCTAGGATGTAGTAATTAATAATTTATAGTAATTAGGCGCATGTAGTATTTCAGCAGTATAGTAATTAAAAAATATAGTAATTAATTTTGTAGTAATTCAGTATTTGTCGAAATTGTTGTTGTCTACTGAAGCTAAATTGTTGCACACCTCCGCAATTTTTATTGGCTCTGCAAGTATGTAAATATTTAGCAAGAAAACAAACTTCAATTTTTTGTACTGCTCAAGATTATTCTAGCCAATCTTCCGATCTGGACACAATTCGCACGTCAAAGATTGGTCACACGGAAGACTTCTTTTTGTGAGCCAACACTTAATACAAACAGGAAGCTGGTGTTACTCAAAGCTAAAAGCAGTTATTCTTAAATTTCTGGAACCGATTTCTTTGTTGAGTGGTAGATCATAAAACATGGCAGAATCCTTCTCTCACTCCTTCTGGGCCAAACTCGATTCGGCAACTAATCACCAGAAGTGCTCCACTCCTCTTTCAACTTCATCTCTGATTTTTGACTGCTCCTCCTACTTTTCTCCTCGGCAGAAATGCTCCTTTCGGTTCAGTTCGTTTGCTAGACAGGTGGAAGAACACTGGACTCCGAGATTGTTTTCCTTCCATTTCGTGCGTGTTATCCTCTCTTTTTTCAGCCATGGGACATGTCCCATGCTAGTGAAGTGTGTCAGCTTCTGAACTAACTATTTCTTTCTCACTTTCAAAATTTTCTTTGTTAGTTTTCTTTTTGGGTCAGTACTGCTCATCGTTTTTGGGTCAGTAGTACTGACTCAGTACTGCTCATCGCATCAGTACTGCTCATCGTTTTTATTTTTCTTTTTTTCCAATGGCTGGCAAATAACTTAATCGGTTTTGGTCTCGAGATGGGACAAATAAGCATTTTCAGAGGGATCATATTTGTCAAAGCAGATTTTTCAGACATCTCAAATCTTGTGTGCGTAGCTTCCTGCCAGCAAGTCTTGATACCGGGCCATCAACAAAAAAGAGAGTGGACAACTCCCTTCCTTCCTTTTACTTGATCTTGATTTACGACCTGATTCTAAATTTCTCACGATTTCCATTCTCCCTTTCATTTTTATTTTGCTCCTGTTGGTTTGCTTTCATTTAGTTTCTCGAAAAAAAAACTATTCCTATTTGAAAAAAAAACTATTCCTATAAAAAACTATAACTATTTTCAAAAACGAGGCTTTCGGTCCAGAGAATCCTCTTTTTTTTAAATGATTGTAAGAGGTTCGAAAACATTCAGAAACCTTGAGTAATCTAAAGTCCAGCTCAGCAGTACGGTAACCTGTTTCAAATAAATTGTATTTTCCTCTGACCTTTCGTTTCGAAACCTGCCGACGATGATAGAATGGTGGTATTGTGAAAGGAGAACTCAATTTGGCTAAAGAAAAGTTCGAAAATAGAGAAATCCTCTTTTTCGTAGGCCTGCTCATCGGGACATGCACAGAGAACCACCTCGTCTGTGCTTTCCCTCTATTTCGTAGACGTTATCCCTTATTTATCGAGACATAAAACGAACTTATGGTGTGTGTCTCAAGATCGCATCGCCACTTGGTCATTTACTCCCCAACCTACTCCTACAGATATGTTTGTTTGTTCCAATACTCTAGGAAAAGCTCTGTCACCACCCCTAAATTGTTCATCCGACGGGATGTCAGTTCGCTGCTGGAACAACAATTTTCTTTATGTTTTCTGCTTTTCTTGCGTTTCTTCTTCCTAACATCCTTATACTATTTGCCAGATTATTGAACGAATCCGTTCACTACGGAAGTATTCATGCAAACTTTTATAGTTCTTTATTTCGTGGTTGTGCAATACATCTGAAACGATGTTGATGCCTTTCTAGTACTTGAGCAGATTCCACTTGACTTTTCATTCTTTTCGATGATGATCACAAGATAGATAGATGAAAGAACAAAAACACGTAGGATTCATGAGATTCAAAAGTATACATCCTCACGTCATTCATAAAGTGGTTTGTGTTTGTAGGGCACAACTGAAATTTCGAACTCTGTTATCGTCACTGAGCTCTCCGTCTGTCTCATACACGCATTTCAGGCAGAATGAATAAGAGCGATTGGATTGTTCTAGCTCAAACCATCAACACAATCGCCTACATTATCACTATCATAGTCGGAGTTGGAGGAAACTTATGGGTTTCTTGGAAGGTAGTTTTTTAATGCTTCCCAACATTTCATGTACACAAATACTTGTTTGTTTACAGGTCGGGATAGTGTTCCTGTTCGATAAAACGTCACTAGTTCCAAGAAATATCATCATTCTGATCCTTCTAATCTGCATAGCTGATCTACTGGTTCTCATCCATCTAATCCTGTACGTCCACTTTCAAATTCATCAGCAGTGGATATTTGGTTCTGCTATCTGCAAGGTTTGATCTTTTACTGAATTTAATTTCGAACAAGAAAATAATTCAGTCTTTCTACTGTATTGAAGTCGTCAACAAGCTACTGATTCCACTGGCTCTGGTTCAGATCAGTCGTGAATCATACGAATCTGTGAGAATGACTTCACACAAGTGCGTCAAAAAAGCTACAAATCGCTGGATAGCGCTCTTCTACTTCTACTCTGTTTTCGCCTTCCTGGCTGTTTCTGCGCTCACAGTATGGTTTTCTGTGGTTTATCATTTAAAGTTCATGTTCAGGTATCCGTTCTGATCTTCGCCGACACTCGTACTTACAATATACCAAGAAAAGGAATATTGAGAGAGGTCATAGTCTGTAGCTTCCATCCTCCCCATCCCTACGGTTAAAATATTAACGGCCGATCCCTAAATTTAGTGATTTTCAGCAATTGTTTTCAATATCCTTGCGTTTGTTTTCGGATACGTTTTCACGAGTGCTGCCTACGTGTATTTCTACCTACGAGTTCCAATGATCCTAAAACGAAGATATTCATCTATTAAAACTACTACAGCGAGTAAGTTTCGAATAATTGTTAATTTTTACGACTCAGTTGATTCAGACAGTAACCGGATCAATTACGTGTCGATTCTCAGAATTAGAAGAACGGTGACTGCTTTCGTGATAGTCTATTTGACCTGTTGGACTCCCTACTGGATCTTGTTCTGGCTTCTCTCTTTGTTTCCTATAGTTTCGAGCTGGATGGTGGTGATTTCCACGTTCACTCATCTACTTCCTTACATATCTTGTACCGCCTATCCAGTGATTCTGACTGCGATCAACAAAGGAATCCGCAGTGCGCATTCAACTATTATAACGAGCCAAAAGAAAAAACTGAACACGATCCGAGAAGGAGCTTACCAGGTAAAAACGTTCCAATTCTTCTCGGGAGAAAAATAGCTCGATTCAGATGATAACGACGCAGCTGGGATTCGTGCAAACGTGGTTACACGATGAAGCACAACCCAATCTCATACGTCCCAGATGGAGCTCATCGGCAAGTGCTGGAGTTTCGAAAACGGAAGAGGAAGAAATCACACAAATATTACTGTAGTCTTTGGATAATGCACGTGTGTCGATCCATACTGGTTGAATTCGGGCTCTGTCTTTAAGCAGTTAACTTTATTGAACTGATCAACAAAAAACAAAGCGTTGATGTACAACATCTACAACAATAAGGATTTCTGCAGAGTTCTTTCACCCCAATAGAATTAAAACGGGGTGGGTGTAACGGTTGAGACAGTGAAAAATGATGGACAGTCATCGGAAGCAACAAAAACAATGGAAAACTAGTGCATTTGGTCTAACTAAAAATAAAACGGACATTCTGAAGGAGAAAAGAGAGAAGTAAACATGACCCTGTACAAAATATCAGACTCGAGATGGGCTAGAGACAGTCTTCAAACGAGTAAACTCGAACGACGCTGCAACCTTCCATGATGTCTGCGAATAATTGAAGTGTTGATGTATTAACTAAAAAAATTTTTGTTCGTAAAACGGTTAAATTAGGTTCACCTGGATTCAGAAGCAACGACTGTGATAGAATCTCATAATATTTTCCAGAAGCTTCGGAATAGCTGATTTTCGGCACAAACTGGCGCACAGATCTTTTCACTATTCGACTTTTTTTGACAAGGGGTCGACGAGCAACTGAATTGGCGCTCGAAATATTCGCGATTCTCGGTTCTGGCGATGTAGTCGGTAGGATGGATGACTCGGGAACTGGTGGCGAATAAACCTCTTCTGGGATCTGTCTTGTCACTTTTTCGCAGGACTCCTCGAAAGGTGGAATGCTATCTTGAAGGGAGCTCATATCGGTGTGCTCAACGGGGTTTGAAACTATATTACCCCTGAAAGATGAGCTAATAACATCCAAAAAGTTATGCTTCGGTTTATGAACAAGGTATGCTTTAGGAATCCACCGAAATTTTTAGGAAATAAAGACTTTTCTGTTACAAGTTAAGAAAACTTACACTCTGCGACACGCGGCCAGACTTGCTTCCATCGTATAAGCTCGCATTCTGACCTTCATTGTTTCGGCATATGACGGAGTGTGAGATAAGCTCGGTCCATCACTTCGCAAATCCAGAACTTTGGCAATAGCTTTACAATCTGAAATATTCTGGTTATTGGCATTTAATGCCAAGAAGAATAAAAAAAATGTTAAAAATGTTTATCCAAGCTTCGTTTTATTGTATTTTCTGTTAAACATGTATGACCAATATGACCCATAGCAGTAATTTAGATAGTTGAAGCAACCTGGCAACATGTTACAGTCCGGGTAAAGTCAGAAATGACTAGATTGCAGTGGAATCTGATATGTCGTTCTACGCACAACTTTAATTTTGAAGCGAGTTATCAGTCGGCCCGCAATCGGCCCGTTTGCAAGTATGCCAAAAATGCACAAAGCTCTTCAACACAAAGCTCTGCACTTCCAAACATACTATTTCTTCTTTCTAGCACTGGCACTATTGGCTTAACGCCATTTTGTGGTCGTGCAGTTGAATTCGCTGGTGCAGGTAACTGCTTCTTGGAAACGTTCTGCAAGAGTATCTTGTTCAAAACCTGTAGCTCAGATCAGATAATACCGCAATGTTCTCTTTTTGATTACCAAGTTTTGCATCGCCGACGTTGTTTAGCCTGATAAACTGTTCTTTTTGTGTTGATGTGAGACCTTTCCAAAGTTGTTCAATCTGAAATTCACAGAATATCCTCCTTCTTCGTATTTAATGTGCTCTGACAATTCACGACAGATGCGCCAGCCCACTCCTTACTTTTCGTTCCAATTCCTCTCGCGAAATACTTCCTTCCTTTGAGTACCTCTCTCGTATTTTTTTCGCAAATAGCGTCTTTGCTTTGTCGGGATCACGTCTGAATGAAGTGTGGAAATATAAATGTTTTACAAACTCTTTCTCACGATGCGACTTTTGGTGCTGGTGCTGGCGGTGAGACTGAACCAGAGTGGTTTGGAACTGTCGAACTTCGTATTCGAATCGGTTTACCTGATCCAGGCCGCATTTTACCTTAAAAATACGTTTTATTTTCTCAGATAACGTTGTTTTTTAATTTAGAAGAAATTTAGGGCACATATTTAGTTCTCTTTTGCTTCCGGTTTCGTTTCGTGTGGAGCTACGACTTCGCACCGCTTGTAATGTTGCTACTTGCTTTGGGCCTTACAGTTTTATTTAAATTATAAAACAAAACATATAAATAGAACGGGATTCAGAAAAGAACAAAACTACAGAAATTTGCAGCTATCGCGGGAAATCTAACACAGAGTCTGAAAGCACGGTCACGTAAAAATTCATACTCTCCAGAGTGTCTTGCGGAGTGTCGTACGAAAAAGTTTGAAAAATTCATTATGACTGGCAATGTACTGGAGAACTATAGAAATTGCAGTTGTTCTTTTTTTCAAGTTTTTTGTGATCATTTCAAACAAACAGGAAATGTTTTCTGTCCGTATCTTTCTGGACCACGTCTCACTCGTTGTATATTGATTTTTACAGTTCATCCGAAAGAATAGTAGAAAATGAACAAAACGAAGAAGACGAAAGGGAGGACAAACGAATTGCCAACTGATAATCAGTTTGATTCTCAGTCAAGTGTTAGTTTTCACCAGATTTGACTTAACTGTCTTGAAATATTCAGAGCGATTCGGAAGAAGAGTCGGATGACGAATCTGCAGCAGAACAGTCTGATTATGAAGATGAGATTGAATTAATCGCTGATGAAAAGTAATTTTTATTGAGACTGAGCCCCTAAACTCTAAAAATTTTTCTTCGCAGCACATCCTACGTCGAAAATGGCGATCTGGACACTGATGATGATAAACAGTCCACAAGTACTGAAGCGATAGACAAAGCACTTGATGACAATGCATCAGTTTCTTCTAACGAGTCAAAGAAGAGCAACGAAAGAAAGACAGAACCACGGAGAAAAATTGAAGAATTCAGAGTTTTCTTCCCTCCGCCCAGGGTTCCCCCTAATGTCAAAACGCCGTTCCGTCTTCACAATAGCAACTGCCATCATCATGATTGGATCACCAGTATGCTTTTTTCAAAATCAAATAGCTAATGATTAATATTCTTTTTATTATAGAAAATCTGAACTTGCCGAAATATGCAACTTATCAGACTGGTTGGACTACGTCTTATAAAGCTATAAAAGCTATTACCTTTATTGATCAGCGACGGACTCAGTTTCTGAAAATTCTTGGTCTGTTCGACAGAAATGATGTCAAGAAAGCCATCGCAGCATGTGATAGAAAAGGAAGACGAAAGTTGAATATTATGCCTCCAAGCTGGGAAATAACTTTCGAATCAGAGGATAGCGATAGTCATAGTTCAGCTTTTGACGAAGAGAAGATTCTCGTTCGAGTTGATCATCTGGGAAAATTCGTTGATTTGACTCAGTACGGAACTGAAGAGAATGTCGCTGTTAAACTGAATGACAAAGGAAGTTTTCTTCATCTCGTTCGGACATCGGATCTGTGTATACCTAACGAAAGTTCTGAAACGATATCTTACCCCAAAACAAGGCCCTATCGAAGAACAACCTGTAAGACTACGTGGAGGAAGCGAAACAAAAGCGTGACTCATTTTCTGCGAAGACCTCGTACTCAACAATGCAGAATGATCACACGAAAACGGCGACGAAAAAACCAGTTTGTGACTCTGATGCTCAGAAGGAACCGGGTTCACAAGAAAGAAGCCATTGTGGATGCAATAAATTTCATTTCATGGCAGAATAGAATCAAGATCTCAGAAATACGCACGAAAAGCAGGCTTTTGAAAGAAGCAGAAAGACAACGGCGAGAGGACGAGGAGTGGGAGCTTCTGGAAAAGAAACTTAGGCTTGATTGGCAAGAGACGATAGAAAAGGAGAAGGAAGAGATGCTAAATGTTTCCTTGGAGCTGATGAAGATAGTTTATCTCAAAAACGTCGAGTGGGTAGTCGTGGAGAAGAAAGGATGCCCTGTGCAAGGCTTTGAATACACATTGATTCCGGCTTCCGAGTTGAAAGGAGAACAAGTTATTCGATATGATCGACAAAATGTGGATTACAGGTTCAGAATGTTGTTTATAGAAAACAAAACTCAGGCGGAATTCGTCAGTTCTCTTCCATTTTACAAGCTAAAGCCGGTAAAAAAGACGGGATTTGTTAATCTTCAAGTTTCGAAACCTTTTACAGCCAACAATCAATTATCCCATCGTGGATGGTGTCAATAAAGATCTTGAACGGGAATTGGAGCGACGAAGAATGGAAGATGTAGAAAGGGACGAGAAAAATACGCACCTAGAAGTTGAAGACAAAATCAGGTTCAGGAAAGATCAGGAAAATATAAGTTTGGTGAGCCAAGATTACGGTTTTCAGCATCCTAATAAGTATATTCTTCAGATCAAAAAGTATAGAAACGCCGCGAGACGGGAGAGATCGAAAAAAGAACTACAAACATTAACCTGCAAGATGGAGCCGATAAAAGTTGAAGAAAGTGATGAAGATGAGGTCTCAGACAGCTCGGAATCTGAGCATGGTTCAATAGACAACAACGGAAGCACAAGCTTTCGGGGGAGCTGTCTAGAGCGCTTCATCGTGGAAAATCCCGAGGTGGATGTTGATCCGGAAGAAATTAATGAAATTAAGGTACGTAAGTATTGTGCTATCAAACCTCTATTGGGATGGTGAATACCCTGTAAATAAACTGAAAAAGTGCGATAGAGTGTGATTTGCAGAATTCCTGAGCATTAATCGCTAATTTTTACTCAAATTATGTTTGAAAGCGACGTAATTCAAAGTGTATATCAGTATTTCTGTTGTTTTAAAACAGTAACTTTTCAGGAAGAAACTGAAGAAGCCTACATGGACTATCAAGAACCAGGCCCATCGCATGACTTTAAAACTGAAATAATATTGGAAGAAGATATTAAAAAAGAAGTCTCTGTTGAAGAACAGCTTCATGAAACGTTTAAGTCCGAATTCGCCTTCAAAAATGAGATCGAGGATGATAACTGGCCGTCAATGTCCTTTGATCCTTCTGAATCCAAAGATCTGAAAAACTTCAAAACGGAAAGCATCGAAGAAGTGAAAGAGAAAGCCGTGGAACCAGAAATGAAATGCCTGAAGCCAAGAATCATAACTGTATTTTCAATGTTTCGTGTTCCTTTCAGATATTTTTTTTTTCAGAAATGTCTCAACTGGAAAGATCGGCTGTTCAGACAAAAAGGAGTGAGGGAGCGGTCTAGATGGAATTGGTCATACAATCGATTGCAAATTATTCGAAAACTCCAACAGACTATTCCAAAGAGATCGGGGCGGAATAAACGAGGTCAACTCGCACGGAAAAGGAAGAAGAACAAAAAGACAAATGAAATAGTCGTGAAGATGAAAAAGAAATCAGCGGAGCAAAAGAAGGGTTTTGCGAAGAAACGGAGAACCAAATATGTACAAAAAATAAAAGTACCAATGATAAATTTTCCTGATTTTGTATGAATTTTTTCAGATTTCATCAAGACACGTGAAAACAGAACATAATGCTCATGAAGCCAAACGGGTACAATTCAAACTAACGGTGTTACAAGACCTCAAGAAAATATGGAAGCCATTGCCATGGCAGACGAGTCAACTCTTACGAGAACAATCCAAACGGAACAAGTACAAGGTGAGCAGTCCTTCCCAGATTCAACGATTAGTTTTATTTTTCTTCAGGTTCGATCAAAGCGATCACGTCATAATCTCCAGGCACATATTTTGGAAGTTTATGACGGAAAGGAATGTGGTTTTAAATCTGCGCCCGCACGATCGGACATTTTTGAAAAAGGAATTGACGTCCGAGAAGAGCCGATTCCTTTCTGTGAAGAACTCATTCTCGATGATCAATCGCTTGTGGCATTCTCCAGTTTCGACGACATGAAGGTTTTTTGAACTAATCGGATGTATGGACCGGGTTGTTTCAGGTGTATGAAAAAGCAGTGTACGACCGACACGAAGTTATGGCGGAAGGATTCTGGAGGGTCCACGTACGTAAAGCATTAGCTAGGGAGGCAGCTCAGAACGAAGAGAATGAGAAAATGAGACTGGAAGTAGAACTGCTCGAGCAGGAGCTCAGAGAGCAAACTTTTCTTGATATCGAAAACGATGTCAACGAGAACTTTTCTCTGCTCGAAGCTGCGGGGAAAAAGATGGAAAGCACTATCAAAGCCTCGGGAGATTGTCGTTAGTTGGGAAGCTGAGAACTTATCTTGAACTGTATTTTCAGAGTTCGAAGATTTGGACGAGTATTTCTCCTTGATTGAAGACTGTCAAAAGAACGAAGAACAGCGGGATGAGGAAGAACAGCTGGAAATTGAGACTGAACAGTGGGAGCATACACTGGAACAATTGATTGCGATTGTCAAAAAAGAGTATTCTATAGAAGAAGTAAGAGATGCGAGTTTGATGGAAAGCATATGTGAAAATTACAGCTAATGATGCGAGTGCTCAAAAATCGGCACTTGGTGACAATGAAGTTGCTTGTAAGCGGGGCAAACCAGTCTTCGATTGATAAAGAGGAACTATTGACGAGTGCACGGAGTTTACTTGAAGAGCTGAAGGACAGGCGAGAGGAAGCAATGATAGAGGAAAAGAAGCTGCAGGAGCATAATGAGGACCAACTTCGAAGGTTTCGAAGTGCGAGAAAGCGGGCATTGCTCCGGGCAACTCGAGTACAGAAGATGTTGGCTAATAGGAAGAAACGGATAGAAAGGGAAATGTCGAGAAGAAAGGACAGTAGAACAAATGAAATTGAACAAGAACTAATGCAAAATTATGAAAGTGAAGAACACGATTCAGAAGCGCACGGAAGTCCGTGGGAAGTAGAGTTGGTCGTTGTGTCAGAAGAAGAAGACTTAGAAGAAGAAGAAGACCAAGTGGATAAGAAAGAGACTAACGACGAACTATTGTCAGAAGAATCGACGCATACCGCAGATTTTCGATGGAACTTCAAACATTGTGTCTGGCGAACAGAGGCATTCGAGCAAAAGCAGGCCCTCGCAATTTATCGGAAAAAATTGCGTGCATCCCTCAGATCAGGCAAAAAAAAGAACTATATGAGCACGTACGAAAAATGTGCAGCGTGGAAATTGAAACTCGAAAACATGTATGGAGAGACTGAATTCGAAAAGACCCTTCGAGAATACGTGGAATCAGAAGAGAGCGAGGTCATCATTTCCCTCGAGAGAAAAATGGAGATTGTAAAAAAAATTACCAGTATTACTCTCAATGATACGCGGATCAAAGCTAAGGAGATCCAGAAACAGATGATTGAGAAGGCTGTCGATTTGATGGTAAACGGATTTTATGCTTGCTGAAAAAAAAATGATATTTTTGAAGATCAAAACGCGCCTCGAAGAGATGACCAAAGAGCACCAGAAATGGCTGAGAAGTGATGAACTCAAGGTGAGCGTCTTTTCCATATTTCTTTCGCGACACCCCTCTATTATTTCCGTCGTTTCTCCTCTGTCTCCTCCCGATCATTTCCCTCAAAGTTCATTCCCTCTGCCCAATTCTATTTATTCCGTGTTGCTCGACATAGTCGCCCGCACGTGTTCTCGGCGGCCTATTACACTAGCGGCCGCTGTCGACCAGAGGGCGGGAATCATATGATTCGCTGCAAGCGAAAAACAAACTTCTGTTCATAGTGTAACATTGTTGTGGTCTTCGACAAAGCCTGTGATCCTCTACTCGCTCCAGAGACTAGAAAAGAGTTCAGACATTGTTTATCCAAGGACGGCAATGAGATTTGTTGGGGGAGTTAAAGTTTCGTCTTTGTTTACTTGCGGTTACTAAGATGTTCTCAATACATAGGCTACCAAATTTCAATAGTGAATTGTTTTATATTCACTGTTTGGTTAACTGGACGGATGTAACTGCAACATCTTAATAGTGCATAGACTATGCAGCATAGTATGGAAATATTCTTTTACCATTGCAAAGATTATGATCAGATATTGAGAGAGCGAACGATTTTCACTCCCGATCTCTCCCTCTTCCAATCTCTTCTTTTCACCGCATCCCATGCGGCGGTTAGGAGACAGGCTGGTCGGATAATTCGCTTGCGCATTCTGCTTCTCTGATCCTCTGTGGTTGGTTTTGTCACTTTTCCTCTTCCCACACTATCACGTCCGTCTCGTTCTCTGACATTGTACTATTTCGTGAAACGTCGCAATCTCTACCGACTCTCCGATGGGAATTGTGTAACAAGTCTGTGGACAACTGAATCGGCCAGCCGGCTGCAGTAGCGCTCAGCGATCGCCAACTGGGTTGTCCTGCAGCAACAAACGGGGCAGGCAGTCAGAGAATGCGAGAAAGAAAAAGATGAGGGCAGTGGGTGTCAATAACGTCTGTGCCTCTTTCTATGAGCGTAAGTGTTCAGTGTATCGTCGAGTAGAGAAGGGCGGGTGCGTGTGGCGCGCCCCGAAGGAAGGGAAAAGTGAAATTGATGAGTAGAGAAAGATGCGCACGTAGAAAATAGAATGTCTGACCGCTTTCGCTACAAAGTCCGGTTCATCGAATTGTATTACGTTTTTCCAAAGACCAGACACGATGTACATTATCGTATGTCCGAAAAATAACGTCTCCGAATGGCTGTTAGATGACACGTTGCCAAAAGTCAAAATTTAATGATGTGCGTCTGAGTAACATGTCAATTTTTTCAAACACAAAGATCAATCAGGAGTCGTCAAATAGATTTCATAAGAATGCACGTTTCCCCATGGGAATCTATTTATATATATAGTTTGCACATGAAAATACGCGATTGTTCCAATAGTTCATCTCGTCGCTTTGTTGATCACTTTTCTAGGCATCGCTCCTTGTTGCATCCATTGGAATTGCATTCACGCACACGCGCGCACTCACACGCTCACAAGACACCGTCTAACTTTCTCGTTCATGGTGTCTTGCCTGTCTGCTTCTCTCGCCGTATTGTTTGATCACCGTCCTGTTCTCTGCTAATGTGATCTAGTGAATTCTTCTGCCCACTCGCGCTCTCTCCGTCTTGTGCTGTTTATATCTCGCATCGGTCTCTGCCGCATTTCGCAGCCGCATTCTCACTTTTTTTTATTTGCCGTCTGGTAGTTAGAATAGATTAGAAGAACTCCGAGGGGTTTTGACACACTGTTCAAACACAGTTCGAGAGCTACTGTGAACAATTTAAACTTGAATTAAAAATCGTGAACATCCTCAATCTAGAGTACATGATCTCTGATTTTTAAAGTTACATGCCTGCATTTGTCAGGTGTTTCTAATTTCTCGATGTGGAAAACGCGCTTTGGGAATTGATAAAAGGCTTGATCAACAACTCAACATTTTTCAGCTATAGTTTGAAACATGGCAAATTCACAAGAGTTTGAGAATTTGTGTCCATGCCTTCCTCTCTCGCACTATTCAGCACCAGCCTCCTCCTCTCAAGAAGAAAAAGAAGAAAAGGCAGTAGCGCTCTGCGCGAGGTCGCTCAGTCTCAACACTCGCGCACACACACACACACACACATACACACACACACACACACACACACACACACACACACACACACACACACACACGCGCATGCACACACACACACACGCATGCACATACATAAACCTCTGGCTGTCCATTCGACCACTTTATGCTTCGTCGGGTTCCTCCTTGTCGCCGCCGGAGAAGCGTGCATCTCTTGCCTCTCCACCTTTTTTGTGGATTCTGTCTAAGTGGTGTCTTGTCAGCCGTCGTGTTCTCTAAACCTCTCGTGGCAGTCTCTTCTTTTTTGTCGTGCTCTCTGCTGCCTATAGTTCAACCTCGCACTCTTATCCCTTTCCATCGCTGCGCCTTCTTCTACTGCCTTCTTCTTCCCGTTCTCTAAATTTTTGTACTGCCTTATCCACCATCCTATCCCATCCAATCTCATCTCTTCCTTTCTTGAAGCTATTCGTTATTTGATATTTCCTCCTTCTCTCACTCTCTCTTCCTCTTTTCCCTCAAATCGTCTTCTTTTCTTCTTCTCCCATTTTCGTTTTCATTAAAACCTGCGGTCTTTCCGACCGAGTTCCATCGACGAATGGCTACTCGAGAGGAGAAAGATAGAAAATAAGAACTGACGCACGATTCATACCTTTCAAGAAAGTTCCAATATTACGCTAGAACAAGTTCATTATTTTCCTGACTCTCCGCCCATGGTAAACGATTTCGTCAGAATTATTGAAGTATTATCAACCACCCTATTCTTTGCTCACTTGATCTTCCGCTTTCTTTATGCCGTGTCCAACGTCAAAAAAATTTGTGAAATCTGTTGTCTTTTTGCAGTCCAAAGCTCGTGGCAATTCTACAGAAAAAAGAGGTGCGCATAGCTGAAACGAATGTCACCGTATACCATTAAAAAAAAAGTATTTTTTGTAACAGTTAAAATTTAGTGAGAGTATTTGAAAATATTCAAATTTCTTGGGTAAATTTTCAAAAAATACTGTAGTTTTATGGTATACGTTGACATTCGTTCAGCTGTGCGCACCCCGTTTTTCAAGCAAATCTCTGCCGACTTTGGACAGCGAAAACACTACAGATTTCGTAGATTATTGTGACTTTGGACGCGGCATTATAAATGTGTACTCTGGACCGCGGAAGAGGGCAAGAAACCGACTTGTTCCTTTATTGTGATTTGTCAACTCAAAACTGCCCTCGTGTTTTATTTCAAGTTCTAGTTCTTACTATTTTCCAGAGAAAACAACAGTTGCAAATTCGAAAACTTGAAACTGGGCGTGAGATCCACGGACGACTCACATCGCTCGAAGAACGTCTTCTCGAGCTAGACGTCGACATTGAAGTTGGCGAGCATCAACGTCGTCTACAACTCGAGTTCGAGGCAGCAGCCATCGAAAGGGAGAGTGCCGGTTATCAGCCGAACTATCATCAGCAGTCGAGTTTCCTTCAAGCGCGGTCTGGCTTCACGACCCCGACTGTGAGTTGATTTCATGAAAATTTGTCAAACGAAATGTTATTTTCAGTTACCGGAAAAGCAGAAGCGCAAATACATAAAACGGAAAAACGTGGCGGTCACCTCGGATATGAAGAGTCCCGGAACTACATCGATGGAAGCAGCAACAGTACACCAACAAGAACTTACTGGATCCAATGGGACCAATGTGGGCATCGCAGCTGGTACTCCAGTTACAGCAACGAAGAGAGGAGCTAGTGTGACTCCTCCAGCCGAGGAAAATGCTCCAAAGGTTCAGAAAGTGGAAGGAGATGATTATATGTAAGATTTGTCAATTTTTAAAAATAGCTAAACTGCATCTCTACAGAAATGGCATCCCTCAATCAAGACATGAGAGCATCATTGGAATATCAGTTGCTACTCAAGCGCACATGCAAGCTCAAGCAGCCGCTGCCGCTGTAGCAGCTTCGATGAATGCTCAGAATTCAGTTCCTGCAGCGTTATCGACAACTAGCTCTCTTTACATCAACACTTCTTCAATGGCCCAGGGCACCGTCCCCACACCTGCCCTTCCACAGAACCCGCTCCTATCAGCTGCGCAAACGCCTGTGGTTCCAGCGCAAGCAGCTGTCGTTACTGGAACACCGGTTGCAAATCAATCTATAGAAACTCTTCGCCTCCTGCAAAATCCGGCACTTGCGAGTCTGACAAGCACAGGAGCTCTTCCGTTCTTGGCTTCTAATAGCAACACAATCCCTTACTTATCTGCGTTGCAACAACAGTTTGTATTTTCCAATGCGCAACAAGGCCAAGGAAGTGCTGTCAATGCTGGCCAATTGCAGACACTCAATCAGATCAACGGCATTCAATTCCCAGCTAATGCTGCACTTGGATCTCAACTCGCTGGAGCGGCTTTGCTAGCAGCAGTACCGGGTGGAACGAACATAAAAGTAAGTAATGAAAACGGGTTATGTGCATCCTTTTCATTTTCCAGAAAATCGGCCGTTGGAGTGGAATGCATGTAAAGATTGCGAATGATATTCAATCGCTGCGAAAGGGCAATGAGAAGCCAGGAAATTCCAGTAACAAGGCTGCAAACGGAGCTAACAGTCTCACAGCGTCGGTCGGCACATCAACCAACACCGAGTCGGCAGCATCACAGCCTCCACCTGCCGCCACTGCTCCTCCAGCTCCGCCGAGTCATAACTCGTCACTGTCTGCTCCTCTTGGCCCGCCGATGGCTCCGATCAGGTCGGCATCCGCGGCTGCAAATCATCCTGAGCCGCCTGCGCCAACGACTACTCCACAGGGAACTTTGTCTGGTATATCGTCCGCAGCCCCAACTCCTGCTGGAGCTCAACAGATACCGTCCACGATCACAATGACACATCCGTCAGCAGCGACTGTTTCTGGGGCACAATCTGCCAGTAAGCAACCTCTTACCAGTATGACGAACGCACCTATGACGTATGACCTTAGTTTTGCTAAAGTTGAATCACAGAAAAGTTTTCAGACAGTTTGCTACTTTCCCACCACCGCAATTGTCCGGTGGGCCAAATTATGCTGGAAATCCGCAGTTGATGGCGGCCACGATCAACGAAGCCACTAGGCGCGTTGCGTAAGTGACTCCACTCACGATGCCTTCTACTTCTTCATCAGAAGAAGAAATGCATTTAGAATCAATACAGAAAAAACCTTAGATTGATCCCTAATTTTTTACAGAAAACCATCAAGCATTTGCAGAGCTACACCGAAACCGCCAACCGCTCGACCACCATCGGCCGCAGTTCCGACGTCTGTCTCAGCAGTATCTCAAGCTCGGAGTTTAGGACTCGGAGCAGTTCCTACCATCGCTGCGACGACCGTGGGATCATTGACCAACGGAATGAGCGATACAGCTGCTCAACAACAAGCAGCAGCACTTCAAATAATGCTACAGAGAGATCAACATGCGCAAAATGCTCAGTTGCAACAACAGCAATTATTAGCACTTCTTGCGCAACAACAACAACAAGTACAGCAACACGCACAACAACAACAAGCGCAGCAGCAACAGCAACATCAAGTGAATCCACAACAACAAGCTGCGGCTGCTGCGGCTGCAGCTACCCAACAGAGTATGCACCACAGCCTCATGCTACTGGGAGCGGTTAGTCATTCCAACACAAATGAATAAAGTTAAATAATTTCCTGGAATTTCAGCTGGGCCATCTCGATGCAAGATCACTGCAATATATTCAATTAGCCCAACAGCAACCGCAGTCGCAGGGTGTTCCTCAAGTCGGGTCTCAGCAGCCCCAGCAGCATTTAGACTTGATTCGCCAACTTGAAACTCAACAACAAGCTCAAGCCCAAGTCGTTGCTCAAGCGCAAGCGGCCGCAGCTGCCCAGGCTCAGGCACAGGCGCAAGCCCAGGCGCAAGCTCAAGCTCAAGCTCAAGCTCAAGCTCAGGCAGCACAGCAACAACAACAGCTCCAACAACTTCTTTTATCCACCCAAGCTGGACAGAATGGTCAAGATCTGATCCGTCTGCTTCAAGCCGTCCAGCAGCAACAGGTGAACAAGACTTTTAAAAATTCCGCTCAATTCTGTTTTTCTTTTCCAGGCTCAGACTTCGCAGGCAGCTCGACCACAAATGGACGCTTTTCTTCAACAGCAGCAGCAGCAGCAGCAGCAACAGCGGCTTCTCCAAAATGCGCAGATTCAACAGATAATGAATTTGCAACAACCTGTTATGAATGCTCAGCAACAAGCTGCTGCAGTGGCTGCCGCTATTGGAAAGGGAGCGCCACAGTTGCCCAACGGCAGATAGGGTTTCTAGCTCGGTGCTGTTTTAGATGTTTTTGAAACTTTTACATTAGTTCTAATCCATTATTCCATTTACTCTATTGTTCCCCGGTTTCAGCTGAAACAAGTTCAAATTTTGTGTAATTATACCCTCACCCCCTCTGTTCCTTCCCATTCAAACCACATCGTCTCTCTTGAAACATGTTCCAAAGAATCTCGAATCTCTGTTCTAAGTTGTAATCGATTCTCGTTCGATTGACATTATGATTCCATAACGCAGAAACAAAATAAATTATACATTTTTTTCATTGCTGTCTCTGCTGATAAAGCTTCAGATATGTAATAATGTGCATGATTCCGGCAAGGAGCAAAGAAGTCTGAAATAGATTGTAGTAAGGCTAGGATAGACTCATTAGTTTCACTCACTGAGGCTATGATACATCTTCTCATCCAGGCTTCCTGACCAATATTAACAGGAGCCAAACGAACGTGGTATTTATATTTTGATGGTCCTTGACGCATGTTCCAGATGTCCCAGAGCAAAACAGTGGAGGACAGTAAGCAAACGATAGTGAGGGCAAGATTGCTAACCATATCCTTAAAGATTTCTCTGAAAATTACGGATTCCTGCTCAGATTGTTCCACATACCGCTGCGTCAAACGGCATCCTCGTCTCAAGCTCAAAGCACCGTGCGAGTATGGAGAAAAGAGTGAAAAAAAGAGCGAGAAATGATAGAAGGAACACTTGATTGTATAGAAACCACTGTTCTCTTCCGTCGATGAACACCACAATGATAAGCAAATAGCATATCTTCAAAAAACAAAAATTTAGTACACGGCTTCCTATCAGACACCGAACCGCTTGTGCAAATTTGAGAAGAGGTAGCCATGTCACGAACCAGGTAATGTGCTTCGGCATGCTCTGATTTTATAAGCTAAAACTTTGAAAATAGTTGTGTGTGTGTAGTCGCTACCGGTGGGTTGATATCGTGACTGGAGTACAGCAGCTGGCGCTTCAAACTCTGCCCGGTGCCACATGTTGTTCGGCGAGAGATCAGCCGAGGCAGAGAAAACAAAGTGAGTTAAGAAGTGACCAAGGGACATTAGGAAATTCGGAACAGTCGCTAAGAATCTGAAAATTGAAAAGACACCTCTATTTAGTGAGGTGGCAAACAACACTATGAGACCCATTAGAACTTATTCATATTCCAGAAAATTCACCTCAAACATGCTTCAAAACAACTTTCAGATGCCAGTTTTCAGTCAATTAGAATTCTTGGACAAGGTTTATAACTTTCTGAACATTCTCAGACATTCTATTATAGGGGCACCGCACAGAAATAGCGCTCTGTTGAGAAACTCTTTTTGCAGTGCAAATTGAGCGGGGGTCGAGTTTGAAAAGTTAGGCCACATTTTCAGTGGAAAATTACTTCGTGGCCTAGAAATTCGGCCAGATTGCGAACAGCGCGCCCTTTCTGTCCGGTGCCCCTATAATATCAGTCATGCCACAGACGTTTCTTGCAATTTTTTCTTGCTTTTCGCACGTGAAAACCTATTCATTCCCAGTTCAATCTATTCATCACCATTTCAATAATTTCAATAAAAATCTAACAAAGCCTGTCCGTTTCTTTATTGTTTCGTTCCTTGTTTGTCCATGACACTTTCATTTCTGACACAGGCGAAATGAGGATCACGCATCGTGGGCCCACCGCGGACCGTGCGCGGATCGCGCATGGAAGTCATAGGAATCGTATACGCGTCCACTGTACGCCCATAACGGACCCACAGCGAGCGCCATAATACGGAGGCGTCGTATATATATATATTTATTCCTACCACCCATATATATATATATATATATATGTGTATGTATTGCAATATGCCCCACAGTGGGCCCAAAACGCGTGATAAGCAGTTCACCTGTGGAAGCAGAATTATTTAGTTGCGACGGAAAAACTGGAAAATGAACACGTGACACGCAGCGGGCCCAGGCTCCAAAAGTCTAGTGAAGCAAATAATTGTTCATTCAATGTTTCATGTACACTTCGTAAAGAAGGAATGCAATTGCGATACTGTCTTCTGTTTCTTCTTCTGATTCTCCACATTCAGATTTGCTCCTCTTTTTCTATTTTTTTTGGTTGTATTCTTCGATGTCTTCTTCAAGAGACGTGCGCTTTCTAGAGTCATTCTGTGCTCGTATTGCTGAAGATTACTTTGTGGGTATATACAAAAAATTTAAACACACTTTCCTAATGAGCAGAGGCAGCTGGGAAAACGCTTCCTTTGAAAACTTCTGTCCATCCACCACAATCCATTCAGTACTTCCACTTTCTTTTTCGGTTACAGTCGGTTGTTCTTCATCGCTGTCGTCCAAGGTGATCACTTCGTTAGTTCGACTTGTTGATGATTTCGAAAATAATTCATTTATCGCCGATGATGTTTCAGTCTGAAAAGCAATGTGTCCAAAAATTGTACGCTTTCGTGACACTTACTTTTTCTATAATCATCATTTCTTGGGTAGCTAATTCGGGAACGTTTGCTACTCTTTCCCGTTTCTTCGTGTTCAGCCATTCCGTAATCGCCCGAGTGGGAGCAGGAATTCCGGAATTGAACCTTGTAGCTGACAGTGAGATGTTGAACACTTTTGGTTGCCATACAGTACCGCTTTCCGAGAGATTGAACGGCTTCACGACGTTCCATAATTGCTCGAAAAGAACGTCTGGGTGGTAGGAATTAATTTTCAATGTCTTCTGGGGTTTCCCGCCTTCAGTTAGCAGGGAATAAACGAGATTTTCAGCAGTCCGCTTGTTTTGTGATTGATCTGTCGCAAGTCGCTTAGAAAGTTCTTTACAAAGACCGTGCATCCAATGTCGCATATCATTCACAGTTGTTATGGCACTCCGTCCGGGAAAGTTTTTGCTAACTGCAATCGATGAACTTTCAGCTCTTGGCCGTACAGGCTCATCATCGAAGCCTTCACATACTGCTCTTAACCATTCGTGCTGGTCGGGAAACGATTCAATCAACCAAGAGTCATTCACGGAGAGTATGTCGCCCATGTACTGAAATACGTCTTTGAAAATAATGTTTGATGGGGAAACTTGCCTTGACGTTCAACTTTTCTTGAATTCGGTTTCCCAGTTTGCCTCCAAAACCTCGTACATCTCCAATCGGTGTCATTTTCAAAATTTCTTTAGTGTACTGCCATGGTACAATTGTTTGCTGCCGCGGTTTGTGTCTAGCGCACACAAGCTTTGCCATCATCTTGTTATTACCAATTCCGGCAGAACAGTAAAATTGAGTGGCTTCGTGAATTCGTTTTCGAATGTCTTCAATTGTTATAGCTGCAATGAGAAGACGACGCTGTTCATCATCAGTTTGACAAGCTTCAATGAATGCTGATAAATGTTGTCTTCTTTCAATATCAGTTTCCTTGGCGTCCACTCCACTGGCCACATGCGATGATGGTATCATTGGAAGTAACGATTTTGACGTAAAGTTGTCTCCTCCCCATTTATTGATGTTTTGTTCGACAAATGTTGTCAAATCCAGAAATGCTTCGTCGACGGATGCCTTTTCGATCACAATGGAAGAGTCGAAGTTGTTTAGAACGTTGAATACTTCAGCGCTCGCATTCCTAGAACAAACTACAGTTATGAAAGACTCCTGTCAAACACACCTGTATTTCTGAATATCTGCTTTGTCTGCGTATTCTCCGATAGGTACATGGCAAACTTTAAGATGTGAGCATTTCATTTTCGCCTCCACAACTGACTGTCCTCTTTTTACGCCAAACGCTCGTGCTTCATAACTTACAGCCAGGATTCTAAAACAATTCATGCCGAAGCGTTGTACGAGTCAAACTCACCCACCCGCGACTCCTTGTCTGGAGTGTTGTACGACGATTACGGGCTTACCCCACAATTCCGGATTCTCTCTTTGTTCGACTTGAGCATAAAAACAGTCCATGTCAACCAGACCAATTACTCTCTTCATTTTGGCACTGGAAATTACTCAAGCACCAAATGTTTCAAAGTTACCCGAAGTCGGAGCAGATTCGCCAGGAACCGCTGTTACCATATAATTTTTGTGAATTTTCGGGAAAGATATGCAAACCTTCAGGTAAAATTCGAAGCTTCTGGTAACAACTGTGAATGTTCGGATAAGATTAGCAGGCTCCAAGCGATTTTTGGGAGTTCAGTACTCGAAATTGGTTAAAAACCGAAAAACGCGATAAAAAAGATCTGGAAATCAATTTATTGAGATAGAGGCAACAAACAGGTCAACTGGGAAGAGAAAAAAATAGAATTGGGAAGTAATACAAAACAACAAGAACTATGTGAAAAAGTAGAGAATAAGTTGTGTGTGGGGTGATCTAGAAGGAGGAAGTAATTATAAGATCCAAGTCGCATCGAGGTCCTCATTGGAAACAGAACCGAACGCATCAGAAGTGGTCGCCGGAGCCACGCTGGAACAGCCCACGAACGACCCCTCGGCCACTTTGCGAGCCTTAGCAGGCTGGACATCATCGTGTGTGCGTTGTTGTCTTCTGGTCTGGTTGCTGCAATAACAAAGACGTGGGAACGTTTCTTTAGAATAAACTTACAATTGGCCGTTTACATAATCACGGAAGAACACGGGGACGGTGTTCTAGATGGAAGCCGGACTCAATTCCTGGGCCGCAATCGCTGCGATGAGCACGTCTGAAATATGAGCTTAAAAATGAAAAGTAGTCCGTTTGGAAACGAACTGCACGGAGCATTGACAAGACCCGAAGGAAACGGAAGGTGTCCTTTTTTTCATTCAACGATGATTTGGCCGCACGTGTCGAGCAGATTCACAACGTAGTCGACCGTGTCAGAATTCGATAAATGCGCTGATCGGAAGGGAGCATTGATATCTGGAAAAAATCGTTATCTCTATGAAGTACGGGAGTTTGGCGCGCACGGCGCACACAATTCTAAAGAAAGAACATTTTCATTTCTATCTACTGGAATATCCGTGTTTTTCAACAAGTTTCTCACGTTATTGAGTAACTTACTCGTTTTCTCCTTTCACAAAAGATGAGCAGCAGATGATGTCCTTCATCTGAGTTGATTCCATCAGAAACGTCATAATTCACAACTTGCTCTGCCCGAAAAAACAAGTGTTCGGCTGAAAATGTAATTCTCGCCTACAAATATTATTTTGAAATGTAAAATTCACCTGTTTTTATTGCTACCGATGAGCTGAGAAAGTAAATTCGATATGAATCTTTGAACGACAGCATGCTCCAAAGCTTTTCTGCAATAGAAAGTTCTAATAGTTATGCTCAAAATCTGAAAATTTCATTCCATTCACTCACTTCTTTTAGTCGACGTGGTTTCTGTGCAGTGATCATCGAGATTGACGGCTTCTTCTATTTCTGTGTCTTCATTTTCTTTTTCACTTTCTGAAAAACTATTTATTTTTTGAGTATTGTTACAATTCTATGTAATTACCGCTCGAAACGTCGTCTTCTTCTTGTCGCTGATCCTGCTCAGTTTGCTTTTGCAACTTTTCAATTCGTTGCTTTTTCGAAATTCTATACTTTTTGAGCGCCATTAAAGTTTACTGAGATTATAACCAAAATGTCGTTCATTTCAAATTTTATAAGACCAAATCAATACGTGTAGTTTTTCTTACTCAGAATTCATAGAAATATCGCAGTTGGCCTAAAAAAAATCAAAGTTTTTCAGCTAATTCTGGCAACGCTGCGAAAACTTCTTGCTTTCCAATTTTGGAAAGTTGAACATTGCGAAATGGAAACATTGCGAAATCGTCTTCAAATTCTTGCGCTTTTTCTTGTAACTTTTGCACTTTGAATAACTTTGACAACACAACAACAACAACAAATTTGCCTGAGTTAAACATTGATTGAACCACTTGAACTTTACTGGTTCAATTGCAATTGAAATTGCCTCGCTGTGTGCGGATGCAAGTGTGCTCTAATGCACATTTCCCTGATGACGGAGTATCAAACGTTTAACCATAGCAAACAAGAGTGGGCCTATATAAAATCTCTAGAGATTGTATTTTTCTGTTTTTTTCGTGATACGATTCTGCTCTTTAAAATATTTCTCTACAATTGGCGTAACTATAGTATAATAATTTTCTGTAGGTAAAACAAGCAGACATGGTTCGCATGAACGTTCTTGCCGATGCGCTCAACGCCATCAACAACGCCGAGAAGCGCGGAAAGCGTCAGGTTCTCATCCGTCCGGCCTCCAAGGTATTTTTCTAACTCTTTAAAAATTTATATTCACATTAATAGGTTCTGGCAGCCTCGGTCGAAAATGATCAAGGCTCTCCGTGAATTTAGAAAAGTTTCTAGTTGATTGTTTTTCTAACGTATCGGAGACACCCTTGGTTAGATTCTTTGTTTGGAGTCTTCCTGGGACGTGCGAGGTAAAAATAATCACTATTACACAGTAGGCAAAGTACTATTCGTAAATTGATCATTCAGGTCATCGTCCGCTTCCTGACTGTCATGATGAAGCACGGATACATCGGAGAGTTCGAGATCGTCGACGACCACCGCGCCGGAAAGATCGTTGTCAACCTGACCGGACGCTTGAACAAGGCCTCCGTCATCTCGCCAAGACTCAATATTCGTCTTAACGTGAGTGCTTACCCTGTGGTAGGGATGCAAAACAGGCGATTTTAGGCGCATGTTCTGCATACCTACCCTGTGGATCATACTGTAGCCGCGGAATCGCGTTCTTTCGTATCCCGTGTGGATTTAATTTATATAAACTGAGTGGCACTGACAACATTTGACAATAGTATTATAGGGGCACCGCACAGAAATGGCGCTCTGTTGAGAAACTCCGTTTGCAGTGCAAATTGAGCGACCTCGGGGCCGAGTTCGAAAAGTTAGGCCACATTTTCAGTGGAAAATTACTTCGCGGCCTAGAAATTCGGCCAGATTGCGAACAGCACGCCCTTTCTGTCCGGTGCCCCTATAATATATATGCTAAGAAGTTACATATATGCAAAACAAATTTTCAGGACTTGGAGAAGTACACCAACACCCTCCTCCCATCGAGACAGTTCGGATACCTCATCCTCACCACCTCCGCTGGAATTATGGACCACGAGGAGGCCAGAAGAAAGCATCTTGGAGGAAAAATTCTCGGTTTTTTCTTCTAAAGCCGTTTCTTTCGTGAAATAAATTGTTGTTTTCATGCAATCTCGTCTCTGAAGATGGGGTTTGTATTCACACTTCGAAAGGGGTAGCTCGTGGTAATTTTCTTCTTTGCAAATAAGTTTAACTGACGTTGAAAGATCGTCATAGTATCCGCAACGCCATTCCTCAGGCAAATTCGTTTCGGAAGTACAAAAGTTGCTATGTGAAATTCGGGAGTTGCAAAAGTGCTCTAAACTCAAAAGTTACAAGAAGTCTAACGCTTCTTGCAGTTCCAGTACCTTTTGCTAAAAATAGATTGAAAACGGTTTGTATACAATTTTTCGAGGCTACGCCGACCCAGAACTGTCCCGAGGCGCAGTTCTGATTCGGGACAGTTCTGGTTTATTTTTAAAAAATTAATCCCATTAATGCTGATTTTTCACACAAAAGATGTTCCGATCAGTGCTTTGTCTTTTCTCAAAGCTCCCAGTTCGCGTTCACGAGAGCTCAACTAAGTTCTCCTGTTCTACTCGAATATGTCTTGCAATGGTGGGGAAACAAGTTCCCAAAAAATCGCTTTCATATACTTGCAAAGTATGTGGCTCAAGGCAGGCGAGTGCAATATGCAATGTCGGATAGTCCTTCAAACTTCAATTCAGGGGCCTAAGATGATTTCAAAGTCAGCATACGAACAGGGAGTCGTTGTCGTGACATGTAGTGGCTGTACAAATCACCATATCATTGCAGACAATCTCGGATGGTTCGAAGATTTCAAGGTGAGATGCAGGGCTAATGGGGTTATTCAGGCTGTGAAAAAAATGATTGTTTTCCGTTTTTTTCGTTTTTTTACGTCAAAAAATCCAATTCAGCGATGTAAAAAAACGAAAAAAACGGAAAACAAACATACGCTGAATAGCCCCATAAAATGAGTTAGGCTAAAGATGTTTTTTTAATTTTAGGGAAAGAACATCGAGCAGTTCTTGAAAAGAAATGGAGATCGAGTACAGAAAGGGACGACTTCAGAAGACGGAATCATTGAATTAGAAGACACGATAAATTAATTCATCTGGAATAAATAAATACAAGAATAACAACTTGAGTCGTCGAAAATGTACACGTAAATATTAACACATATTCCAGGTATTTAGAAATAAGAGAGGTCGTTATTGGAAACAAATAAGTCTTGAGAGCACGGGGAAGAAAACAATTATGAAAGAATACGGTGCACTAATACTTGAATGTGGTAACAATCCCTGAGAAAGTTAGAACGAAAGCTGAGATATATTAACTTATGAGATGTGTATGTTGACTTCTTCGTCAATGTCGTCTAGAGATTGAGAGTTCAGAGAGATCGGATCATCATAAAGCGCTGATCTTTCAGTAACCGAGTTTTGGAACGAAGGTGATGTCGGTGTGGCGTGAGCAGGAATCTTCGGCTTCTCATCGTCGTCACGTTCGAAATTTACATCTCTACGAGGCTTCATGGTCATGTAGTCGTCATCGTTGATCACCGGCATTAGTTCGGTGTCTCCAACTACTAATGCGCCTGCTGCTGCTCTTGAATAACGCAAGGCAGATTCGAGTCTATCATCTATTGAAGGAGCCATCCAATCGTCGGAAGAGTTGAAACTACCACTTCTGAGAGGCGTTGAAGTATCATCCTTTGAAAAAACTCTTCTATCCGATTGCCGCAGTCGATTAGAGGTGTTCAACTCATCCGGTCTTCTGAATTTGTCTGACGGAAGCTCACGTCGCCCTCCTTTCGTGCTTCCACTTGCAGATGGAGATCGTGATTCTCGTACTTCCTGCACGTTTGTGAATGGTCTGACTTGAACCATTGGCCGGTTTGTATTTGTCGAAGATCCAATGAAGTTTGAATCGTTCCGGAATCCACGTGGTGGTAGAGGTGGAGGAGCGACCGGAACTTGAACTCGGGTGTTTCGCATATGCGGAACATCACAGTGGGCTCCGTACTTCGGGTCACGCTTCTTCGTACAACATTTCCAGGCAACGAAGGCGATGCAAGTGACAAGCAGGAAAATGATTGCTCCAAGAAGAACGAAGATGATTTCAGCCTTGAGAAGAAGATCCAGTATGCCTCCGACGATTGACCGATCGGTGCAAGGAGAAGTTTGCAGAATTCCTCCAGTACAATTGCATATAAAGTCGGAGCTGTCTGGATTTTGACGGGGTATCGAAATGCACTGTCCGTTACCGCAAACATTCTTATTGGAGCATGTGGAAGTTTGGACTTCTTCAAATCCGCGTGCCTCGCAATGTTTTCCGGTAAAGCCATTGGGACACTTGCAAAGGTAGTCATTGTAGAACGGGATACATTGAATGGAGTTCGGACAAGGATTTGAAGCACATGGTTCGAGATCAACTTCACAGAGATCACCAGAGTAACGAGTTGAACATTCACACCTGAAAGTATTCCGTATGATACTTGAATAGAGAGGAAGAACGGCAAACTTACGTAAAAGATCGACCTGAAGCAGTACATGAGCCGCCGTGCTGACACGGAAGATCGTTGCATGGAGAAGAAGTGAGAGCTGAGCATCCTGGTTGAGCACCATACAACTTCATTCCTTGTCTTGTCTTTGGAACTTTTATTCCGTCAATTGAAATCGTTTTGAAACAAGCTGATATGCCATCCTTGACTGCCACTGAGCCCTTGTTGTCAGATCGGATAATTTTTGCACCTAACACAAGCTTCTGTGAGAAACCATGCAGATTGAGGACTGTAGATCCAGCGGGACTGAATGCTTCTTGTAAATCGCTATCATCGATTGTGATGCGAGAGCGTCGTTGTCTTCTGGAGACAGCAATACGATGCCATTGGCCGTCAACAATCGTTGATTTCGACCGGACAACTCCAGGGCCAGATCCAGCATCCCAGTGGTACTCGACCGATCCATTCGCAATTACGAGCATGTGATAGTCGCGATGCCCAGCACTCCACATGATGGCACCATTGGTTGTGGTTGTTTTCAGCTCGATTTCTAATTCCATTCTTGTTTCGATTTCGTTTGAAAGAGAAATTTCAAAGAATCCATCACCGCCGACAGAAAGTTCCGCTTCTGCAAAAGTGTAAATTTTAGAGACATTTATGCACGTCAAAACTGACCTTCTAAGCATTTTCCACCGTTCTTACAAGATGGCTGACCGCATTTCTCGCCTTCTGTTCCCAATGGACAAGCACATTCAAACGTATTGTTGAGAAGAGAAGGAATGCAGATTTGCCATGGCTCGCACGGTGACTTTGAGCATTGATTAATCTCTCTTTCACATCGTTTTCCTCCAAAACCATCCGGACAAAGACATTTGGCACTACGGCTATGTGACGGGGAAACGAATGAGAAGTCGTTTGTGAACACTTTTATCCAATTGTCTTCGATAAGCTCAATCATTTCTCGGCATTCTCCACGCAGACAAACACCAGTAGTGCACATTTCCGTAATGAGCTGATATCTCTGAAAAAACCGATCATTTAGATATCCAAAGCGCTTCCTTAAAAGTACCATTTGTTCGCTCTGCTCGTTGATATTTTGGAAGTCAACCTTTAGACGCGAGTAAATGTGGTCTGGTTTCAGATATCCTCTACCATGACCTCGTTGAGCAGTCATCAAAACTTCCACATCGCCAACTTGAGAACTTCTTTTCACTCTTTCACCTTCGCTGTCCTCACTAGCATTCTGCACACTGATCAATTGAATACTATCTTCGTTAAGGTTTAAATGATGTGCGATAGCACTTCGGAATTTGGTGACGTGGTTGCGCATGAACTCATCAACAGTCATCGAACGTATTCGTATTGAAACAGCATGATCAACAACATCGCTATCAATAGATGAGACGTACACCTCTACATAGCTGACGGCATTAAACTTTCCATCAGATACGGTCACATTGAAGGTATGCAGTCCAGGTTGAATGGAATGGTCTGTCCAGATTTCACCAGATATGGCATCAACGCGGAAATGGTGTGGCCTCTCTAACGATGACTGTGGTTTCGGGGATTCAAGCGTGGGTAACGGTCCAATTGTGCTCCCTTCAATGATCGCAAACCGCAACAGATCTTCAGCATCCTCATCTACAGCTCTCAGACGTCCTATAACTCCCGACTGCATTTCATTTTTAATCGTGTTCACTCGTATCACAATCGGCTTCATAGTGGGCGGATGACGACTTTCTTGACGAATGAAGACTGTTAAAGGACAATCCGTAGACCGTCCTTTCACGTCTTTGGCCATGATTGTCAGTAGGAACTTGTCCTTCTTCGAGTGTTGCAGCTTTTTCGTCGTAACCAGCCGGAAATCTTTGGTGACATCAAAAGTTTTTGACCCGTCGCCATTGACAGTAATTTGGAACGGAGCACCGTTCGTCGGACCATCTTCATCAGTAATCACAAAACGGAAAACAGTCTGGCCGATCGGATCACTTTCTCGTACAACCGCTGTCATGTTACAGTCCTCGAAAATTGGTGAATGGTCGTTCTCGTCGTCCACAAGAATCTCGACCAACGCATCCGCAAACAGAGGTGGCAGTCCACCATCCTTCGCCACAATTCGGAACGTGTACTTTTGAATAGTTTCGAAGTCCACTTCTAAGCTTGTTCTTATTTCGCCTTTCGAATCGATCGTGAATGGAATTGGAGTTTGGTCTTCTTTCCTCACTGTCTCTATGAAATAAGAGACGCTTCCAAAGTGTTCACTGTCGGCGTCGGTGGCTTTTACAGTCAAAACTTTTGTACCGATTTTCGTGTTCTCCTTCACTTTTCCAGTGTACTTCGGTTTGTCAAACATCGGGGCATTATCATTCTCATCCATCACTGATATCTCGATCTTTGCTTCACTCTCAAGAGGCGGACTTCCAGAATCGATCGCGATAACTGTTAGATCAATTCGACCAACATTTTCGTAATCCAGAGGTTCGGCCAGTGATAGAACTCCAGTAACTTCATTCAATTTGACAAACTTGTTGAGCGGCGAAGGCTTTAGAGAATACTTGATAGTTTCATTTGTATCTCCTCCGCTGGCACGGAAATGAACCAAGGAATACCCAACTGCTTCTGATTCCATCACTTTCATCGAGTACATCGATTTTTCGAAAATTGGAGGATTGTCATTCTGATCGATCACTGAGACGAGTACGGAAGCTGTAAGAAGAATATAAAGAGGATTAAATTTTTCTTAAAATTACCGTTCTCCGAAAATTTCCCATCAGTGGCCGTGACGATCAGCAAAAAGTGCCCAGTGTCTTCCGAATCGAGAGGTTTCACTACTGTAATCACTCCACTTGTCTCGTCGATTAGGAACGTGTGATTGTAGTCGTTATTCAATGAGAACGTAACTTCGTCGTCGTCTGCATCGTGAGCCACGATCCGTGTCAAAAACTGCCTTTCGTTCTCATTTGCAGGTAGGTTTTCTTTGATTGCCACAGCTTGCTCCTTCTCTTCAATTACAGGGGTGTTATCGTTTTCGTTCACGATTAGGACAGTGACGAACTCTTTGCAAACAGTTTCTTTGTTCTTAGTTACTGTAGCGCGGACAAACTCGATTCGCCGAGTTTTTTCAAAATCGATGAGTTCTTTCACTTTAACGATTCCGTTCCGGAAGTTCATAACAAATGGACCAGGAATGTCGTCCTTCAATTCGAAGGTGACACGAGTCATTGCAGATGTCGTTTCTCCTAACACAACTGTTCCTTTCTTGGAGTTCTCCGGAAGTGAAACTGTGATTTTCGAATCCGAACATGTCATTTCAGAAGAACGCTTGTTGACGTTGATGAACACTTCAGATGTCGCTTGGAATACACCATCAAATGCAATCACAGTCAGTCTGTGAACGTTCCTGGTCTCGATTATTTCCGGTCGTAGAACTCTCAAAGAGGATGGAGGATCGATTGCGAAAATGCCTTCTTCGTTTCCAGATGCAATAAACAATTGTGACTGATTGTTAGGAGAGAGGTCGGCGTCCGTGATAAGAAATTGTAGAATCGTCTCCGTTAGAAGATCCTTCCTTGACGCGTCTAACTCTATCACGTATTCGTCCTTCTCAAACTTCGGAGGTGAATCGTTCACGTCGGTTACAAGAACTTTGAAAGGAAGATCAGTATTGAACCCTCCTTCATCAGTTGCTCTTGCAACAAGTTCAAATTGGGATTCTGTCTCGCGATCCAACTGAGAAGCTACAGTAAGCCATCCGCTGTTCTCGTCCATGAGGAAGTGAGGATCGTTCTGAAAGAAAAAATTACCCATTATCATACCTTCTCTCAAACTACCTTCACAAGAGAGAAACTGATCTTCCCACTTGGCGATTCATCTTTGTCAGTTGCCGAGAAAATAGTCACACTTGTTCCGATGACAGCATTTTCAGAAATTGTAAGCTTCTCATAATCACCATGAAACATCGGAGCGTTATCATTAACATCTATGACGTCGATAGTAACTGTTGTGATTGCATGCACTCCACCAGCCGCATCAGCGCGAATAGACATCTTCCATTGTTTTCTACGTTCTCGATCCAAGCCACTTTTGACAACAATCTTGCCTGTAGACCTTTCGACTGAGAAAGGTAGGTCAGGTGAAGCTTCAGATAGCGTGAATCTGACTTCGTCGATATCAGTTTCCATTTGTTGCACTCTTCCGATCACGTTCCCGACGTCAGCATCTTCCATTACAGCAAACAAGTAATGACTATTGGAAAATCGTGGTACTTTCACATTCTCGCTGGCCACATTGATTTCCACAGTGGTTGTTGCGTGATGAGGCGGGTTGGCAGAATCCGTGGCTTTGATAGTGAGTGACAGTATGACACCAGCTTTATGCTCCAACTTCTTCGCAACTGTAAGAGTTCCTTGCCGTTGATGAATGTTGAAATAAACAGCTTCACTGCTTTCGAGCAAGGAATACTCAATCTGGAAAAAAAAGTTCAATAAAAAGTTATATGTGCTTCAGTACCGTTTCACTTGCATCCTCGTCTGTTGCAGAGACCATCAATACGGTATCTCCTTCTTTTGCTAGCTCGGAAATTGATGTGCTGTAGAAAGGTAGAACGAATAAAGGTGGCTTGTCATTGACATCGATCACGGATAAAGTTAAAGTAGAGAAAGCACGTCTCCGAACAGAATCTTCCATTACTAGTGGGACGCTGCAAAACATGTATTGAGAGTGACATTTCTAGGTGTTGGACTTACTGGTAAAGTTTATCGTCGTGGTAGTTAAGAACTCTAGCCACATGAATTCTACCCGTTTTTCTGTCAATCGCAACAGGCCAGGATTCTTTTCGTGCTGGAGAGTTCGAAAGAGAACCGAGGGAGTACTGGAACGGTGGAATTCCGCCTTTCACAGAAACGGTTAGTAAAGCAGACTTGTTTACGACTCTGTAATCAATTCAAGTTATTCGAAATCCGACCTTTATCTATTTAACTCACGTATTTTCCAGTACGCTGGCAACATAGTGGCTCTGCTCAAATCGAGGCGGCGGTTGCATAGCTCCACTTCTAGCAATTTCGACAGATAAACGAGCGAAGGTAGCGAATAATCCGTCAGAGACCGAAACGTTGAGCAGCTTGACTGTTTTGTCTTCAGTAAGATCGTCTGCCTCTATCATCCTTGCTAAAGTTACTTCTCCAGTGGCCGAGGCAATGTTGAATAGAGTTTCATCGCCGTCGACAATTTTGTATGACAACTTCTGACTGCCTGGGAGCGAGGAGACTGTGTCACGGTCAGTTGCCGACAGAATCGTGATGAACTGTCCAGGGACAGCAGAATCAGCGATTGAAGCAACACTACTTGATCTAATGAAAACTGGCGCTTCATCGTTGACATCATCGATTATTACAGTAATCTGGGTTTCCGACGGTAACTGCGTGTTAGTGGTTGCGAGTACGTTGAATTTATACTGTTGCGTCGTTTCGTAATCTAACGATTTGCGCAGAGTAATTTCTCCAGTTTCTTTATTAACTTCAAAGTATCCCAATTCATCGTTCACAATCGAGTAGAGTACGTTTTCTTTCTTATGAGCAGTGTGAACTGTGAGAAGTGACCGTCCAACAGAAGTCGATTCGGGGACGCGCGCAGAATACTGTTTTTGACTAAAAACTGGCAGTTCTCCTTGACTGGGAGCTACTGAGATTTTAACAGTAGTCTTTGACGTCATCTTCGGTCTCGTTACTTCAACAGCTTCCACATCAAACACATATTCCGCGTCCGTTAGCGATTTCGCGTTAGTAGAAAGTTTTACTTCGCCACTAGTGAAGTCGACAGAAGCAATTTTGCTGCTACCGACGATGCGGTAGCCGATCATTCCTCTGTCTTCCGGATTCAGATTGCTTCTTGCGAACACTTTGGCCAATGTAGTGCCTGTGCCTGTCTCCTTGGATATGACTGACAAGTAAGAGATTTGTTCGAAAATCGGGCGTAATTTTTCCACGACGCGAATCCGGACAACCGCTTCAGCTTTCCGAGGTGGTTTACCACAATCTCGGGCGATAACGGTGAATTCAAACTCTTCAGTAACAGAAAATTCCTTCAAAAGAGAAATCCTTCCATTCTTCAGCAAAAACCGATCCGGCAGGTCTAGAGAGGAGTATATCACTTTTCCATTATCGCCTTCATCTTTGTCAACTGCTAGGATCGTAAGAATGGTTGAGCCAACTTCAAAGTTCGAATTGATGGTGACATCATACGGAGTTTTCAAGAACATAGGATCCTCATCGTTGATATCTTCCACTTTGATGTTCACAACAGTTTGAGCAATTGTTAGCTTCTTTCCGGCAGCTTGGGCTTGCACGACTAGGCGGACGACAGGGAGTGTCTCACGATCAAGTGGTAATCCAGTAGACGAGATAACTCCTGATGCAGGGTGGATCAGAAACTCTTCGCGTGGATTGATTATTGAGTATGTCACCGGCACATCAAAACGTTCTCCGATAGTGTTCACTGCGATTATATAGTATCCAGGTGAAGCAGTCGTGTTTTCCAACATTGATGCGTGATACTCAGTTTCGATGAACCGGAATTCTTTGTTCGAGGGCGTTGAAGAAACATTGACATCGAGTGTGTACGAGCCTGAGCGCAATCCATCGGAAACGAAAATTTCCAATTGATAGACTTTGGCTTGAATTGAATCTGCGTCTTTCACACGAACGTCGCCAGTTTTTGTGTCTATCGTGAATAATTGGTTGACTGTAGAATCCTTGATAAAATATCGAAGTGATCCTACAGTATCCACGTCTTCAGCAGCTTGTCCGCCAACGAAAACTCCATTAGCCGTAGGTAACAGAATTGTCGCATCTACAGATTTCATAGGGAAACGCGGTTCGTTGTCGTTCTCATCAACCACATTCACAGTGACCAGCGATGGCATCAGAGATCGTCTTGTTGGCTGTCCCATGTCGCTGAAATAAGTTTTTAAAACAGTGATAACGGTTATTGAACGACTCACAAAGCTTGAACATAGAATTTATACTCCTTGAATTGTTCGTAATCCAATGTTTTCAACGATCGAATGATTCCCGAATACTTATCAATTTCAAAATTATCTTCTGGAGAAAGCATTGTATAGCCAACCAAACCACTTGGACCGGTATCTTCATCAATGGCAGTGACTACAAGTGGAAGCTGATTCTCGGACAGAATTGGTGTGCCAGAAAGACTGTTCTCTCTTATGGTGGCGGAATAAACTTGTTCGCGGAAAACAGGCGAATGCTGATTGGTCCGAATGATTTTTGCTACAATCTTTGCTTTGTCTTTCGATTCATCTCTGCCTTGCACTTCAACTTCGCACTCAACTGTTTTCGATCTGTCTTTGGTTAACCATTTCGCAAGTGTAACAGCTCCAGACAGAACATTGATCTCGAAATATGTGCAGTTTCCGAGCACATAATATCTGACAGTTCCATGGTGCAAAGAATTGAGAACCAGAACAGGTTTGCCTGGAGGTGTTGAGTCATGAATCGGTATTTGATACACAGCCCTGACAAAATCACAGTATTATAACTACATGGATATCGTGTCTACCTATCAAATTTGGCAAGTTCTGGTGCACCGATTTCACTACGTATGTGAAGAGTCATCTCATCCTTCAATGAACTTAAGGCCATATCGCTAGCTCGAATTCGGAGTATGGATTCAACATGTTCATCTGGATTGATGGGGCGAGCCAATCGAACAGTTCCTTCCTTTGAATCGATTTCGAATTGTTTTTCCTCGTTTCCACTGACAATAGAATACGAAACAACGCCATTTTCTCCGCTATCCTTGTCGAACGCAACTACTGTAGCAATATCATCCCCGACCGGAATCCTGCAATCAATACATCAGTAATTTGTCATATACATGAAGTTTACTTTTCATCTACTAATGCGTAGGCGACTTTATCAACGAATAGAGGCGGGTTGTCGTTCTCGTCATTGATTCTTAAAATAAAAGTGGCAAAGCTCTTCATAGAAGCTTGCTGGACTTGAACAACAGCCTGGATTTGCTTCGCGGCTTCGAAATCCAGTGATTCCATAATGATAACGTTTCCGCTGCTAGGTTCGACACGAATTTTGTCTGCCATCGCAATATCATTCGCATTGAACAGACTGTACACGAGAGGTTTCGTTCCGTATCCAGAGGTTTCTCCAGTGGCTTTCAAAGTATAGATCTGCGTTCCAATTGCAACTCGTTCCGAGACATCCGTTTGATAATGAGATGCAGAAAACTTTGGTCGCTGTGACACCTGACGAGATACTTGAATAATGACAGTAGTATGATCCCAGTACTGTCCATCAGTAACACTGACATTCAGTCTCATTTCTCCTCGATTCAAAAGTTTTACTTTCTTGGCTAGCATCAATTGGCCGTTATCTTTTCTGATGTCAAAAACGAAGTTCTCGTTCCCAGAAGTTATACTCCACCACAACTCATCGCCGTCAATGTCCGTGGCTTCTAGCTTTCCTACTGTCAATCCCACTTGATCAGCGTCTGATATGGGTATTACGTAGTCCAATTTTTTACCAGAGATCACTGGAGCCATGTTAGTAGAAGTTCGGTTTTTTTCTTTCCCGATAGCTGCAGTGAGAACAACACGCGTGGCCGCAAACTGAGGAATGATTCCATGGTCCGTTGCCTGCACGGTCAGCGCGTAGCTTTCATCGTCGTGAATAGCTTCCGAGGTTAATATGTTTCCGTGATCATCAATTGAAAAACGAGGGTCTCCTTCGGTGATGTTGTAGGATAAGAGAGCATTTTTTTCAGTATCAGGATCAACAGCAAATATTCTGAAGTTATAATGTTAATTGAGAAAAGTGGCATGAAATTGGTTACCGGCAAAGGATTCCAACAAACTTGGATCGAACATTGTAGTGATGAATAGACTGGGTAAATGCTGGTGCATTATCGTTCTCGTCTAAGATGTTTACGATGACAACAACATGCGAGCAAAGCTGGGGTTCACCGCCATCGCAAATGGCTACCCATAGCTCGTGCTCTGATTGCTTTTCACGGTCAAGACGCCTCAAACCAGATGTTGTGATATACCCCGAGGTTAGATCGACACGGAAGAAAGATTGTGGATCTCCGCGCTCAATCTTGAATGTCAATGGAGCAGCTGCATCGTTTCCTATGTCATCAGCATCCGTAGCTTCCACTTTCACAATTACCACGTTCTGAAAATGATCATTTCAACTTTCAGGTTCGAGTTCGGAATCAGTGCCTTACCGCTGGCGAATTTTCAAGAACACTTGCTATGTACATAGGTTTTCTTGCTTGTGGCCGATGATCGTTTCTATCCAAAACTCGAATAAAGATGTGAAGTACTGCTTTTCTGCGAAATGAATCTCTAGGATCATTTCGGTAATACTGTTTAATGTCTCGTGCTGCGACTGTGAGCCAATAATACGATTTCGTTTCTCGATCCAACATGTATGATGTCCGCACAGTTCCTGAGAAATTTAATCAACCGATACCATAGTTTTCGTCAGTAGCTCTTACCTTTCTGATCTATCGAGAAGTACGGCCATCCGTCACCTCCAATTATTTTGTATTCGACGCTTCCCAACTTGTTCTTATCATCCGACATCTCTTTCGCTTCAACCATTATGACTTCAGTTCCGACATCAGAGTTTTCATAGACACTGGCTTCTTTGGCAATGTCGTCGAACTCAATAGCCAAGTGATTAGGAGAAAATTCGACAAGTTCCACGTTCATATTGCAGGTTGTTGATAGAACTGGCTCGCCGTGATCCGTAATGTCAATTGAAATGTTGAAATGGGGTGTCTTGCGGAAGTCTAGCGGTGTTTCCGGTACATGAACAAAAATGCATCCGGAATGATGATCAATTCGAAAAGGATACTTGTTGGAACTTGAGTTAAGCGAGTATTTCAGCTTCGAGTTCTGCCCAATGTCCGCATCGGATGCTGTCACACATGCGACAAATGCATTATGTGGTAAATCGCTATGAATTTTTGTTCTCAACACAGTATCAACGCATTTCGGAGCATTGTCATTGATGTCCTCCACGTATAGTGTGAAATTGGCAAATGAGACTGTAGGCGGGGTTCCCTCATCAGTAGCTACTACTGTGAATTGATGAAAATCTTGTGATTCTCTATCCAATGTCTTTCTGAGTTTAATAATTCCACTCCTCGAGTCGATGCTTATTACAGATTCGTCATAGTCGTTGGCCAAGCTAAGGAACACTCTTCCATTCGATCCTCCATCGAAGTCCGTTGCCGTTATTTTGAAGATCTCCTTTCCAACAGACTCGTTTTCGCTAACTGTCACGTGATAAGATTGCTGAAAGAATGAAGGTCAGAATATATTCTCTATAGTTTCCTACCTCGTCAAACTGCGGCGGATGATTGTTGACGTCTTTGATTCGCAATTTTATGGTTTTATGAACCATTTTCGGAGGGGTTCCGCTGTCTGTTGCACCTATTTGCAGCTGAAATGATTATCATTTGTCATTGAGAAAATGAGTGTGATCTCAGAAGTGAGTTGGAGACAGGCTACCGGAATTCTCGCAATTTTTAGTGACTTTATGAATGCTACCTCAATGATAAGTTGAGATTTGTTGAATTTTTTTTACTAACCTGAAACTCAGCGATTTCTTGTTTTTCTTTCATCAATAAGGACAAGTCAGATGCAACCGTTACTTCTCCAGTAAGCTCGTTCGCCATTAGAACTTCATGCGAACAGTTTGTTAACTCGAAGATAATGTAACGGACAAGCCCATTGTATCCAGCATCTTCATCGTCTGCTTGCAATTTTACGACCAGCTAAAAATGTAAATTTTAAAGTTTTACTCAAACCGCACGTCAGCACGGGCCGGCAAAATCTACAGGGGACAGAAAATTGTGAAGCTCTAACTTCCCATATAAATCTTACATTAACCTCTATCCTGGCTCATTTTGAAGAACAAAATACAATTGAACTTTTCTCAAAAAAGCAGAAGTCTCTATCTTTGATTTCTCGAGATAAATTGAAAAAACCGTTAGTCGCATGTATGAAAAGCCGGGCCGTGGTCAGAAAGCGGATCGTTCAGTTTTTTTTGTGGGTCAAGTAACTAGAAACCGAGCAAGTCTAGCGGGCCCATAAACGCTATTGAGCGTGCGTGGTGCACAGACAGATCAGTCTAATTATTATAAGCAAATGGTTCTCACCGTTCCAAATGGAGCATCTTCCGTAACTTCTATGATCTCTGGGAATGAACTGAAAATGGGACTTTTCTTGTTTTCCGTCTCTTGCACGATGATTGGCTTTGGTTTACTAGGAGTCTTTGTTCCGTTTTTGTAGAAGACAAGGCTGAGAGAAGACATTCTTGACATGGGCAGCCCACAGTCCACAGCCCAGATGGTGACCGGCCAACTTTGATCCGATCCTAATAGAGGCCATTCTTTGAGGGAAATTTCTCCACTATTTGCATTAATTGAAATGGGCAATCTCGACTTTTCACTGCTGATTTTGTAGACAACTCTGCCATTCTCTCCCTCATCTTGGTCTGCTGCGCTTACTGTCAACAAGGCGTCTCCGACATTTTTGTTTGAAGATATGGCAATAGGTCCTTGTCTCATCCATTTAGCTGCCCAAACAGGAGCATGGCTATTTCCGTCAGTTAAATGAATTGAAACGGGTAGGGTCGCATTTTCCGCTGACAACCCAATCAAAGCCGCTACAATGCTGAATTTGTAGATTCGCTCAGTAGTACTACTTAATATTGATGAAACTCGCAGTATGCCGCTTCGACCTCCAATTTCGAACGGCAGCGTTCCTTTCATAGTTCCATTTTCTCGACTGATAAAGTATCGAACCAGCCTAATGTCGTTAGGATCTTCGACTGAAATCGGGAACCGTCCGAGAATTCGGCCAATAGGTGCCATTTCGTCCGTTTTGATAGAAACATTGCTATTTTCCAAGAATGATAGTGAATGCTGCGTTGAATATTCAATTTGAAAAATAACGGTCGAGTTTATAGAAGTATGCTTCTTGCTTGCCGAGGAACGAGCAGAGTCTTCGCCAATGTTCAAAGACACATTCATGTTCGTAGGTATTCTAGTTCCGTTTTTCTGCAACGATAAGAAAAGTTAATTGGATTCATTACTCATTCAATCTTACAGTGTATAACATCCATTTCTTTTCTTCAAACTCCACTTCAAACCAATTACTCATCTGGTTTTCCTTGAATCCCACTGTAGTGTTCGGAGTACCATGTTTCAGATTGATGATTGCCACCAATTGTCGACGAATACTGTTGGGATTGACTTTCCTTCGGTCAACGGATACTTTCGTGCGTTGTGGTTTCGTTTCACAAACTTTTATCTATAAATGACATTGATAGGAATAGCTCTTTAACAACAATAAAAACCTGAACATCGGCAGTCCACGACGGCTGTATCTCGTTTTCGTCAAAATAATACAATCGAGATGCTCTGTCCTCAGCTTTGACTTTCAGAAAGTATTCCCCGCTCTTCACATGTCTAAGGGTTCGGATCCATCCCGTTACAGGTTCTACAAAAAAGTCATGCGATCGATTAACCAACGAGAAATAGATGGCAGAGTTTATGCCAATGTCAGCATCAGAAGCTTCCACCCTCAAAACGTCAGAGAATGGTTCAATCTGAAAAATGAACAGTTGGAGATTAAGCATAACATCGGAATTACATCGTCGTCAATTTCTGCTTCGTAACCTTCTCCGTCTAGGAGGAAGACAGGGCTAGCATCATTCCGATCGTTTACTCTCAGATGCAATCGGGCGGTGGTTTCCAGATTTGATAGATCTCTCCTTTTGCAAGTAGCTTTGACAAGAATGTCATAGAAATCCTTAAGAAATTTATTATTTTGTTGATAGAAATGAAATAAACGTACTTTTAACTCTCGATTTAAAGGATTGTCGCCCTTGTATCGGATACGGAGGAACACAAAATTTCCTACTTGTCGGGCATGTGCTTTGAAGATTGAAGACTTTTCACCCTGGAACAAATGTTTTTAATACCGCGACCAAAGTTTAAAGAAAAACCAGAAAATCCCGCGGATTTTACTGTCCAAAGTCGGCCGAAATCTCCTTTCAAAAAATACCGTAGTTTTATGGTGTACAGTCACATTCGTTCAGTTCAATTTCGGCCGACCTTGCCAAATTTGGACAACAAAATCCACGGGATTTCCGGGTTTTTTTTTAAACTTTGGACGCGGCATTCAAAATGAGACTTTAAATCAGGAATTCGGCTTTCACTGTAAAAAAGTTGGCTCTGTTCGGAAATCGGAAGCCGAACAAAAAAATCGGAGGCCAAAAATATTATCGGAGGCCCACATTTAAAATCGGAGGCCGAATCTAAAATGCATTTTAGATTCTCATGAGAGGCCGAATTCACCTGGCTAACTGTTCTTATTTTTCACAATTGTTCTGTTTTATATGAACCACTCGAACTTTAGTAGTCAAAACTTTAGTACTTCAGTGATCTGGAAGTTTGTTAACATATTTCTGAACATTTTTGTATGAACTTCCCAAATGTGACATCAGGAAATTTGGGTAGTCAAGTTCTACTCTAGAAGCTTATTAGAGTCAAATGATGAAGAGACAATTCAGATTAGGCCTCACCACCCTGCTGAGTAGTACACAAGGAAATCTCATCAAAACTATTCATCCGATTTCTGACTGAATTGCCAAAATTTTTTATTAGGACGACATGGCCGCTTAATTGGCCCTTAAACACCCTAAGCGTGGTGAGATGCCTTTAAGCTGGCTGATCACTTTAAAGTTTGATTAATGACTTCTCAATTCATTCAAGATTTGAAAATGTAAAACCCTAAAAATTGCATAGTTTCTAAATATTCACTTAGCGGCAAGGCCCCAAAAACCTTCCTGATATTAGTATGGCTAATTATCACTGAAAAATTATGGGAAACTATGAAAACGGCAACAGAAACTCGGTCTCCGATTTTTTATTTGGTCCTCCGATTTGATTTTCGGCCTCCGATTATTTTCTTCGGCCTCTGATTTTCGTTTCGGCCTCTCATTTCCGAACAGAGCCAAAAAGTTCTTTAAATCAGAAATTCGGCTTTCACTCTGTAAAAAAGTTCGGTCTTCTAAACTTACAGTAACTTCAGCAATTCGAAATTTGCAGTTCGCGTCTTTTTCTGGAACATAAACACCTATCTTGGTTGTGTTATCAGATCTGGCATATTTGGCATCAATTGAATTTTCTTCTAGAGATAGATTGTAAAGTGGGGCAGTGAATTCGAAGATTTGTTCAGAAGAGGACGATAGTGAGCATATCGTGCAGAAGTTCCAGAATATCAGAAGGAAAAGATAAAATACACGATGTTTCTTCATGATTATGAAAAAGCTTATAATTTCAAAGGTGATACTCTCATCAGCATGGGCGTCTTTTAGTCTAGCTTTCGTATTCTGCAATTATTATAAATATTTCGAACAAGCATAATTTAAAACGTATGAGAAGGATAGAGATTCCAACCAGACCACATTAAAAAATCCATGTCAGTGAACTTTTGAGAAAGAGGATTAATAAATCAATGGGAGAAGGAAATGCAAAGAGAGATGCGGAGAACACCCTCGTCGGACAAATAATGATGTCTGCGAAGATGGGAGACAGATGGCACAAGGCTAATAAAAAGCATATGCCTTAATCGGAGTAAGCCTTCATCGACAATGACAACACTCATGCCGTTCCTCATCGAATGAAAAAGAAATGGATATTAAACATCAAGTGATGCGAACAAAAGTGTTAGGTGCAGACGCAAATGGTCCTGCTCTGCCATATAGATTCTGCTCCCACTCCCACAAATGCAAATAAGGCAACAATCATAACTCTGAGGAGTGTTTTTCTCTACGTTTCTTCAGCTTTACACTGTGGCGATGTGAGTAATAGTTAAAGAAACAGTACGAGGGACCGAATGGACACAACAAAGTATTTGGGAAAAAATACTATAGATTCGTTTTTGATCGATCTACTGCAGACTTGCAAAATAAGGGCCCGGCCCGCTCGGCCCGTCACAAAAAATGTGTTCCACGATTTTTCCGGAATTTTCGATGAAAGAAGCGCGAGAAGACGTTTTCGAGTGATAAAGATGTCTTCGCGAACAGTTTTTTTTTTTAATAACATTTCTGGCTGAACGGGCCCGACGGGCCGGGCTGGGCCTTGTAGATTTTTTTTTAAAGCCCGGCCCGGCCGTTGCAAGTCTGGTCTACTGGGCACATCCGCATTCTTTCGCATTTATTCTCTCAGATAGTTAACGATGCATTCATAATAGGTAAGTCCAAGGTGAGAAAAGGACCGAAATCGTTCCACAAAAAAGAATAATAGACGACATTGACAATTTCTTTTGGTGGAGAATAAATTCCTTTCCATACAACGAAATCTCACTTCCTAGCACTAAAATGTTCAAATAGCAAGTGGTAAAATTATTGAAACACTTGTTGAGAATCTCAAAGTTGAGATTACAATTCCCTGTAAGGTATCCTATTAGATGGATGGGAATCAATTCAGATTGAACTAGGCTTTAACAGAACAGGTGTGAAATCCATGTAGACCAGTTTGTCCTACCCATTGCGCGAAACAACATCCAAACTTATAAAAAAAACCCTACAGTTACAAATAGAACTCAATAGTTATGAACGATCGATAGACGCATCTCTCTACGTAACACCAAGGACTATTTGAATGGTGCAAGAATGATGGGAGATTGATTGAATGGTGCGGGATAGACGCAGACGGACCAACAGTTCAATTACGCCATTGGCGATCTTTAGACAACAGAAATGTGTTCGTCGGGATATATTCGCAAAGAGAGACGGGGAGAGGGAAGGGGCCTAATTAGCGAGCTAAAGAAAATGAGGGCTCGAGTATTTCATTATTTACATGATGGCCTTATCCTTTACCATCATGTGTGCATATGTTTGCGCAGGAGAACATGAATTGAATTGAGGTGTTTCTTTTCAGAAACTTATTTCTGGATATTCAAGAATTCAATCGTTCATATTGGTCACTAGGAAGATGATAAGTCTATTTTCCGGTTCTTTCTTTTCCCCTTTGAAACTGAACAAAATTAAAAACCATTACTTTCCAAAACTTCGGCATGCCAGTAGCGTAAGAAGTAAATGAAGAATGCAAAGTGAAACAAGAAGACGTAGAGGAGCGACCGAATGAATAGGGAAGAGATGCAGCAAAAGCTTCCAAAACGAGCCGGCTGACCGCAGTATGTGCACGCTGTGGCTCGCGTGTGCTCTCTCGGCCTTACACGAAACGAGCGGCGACATGTAGCCGCTGACTGCTGGTAAAGGAAACCCATTGAGGGAGAGCCGGAGAATGCTTGGGCGGGTGGGCTAAATTACAAGAACTAAATACAGCACTTTCAATTAATTTCGTGGAGAGCTTGCTGACTTTGGTAATGGGATTATGCAGCGTAGGTTTGTTTTCCGTCTTTTTTCCGTTTTTTTACATCGCTGAATTGAGTTTTTTGACGTAAAAAAACGAAAGAAAAAGCGGAAAAATTGTTTTCTTCGTACCCTGAATAACCCCAAAACAAAAAATGAGGCTACGTCGAGCCAGAACTGTCCCGTATCAGAACTTTCCCGAATCAGAACTGTCCCGTATCAAAGCCTACCTGCAGGTGTTTCTTGTAACAAAAAGTGATGTTGTTACGGTTTCTGATTCGGGACAGTTCTGATTCGAACAGTTTTGATCCGGGACAGTTCTGGCTCAGCGTAGCCTCCAGAGTTGAGCGGAAATGGAATTTTGATATCCGGAAGACGGCAGACGGAAGAAAATTTTTCGCCCGGAAGACGGCAGACGGGAGACGGAAGAAAACTTTTCCCGAAAGACGGCAGACGGAAGACGGAACGAAAAAATCGTCAAGGCAGAACCTTTTTCTCTGGTTTTTTTAAAAATAACTAAAGCAACAAAAATTTTGGATCTGGGTCATTGCCCGTGGAAATTCGCGTTCTTCGGGGCTAGTAAATGGCTTCTAAAAAGCTATTACTCTTTTACGGTAAGGATAATTTTTCCGAGAAGACGGCAGACGGAAGACGGAAGAAAAATTTTTTTTCCGGAAGACTGCAGACGGAAGGCGGAACAAAAAATCCACGGAAGACGGAAGACGGCAGACGGAATTCCGCTCAACACTGGTAGCCTCCTTAGCTTTATTGAAAATACAGCAAAATTCGGGGGACATTTTTTCAGAATTTGGGACTTTGGTAGCATGAATCTCCCACTTTTAACTTCTTCAAAATAATTTATAAATTTTTTGTACAGCACGACACCTTTAAACCTTATGAACGATCGTATATATAAAGAAATCCAAATGCCAACCGAAATCAGATTATCTGGAACCATACGAACGACAGCTGAGGCACTCTCTAGCTCATTCGAAGTTCGTACTTCTTCGAGGATTAGCATGAGTGCTTCACATACTGACCTCCGTCAATCATAACTTATGATTCATTACCAGTCAAAGATAAGCCGTAGCGGTACTAATCTTAGCGAAAAGAAAAGAAATGGGACTGAAGGATCACATTTTGAAATAGAAAAACATGGACAAACTGGTATACATCAAAATATTACAATTCTTTTTTCTGTATGGTCTTTTCAGAATTTGTCGCATTGCTACGAGGAAGCACACGAAGAAAGACGATGTGCAAAACAGGCCAGATGACAAAGTAAATGAAGAAGCCAACGAAATACAGCGATCTGACCGGCTGAAAATGAGTTTTGAAGTCTGAGATTCAAGCGGTTTTGGTTACTCCAATCCAATATTTCGTCTTGATAAGTCCGAACATGAGAAAAGCGAATCCCATCGAGTATGAAATTGTGATCTTTCCGAACAGCCAGATAAAAGGACGCGCAACTGGTCGATTGATAGCTTCCGACCATTTTGGAGTACGTTTAATCAATGAATAGAGCTGGTTCTGAGCTTGAACGCATCCAAGCTCAATTCCGAACAAAAGGAAATATCCCAGATGGTATCCATGCCAAATTGCCAAGTAGCTCAGTGTAATGACGTGCGATGCTAGCTTGTTATTTACCCACCGAAGACGACGGTGAATATGACTGAAAAAAAAACATGTTAAAAGTTAGTAGAAAAAACATCTCACTTCTTTGCAAAAGTGTTTGTGCCGCAGTTGAAAGATTCCACAACCGAATTGTAATCATGCCCTGTCTCCCATTTTATGATATGCAAATCGCGGACGCCATCCCATCTGAAACATTAATTACTGTAATACTTCAAGCGAAAAAATTTAATTACTTATTGTTTCCGTTCTCGTCTTTCCCATTGTGTCCAAGACCAGAAAGAATGGAAGCACCCTCAGTCATCAACCACATAGCACAATATTTGTACATTGTCAGACGGAACCAGAGCGTGACCCATGTCCATCGCCAAAAGAACGACATATTGAAGAAAGAGTCGGAATTGAAAAATGTATCAGGAATCCAGAACTGTCCCCATTGATGAAGGACCATGTACGTACACCCAGCAAGGAAGCGACCAATTGATGGGAGGAAACTGAAATTACACTTTATCGATGTTAAAAACGTATTTGCTTATACGCTGATTTTGGTGGCTCTCCGTTTTCCAGCCAGTCACCGTTCACGAAAGAACGAAACTTGGAGAGGGTGAACTGTGGGCCGACGAGAGTTCCTTGGAAGAAAAGGCCAAATGCAGCTATCTCGAGAAGTCCAGGTTTGTCGATGATAGCTGTGAATTTTTGGTCAGGCTTCAAGTTTTCCGGTTTTTGAGATCCGTCATATACGTCCATAACGAGTCCGATAAACCGCAGAGTCAAGATGCAGAATGGAGTCGTCCACGTAATATCATAGGAATCGGTTTCTGAATGCCAATAACCGACAAGGAGATGTCCCAAAAAACAAGCATGGGCAGCATAAACAGATGCATCCGTTCCAGTCATGAAGTTGGTAATAAAGTATGCAGCTCCGATGGAAAGTAGAGCATGTACAACGGCGGTACCGCAGTTGAAATACCATAGGGAAATTCCCACAGCAACGAAAAAGACGTGCTGGACGTTCTGAGGCTTGTTGTAAAAAAACGTTCTATGGAGTACTGCCAACGGATAGCCTGAAACATCCTGTTTATGTCTTTAATACGTACATCCTTTCACCTGCAAGAACCGAAAGGAGCAGACGGAGTGCATCTTCGCTCGCACTAGTTGCTTCGGATAATGCTTCTACTACACCCATTTTTAGGGGATGCACCTGAAACACTTTTTACATATACGCACGGCATTACAACGATGTTTTCAAAATGATCCTACATTGTAATCGTTAGTGTGGCTAAAGATAAATTAACATCTAGAAGCATACGTATCAAAATAACCTCTACTATGATAAATGACTAAAAACAAAGGGAAATGAAATTGATACAAAAATAAAGAGGAAGATGAAGATATTGTGACGAACTAAGATTGTCGCAGCTGCGTAAGTTCTTGTGGCTGAATTTTATTCTAGGCCACGACCAACGCCCCCAGTTTCGTTCACGAATTTTCAAAACTGCCACGATTTGAACATACAAAACTGCTATTGGAAAAAAATGTCAATAAAAATCATAATTCTGATGACGAGACTGTTGTATTATAATCGAATCTTGCTACAGCCCTAGGAAATGAAACTTCATTATTCTTAAACAGAGGGCATAAATACTTATATGATGCAACACATAAATAGATAACGAATGAGACCTCACCAAGAAAGTTCGCGCCATCGGAGTGCGGGTTTATTCGCCTAAAAGTATCTATAGACACGGTTCTGATTAACGAAATGCTTTCGAGAAATTGAGAAATGAACACCTGAACTTCCAAACGGTTATAAGAAAGAAACAAGGGGCGTAGCCGCTTTCGAGCATTAGCTCGCCCCGCGCAACGAGCCTCGGTTTCAAAAGTCTTGTAAAATTAATATAACTCTTCACGGGTTTGTCTCTTTGTCGGTTCGTTCATTTCACCGTGTGTTCGTCCTCATTTTCATTTGTAAAACGGAAATAGTTTTGACCAGGGCTGGGCAATTGGCCGGCACAGGCTTTGCCGACCCTTGACCTAGACTTTTGAACCACTTGCAATATTCCGATCGGACCCAAACTTTGCAGGATTCTTGCACTTGGATTGAGGGCCATTGGCACCAAGTTTCAGCCCGATCGGATCGTCGGGTCCCGAGATATGTGGATCATTGGCCGATTTTTTCCAAAAAGCCCGGGCTTCCGGCCAATTTCGGTCAATGATCCGCATATCTCGGGCCCAGATGATCCGATCGGGCTGAATTGCCCAGCCCTGGCCAGGCCTGGTTGCGACGGAGAAATTAAGAAATGAACACGTGAACTTTCATCTAAACGATTCCTTAGCTAACGTGAACTTTCATCTAAACGATTCCTTAGGTAAAGGGTCCTATAGGACCCTTTACCGAATATCCTACTTGTCGAGCGTGATGAAGATATTAGTGAGTTCCTGCGGGTTGTTAAGCGAGTACGAGAATGGCTGTTGCGAACGCGCCCACTGGATGTTCATTTCATATCCACGGAGAGTTTCTCTTTGAAACTTATATGCCAGTGGGTGCGTTTGAAACGTGTCGCTCATTTTAGTTTGTTCTCATTTTACAACCCGCAAGAACTCTGTAATAGTGGAAAGAAATTGTTTCACTTCTCACTTACTTTTCTTTCATTCGATGAAGCGGTCGTTTAACAACTTTTCCCACTTTCTTCCTTTTTCTATCATCGTGTAAGACTCTATTCATTTTCCTCATATTTTGCTAATAAATGTCCGTTTAGGTTGAAGTATGCAAAAAGCAACCGTAGAAAAACTTGAAATGACGCTTTTCACAACGTCGAAGCCGGATGCCGTAGCACATACATGCGTCGTCGTGTTCGACAAGACACACGCGGTTTCCTTTCGACATGGACAGCATTCATCGCTCGAGATAGCGGAACCAGTAACCCTGTACAACGTTCTGGATCCGTCTATGCGTGTCGAGGTTTTATTTTCCAATTATTTGAACTAGTTGATAAATTTGAGCTGCTTTTCAGACTGTTGTGCACGCCGTTTCCGATTCTTACGATATAGTTGTGTTCAAGATGGTGAAAGGGGAATTCTCGAACTATCCGCATGCTCTGGGCTCGATTTTTCGCGGTCAGACATACAAGCAGCTAGGTATCTGTTCACAGCGAGAGCACACATGGAAAGAGGGAACCGTTGCGGAGAGGCGTGGTATGTCTAATTTCTTAACTTCACAGATGTTGATTGTTTGATTTAGTCGGCTTCTTCGTTGGGAGTTCGTATGGAAAGATTGACGATTCGGGCTCCGGAATCTTTAACTATGCTGGCCACTTCCTCGGGATATCGGTTGCCAAGAAAAGCTTCGTCTTCAATGATTGTCAAAATATGCCAATCGCCGAAGTTGCTGATCATTTCTCGGATACTAAAATCATCAGTTCCGACACCATATTGACGATATCGGAAATCATTGGTCCAGATGCCGAAGTAAGTTAATTTAGTTAGATAATTGGTTTAATTGTTTTGTATCAGTTCGATCCACCAAAAAAGAAGCATGCGTCCGGTGCGAACTAGTTCTCCAAACACCTTCATTTTGAAGGAAGAAAGAATCTTCATCTCTGTCTGTACTTGATTGGTAGCAATAAATGGATGTGTTTTATTCACTGCTTGGCTAATATTGAACAGGGGAGAAGGAATCATTGATTACGATTTGGATATTTTTTATTATATCCGCAAAAGTATCTCTTATAAAGATTCCACGGAAATTCTTGATTTCTAATATTTCTACCAAAGCAAGGAGATCAAGGTTGGTTAATGGCTTCAGATGTTTATTTAACTTATTCATTTATTGAGAATTATTTTTATTTAAAACTTTGAAAATGGGATTTTTGGGATTTTCTATATTTTCAAAAATGTGCTCAAACTTAACGAAAATCGTGCTAAAATAAAGGATTTGAGACTTGAAAAAAATTGGCATTTAATTCGGAGGGTACAAAAATTAGGGGGTACAACAGGGTACAAATTGTTTTGGGGTACAAAAAGTCGAGGGTACAAAATTTTCGATTCTAGAGTACAAAAATTTACCGATTCAGTAGGCATTGATTAAGGGGTACAACTTTTATGATTTAAGGGTACAAATTTCACGATTTTGGGGTTCAACAATTTTTTCCCCATTTTTTCATGGGCATCAATTCAGTGAAAAAGATCGTTCAGTCCGTCTTGATGCACACGAAGAGTTTCGAATATTTTCATTGTTTTGTTTTTTACTGTTCTCTAATTTAATCTCTCTTCTATAAATTATATAGGGGCACCGAACAGAAAGGGTGCTCTATTGAGAAACTTTTTTGCAGTGCAAATTGTGTGAGCTCGGGGCCGAGTTTGAAAAGTTAGGCCACGTTTTCAGTGGAAAATTACTTCGCGGACTAGAAATTCGGCCAGATTGCGAACAGAGCGCCCTTTCTATTCGGTACACCTATAATATTACTTACAAGTTGTCTTGCTGTTTTGGCCCCTTTAAATTCTGCAATTTCACAGCAGAATTTCAGCATCTGATGTTGTGTGTGAAATTTACCCAAGTAAAGATTGTTTCTCGAAATGATACAAAATACTGCATAAAACAAAGCATGGCTACACACGACTGTGTCTCGTGAGCTCTCAAAAATTCAAAACTGGAATGAAAACTTCGAAAAAGTGCTTCGTGCAACTTTTGTACCCCAAAATCGTGAAATTTGTACCCTTAAATCATAAAAGTTGTACCCCTTAATCAATGCCTACTGAATCGGTAAATTTTGTACCCCAGAATCGAAAATTTTGTACCCTCGACTTTTTGTACCCCAAAACCATGATTTTTGCCTGGCTTCCTCCTTGCTTGCGAGTACCACTCGAACATCTTCGATCCTTCCCTCACTGTTGGGAGACGGGGAGGGTTGATAAACAAGCTCACTCAGAATATTGTTGTTTTGTCGTTGTCGGAAAGCGCACAGAGAAACACGAGAATTGCGCCTCCGCTATTATTCTTGTTCCACTCGAGTTGGTTTCATAAACTACAGTAATCTCAGTAGTAATTTTGAATACCAAAGTCCATCTTTGATGTTCTATTTAGCAAACTAGATACGAAAGAGCTCAAGCTTGTTTTCTTATGGAAAATTTGATTAACGTCTTTTTGTGTGTAACATTCGCTTTTCCAACTTTACATGGCAGCCTAGATGTAACAAATGCTTTGTTCCGCGCTCTCTTTACACACCTGCTCATCATTCTCGTTCTCTCCTAAGCTTGCATAAAGACCAGACTTGCCAAATCCCGGGCCGGCCCGGGCCGGGCCAGCAAATCGTCGGCCCGGCCCGGCCCGGTCGGCCCGGAAGTTAGACCTCAAAAAAAATATGCAAAAAAATGAAGGAAGAGGAAAACGCGTGCGGCGAAATTGCTAAAATGGCGTGCCAGAGTTGCAATCAATCGCTCCGCCCACTCTTGAGAAAATTTTCGTAATTTTTGTGAAAATTTTGCGACTTTAAACAGCAATTTCTATTTTTTTAACAGGTTTTTATGCTATAACATTGCCTTTTCCGTCTCAAGTCTATAAAATTATGTTCGTTTCGAAGTTCTAGTTCGCTCTGAATTTTTAGGTGCATCCTCCCGGGCCGACCGGCCCGGCCCGGCCCGGCCCGTTGCAAGTCTGATAAAAACCACTGCTCCCACAATACCGCCTGATGGTATTTCTGTAGTTTCGTTCAACTTTATCGAAACCAAAACATCTAGCACAAACTGTAGAGAACATAAGTAATGGGGCTATTCAGCGTATGTCTGTTTTCGGTTTTTTTTTTCGTTTTTTTACATCGCTGAATTGGGTTTTTTGACGTAAAAAAACGAAAAAAAAACGGAAAAAAATCATTTTTTTTTCACAGCCTGAATAACCCCATAAAAAAATAAAGTAAATGACCGCTTATGATTGTCGTGCACAGCAAGCAAGAAGAAATAATTATTTATCTTCCAATCTCTCCAACTTGCAATTGAGCAATTTTTTGAACTTCAGCAATGTCAATTGGGCGTGCTCGATGACGTGTGTGTAGGACCTGCAATTGTATGTTTAAATTTTTCAGAATCGTTCCAGCTGACCGTTTTTTTACCCAAATGACTTGGGTGTCGTTTTCTCACGCACTCGCAACGACTAGTGTTCAAAATTTTATCTCTATCACACTTTAATGTGCACTGGCATTGGCACGTCTCCAGATTCCAATGATTATTTCCTGAAAATGTTATATACTGGCAAAGCACAGATTTTACATTGAAAGCAGTAGAGCGCGATTTCCAGACTTCTGCTACGGGAATATAATCGGTAAACCTCCGCAACTTCTCAGCAAACCTTGGGGTGATAGCAGCTTTTGAACAAAAGTTCAGCAACTTTTAAGCGAACGTTTGGAATTAGCATTTTTTGAACAACACTGCAGCAACTTCTGAGCTAACGTTCAGCGCCATCAATTTTTGAACAACACTTCAGGAGCTTTTGAACAACAGCTTAGCCACTTTTGAGCAAACTTTAAAGGACCAGGGAACCCTCAAATATTTTAATTTTTTTTGTGAAATGTTTTTGTGTCTGTTTGAATTGTCTCTTATTGCCTCATACACTGGTAAAATGCTGACTCTTACTCCTCTGGCAACTCTGGCAATTCGATATTAATCTAATTAGAAAGTTTCTGATCTAAACCGTTTAGACTAAACGCGACCTAATTAGATTGGACTGTTTTTTCTTGGCGCAATCGAGATCTGAGCCAGCAGACGGTTGGCGTGAAACTTGATTTGAGCACATATCAATCTAATTATTATAGGGGCACCGGACAGAAAGGGCGCGCTATTGAGAAGAGCCCGCGAAAACCTGGGGGACTCTAAATTTGAATGGTATGAGAAGAGAAAGTTAGTCCGCGGCCACGTAGGCTGCTGCAGAAATTTTTGTTTTCCTTCTGTTTTTCGTTTTCTTTTTAATAAATCGATTGTGTTCTCACCTTTTTCGTAGTGAATTTAATTAATTTTTTCTTTTTCATGTTCGAAATATGTGTTTCTAAACAGATTCAATCAACAGTTTGCGGAAAATAAGAGAAAACATTGACGACGTGCACCATTTTTCGACTGCGATAGCTTTTTATAGAAATTCTATACATGAAAAAGAAAAAATTAATTAAATTCACTGCGAAAAAGGTGAGAACGCAATCGATTTATTAAAAAGAAAACGAAAAAACAGAAGGAAAACAAAAATTTCTGCAGCAGCCTACGTGGCCGCGGACTAACTTTCTCTTCTCACACCATTCAAATTTAGAGTCCCCCAGGTTTTCGCGGGCTCTTCTCAATAGCGCGCCCTTTCTGTCCGGTGCCCCTATAATAGAAGATTTATTAATCTAGCTAGACAATTTATTAATCTAATTATTAGGCCGCCGTAGAACTCGAGTACACTACGATTAGATTAATAACGAAATGCCAGAGTTAGAAATGCCAATGAACGGAACGGCGTGCAGTTGAAGTTGTGGCCGTGGCCTAGGAAACTCTGGTGTAAAAACTCTTCCCTGTGAGCAGTTTGATGCTCTTCCACTATGTATGGATGCTGATTTGTGTGAATGTTTTGCAACGTAGGAAGATTGTGCCGAACGCAAAAAAAAATCCGGAAAAGATCACAAGGCCTAGAACTTTTCTGGGCCACGGCCACAACTTTGACTAAGCGCTGTTCCATTCACAGGTATTTCTGAAAGTTGGGGCTCGGGCAGTGAATGTGGCAATAAGAAGCAATTCAGTCAGACACATAAACTCGGAGGGTTCCCTGATCCTTTAAGGCGATAGCAAGTTCTGCGCAGAACTTCAGAAAATTTTGCGCATAACATTAACCGCTTTTTAGCAGAAATCAGGTAAAAGTTTCTGAAGTTCTGCTGAAAAGTTGCAGACGTTAGCCGAGTAAGTTGAAACGTACGCTAACCTACGCAGTTTCTTCTATCTTCTGTGTTCGCGCACTCGCATTTACATGATCTTCCGACAACGTACCCTTGTCCACAAATTGGTGTCTGAAACATAATTTAAGTCAGCTTAAATTTAAATAGGGATATTTGTCAAGACATGCTAACACTAGAACCGCAATCAAAACACGAGCAAGATGTATGTTCTTCCATGGTAATTTCTCTGGTCATATTGAACATGAAACGACCATTTCCAATGTACAGAAGCTCTGCAACCTAAAATAGAGAGTCTCAGTGTTATAGAAGTGTAAATATTGTATTCACATGTTTCTTCACAAGATTCACTGATCCGGGGTGACATTTTTCCACGGAACTACAACAGCTGCCAACGCACTGTTTAACTTCATAGCATTTAGGATACGTAAGCAGTTGGGGATCGTCGGACAATTGTGGGACAGGAACACATACAGATTGTAAATTGCAAGTGTCATTTCCCTGTTTTATGTCTCTCATGCTTTGTAGATGGAACAGAGTATATCCTAAACACATGAAAACGAATTAATCAGATATGTAACTAACCATCCATCTGGTCATCGCTTATGTTGTGCAGAGAAATTATTCGTTGAGAGACACTTCCCGTTTTTACCGACATAGCCACTGTAGAAAAAATATTATTCAGCGTTTAATTATTCCGCAATATCCTGCTAACCACCTGGTTCCGAACTTTTTTCAATGTGCCTGTTTGTCAGTTCAGGATTATAAATTACATGTAAATCTTTGAGGAGTCCTTCTAGACTTTTTGCATGCTTCAACATTCTTCGGAATTCCTAAAAACAGAAATATTCTAAAATGCAACTTCTGAGCATTTTCATACTACATTTGACACCTACAGAAGATCTCAGGCAACTCAGGCAAATCGTTTCTAATCTAACTAGCTAATTCTCGTTTCTAACTGGACCTAGTTAGATTGCTGCCGATTTCTGAATCTAGCTAGCTGATTTTGCAATCTAAGCATAATCTAGCTAGGTTTGCCCGAAATTTTAATCTAATTAGATAAATTTTGAATCTAATATCAGTGTTTTTGCAATCTAATTAGCTTCGCCAATCTAATTAGAAAATTTATCAGTCCAGTTAGAAGTATTTGCAATCTAATCGCAGAAAATTAACAATCTAATTAGGTCCGGTTAAAAACGTGAATTAGCTAGATAATAACTCATTTATTCGCTTCGACCACCAGAAAAAATTTACAGAAGAAGAGAGGGAGATATAAATAGTGGGTGGAGGAGGAAATAATGACTAAAATGACCATTGGCCGGCAATAGCCATAGGTAAGATTACAAACGATTTACCTGAGATATCATGATATATTTGTAGTTGGTCTCAAAACAAACTACAGTACAACCGAAGCACTTACATGCGGTATATCTCCATCAACCAATACAATTAGCAGGATCAAAAGCACAACTAACTTCTTGTTAAACATGATGACTCAATTGTCGGGAAATGCTCACGGAACTGGATGTTAGTGAGATTACGTCAGGTGTCTGAATTGATTGGCCGACACTTTCGAGCAAAGCTTGAGGGCTGAATCCTTATGACGAAAGAAATGCTTGTTTGAATCTTTTGCAACGTTTTTTGAACAGAATTCATCCTATCCGATGGCAAATGTTATAAATGAAATAACGAGAAACAGGTTTACATAATTTTCAATACAGTTTTCGTCTTTGATCATTTCACGTCTTAGTTATTTTCAAAGTTATCCAGGAACTCAAACTGATTGTTTAAATTTTTGAAAATATGTTCATTCTGTACTGCACGACACTTTAAGACTTTTAGCTCAACTATCGGCTCGTATACATTTTTATAATAGCAACAGCCGATGGAGTTTTTGACATTATATAGGTCAATCTATTCCTTATATTCCCTATATGTCAGGGAAAACACAATTCAAAACAGAAAAACAACAAATTTTATCTGTTCGAATACGTAGTATATTCCTTTAAACTGTTTTTCTGTTACTGAATCCTTCTGCTGAAAGCATATTATTGAGATACGTCGATATTCCTTCTTACACATCCTGAGTCTCTTGCCAACGTGCTCTCTTGAGTATGAGGAGGGTGCATATATACGACATCTTGACAGAACTATTAATTCCGTTATCTTCTTTCATTCTTTTTTTTTTGTTGCAAAAACCACGTTTACATATTTTCCAGAGGGTTTTATTTAGAGATGGAAGAAAGTGAGACAGTGAGAGTAGTGGTCAGATGTCGTCCAATTTCCGAAACTGAGAAAAACAATGGTTACACGATCACTCTTAATTGCTCTAACGAAGATAACTCAATAGTGATAAAAAACCAAAATAATGAGGTAGAAAGTATATGTCTGTACAAAAAATTGTATCTTTCTTGTTCAGGAACCTCAACGAACGTTTTTCTTCGATGCAGTCTTTTCACCTCAGACGGAACAGATGACAGTGTATAATATAGCTGCGAGGCCAATAGTTGACAACGTTCTAAAAGGGTACAATGGTGGGATTTTGAGTTACTATATGAATACAATAATTCGCCTATAGGAACGATTTTTGCTTATGGCCAAACAGGAACTGGTAAAACTTTCACGATGGCGGGAGAAATGGAACCTATCGAGCTGAAAGGAATCATACCGAATTCTTTCGCTCACATCTTTGATCACATTGCCAAGTGTCAACATGATACCACGTACTTTGAAAGGAAATGTGGTTAATGAAATAATATGATTTCAGTTTTCTGGTCCGTGTTTCTTATCTCGAAATTTACAATGAGGAAATAAGAGATCTGCTTTCCAAAGCTGGCAATGGAAATCTGGAGATAAAAGAACGACCAGATGTCGGAGTGTAAGTAATTATTAGCACCTCAAAATTCTAGCAATGTCGCTCTACCGCAATTCCATGTAGAATCCGGCTGCGGCCGCAATATTTTCCAATTTAGAACTGAAATCACGTGAAGAGCACGATTGCCAGACTTCTTGAAAAAATAATTCTTAAAGATATGTACGGAACTTGTCAAATATAACTGTAGAGAATGCGTCGAAAATGCAAGCCTTGATGGAGTTCGGCAACAAAAACCGTAATTTTAAAATATCCATTTTCACGTATTCTGTTTCCAAATCCAGGGAAAGTCGGAGCGACAGCTATGAATATGGAATCATCAAGATCACATGCCATGTTCACTGTTACTATTGAGAGCTGCAGAAACGGCTTGGTAACTCAAGGAAAACTTCAGTTGGTAGATCTAGCCGGTTCTGAACGACAAAGCAAGACAGGAGCCCAAGGCGAACGTCTGAAAGAAGCTGCAAAAATTAATCTTTCTCTTTCCACACTTGGGAACGTGATCAGTTCGTTAGTGGACGGAAAGTCTACTCATGTCCCGTACCGCAATTCAAAGCTCACAAGATTGTTACAAGACTCACTTGGTGGAAATTCGAAAACTGTCATGATAGCAAATGTAGGACCTGCTTCGTATAACTACGACGAAACACTATCAACGCTCCGATATGCCAATAGAGCGAAGAACATACAGAACGTTGCCAGGATCAATGAAGATCCAAAAGATGCGCAACTTCGAAAGTTCCAATTGGAGATCGAGCAGCTACGAAAACAGCTCGACGGTAAGTCCAATACTTTTAATTTCAGCGGGAAAATTCACAAAGATCAGTTTAGCAAGAGTGGGGGCTTTTTCAAAGTGGGGGGCTGTATTTTAACGGTGGGGGGGACTTATATTGAATATTTCCCTCTTTCAAAAGGTGGAGGGGGCTTTGTTTTAAGAAAACCAAGTTCTTAAAGAAAAAGCCCTCCACTTTTGGGGCGATTGTTAAACAGAAGCGTTCAAAAATGCCCCCCAGCCCAGGTGGGAGCTTGTTTATATTATATGGGCACCGAACAGAAAGGGCGCGCTGTTAGCAATCTGGCCGAATTTCTAGGCCGCGAAGTAATTTTCCTCTGAAAATGTGGCCTAACTTTTCAAACTCGGCCCCGAGGTCGCTCAATTTGCAGTGCAAATTTGCAGTGCAAATTTCTCAACAGAGCGCCATTTCTGTTCGGTGCCCCTATAATAAAAATTCTGGCAGTACCGCTCTACCGCAATACTACGGGAAAACCCGGGCCGGGGCCGCAACTTTTACCACTTCAGAACTGAGTATGGAGCGGTAGAGCGCGATTGCCACACTTCTGCAGCTGCAATATAACTATAAAGTTCAGAAGAAAATCGAGGTGACGATGATAGTAACGAAGAAACTTGGGAAGCGAAGATGAAAGACAAAGAGGCTGAAGTTGAAAAACAGAAAAAGTTTTTGGAAGAAAAAGTCAATCAGGCAGTTGATGATGAAGAAACTTATCGGCTAATCAAGGAGATGTTAGAAAACGAAGCGGAATTAAAAAACGCTAGGAGCGAGCATGAAAAACTACGAATGAAATTGCAACAAATGGAGAAGAAGATTATCGTGGGAGGAGAGAACCTATTGGAAAAAGTGGAGAAGCAAGCAAAGTTATTAGAAGTTAACAACCAGGAGATCGAGAATTCGAAACATCTTGAAGCTCGTCTTCGTTTTCAATTAGAGGAGAAAACTGCTTTCAAAGTTGAAATAGTGGAGAAGTATTCATCTCTCCAAGAAGAAAGCTTCATAAAAGCAAAAAAGATAAAAAAAGTGACGAATGATTTGCGAGATGCTCGAGCTGAGTTAAAAGATCTAGAAGAAGAACATCAAAGACAAGTAGAAGCAATGCTAGACGATATTCGACAGTTGAGAAAGGTAAAATACAATCTGAGAGAACATATTTTATAATAGCTTTTCTTAATATTACTTTTCTTAATGTTATATAATCATCGTCATCATCATTCTTATCATCCTTAAATAGAAGAGTTTTAAAACATGGGCCCGCTGAGCGGGCCGAGCTAACGCTCGGAAGAATTTCTGTCGACTAGGCTGGTCGAACAGGCGATTTCAGGCACCTGTTTTCTCAACGCAGGGACGCAGCGGCGCGTTGAAAAAACAGGCGCCTGAAGAGCAGGTTCGACCAGCCTACTGTCGACTTTGGACAGCAAAATCCGCGGAATTTCCGGGTTTTTTTCTTTGGACGCGGCATTATCTATTTTTCCAACAGGAGCTTCTTCTCAACATCTCGATAATCGAAGAGTACATTCCTGCGGAGCAAGTAGAACTCATCGAAAAGTATGTCACTTGGAGTGAGGAGCATGGAGATTGGCAACTTAAGGCAATAGCCTACACTGGAAATAATATGAGAGCATCCGCTCCGCCAGCCAAAACCGTTTTTTCGGTAAGTGCTGTTTGAGTTAGCTACCTAACTGCTAACTGGGTTTTCTTAAAGGACCAGGGAACCCTCCGAGTTTATGTGTCTGACTGAATTGCTTCTTATTGCCACATTCACTGTCCGAGCCCCAACTTTCAGAAATACCTGTGAATGGAACAGCGCTTAGTCAAAGTTGTGGCCGTGGCCCAGAAAAGTTCTAATCCTTGTGATCTTTTCCGGATTTTTTTTTGCGTTCGGCACAATCTTCATACGTTGCAAAACATTCACACAAATCAGCATCTCTACATAGAGCAAGAGCATCAAACTACTCACAGGGAAGAGTTTTCACTCCGGAGTTTTCTAGTCCACGGCCACAACTTCAGCTGCACGCCGTTTCGTTTATTGGCATTTCTGAGAGTCAGCATTTCACCAGTATATGAAGCAATAAGAGACAATTCAAACAGACACAAAAAAATCAAAAAATTTGAGGGTTCCCTGGTCATTCAAAGTGAGCAAAATGTAGCTTTTGAACAACAGTTTAGCCACTTTTGAGCAAACTTTAAAGGACCAGGGAACCCTCAAATATTTTTATTTTTTTGTGCAATGTTTTTGTGTCTGTTTGAATGAGATCACAAGGCCTAGAACTTTTCTGGGCCACGGCCACAACTTTGACTAAGCGCTGTTCCATTCACAGGTATTTCTGAAAGTTGGGGCTCGGACAGTGAATGTGGCAATAAGAAGCAATTCAGTCAGACACATAAACTCGGAGGGTTCCCTGATCCTTTAAGGCGATAGCAACTTCTGCGCAGAACTTCAGAAAATTTTGCGCATAACATTAACCGCTTTTTAGCAGAAGTCAGGTAAAAGTTGCTGAAGTTCTGCTGAAAAGTTGCAGACGTTAGCCGAGAGTATCAGTATGCTTTGCAGAATAATAATCAAAGCGTCTTGATGTATTACTCCTATCGGACTGACCTAGGAGCATCAGTGACCGAACAAAAGGCTAAAAACACTGGAAGAAGGTATGCATCTCGAAGCAATGGAAGAGGATAATTAGGAAGTTACGACGTTACAGCAGAACACGTCAGAGTATAAAGTTGCGTCAACTTCTCACTTAGAAGACTTGAGGCCATGACGTGGAAGGGATAATGTCACAGTGAGTTAACTTCGCTCAAAATCCAGAAATGATGTTGAGATGTACAATTTTCAGATTGGATTCTTCTCATGCGACGGGACATACGCCTCTCGTTTCATCTCATAAAACTGCACTGCTAAATTCCTTTTCGATGTTGTTGTACATTTTCTGTTCCAATTTACGAATCTCTTGTTATGAAGAAGTTGAAAAACGTATATCTTATTGTACTACGCACTACAATCCTCACCACACTTGCATCAATTGAACCAAAAAACCCCATCCTCTATATCACGTTTTTCTGAACAATTAGTTTATTATCTTTCTTATTCTGAAAATATTTTAGGTAATAATGAAAACTTTGCAACTTGCACTGTTCTCCGTGTTTTTCTTGACTCCGCTTTCCATGAGCCACCAGCATATGCCGAAGAATGACGAGGTTTTTGGACAAAGCATTCCGGAATTCTGTTTCAAATATTTCAATAGCACCTCAGGTAGTATTTAAATGTTATTTCTACGTATATTAATCGTCTTTTCTGTAGCCAAACTGATGCTGAGTAACATTAATAAGAACATCATTCAAGCTAAACAAGAGATAGGCTTTCAGTTGTACGACGGAGTTTCGTATCAGGTCAGCAATAAGGAATATAAGTAAAATATTTTATTTTTATTTTTCAGCAGTTACGGAAGTCAATCCAGGAACTGGCACGTATCCGATATTCCAAGCACTTATGCGATCCCAGAGAGTTCTCTCCTACAGTTCTGTCAGTTCGCCACGAGTTCTCATGCGATGAGGTGTGCCATATCCTTACACGACATTGCAATTTATTATATTCAGATATGCCGTTTTTGCGTTCCCGGCAGTATACCCATTTGCTTCATGCGGAACCCGCTCTACTCGTACGTAGGAGTTAATTGAGCAGTTAAAATTTGAGAAACAATTTTTAGGGGTCTTGCCCAAGTTTGTCTTTGCACATACGATCTATGGGAGCCCGTGAACAGAGCGGCTTTCTCACTTCGTCATGAGAAACGAATCTTCAGTCGTCGCATTTAATCAACCACCCGAACATCTGTCAAAGTTAACAGATCTCCGCTTTAAATAGCGATGTTTATGTTGCACTGTTAATAATTTGCGCAATAGTTGCTCGCATAATTATATGTCACAATATGTCACATTTTTCACACAATACTTTTTCTGTGTTCCGTCGGCCTTAAAAACAAAATGCAAACGAAAAAAAAACGGCGGTCGGTCCATTTCTCTTTTCTCTTTTATCTTTCCCATTTTTCCTAGGTGGTCGAAGTGAATAAATGAGTTATTATTAACATAATAGAACTGGGCAGAATAGAACTGCGACATAATAGAATCGCAACATAATAGAACCGGACAGAATAGAACCGCGACATAATAGAACTACGCATAATAGAACTGCGCAGAATAGAACCGCGACACAATAGAACCGGCCACAATATAATGGGGTTATTCAGGCCTCAGGCAAATCGTTTGTAATCTAGCTAGGAGATTTCGTAATTTTAACCGAGTTCATTCAATTCATTTATTCATCGCAGGGAAAAAAAAGGGAACACCGGTAAAAAGAGGGGAACACCAGAAGGGGGCTGCAAGATGAATAGGAAGGGAAGGGAACCATCCCCGCAAGAGGATAGTTCCGAATCTAGCTAGGTGAAAATGGAATCTAAACTAAACCTAGCTAGATTTGACTGTAAAAACGAAGGCGCGATCTCGGCTCGCGCCAGCAGACATAATTGTTAATCTAATTAGAAAAAATCCGAATCTAAAGTCAACCTAATTAGATTGACGGAAATTTGAACAGAAAATGGGAAGACACACCGTTTTCGATCGATTTCGAACGTTTTTTTTGAGCTGTTATACTATTATTTTTACATTTTTGTGCAGAAATGTGTCTGTTTCAGACAGCAATCATGCCAGGTGTGAAAATAACAACTCGATCGGTTCTCCGCACGTGCATGAGTGATCACTTCACTTCCGTCGTGAGCCCTCTTCTCTACGGAAACCCACAGAAAATAATTTTATTGTACTATCAAAAACGAAAGGAAACCAATTTTCTAGGTATAAACTGTGGTGAGGTGGTCTTCTGCTTAATTGTTCGAGAGACGAAAATTTTGCGAAAATTAATTGAAGGAAACGGACAAAATGCTCCTATAAATACACAAAAACAGTTCTATTATGCGCAGTTCTATTATGTCGCGGTTCTATTGTGTTGCGGTTCTATTCTGCGCAGTTCTATTCTGTTGCAGTTCTATTACGTTGTATTATTGGGGCACCGGACAGAAAGGGCGCGCTGTTCGCAATCTGGCCGAATTTCTAGGCCGCGAAGTAATTTTCCACTGAAAATGTGGCCTAACTTTTCAAACTCGGCCCCGAGGTCGCTCAATTTGCACTGCAAAAGGAGTTTCTCAACAGAGCGCCATTTCTGCGCGGTGCCCCTATAGTACCACCTTTCAATTTCGCAGCCGCGGCCGCGGACGAGAAAACGCATAAGGCAACTTCGGCCAAGTATTTCCAGCCTTTAAAGAGAAGAGGCCGTACCGTTTGGGGAGAAACGAGAAAACGGGAGAAACGAAAAGGGGAGATTCGAAAAGGGGAGAAACGAAAAGGGGAGAAACGAAAAGGGGAGAAAGGGGCGGAGCTTCAATTGCGTGCGGCAAAACTGCAAAAATGTGTGCCCACATTGCAAATCATGCCAAAATTTTGCTTTATCGGCTGATTTAAGTAGAAATTGGATTTCGAAAGAGGAAAATAAACTTCTTAAAAATAAAATTTAGAAAAACATTGTCATCTGAACACTATACATTTCTTTTTTTTTGACCAAAAACTGAAATGAAAATTGTTCCAGTCGAGTGTGCCCTTTTCAGAAAAACAGTGTATATTGGAACGACCAGGGCTTAATTTCTGGAACAATTTTCTCTGAAACTCATCGTGTTGACTGTGAATATTTTGTATTCGCTTCGAAACGATTACACACAATTCTTCTGAGCAGCGGACTCTGGTACAAAAGCCCTGTATTACAAGTATCAGCATTACCGAGGTGATCACGATTCCATTCTTGCAACCATGGCTGGAAAATCGGCCGTCCAGGATTTTTCAAGAACCGACCTTCGCCTGGAATTTTGAATCACTTGCAATGGTCCGATCGACCCCAAACTTTGCAGGCTTCTTGAACTCAGATTGAAGTATATGACCGATCGAATTGTTCACTTTCGAGATATAGAGATTGAGGGCCGATTTTAGCCGACATCCGCAAAATCTTGGGACCGGATAGTCCGAAACTTGGACGTATTAGTCCTGCTTACAAGTTGCAACGTGTTGAACCAGGCCGGGCTAAATTGGACATATTCATGAGCCGGGCACCGCGCGCTCATCTCAGAAATCCAAAAGTCAGGAAGTTGTTGAACTAAAACTGTATTTTTCGTGTTCCAAATAACCTGAACTTGTTTTTCACTGTAAAGTGATTATTTTGTTTATGCTTTTTATTATTTCAGACAAGACTTTTAGCGTGGGCCCGCTGCGCGGTCCGAGCTAACGCTCGGAAGCGGCTTTTCCGATTTCTTGTAAATAAATAAACAAACAAAAAGACAGACCCCGTAAGACTTTTATCGATAAGAATGATAATTTGATGTCTGTGAAACAATTTCCTAAGAAAATTGCAGTTTTTGGTCAAAAAAAAAGAAATGTATAGTGTTCAGATGACAATGTTTTTCTAAATTTTATTTTTAAGAAGTTTATTTTCCTCTTTCGAAATCCAATTTCTACTTAAATCAGCCGATAAAGCAAAATTTTGGCATGATTTGCAATGTGGGCACACATTTTTGCAGTTTTGCCGCACGCAATTGAAGCTCCGCCCCTTTCTCCCCTTTTCGTTTCTCCCCTTTTCGTTTCTCCCCTTTTCGAATCTCCCCTTTTCGTTTCTCCCGTTTTCTCGTTTCTCCCCAAACGGTACGGCCTCAAAGAGAAGCTTTTTTTTACATTTGTCAGCTCAGTTTTCAAATATGATTTTCTTCTCTAATTAGCGTCTACACGATGTTTGAAGTCTTATTGTCTTTTGAAGTTAAAAATGTCTTTCAAAGCGATATGTGGCTGTTTTACTTCTGGAAAACAAACACTGTGAAATTACCGTGACGGTGTTCGCACAGTGTTTTTGCTAGCTCCCAAAATCTGCTTTACTCAGTTCACGGTGACTTTTCTTAATTGTTATATTTTGAGTACAAGCCTAACACTGCTTTTGTAGAGGTAGCAGAGTGTAATTTTAAAAATTTTACTCAGTGTCTTCATCGAATAAAAAAATCGTCATTTGTTTTTTGTAATTATTTTTTAAATTCACGACAATTGCGGAGACGTAACGCAATAATCGAAATTGTTTAGACCTCTAAAGTAAGTAAGTCGTGATTGTTTCTCAGTAGACTTGCCTTGATTCAAATGGAGAATGACCCGATGCGGCTTCCGTTGATTTTAATTGATATTATCATATTTTTTTTTCTTTATACTTCCGTCAGCTGTGCTTTTTGAAGGCTAATCTCTTGGGTAAGTCGTCATGCCTACTCCTCCGGGACAGTCTAGTAGTCAGCCGCTGCCGGCGAAGGAACTCGGCTATTTCAAGAAAATAGTGGTATTTTGTTGCTGTCCGCATACACTTGATATTCAACTTTCAGAAAAGCTATGAACAAAAGCAATACAAGACGGGGTTGAAGTTTGCTAAAATGATTTTGACAACTCCAGGCTTCACTGAGCATGGAGGTGGATAGTGCTTGTATCAAACGTACTTATTATCATTCTGATTTCAGAGACTCTTGCAATGAAAGGATTGATTCTCAACTGCATGGGAAAATGTCTTGAGGCTCAGGAATGCGTGAAAAAAGGTCTCAAATCGGATTTACGTTCTTACGTGTGCTGGCATGTATATGGACTTATTCAAAAAACCGAGAAAAAATATGACGAAGCCATAAAGGTATGGATTTAAGTTCGATTGTTAAAATAAATCAGTATTCCGATAGTCTTTAGGCCTACAAGCGTGCATTGATGCTGGAAAAAGATAATTTGCAAATTTTGCGGGATTTGTCGCTACTCCAGATTCACATTCGTGATTTCGACGGATACCTGGTGCGCATACAGGAGAATAAATCTAACTATTCATAAACTTGCCTTACAGGCGTCAAAATACGAGCTTCTACGTTTGCGTCAAAATCAGCGAGTGTCTTGGCTTGGTTACATTGTCGCCCATCACCTGCTCAAGGAGTATAATCTGGCTTTGGGAATCATGGCCGAGTACATTAAAAACAATACGGTAAGAAAAGGTCTCAAGTCTTGACACTCTGTCCGTAAAGTATATCACATCATTTTATTCAGCCTCCCGGCTACGACTTCGAATTCTCGGAGCTGATACTTTATCAGAACTTGATTATGAGAGAAGCCGGTTTACCTGATGTTGCGCTGCAGAAGCTTGAAGAGAATTCGACCCATATTGTGGATAAAGTAGCGTATATGGAGACTCGGGCCAATCTTCTTATGGACTTGGAACAACCGAGACAAGCGGAACATGTTTGGAGGGCTCTTATCGATCGGAATCCTGAGTGTCTTGAATATTATTCAATGCTGGAAAGCTGCATGAGTATTAACGGTATGTTTAGTGTTTTTTAATTGAAAATTGAAAGAAGCATAGTATCCTCTTCTACCGCACGGTCTCGCCAAATAAAGCGACATTTTGGCACAAAATTAAAATGTTTACAGCAAATTTCGTGTTTTTCTTGCTAAATTAGCCACAAAAAACTGATCCTTCTCATTTGTCCCTCGATAGAAGGATAGAATACTTTTTTTTAAGCGCAAGAGCGTGAAATTTGGTCAAGCCGCAATTCAGATTTATCCGTTTGAAGTTTTTTGACTGAAACTTGAGTATCTATTCTTTTGTGTTTTAGTAATTTTCGTTGTTCGAGCGCTCAAAATGCTTGTATTTACGTGATTCATCATTTTCAAAACTAATTTTGTTTGAAAACATTCAATAATGCGCAAAATGAGAAGTGCGCGAAAACTACCTTAAAGCAACTGAAATTCACGCAGTTTTAGCCAAAAACCGTCAAACGGATAAATGTGAATTGCGACTTGACCAGATTTAACGCTCTAGCGCTTAAAAAATTTGTAATAGCCTATACAATCGGTCTATCGAGGGACAAATCAGAAATTATCGGTTTTTCGTGGCTAATCTGGCAAAAAACACAAATTTTTCTGTTAAAATTTGAATTTCGCGCCAATGTATCGCTCTATTGGGCGGGGCGCACTTGCGCCCATTTTAAGCTCTGGAGACCGTGAGATGGGAACAATGGCGTACTTTTGGTCCATGTTTTAATCTCGTGAGTGAAAAAATTACACCACGAGCTTTATTTATATAAGTATTTTTTGGGTATGTCTTTCTATGTAATTTCTTTTTTTCTAGGTAATCCGAAGGCTCAATTGGCAATGCTTGATGGGTTGGCTGAAAAGTATAAACGAGCTGCTGCGCCGCAGCGACTTGCATTGTACTTGGTGGAGGGAGAAGAATTACGTCACCGTCTTCATGAATGGATAATACCTATGCTTCGGAAGGGAGCTCCAAGTCTTTTTGCAAGTCTTGTACCGCTTTATTCGTTTCCGCAGAAAATTGCTGTCATCGAAAGTTTGATCAACGAATTCGTAAACAAAATGGATGATGAAGGATATGGAAACGTGTCCCTGGATGGAAATTCGGAAGCAGAACCGCCAACTACAGCACTTTGGTTGTACATTCTTTCTGCTCAACACTATGATCGTATTCAAATGGTTCAGTTGGCTTTGAATTATGTTGAAAGAGCAATCCAGCATACACCCACCGTAGTTGAAAATTTGATACTGAAAGCAAGAATTTACAAAGTTGACAAGCGTAGATTTTCATTTGGTTTAGCTTTTTTTTCAGCATGCCGGTGATGTGGACGAGGCCGCACGATGGATGGAAGAAGCGCAAAACCTGGATACTGCTGACCGGTACATCAATGGAAAGTGCGGGAAGTACTTCCTCAGAGCTAAACGAATGGACGATGCGCAGAAGATGTTAGCGAAGTTCACCAGAGAAGGAGAGAACGCAGCGTCTCATCTAACTGACATGCAGTGCATGTGGTACGAATTAGAAAGTGGGAGAGCATATCGTTCCATGAGCAAGTATGGAGAAGCTTTACGCAAAGCCCATCATATCGAATTCGTAAGTTCGACTATAACACGGTCTCCAGAGCTTACAATGCGGGCGTGGCCTCCGCCAAATAGCGTTTTCATGAATTTTTCCTCACTTCCTGATTTTTGTGGTCAAAAGCGTTGAAAAATGATAATTAAAACCGGGGACAAGACTTTTAAAACCGGGATGAAACCACAATAATTCACGAAATTTTTGACGTTTTGGTGCCTTTTTCGCCGGGTAGGGGTAAAAGGATTGCGATTTAATTAAAACTCATTCACACAATAGAAACGCGACATAATATAACTGTTTTTCGTTGAAACGCTCATAGTTTTTAGGATATTTGTTTCGAATACCCAAACTGTTCCGGAAAACGCGGAAATTTCTGCATTTATATGAGCATTTTGTCCGCTCCTTTCAATTAACTTCGCAAAATTTTTCGTCTCCCGAACAATTAAGCAGAAGGCCACAGCTTGAGCCTAGAAAATTGGTTTCCTTTCGTTTTTGATAAAACAATGAAGTTGTTTTCTGTGGGTTTTCGTTACTGTAGAGAAGAGGAATCACGACGGAAGTGAAATTAATAAATGCAATAAATCGATCACGAGATTCAAAAATTATCTTTTTTTACGAAACAATTATTCTACAGAAATATTTAAAAGGCGCTCCAAACAGTTATATTGTGGCCGGTTCTATTGTGTCGCGGTTCTATTCTGCGCAGTTCTATTATGTCGCGGTTCTATTGTGTCGCGGTTCTATTATATTGGACCGCTATTCTACTAGAACACAAAACGTTTCTAATTAGATGTAAAAGTTAATCTAGTTGCAATTAGATTCGAACGGTTTCAAGTTAAATCGCAAACGATTTACCAGAGTTCGCCTTCGCCGTCGAAAAACCTTACTTCTCATTTTGCGCATTATTGAAAGTTTTCAAACAAAATTGGTTTTGAAAATGATGAATAACGTAAATACAAGCATTTTGAGCGCTCGAACAACGAAAATTACTAAAAATACAAGATGTATAATACGAGGCTACCCCGAATCAGAACTGTCCTGTATCAGAACTGTTCGAATAAGAAACTATTATAGGGGGACCCCCAGAAATGGCGCTCTGTTGAGAAACTCCTTTTGCAGTGCACATTGAGCGACCTCAGGGCCGCGTTTGAAAAGTTAGGCCACATTTTCAGTGGAAAATTACTTCGCGGCTTAGAAATTCGGCCAGATTGCGAACAGCACGCTCTTTCTGCCCTGTGCCCCTATAATATCTGCAGGTGGTTCTTGTTACGAAAAGTCATGTTGTGATGGGTTCTGATTCGGGAAAGTTCTGGCTCGGCATAGCCTCGCTTATCACTATCAGTTTGATTTTTTTCAGCATTTCAATACTTGGACTGAAGATCAATATGATTTCCACACTTACTGTCTCAGAAAAATGACTCTCTGCTCCTACATCCGCTTGATTCGAATGGAAGACAATCTGCGCGACAATAATTACTACTATCAAGGAGCAAAGCTTGCCATCAAAATTTACTTACGCATGATTGACCGCCCAGATGACATGAACGAACATTCAGCTTTCATGAAAGAGGGAATGACTGAGAACGAAATCAAAAAAATGAAAAAGAAATTGAAAAAACAGAAAGAGCTGGAAGAAGAGAACAAAAAGAAAGAAAAGGAAGTTAAAGAAGAAGGCCTTCAAAGAGGACCACAAATCGATGCTAATGCTCTTCTGAAAACCGATTCTCCTCTCGATGACGCTGCTAAGTTCTGTCACAACCTCCACATATTTGGAGTAGAGAAAGCTACAGGATATGCTCTCTGCTCGGAAGTATACCGACGTAAGGGAAAAGTTCTGTTGGTGCTCAAGTGCCTTCATCAAGGATCTAAGATTGACGCAGCTCATCCTCTCATTCACGTTCAGAAAGTGAAATTTCTCATTTCCTGTGAGTATTATTCAAACAAAACTTTTGGATGCGCAGGCCGAGCCGACACTCGGAAGCGGCTTCGCCGCTAATTTGTTTCTCATAACTGCTTGAAAGTTCACGTGTTCTTTCTCAATTTTTCCTTTGCTCCTTTTTCAGAAATGAAATGATTTTACTTTAGGGGCAGCGCACAGAAATAGCGCTCTGTTGAGAAACTATTTTTGCAGTGCAAATTGGCCGACCTCGGAGCCGAGTTCGAAAAGTTAGGCCACGTTTTCAGTGGAAAATTACATCGCGGCCTAGAAATTCGGCCAGATTGCGAACAGCGCGCCCTTACTGTCCGGTGCCCCTATAATAGAAATGAACGCGGAGACGGACAAACGGAGAAATAAACAGACTAAGAGACTGACCCCTAAGAGTTGTATTAACAAGACTTTCGAACCTGGGTCCGCTGCGCATTTTAAATAAAAATGATGATTCTTAAAACTTTCGCATTTTTACAATTATTGAACGTGTATTTCCAGGGCCAACGTACGAACTCTCCGGAACTGTTGGAGAATTAGCTGATGAGCTGATGAATGCCATCTATGGTTCTCAGAGAAATGCATCTGCTCTTAATGAGACATTCAAAATCGCGAATCAGCACAGTTTCGCTCATCGTCTTGCATGTTTGTTTTAATCACTCGTTAAGAAATTTTTTTATGGGGTTATTCAGGCTGTGAAAAAAAATTATTTTTTTCCGTTTTTTTTTTCGTTTTTTTTACGTCAAAAAAACCCAATTCAGCGGTGTAAAAAAAACGGAAAACAACGGAAAACAAACATACGCTGAATAGCCCCATTAATGTTTCCAGTCGCTGAAGCTCATTTCTCACTGGTCTCTGACTCGTCGATCAATAGCTGGTTGCTGAAATCAGTGGAGGATTCAACTGTAGGAGGACGAAACTTGAAAATGCTGACTAAACTGAAGGACGGAATTGAATATGGAAAATATGGCAACTGGAGTAAGGAAGAGGTATTGAATGGAAAATCATTTTTCAAATCATACTCATCCCGTTTTAGCGCGAGAAACTGCGAAAGCTGGCTCATGGCATGTTCCCTATGGCGAAGGAGTTTGGAGGAGGAGTGCACAAACTTCAAGCTTGAAATAAATAAAATCGTTCATTTAAAAAAATTTACTCGTGTCTCCTCGCCTCTTAGACACTTCCCTCCTATGGTAAACTCAATTCATCGCTATTGCCCCTCGGTGTTTGCAGACTCAAGCGAAAATTTCTGAAATTAGGCTTGAGTACGCAAACACCGAGGGGGCAAGAGCGGTAAATTGAGTATAGTTTCAAACATTTTTTCCGCGTGTCTCCCCGCCCTCATTTACAAGAGCGTAGGCTAATTAGGTTCGTTTTCTCTTTTCCTGTTTTAATACCTGCTGTTACGTTCATCGATCTTTGTTTGTTTGTTTTTTTAACGCTATCGTATTCAATTAAACTAAACACGTCAGTTGAAAGCGGTTTTCCAAGAGCATTAAGGTCCGAAGGTCCCATTCTTATATTTTTGCGATAAAACAATCTAAGCTAAGATGATTGTTTTCAGATAGCTCAATGGCAGTTCTTATATTAGACACCGACCACGAAGATAGAGGTAAGAATGCCTTCTCAGCAGGGTGAGCTGCCGAGACTGAAGTTCCAGGAATTGCCGGGAAAAGTAATGGGAGAACTTCCCGAGAAGCGTCGGTACCGAGAAGTGTGAAGGCTTGTCGTTCCCGGGAACGAGAAGTCTCGGTACTTCTCGGTACCAAGACTTCTCGGTACCGAAGACTTCTCGCCACCGAGAAATCCGAGAAATTACGAGAAGTCTGTGTTGAACGGCTTTTCAGCCTGAAACAGCTTGAAATCAGGCTGAAACCGCTTTTTTTGTAGAAATAAATGTTTTTTTATTTAATTAAAAAAATTAAAAAAACAAAAATAAAACGCCGAAAAAAATTAAACAACAAATTAAAATGTAAAAAAAGTTTTTTTAATTAAAAAAATAAAATTAATTAAAAAAATACATTTCAAGTTGTTTTTTTAATTTTTTAATGTTTTAATTTTAAAAAAACATTTTGTTCCACAAAAAAAGCGGTTTCAGCCCTTCAACACAGACTTCTCGTAATTTCTCGGTGGCGAGAAGTCTTCAGTACCGAAAAGTACCGAGACTTCCCGGTACCGAGAACGAGAAATCTTCACACTTCTCGGTTACCGAGAGTCTCGCCAATTTTGTTGATTTGGTCTCGAGAGCTCACTCTGCTTCTCAGGCTTATCTTAACGTGTTGCTAAAAGTTTCAATTGATTTATCTTGTTATTTATAGATGACTCGCATCATAATAATCATCATGAAGAACAGGGGTTTAATGCAGCATATGAATCGAAAGAGGTTTGACTCATTTGATGTGTATCACAAAGTATATTATGATGTATTGTAGGTCCTTGGCCGTGGTCTCGCGTCAACTGTACGTAGGTGCATCGAGAAAGGAAGTGGAATACACTTCGCTGTTAAAGTTGTTGATGTCTCCACAGAAAAACAGAGTGAAAGCGAAGCTAAACGACTTTTCGATGAAACTATTTCTGAAGTAGAGATCCTGAGACAACTTTCAGGTCATCCTTCAATTAGTGAGCCACCATTTAGTTCTCATGAAGCCTTGATTAGCTTGCAGTAAAAATTCATGACTTCTTCCAAACGCCATCGTTTCTGTTTGCTGTTTTCGAAATGGCACCCAAGGGAGAATTATTCGATCAATTGAATGCAACAGTAACCGTCTCGGAGAAAAAAGCTAGACGTTTGATGAAACAACTTTTCGACGGAGTTGAATATATGCATTCAAGAAATATTGTTCACAGGGATCTTAAAGTGAGTATCATTATTGTCAATCTATGCTGATTCACCGGACAAGAGTTGGTTTTCAGCTCGAAAACATTCTTTGCATCGATGAAGAACGAATTGTTATTTCTGACTTTGGCTTTGCGACTCGCCTAGAGACCGGAAAAAAACTTCGAGATCTCTGTGGAACACCAGGATATCTTGCCCCTGAAACCATCCGTTGTCAAATGTATGATAATGCTGAAGGTTATTCCTTCGAAGTTGACGAATGGGCACTAGGAGTGATTATGTATACGCTTCTTGCAGGATACGCTCCTTTTTACCATAGAAAGTGAGATCAACCGTCTAGGTTTTTTTTGTTGAGAATTTGCAACTTTTGTAGACAGTTAATGATGTTGCGTATAATCCAACAAGGGAAATACGAGTTTCGCGCTGAACAGTGGAACAATGTAACTTCTGAAGCGAAGTGCCTCATCTCAGGATTGTTACTTGTTGATGCTTCTAAAAGATTATCTGCAAAAAAATGTCTAGCGCATGAATGGATGATACCGGTAGGACCTGTTCCGATAGTTGAAGTCGAGCTGGTGTCCGAATCAGGCATAAGGGCTCGTAAACGTTTCAAGACGGTATGTTATTATAGGGGCACCGCACAGAAATGGCGCTCTGTTGAGAAACTCTTTTTTCAGTGCAAATTGAACGACCTCGGGGCCGAGTTTGAAAAGTTAGGCCACGTTTTCAGTGGAAAATTACTTCGCGGCCTAGAAATTCGGCCAGATTGCTAACAGCGCGCCCTTTCTGTTCGGTGCCCCTATAATATCAATGTTTTTTTAAATATTGAATCTTTTCAGGCTATTATTTGGGTTCGGTTTTTCCAAAGACTCTCTAAATATAAATATCTCAAAACGATTATCGACCGTGACGTCCTTCGTAAAAGACCATTTCGAGACAGAGATGTATGTTATTGTAAAAAGAAAACAAATTTTCCGTGTTTGCGATCTTAAGCCGAATTTCAAAAAAATTGGCTTGAGTCCGCATGAGGTTTAGCCCATTGACCACATATAATTATAATTATTCTGATTACAAACCTGCGAGCCAGTAGACATGTCGCGGGCGAAGGAAACCACGAGACGAGGGGAGATCTTGCGTCGGGTACCATGAATCAAAAATAAAAAATGGTCCCTGGTTCCATGCAACACCTCTTTTGATACCACGAGACGGGACCACCCCCGTCTCAACTCCCAAGCCTTTCGAATATAATAGGGGCATCTCGCAGAAATGGCCCTCTGTTCGCAATCTGGCCGAATTTCAAGGCTGCGAAGTAATTTTCCGCTGAAAACGTGGACTAACTTTTCAAACTCGGCCCTGAGGTCGCTCAATTTGCACTGCAAAAGGAGTTTCTCAACAGAGCGCCATTTCTGTGAGGGGCCCCTATAATACCTGTTGTTAATAGGTAAACCTCTGCAACTTCTCAGCAAACGTTGGGGTGATAGCAGCTTTTGAACAAAAGTTCAGCAACTTTCGAGCAAACGTTTGGGATTTGCATTTTTTAAACAACACTTCAGCAATTTATGAGCAAACGTTCAGCGCCATCAACTTTTGAACAACACTGCAGCAGCTTTCGAACAACAGCTTAGCCACTTTTGAGCTAACTCTTAGGCGATAGCTACTTCTGCGCAGAACTTCAACAACTTTTGCGCGTAACATTAGCCGCTTTTGAGCAGAAGTTAGGTAAAAGTTGCTGAAGTTCTGCTGAAAGTTGCAAAGGTAAGCAAAGATGTACTCTAATTTACTTGCCTGAGGCTGAGAAGAACGGGATGACATCTTAAAAATGACTTCCAGATTCGTCATGAAGCTGAAGCATCAATGTTCAGCGTTTACGGTCACTGGGTTAATCGAGGATTCTACTACTCTCGAGATATGCTCTTTGCGAACAGGCCTCGTCCAAAAGTTGCTCGGACAGGTGATAAGTACCAATCAGCGCTAAAAGTTCCCGAATAACTGTAAATTAGGAATAAACAAATCATCTTTTCACTGGTCCCAATGGGAAATTTCGTTCGGCGACTGTAACGAACACATAATGGACCTATGTAGAGGGTGCAAACTCGAGGGGACAAGAGCGGTAAATTGAGTATAGTAATGGGGTTATTCAGTGTATGATTGTTTTGCGTTTTTAAAAAGCTTTTTTACATCGCTGAATTGAGTTTTTTGACGCAAAATACAAAATAAACGAAAAAAAAACATACGCTGAATAACCCCTTAATCTTGCCTCTCAGTCTGAGGGGGAAGTGTTTTATTGTAAATTCTTGTTCAGAAGCTTTGTAGAACATTTTCTTGTATCTCTTATAAATTTCTTGCCAATCTCTCTTATACTTGTAAGTTTAAGTAAATTCCTACGTCTTGATTATTTGATACGTTCTTCTGTTTCTTCTATCCTTTTAAATTTTGTTTTTATAAATATACGGTAATCTTGTTTTTGAAATATGATAGCTTACAGTTCATTGCTATTCAACTCTTATTTTACGTTTGTTCAGTGTCAAACATTTTCAGACAAAAATTTTGCAGGATGCATCTGGAAATTGATGGACTCAGAGTAATATTTCCATATGACTACGTATATCCAGAACAAATTTTGTACATGCAAGAAGTAAAAAAAGCATTAGATGCCCGAGTAGGTTCCAAACAAATTACGTGTTTTCAATTCGATTTACAGGGCCACGGGCTTCTAGAAATGCCTTCTGGTACAGGAAAAACTGTCTCACTCCTCAGCCTGGTTCTTGCTTATATGCTTGCTTATCCGGAAAAACTCGAAAAACTAGTGTACTGTTCAAGAACTATTCCCGAAATCGAAAAATGTGTTGAAGAAATGCGTGTCCTTTACGATTATTATGAAGCAGAAACCGGTGTCGCTGTTCCCAAAATGACAGTTGCAATGTCAGCAAGAAAGAATTTGTGTATCAATGATTCGGTGGCGTCGCTACGATTCGGAAATTCCGTGGATAGTGCCTGTCAAAAACTGACAGCTTCTTCAGTTCGTGCCAAACGCTTCGAAGACGCTTCTATCGAATCGTGCAATTACTTTGAAAATTTCGACTCAAGAAATTCTTCTATTCCAAATGGAGTGTGGAATCTGGTATTATTTATTTTCTGATTAGGCGTAAGTAGCTTCAAGGATTTTTTACAGCAGGATCTGAGAAGTTTCGGGAGAGAGAATAAGATCTGCCCGTACTTTGTTACAAGGCAAGCTATCAATAGAGCTCATATCGTCGTGTATTCATATCATTATATTCTTGATCCCAAAATCGCGGAGCTCGTATCGAAAGATTTTAGCCGGAAGTCGTGTATTGTTTTTGACGAAGCACATAACATTGACAATGTATGCATTGAATCAATGTCAGTAGCCATTACGCAGAAAAATGCTGACACTGCTCTGAGCGAACTTTCCAAATTAGAAGCTGTGGTGACCAAAGTCAAGAGTTCGAATGCCGATAAACTTAGGAATGAATACGACAGACTCGTCGAAGGACTCAGAAGGACAGAAAAAGAACGTGCTAATGACGAACGTCTTGCTAATCCAGTCCTGCCAGATCAGATCCTACAGGAGGCTGTACCAGGGAACATTCGACAAGCGAACCATTTTGTCCTATTTCTTAAAAGATTTGTTGAATACATCAGGCATAGATTGAGGAGTCATCAGGTTTTCTGTTAAACATTAGCTGCATGTGAAATACTTAAATGTATTTCAGGTTCTTATCGAGAGCCCAGCAGCGTTCATGAAGGATATTCAAGAAAGAATGTGTATTGAAAGGAGGCCATTGCGGTTCTGCGCGGAAAGATTGTCTAACTTAGTGAAAACTCTCGAATTGACGGACAGTCGCGATGTTTGGGCTCTTTCTCAAATCACGACACTCGGTACTCTTGTGAGCACTTATTCGAAAGGTTTCTCTGTGATCGTGGAGCCTAACGATGGAAGTCAAGTAGCAACGATAACGTTGTCCTGTCATGATGCTTCAATTGCTATTAGGCCTGTGATGAGCCGGTTTCAATCCGTAATAATCACCTCAGGAACATTATCTCCATTGGAAATTTACCCGAAAATTCTGGATTTCGATCCATCTGTAATAGCCTCGTTTACCATGACTCTTGCGCGCCCTTGTCTGAGTCCACTGGTGGTTGCACGCGGAAATGATCAGGTGGCAATGACCTCACGATTTGAACAACGAGCCGATGTGGCTGTAATTCGAAATTATGGCAATCTAGTTCTCGAGATGGCTTCGATTGTCCCTGATGGAATGGTAGTTTTCTTTACAAGCTACCTTTACATGGAGAACGTTATTGGAGTGTGGTACGAGCAGCACATTATTGATGAGCTCATGAAGTACAAGCTCTTGTTCATTGAAACTAACGACGCCCTGGAAACTTCTACTGCGCTTGAAAAATACGTAGAGGCTTGCGACAGTGGACGAGGAGCATGTTTATTCTCTGTTGCCAGAGGAAAAGTATCAGAAGGAATTGATTTCAGTCATCATTTAGGTGAGGCCAAACTTTGTGAAGATACTCGTAAGCCGCTATGAACCGAAAAAATTCGAAAATTCAATCCATGTTCACAAATGTTCGTCATGATCAATTCAGGTCGTTGTGTCATCATGCTCGGTATTCCGTACATGTATACCGAGAGCCGAGTATTGAGATCAAGGTTGGAGTATCTAAGAGACCAATTTGGAATCAAGCAAGTTCAGATATAAAATTATGCAATCTATTGTAAATTTAAGGGAGAACGATTTTCTCACTTTTGATGCTATGCGACACACTGCACAGTGCATGGGAAGAGCGCTTCGATCCAAAACAGACTACGGCCTGATGATTTTTGCGGACAAGGTGAGTTAATGTGGTCAAGCAAACGGAACAATTGAAGAAATTCAGAGATTTTCGCGGAACGATAAGCGTGGTAAACTTCCTCGTTGGATGCAAGAATATTTGGAACCTGCGTCGACGAATCTAAGCATCGACGAAGCAGCGCAAGTCGCGAAGCGTTGGCTAACATTGATGGCCCAGCCTTTCACAAAAGAAGACCAATTAGGAGTGTCTCTTCTCAATGCGGATATGCTCAATCAGCAATCCATGAAACGATTCGATCGAGTTGTTGAATATGTTGACTGATTTTCGCTGTATCGCTGTCTAACTTTAATGCACCATTTTTGTCATATTGGTATTTCATAAGTAAATGTTTTCTCTGGCCTTACACTTCCGCTACTAAGCATGCTGCTACGTTTGTTAATATCTGTTAATATCATACGTTTTTAGCGAAATGTTCGTATTCGTTTCTATGGCTTCGTTTAGATGTTTGCATTTCGTCGGATTGTTGCCGTGTATAGCTTGAACTGCAGCAGATGTCATCGTAATATTCAACTTACGACTGATCAGATGAAGGGGCATTCGAAGTGGCAAAACATCAAAGCGACGAAAGGGAAGAACGATATGATTCGGTCGAAGGCTACTAATTTTCTTCTTCGTAAAGTCAGAGTTTTTTAGTATATTCGTTAATGCATTCCAATTCTAGGTTAGAGGTGCCGTTTCACGTGGAGGATTCGATCTCAAACTTAACAGGGAGCTAGCTGACGTGGAGCAAGAGTTTCGAGCTCAAGGGCTCCCATTGGATACCTTCAAAACATTTTTGCAAAAAATGAAAGTGAGTGCTCAGTGAAACAAAACATTTTTTTCTAGTATAGGAGAACCGAACAGAAATGGCGCTCTGTTGAGAAACTCCTTTGCAGTGCAAATTGAGCGACCTCGGGGCCGAGTTTGAAAAATTAGGCCACATTTTCAGTGGAAAATTGAGTCCGTGACAAAAGGTCGGAAAACCAAAAAGGTCGGAAAACCAAAAAGGTCGGAAAACCAAAAAGGTCGGAAAACCAAAAAAATTACTTCGCGGCCTAGAAATTCGGCCAGATTGCGAACAGCGCGCCCTTTCTGTCCGGTGCCCCTATGATAATTGCAGGATAAACCGGAAGTCGAGTATACATTCGATGTTATTGGTCCCAGCGGCACATTCTTTATTGTGAATGCAGAAACGTCGAACAAGAAGGCATTCGAAAATGATTTACGGAAATATTTTAACAAATTAGGGGGCTTCCGGTTTGCAACTGATGGCGGCGTTCGCAGTTGGTTCGAAGAAAAAGGAGTTGTTCAAGTAGCAGCCGAAAAAGATAAACAATCGGTTACCATCGAGCAGGTATGACACCATTTAATAGACGTTCTTTGCAAAGCTTTGAGACTCGAGAACTAATTTTAATTTTTTGGCTGACGTGTCCGAGGATTTGTTTCTCGTGAGTCTGTAGTAAAAAAATCCCAGTGCGGTGCGGTGACAGCTTAATTTTCAGATCCCTGTGCAAAATGAAATTCTTGAAAGATTTAAATAAATCATAGTTGCCACGGGCCGGGCCGGGCCGAAATTTCCAAAACTCCGGCCCGGCCCGGCTCGGTTCAAACAGCGGGAATTCAAAATTTGAATTATTGATCGCATGAAGCCATTTTTTGTAGAATTAGGGGTTTTTGCAAGCATCGAACATTGAAAAACAAATGTATTTCTCATAAAAAATTCATAATAGCAAAAAAACAAAGAAGAAACACTAAAACTTTAGTTCGAAATTTTTTTTTGTAATAACGAAAAAAAAAATTTCCGCGAAAATTTGAATTCCCGCCTTTTGAACCGGGCCGGCACTTCACCGACCCGGCCCGGCCCGAAATCTGGCAAGTCTGAAATAAATTCTGACCTTTCAATGTCTGTAAGTATTCCAAATTCAGATGGAAGAAGTGGGATTAGAACTTGACGTGGAAGAAGTGACTCTACTCCAAGAAGACAATGTCGAAAAGTTCGAGCTTCTGTGTGATGCAACCCATCTTTCACCATTAGAAAGCAACTTGAGCAAAGCTGGTTTCTCCATAATCTCATCAGAAGTTGATTTTCGCGCAGTTCATCCAATTGAAGTTTCTGAGGCCGAATCTCAGAAAATAGAAAAATTCTATGATTTGTTGCAGGTAAAACACGTGTTCTTTTTACAACATCATCCAATCAAAAATATTACAGGAGGATGAACAAGTTCGTCAAATTTTCGATAATATTAAAACGGATTAAAGCACCCTTCACTATAATCGCTAGATGAAGCATATTTCGCTTAAAAAAATTAGCCTTATTTCAGCTGTATCGACTAGGCTTTTTTCTATTACCTGTATTATTGGAAAGGAATTGTGTTGCTTGGTTTTTGAGAAATGCTGCCGGAAGTGTTGCAGCACTGTGAGTCTGTGACTTTTTGCCAGCTAGAGTATGCAAACTATATTTTTATCAGCTTTTCAACCCGGCCGTTTTACACTGTCAGTCTGTGACTTTTTGTCAGCTAGAGTATGCAAACTACATTTTTATCAGATTTTCATTTTCAACCCGGCCGTTTTACGACAAATTTGTTATTTTGGAATTTTCCTTACCGCCAATACGGGTAACAAACATTCGCGGTGAAAGATGATAGTTTATTAGATAAACTCTTGACACAGTATTCGTTCGGGTATTTAGATTAGTTCGTTCGGGAATAGATGAGACCGCTTCATCGAAGGCTTTGAGGCAATGCGTTTTCCTTGCAGAGCACGAGCAGGCGCCACAGAACGCGATATTTTCGGTATCCGGGATGAGCATTTAGCTGAGCTGCAGAGATTTGAGCTGATATAAATATGGGAAAATTAGGATTTTTCTGTTGTTCGTTGTGACAGCTTAATTTTTTTCAAACGATAGGAAATTTAATATTGAAAACGAATATCATATGATTCATACTGACGAATTTTCTCCCGATTTTCGCGCGCGCGTGTTTGACGGTCTGTACCGAGGTCCCCAAATGAAGTACCATACCCAAAAAGTTTTAACTTATGTAATCGACCATGCTGAATCCAATGAACAACTCCATTTCACGTGAAAACGTACCGTTCTCTTGAAAAACCGCGAAAACGAAAATGGAAGTCAGTCTGAGAGCCTGTGTGGCCAAGTTTATGGCTACACGCGCCTACTTTTAACTGTTTCCGACAAAGGGATGGGGAATCCGTTTTTGAAGTCAGATTCGGGCTCCCTAGTACCCTAAAGTTTTTTACAGATCCTCAAACTGCCAGAAAAGTTAGCGGAAAATTTTCAGCGATGACCATACTTTTTTAATTTTGGAATGCATAGATAAAGTCAATGAGAACCCAAATATAAATTTTCAGAGCTCTAGACCCACTAGGACCAGATTTGTGCTTGTTTGAGTAGGGCCCATTCGGCCGAAATTTTAGTTTTCGGGAGATTTGAGGGTCACAGGTACCTTACACGCGGCTAATTTTTACAGAATCGGATTCAGCATCAAATTTCCGACCGATCCATGTTAAACTTTCTCATCTACCTAGTACCCGAAAAAAGTTACAGTCAGTTATGTTATGGATTTCAGCCCGCAAAGGCACTAATTTCGCAGCTGGAAAGGGCCGCGCACAGCGAGCTTCTCTACGCCAATGGCGGTGGGCGAGCCTCCGCCCGGTTGGCGCAGTGGCAAAGTGATCGCTCGGCAGTCTGGAGGTGCCGGGTTCAGAACTTTTGTCCTCGAAAGTTGTTTAGCTTTTTAAGAACATCATGTCTGTTCATTTTTTTGTTGCATATTTGGCTTGGTCCGTCAGAAAAGGACAAAAACCGCGCGCGGCGCACTTGCTGGCGAAGCTCCGCCCCCTCCTCGACCGCCGACCGGGGAGAAAACAGGCCAACTTTGAAGGGGTGTAACTCGGGATGTACCGAAAATTTTCGAGAAAAAAGTTGGGAGCGTACTCATATAGAGTAGGGGAACACATTCCAACAAGAATTTTGTGGAAACTCGGAGTTTTGCGAAACCCGTTGCGGTACCTATTCATATGGACCGAGATAGAAATTTGACTACAACTGCGCTAGAGGCAAATGGCGACCTACGAGATTGTGGCTCCCCGTTGACGCGGCACAATTCAAAACACTTAGGTAAATCGTTTGTAATCTAGCTAGCTAATTCTCGTTTCTAACCGGACCTAGTTAGATTGCTACAGATTTCTGAATCTAGCTAGCTGATTTTGCAATCTAAGCATAATCTAGCTAGGTTTGCCCGAAATTTTAATCTAATTAGATAAATTTTGAATCTAATATCAGTGTTTTTGCAATCTAATTAGCTTCGCCAGTCTAATTAAAAATTTTATCAGTCCAGTAAGAAGAATTTGCAATCTAAAAGCAGTAAATTAGCGATCTAATTAGGTCCTGTTAGAAACGCGAGTTAACTAGCTAGATTACACCGATTTACCTGACTAGGGAATGATCAACAGGTAAGTTGGCCTTATGGGCCGCGACTGACATAGTTCGATAGCTTATACCAAGAGGATCAAATGTTCTGTTGATCGTTTTTGCTGCCGGCACCTGGATTTCGAGAAAATGGCACCGGAAAATTTCCACTGAAATCTTGTATTTTACGCAATTTGTTTCCCTCGTAACAGTCGCGTGAACTCCCTTGATATCAAAGTATTCGGAAACAACTGAAATCATCGGTTGGATGGTGCAGTGGGTATTGGGTTCGACTAGTAGGCAAGGGGTCCGTCCCCACTCTCTATAAAATTTTTTTGTTTTCTTTTGTCGACTGAATATCTGGGTCAAACGAGGTTTCTTGATGATTGTTACACATTTGATGACTCTCCACAACCGAAGCAACTCAAAAATCGAATAAATAGAGTTTTGAAGAAACACACTATTTTCCATTAAAATATGGCCTTCAAAAATTTTTTTAGTTGGTCAGATTATTATATCATTAGATAGAGCATGAAGAGTTGTGCACGATTGCAGTACATCATTTTTCTCAAAATTCACATTTAGGGCCTGATTTGAGGCCTCAAAGTTACCATCGTCCAAAACTCCCTCATCTTTGGAGACCTATATTTTCAGAGCCCACTATCAATTAAAAAAAATGATAAACTGGAAAGTTGTTGCAAATTTTGTGTTGAACAACTTTGTAGTTGATCATTTTAAGTATACCAAAACACTTCATTCTCATTTTATACTGTTTCTCATTCACAAAGAAGACAAGTTTTTGAAAAATGAAATAGATAAAATAGAGGTTACAAACAAGAGTATAAAATGAGAATGAAGTGTTTTGGTATAAAATGATCAACAACGAAGTTGTTCAACACAAAATTTGCAACGACTTTGCAATTGATCATTATTGATGGTGGGTTCTGAAGATATAGGTCTCCAAAAAATGAGGGAGTTTTGGACGACGGATGAGGGAGTTTTGGACGACGGTTGTGGAGAGTCATCAAATGTGTGAAAATCATCAAGAAACCTCGTTTGACCCAGATATTCAGTCGACAAAAGAAAGCAAAAAAATTTTATAGAGAGTGGGGACAGACCCCTTGCCTACTAGTCGAACCCAATACCCACTGCACCATCCAACCGATGATTTCAGTTGTTTCCGAATACTTTGATATCAAGGGAGTTCACGCGACTGTTACGAGGGAAAAAAATTGCCTAAAATACAAGATTTCAGTGGAAATTTTCCGGCGCCATTTTCTCGAAATCCAGGTGCCGGCAGCAAAAACGATCAACAGAACATTTGATCCTCTTGGTATAAGCTATCGAACTATGTCAGTCGCGGCCCTAACCTGTTGATCATTTCCTAGGGAGCGCCTATGATCTGGACTCGAATAATTACTATTAATATAATCCTTCGCGGGTTTGTCATTCTGTCTATTTGCTTGTATGTTTGTTTATTTCTCTGTTCGTCCGTCCCCACTTCATTTCTAAAACTAAAAATTTGTGACAGAAATTGAGAAATGAACACGTGAACTTCCGAACAGGTATAAGAAAGAAACAAACGGCGTGGCCGCTTTCGAGCGTGAGCTCGCCCCGCGCAGGAGGCCCAGGTTTCAAAAGTCTTGTGAATGAATGAATGCTTGAAGCGGGATTTCCACCTTTTGCGGGGCTAATAGCGCGTTTTGTTGTGATGGTCTTGCATCAATTACCATTTTTCACTCGGCAAATAACGCAAACAACCTATACCCTCTGCATAGGCCCGAAAATGATGGTCCATGAGTTCTACTAGCGCAATTGGGGTTGCCAGAAAATGACTAGCATACGCGGGGTCGGGATGGGGACATTGAAAGTAAATAAAAAAATTAAATTTAGTGTCTATTGTGTAGCACCCCTATCTTAAAGAGTTAGATCATAACGAACATTTAGGAAATTTGATCACAGCCAGGGCTGGGCAATTGGCCGGCACGGGCTTTTCGTTGGCCGACCATTGACCTGCACATTTGAACCACTTGCAATACTTCGATCGAACCCAAACTTTGCATGCTTCTTGTACATGGGTTGAAGCATACTGGGACGAAGTTTCAGCCCGATCGGATCATCTGTTCCCGAGATATGTGGATCATTGGCCGAAATTGGCCGGAAGCCCGGGCTTTTAGGAAAAAATCGGCCAATGATCCACATATCTCGGGACCCAACGATTTGATCGGGCTGAAACTTGGTCCCAATGGCCCTCAATCCAAGTCCAACAATCCTGGAAAGTTTGGGTCCGATCGGAATATTGCAAGTGGTTCAAATGTCCAGGTCAATGGTCGGCCAACAAAAAGCCCGGGCCGGCCAATTGCCCAGCCCTGATCACAGCGCGTTTGCATTTACATTAGTCATACTCCACGTCCTCATTGCGGGATTGGAGAACTGTTGAGAGAGGCGGAAAGTCTACAACTTTTTGATTTTTTAACAAGCTTGAAGCTATGCTAATTGACACTCTGCGTGTCAATTCGTACTATGATTATATTTAGATTAGCCTCGATTCGTATCTAATTAGTTACGAGTTGTCCGAGTAGCATACCTCACAGTAGTTTTCCTTTTGGCTCTTACAGGAACTGTTCTTGAAGGTTTCCGTGTAGCAGCTAAAGAACTCGTATGATTTACTTTGCAATATTTTATATACCTGCTGAAAATTGTGCGAATCCTCCCATGACCATATCTCCGTTTTTCAATTTATCCAATTGCTTGGTAATATCATCTGCCTCGCGTTCTAAATAATATTTCTCAGACATTGATCAATATCACGACGCGTTGAAGCGTATGTGGGCAAATAGGCTATCACTACCATTTTCTGGCTTTATTTGTCACTACTAATTATGCATTCGTCGAAATGTAACTCCAATTTCAAGCAGTTCTCGACAACGTGGTTTATTTCCAGAAAAATTTTTAGGTGCAGAAAGGATAATGATATACCGAAAATTCTAATACTCACCATCAACTTGCCTCCAATATAGCGCTAACGTTTCCATAATGTGTTGCCCATATCTGAAGTATAGCAAGACTTCTAGAACCATGGGGATGGCCTGGACTGGGCATCATAAGACAATAGTAAAAAAAATGGTCAACCCTTGGTACCGCCATTCGGGACTATTATAGGGGCACCGAATAGAAAGGGCGCTCTGTTCGCAATCTGGCCGAATTTCTAGTCCGCAAAGTAATTTTCCACTGAAAACGTGGCCTAACTTTTCAAACTCAGCCCCGAGCTCACTCAATTTGCACTGCAAAAAAGTTTCTCAATAGAGCGCCCTTTCTGTTCGGTGTCCCTATAATACCTTCGTTCGTAGAGTTTGTTGAAACTCACTTATTGACTTTCATTTGTGTCATGGAATCAATTCGAAGGAGATCGGAGTTGGTTCTCGGAAGAAGGGCCGCAATCTAAACAAGAAGAAATGTACTGAAGGGATTATGCCGAGCGTAATCCAAAACAGGTTCAAAACCTGAGATCTCTGGGAACTCTACTGCAATTAATTGAAGCAAATTCCATTTCAAACGAGTTCGTATTAGAGTACAAAAATGTATGGATTAGATAACAATATTTTAAATACATTGCAATCATAATATTTTCTATTAGGGTGCATTTGACTGCAATCGCGCTCTACCGCACACCACGTGAATTCAGTGCTAAATTGGAAAAGGTCGTGGTCGCGGCCGGGTTTTCACGTGGGATTGTGGTAGAGCGCGATTGCAGTCAAATGCCGCCATAATAATTAAATTGGAAGCCAGGAAAAATTAACTGTAATCTAATACGATTTTACTGAACTATTAGCACCCCAAAAATCGGGCAATGTCGCTTTAGCATCCAACGTGAAAACCCGGCTGTGACAGCCTTCGATCACTGACTTAATCATCATTGACTTTTTCGATCATTGACTACCCAAAAATATATACTCATTGACTCTCCTTTCATTCTTTGACTCGATCCTTATCGACTCTCATTTCCATTCTTTGACTCACTCATCATTGACTCATGTGATCTTTGACTCACTCATCATATACTTATAAATATTATCATTGACTCCCTATACAGTATTTCGCTCACTCATTATTAAGGCGCATTATAAATTGACTATATTCTTTAAAACAAGCATTCTCAGACCCGTACAAATGGGTTTAAGATTAGGAAAAGATCGGGAACCATCCATCTAGCTACTCTCAAAATAATGCTCCTACTAATTGGAGTTAGTGCTCTGTTGCGAAACCCTTCTTTTTATGATCTCTGGGGCCTAATTTTCCAGGCGCGAAACGAATTTAAGTTGTTTTTCATTTGAATTCTGGAAGAACTTTCTCTATTTTTAATTGGCGCCGGGCTGAAGCAATCGACGGAGGCCGCGACCTTTTACAATTTAGCACTAAATTCACGTGAAGAGCGCTAGAGCGCGATTGTCAGAGACTTTTTCGGCTGCAATAACTATAACAAAATCTTATTAATTTGCGAAATAGAGCCTTTTCTAATTTGTTTGCAATCAAGTTTCCAGATGATGCCAGAATAGAGGGAAACGGCGCATCTTTTCCTGTTTTTACAGCTTTAAAATACTCTCAATTGAGTCTGCAAACACCGAGGGGCAATAGCAATGAATTGAGTTTATATACCTGTTCGATGCCATCTCTTGAGACAATAGAAAATGGTCCAGCAAGGCCAGAATCTTCAGCCAACCTAGTCATAAGCTTTGTGAGGTCTTGAAGGCATTGTCCAAAAAGATCTCCGTGTTTCACCATGTGCCTATAGTGTTAGTTCTGTTATTAAAAAAACAAATCATTGCGAAACTGCTCACCTTTCCTTTAAAGCCTGCGCTTCAGAAACCGTGTTCATGTTAGACAGCTCGATCATACCAAAAATCCGTCTTTTTTTTTCACAAGTGACAAAATGAAGGTAGACATGAAAATTTGAAAAATTATCATCACTAGAGGATTTTTCCCAGGGTCAAAAGTCTTTTTGTGTTCTCAATTATTCGTATTAGGGTGTTCGTGAACTCAAGTGAAAAGCCAACATTTCCGGCTTGAGTCTGGTTCATGATAGAGGCGATAAAAATCTATTGCAGCCGCAGAAGTCTGGCCATGCGGTAATTTCCAGACTTGCCAAATCCCGGGCCGGCCCAGCCCGGCCCGGTTTTGGCCCGGTCGGCCCGGAAGTTAGACCTCAAAAAAAATATGCAAAAAAATATGAAATTTTGCGACTTTAAAAGGCAATGTCTGAGAACCTCGAAATTCGCTAATTACACCAGGTCACTAAAAATTCAGAATGCTTCAATTTGTCCCATATTATACCCAATGGGTACTTACATAACAGTCATACATCAGACAAGTTTTGATCCGGCTCCGTGGTCCCTAGTCCGATCACGATCCCAAAAAAGGTAAAAACTGTAACTAATTTCAAAAAAATTCTAGCGTCTCAGACTCAACACCATTCGATTTCTCGCATCTTTTTAAGCACTTTTCATGTTGGCACCAAAAATTTAGCACCTCTCCTTCATGGAGAAAAATATTGTTTTATGACATTTTTCAGAACATTTTTCAGTTTTCTGCTCGTCCTGAAAAATTTTAACACTACATAGCCATGATTTTATTGCTGATTCTGAATCTAGACGTTATTGTGCGTCGGCAAAAAAAAAGTGCACCCCGATCCTGATTGACATCAAGGGGTTTTTAGGCCGAAATTCACAAAATTCGTAGTACTTTTGCATGGAAAAATGTTCGCGAACTTGAGAAAAGTGCGTTTTCTCAATTTTCTAAGGGGTCTGATTGCGATTTTTGTTGTTTTCGTATACTTTTAGGCATTCTCGATTTTTTGGAAGCATTTTGAAAATTAATAAAAATTAGACCAAGTCGTCGACCCGGGGGTCATGACAAAATTTTCGAGAAAAAATTAATTTTCGAAATGCTTCAAAAAAATCAAGAATGCCTAAAAGTATACGAAAACAACAAATATCGCGATCAGGCCCCTTTGAAAATTGAGAAAACGCACTTTTCTCAAGTTCGCGAACATTTTTCCATGCAAAAGTACTCTAAATTTTGTGAATTTCGGCCAAAAAACCCCTTGATGTCAATTGGGATCGGGGTGAACTTTTTTTTTGCAGAAGCACAATAATGTCTAGATTCAGAATCAGCAATAAAATCATGGCTATGTAGTGTTAAAATTTTTTTCATGACGAGCAGAAAAACTGAAACATTTTTCTGAAAAAAATGTCACAAACCAATTTTTGTTCTCCATAAAGGAGAGGTGCCAAATTTTTTTGGTGCCAACATGAAATATACTCAAAAAGATGCGAAGAATCCAATGGCGTTGAGTCTGAGACGCTAGCATTTTCTTGAAATTAGTTACAGGTTTGACCTATTTTGTGACCGTGATCGGACAAGGGACCACGGAGCCGGACCAAAACTTGTCTGATGTATGATTGTTATGTAAGTACCCATTTGGTATAATATGGGACAAATTGAAGCATTCTGAATTTTTAGTGACCTGCAGTATTTGAACTTCTCAGACATTGCCTCTTAAACAGCAATTTCTATTTTTTAACAGGTTTTTATGCTATAACATTGCCTTTTTCGTCTTTTTTTCTATTTCTGCTGGTTTTTACAATGAAAATTATGTTCGTTTCGAAGTTCTAATTCGCTTTGAATTTTTAGGTGCATCCTCCCGGCCCGGCCCGTTGCAAGTCTGGTAATTTCCTAAAAACGCGTCTCAGCACAGGTCACGGCCCTTTTTACACTTTTGGTCGCCGTGATTACCAGTTTTTAGCCCTTAATATATCATTTGTACCCAGCTGCGCGCTCTCATCAACAATATGGATAATCACGGATTTGAACAGTTTTCTAATTTCGACTAAAAATGTACCTTTGTTGTAGTTTTCTCTGCGAGAGCAGCCCGACCGAGGTTGGTAAGTTCCGCATAAGCTAAGACAGTTGCAGCTTGATTTGGATTTGCATATAATTTCTCGTGGATATAACCGTCGATAACAAGCTTTCGGACAAAGCGAAGGGCATCCTGGTCTGTAATGCCTTGGCCTTTCCCGAACAACTCCAATTTCGTGTGCCCTAACTTCAGTGCTTGCTCACTCGTCTTTTTTGAAAGGCCACCTCGATACAGTTCAGAAATGTACCTAAAATGTGTTGTTGTTTATAAAATAACCAAATTGAATCTCACTTTAAAGTAGCCTTTTTCATTCTCGGGAGACTTCGCATAATCATAAGAGCGTCATTGCTCATATCAAACAGTCGAACAACTTCTTCGTTTTTACGTTTCCTTTCACATATGTCACAAGGTGTCGTACTAGTGCTGCAGGACTGTTCGTCATATACCTGTGAAAACATTTTTTTTTTCGAAAAATTAACAGAAAAGTAAAAACTGTACCTCGCCGAAATATTCGACAAGAAGTTTTCGTCTACATACAGACACATTCTCACAATACGCAACAATTTGTAGAACATTATTCAAGTGCATATTTCGAACTCCTGACGTGGCATTTCCTTCTGTGATCTATTAGCATACTTCTAATTTTCAACGTGTGGTCAAACCTTCAATCATTCGTCTCAATCGAATCGAATCATGATAAGAGTACAGCATCAGACAATACGACGGCAGACCATCTCGGCCTGCTCGTCCGGTTTCTTGATAGTAACCTTCGATAGATTTTGGCAAGCTGAAAATATCATCATTTCTCAGAGACAAAGCTGTTGCGAAATACTCGCAGCGTATAGCCTCTCACACTAGAACCAGAGGCACTAAGCACCTGAAACCGGCCGAACCTAAATTCCTCTGGTAAATGGATTGCGATTTAATTAGAACTCCTTCACGTCTAATAATGACACAGTAAGCGTGAAACTTCCTTGAATTAGATTCGAAAAATCTCTATTATAGGGGCACCGCACAGAAATGGCGCTCTGTTGAGAAACTCTTTTTGCAGTGCAAATTGAGCGACATCGGGGCCGAGCTTGAAAAGTTAGGCCACGTTTTCAGTGGAAAATTACTTCGCGGCCTAGAAATTCGGCCAGATTGCGAACAGCGCGCCCTTTCTGTCCGGTGCCCCTATAATAACTAGATGTCAAATTTGATCAAATTTCATAATAAGATGCTGTTATTTCCTAATCAGATTGAAAATTAGCAGCTTCTGCTGTTGGAATCTAATTATATTCTATTTGAACACAAAAGTTTTCTAATTAGATGCAAAGATTAATCTAATTCAGTTAGATTCGAATGAGCTCTAATTAAATCGCATTCCATTTACTTGAGTCCATTAATCGCTGCTATTTAATTGCCCCTTGCTGATTTCACTCAAGCAAAAACTTATGAAGCGGATAAATCTCAAAATTTACTCGACCAAATTTGAAGTTCTCGTGCTTAAAGAATTCCTACCGACCTATTCAATCAGTATCCCGGAGCACAATCGGGAAACAAATACGTGATTAATGAATGCTGCTTTTTAAATTTGAATTTCGTTCTAAAGCGCCACTGCCTGTGGCGCAACGCGCATGTTAGTTCTCGAGATCGTACGAAAGAAAGACTGTAGTCTTTTAAAATCGCACGATAAAAGTTACGGCATTTAATTCCGAGGGTACAACAATTTTGGGGCACAACAGGGTACAACCTATTTTGGGGTACAACTTTTTTAATTTTGGGGTACAACTTATAACCCAAAAGAGATAACCCAAAAACGCTTCAAGAAAGTGCAAACATTGTCGCATCATGGTGCGAAACCTGGCAACTAAAGCTAGCAGAAAATAAATCCGCAGTTCTCCACTTTGGAAAGAAAAATCCCAAAACCAGATATCTCCTGAATGGCATCGAAATCGAATCAAAAGATTCCGTTAAGGACCTCGGCATCTGGATAGACGACAAGCTCAAATTCGATAAGCATATCACAATAGTTAGCAATACCGCCCTCTTGAAATGCAAACAAATTCTGAAAGCCTTTCGCTCCTCGAACCCCAGTCTCTACTTTAAACTTTTCAACGTTTACGTCAGACCCATTCTCGAGTACGGCTGTGAACTTTTTCCATCCCTCATCGACATCCCTCTCCAGCAAATTAGAGTCTCCCCTTAGATTTTTTTCAGTAGAAGAGTCTTCCAAAGATGTAACATGCGGTTCTCCTCCTATAGCGACCGTCTCAGTCAATCTAATTCAAAAATCGATATTCCACAGAAGGGTTCTTCTTATTCTCAGAACATTCCACAACATAATCTCGCACAAGTACCATTTCCCTCCCTAAGCATGTTCCTCAAACCCGGCGTCTCCCCCGTCACCCGTACCTTCTATCCTCCCTTGGCCTACCCCATGACTCTTTCTTACATACCCATCTTGCCCTTTGGAACCGAGTGGCCAAGTTGTTTCCCCGAAAGACTGTCCTCTGAGGCCTTCGCGGCGCGCATCGAGAAGATCCCCCCTAGCTTTTTGTATTCTAACTGACCTCTGGCTACTGCCGGCCAATGGTCATGTCAAGCCATTGTTCCTTCCCCCACCCACATTCCCCCTCTTTTTTTCTCTTCTTTCTTTTTTGTTGTAATTTTATTCCTAGGTGGCTGAAGAGAATAAATGTGTTATTATTAACTTCCCCGATTTTAGGGAATAATTTCTGTCAAGTATTTTAGGGTACAATAATTTTAGGGTACAACACTTTTAGGGCACAACTAGCACATAATTTCAGGGCACAACTTCTTACAATTTTGGGGCACAACAACATGATTTTAGGGTACAACACTTTTTTTCTCATTTTTTGTATTTTCTTGCATTTTACTACAAACCAGGGCTGGGCAATTGGCCGGCCCGGGCTTTTCGTTGGCCGACCATTGACCTGGACTTTTGAACCACTTGCAATATTCCGATCGGACCCAAACTTTGCAGGCTTCTTGGACATGGGTTGACGCATACTGGGACCAAGTTTCAGCTCGATCGGATCATTCGTTCCCGAGATATGTCGATCATTGGCCGAAATTGGCCGGAAGCCCGGGCTTTTTGGAAAAAATCGGCCAATGATCCACATATCTCGGGACCTGACGATCCGATCGGGCTGAAACTTGGTCCCAATGGCCCTCAATCCAAGTCAAAGAAGCCTGCAAAGTTTGGGTCGGATCGGAATATTGCAAGTGGTTCAAAAGTCCAGGTCAATGGTCGGCCAACGAAAAGCCCGGGCCGGCCAATTGCCCAGCCCTGCTACAAACCCATATTCTTTTGATATCAATATTTCGCTGATTTTTTTTATTTCAATGACTCATCTCTTGTAAGAGAACCAGTCTTTCGACTCGTGCTTTCTGCGGCAGTTCACACATTTTGTTTTCATCAAATCGTGAGGTTATTCAAAACCTTTTATTGCAAAAAAGCATATGACAGTAACAAGTTGAGCACAAATGAACGGATCTGAAATAAAGAGTAGTTAATCTAGTCTATTGTCTATTGTTTTCTTGCAGTAGAGGTTTTAGTGCACCACAAAATATGCTCCCAAGGGAAGCCTTGATCCTATTCTCATAAACCCGCCTTATTAATAGAGCTATTTAAAACCTAGATTAACTACTCTTTATTTCAGATCCGTTCATTTGTGCTCAACTTGTTACTGTCATATGCTTTTTTGCAATAAAAGGTTTTGAATAACCTCACGATTTGATGAAAACAAAATGTGTGAACTGCCGCAGAAAGCACGAGTCGAAAGACTGGTTCTCTTACAAGAGATGAGTCATTGAAATAAAAAAATCAGCGAAATATTGCTATAAAAAGAATATGGGTTTGTAGTAAAATGCAAGAAAATACAAAAAAATGAGAAAAAAAAGTGTTGTACCCTAAAATCATGTTGTTGTGCCCCAAAATTGTAAGAAGTTGTGCCCTGAAATTATGTGCTAGTTGTGCCCTAAAAGTGTTGTACCCTAAAATTATTGTACCCCAAAATACTTGACAGAAATTATTCCCTAAAATCGGGGAAGTTGTACCCCAAAATTAAAAAAGTTGTACCCCAAAATAGGTTGTACCCTGTTGTGCCCCAAAATTGTTGTACCCTCGGAATTAAATGCCAAAAGTTACGCCCACTTCTCGGTAAACCTTTGCAACTTTTCAGCAGAACTTCAGCAACTTTTACCTAACTTCTGCTCAAATTCGCCTACTGTTGAAAAAAAAAAGGTTTGACATTAGAATCGAAGTTGGCAGCTAGCCAAGGACACACCTCCCAAATAGCGTGCGGCAGTTGTAGCCAAAACTATTTGGAAGGCGTGTCCTTGGCTCGCTGCGAACTCCGATTCTAATGTCGAACCTTTTTATTCAACAGTGATGCTATGCGCATAATGGGGTTATTCAGGCTGTGAAAAAAAATAATTTTTTTCCGTTTTTTTTTCGTTTTTTTACGTCAGAAAACCAAATTCAGCGGTGTAAAAGAACGAAAAAAAAACGGAAAACAAACATACGCTGAATAGCCCCATAAGTTGCTATTGGCAAACTTTGCTCAAAAGTTGCTGAACCTTTGTTCAAAAGCTGCTATCACCCCAATGTTTGCTGAGAAGTTGCAGAGGTTTACCGAGTAGTTCGAAGGCGGGTGTTCCGTGCTGCACGACATCAGTAAACCGCATACTGACTGACCTGTAGTGTATCACAAATCGGACGTCGGGTTTGTCAATTCCCATGCCGAAAGCGATAGTTGCACAAATCACATCGACTCTATTTGCAAGCCAGTTTCGCTGAACAGTAACTCGGACGCTATCAGCCAGTCCTGCGTGATAAACTTCTGCGGATACATTTGCTTTTGACAGCATCATCTGTACTGTTTCGCACTCCTTTCTAAAAAAAATAGTCATGAACAAGTAGTTGTGTGTACAAACTATGTTCACCTTGATAAGCAGTAAACAATTCCAGATTTACCAGGGTAAAGCTGTTTCATCTTCTCAACAACGTTGATCAAAGACTTTGCGGCCTTCGGAATCAGATCGTACTTCAGGTTATCGCGAACAAAACTGCTTATAAACAATTTTGAATTCGTCATTTTAAGATTATTTCGAGTATCGGTGACGATTTTTGGAGTCGCAGTTGCAGTGAGAGCGATTATCGGAATCTGATTAAAGAGAAAGCTAACTGACACATGTTACTACATTTTTGGACTGCAATGGGGTTATTCAGTGCATGTTTTTTCCCGTTTCAAAAAAGTGAAAAATTGCAAAAATTAATTTATAATAGCACTGCTCACGCTGCTTACGCTCATAGGTGCGGGATGTTTGAGAAACGCCGAAAAATTTTTCCGACTTCGCGGTGGGATGGAAATTTCCGCACTAGCGGCAACCATTAGACCCCCTCCCCCTGTGGAAAATGATATAAAAATTTTCAAAAAATGTTTATCCAAGCTTCGTTTTATTGTATTTTCTGTTAAACATGTACGACCAATATGACCCATAGAAGTAATTTAGACAGTTGAAGCAACCTGGCTGCCTTTTGCAGTCCGGGTAAAGTCAAAAATGACTAGATTGCAGCGTCATAAGGACACTCCTGCAATCTGGTCATCAGTGACTCGTACCAGGTATCAGAGTTGAGCGGAAACTCTGGCATTTCGTTATTAATCTAATCGCAGTCTACTCGAGTTATACGGCGGCCTAATAAGATTGATATGACACCTATTATAGGGGCACCGGACAGAAAGGGCGCGCTGTTCGCAATCTGGCCGAATTTCTAGGCCGCGAAGTAGTTTTCCACTGAAAACGTGGCCTAACTTTTCAAACTCGGCCCCGAGGTCGCTCAATTTGCAGTGCAAAAAGAGTTTCTCAACAGAGCGCCATTTCTGTGCGGTGCCCCTATAATAATTAGATTAATAAATTATCTAGCTAGATTAATAAATCTTCTAATTATATTGATATGTGCTCAAATCAAGCTTCACGCCAACCGTCTGCTGGCTCAAATCTCGATTGCGCCAAGAAAAAACAGTCGAACCTAATTAGGTCGCGTTTAGATCAGTAACTTTCTAATTAGATTAATATCGAATTGCCAGAGAATGGAATTTTCAAATCTGGCAGACGGCAGACGGCAGACGGAAGAAAATTTTTCTTACGGAACACGGAACACGGAAAACGGAAGACGGAAGAAAATTTTTCTCACGGAAGACGGAAGACAACTTTTTTCCCGGCAGACGGAATACGGAACAAAAAATCCATGGAAGACGGAAGACGGCAGACGGAATTCCGCTCAACACTGGCAGGTATCCTAGTTGGTTCGATTGAGTGGAAACTGAACGAATATGACCGATAGAAGTAATTCAGACAGTTAGAACAACTCTGGCAATTCGGTATTAATCTAATTAGAAAGTTACTGATCTAAACGCGACCTAATTAGATTCGACTGTTTTTTCTTGGCGCAATCGAGATAATAGCCAGCAGACGGTTGGCGTGAAACTTGATTTGAGCACATATCAATCTAATTAGAAGATTTATTAATCTAGCTAGACAATTTATTAATCTAATTAGGTGTCATATCAATTTTATTAGGCCGCCGTATAGCTCGAGTAGACTGCGATTAAATTAATAACGAAATGCCAGAGAACTTTAAAACCTGTTAGTCTGGGTACATTTGGCAGCCTTATTGCCTAGAGTTTTTTGCGTTTTTTGCATGCTGAACAGCTGAACGAATGTCACCGTATACCATAAAACTACGATATTTTCTGAAAATTTACCCAAGAAATTTTAACATTTTTAAATATTCTCACTAAATTTAAACTTTTTCATTTAAACTTTTTTTTTTGATTTTGGACACGGCATAAGTAACACTCGAGCCAGCCACCAATTACGAATTACAGAAAATTGAAATTTAACTCTCACCTGTGGGTTTACAAATTTGTCGCGCAACTGATGAAGTTTAGTATAGTCCGGTCGGAAATCGTGTCCCCATTGAGAAACACAATGTGCTTCATCGATGACAAATCGAGCCAAAAAACCACGCTTGTACAAATCCAACAGAGCGGAATTCAATTGATCGGAAGCACTAATCTGAGAAAGATGGATATGCAATGCCCGTATATATTGCACATCTTACTCATTTATTAAATTCAGATTTTTTTTTTACCTTTTCAGGTGTTACGTACAGTAACTTTATTGACGGATTCCGATCTCTTAGACTCCTATAAATGCTCTCTTGAGTCAATTGTGGTAAATCTGACGTCAATGCTTCACATGAAATCTGTAAGCGGAGTATGAAAGTGCGTACCCCATTTTTCCGACAAACACTGAACTACTTACTACATGCTTGATTACTTTTTTTCTCAACTATTATTGGGGCACCGGACAGAAAGGGCGCGCTGTTCGCAATCTGGCCGAATTTCTAGGCCGCGAAGTAATTTTCCAATGAAAACGTGGCCTAACTTTTCAAACTCGGCCCCGAGTCGCTCAATTTGCACTACAAAAAGAGTTTCTCAACAGAGCGCCATTTTTGTGCGGTGCCCCTATAATATACTTCATCGTATTATAGGGGCACCGGACGGAAAGGAAGGAAAGTCGGAAAAAAGTGGCAAAAAGTCGGAAAAAAGTGGCAAAAAGTCGGAAAAAAGTGGCAAAAAGTCGGAAAAAAGTGGCAAAAAGTCGGAAAAAATGACAAAAGTCGGAAAAAATGACAAAAGATCGGAAAAAAGTGACAAAAGGTCGGAAAAAAGTGACAAAAGGTCGGAAAAATGTGACAAAAGGTCGGAAAAAAATGCCAAAAGGTCGGAAAAAAATGCCAAAAGGTCGGAAAAAAATGCCAAAAGGTCGGAAAAAAATGCCAAAAGGTCGGAAAAAAATGCCAAAAGGTCGGAAAAAAATGCCAAAAGGTCGGAAAAAAATGCCAAAAGGTCGGAAAAAAATGCCAAAAGGTCGGAAAAACTGCTAAAATACCTGTTTTCTGGCTTTTTGTAATTTTTTCCGGCCTTTTGGCATATTTTCCGACCTTTTGTCATTTTTTTCCGACCTTTTGTCACTTTTTTCCGACCTTTTGTCATTTTTTTTCCGACCTTTTGTCACTTTTTTCCGACCTTTTGTCTTCCGACCTTTTTGGTTTTCCGACCTTTTGTCACGGACTCCAACTTGCACTGCAAAAACAGTTTCTCAACAGAGCGCCATTTCTGTCCGGTGCTCCTATAATATTTGGGCTTTTGATTTTAAAAAAAACTTACTCCCAGCTCTTTCATTTTTGTTTTCTGATCCTCGATAAGTGATCGTAGTGGCGACACCACAATAGTCACACCAGTTAACATTATTGCCGGCAGCTGGTAACACAAACTCTTCCCTGCGCCTGTGGGCATGAGAACAAATGTATCATGACCAACCAAAGTAGATAAAATGCAGCTCCTTTGTTTGTGACGGAAGTTGTTGAATCCAAACTTGCTTTTTAATGTCTCGTACAGTTCCTCACTTTTGTTCGGTCCGAGCAGAGTCACTGAAAGCATTGAAGAAGGAATTACGAGGCATTTTACTAGAAATGTGCTCTGTTGACAGGTGTTGAGTAACTCTTCCTGCAGTTCAAACTGCAATTATCTCGGGGACGAGTTTTTTACCGCTCAAACGAAAATGAGAACGTTAGACCATATTTTCAAAAGAAAAAAGAACAACTAAAAATTACTTCGCGGCGGAAAAAAATCGAGTCCGTGACAAAAGGTCGGAAAACCAAAAAGGTCGGAAGACAAAAGGTCGGAATGCCAAAAGATCGGAAAAAAATGCCAAAAGATCGGAAAAAAATGACAAAAGATCGGAAAAAAATGACAAAAGGTCGGAAAAAAATGCCAAAAGGTCGGTTGTCATTTTTTTTCCGACCTTTTGTCACTTTTTTCCGATTTTTTTTTTCCAAATTCTTCTAACTGGACTGATAAATTTTCTAGTTAGACTGGCGAAGCTAATTAGATTGCAGAAACACTGATATTAGATTCAAAACGTATCTAATTAGATTAAAATTTCGGGCAAACCTAGCTAGATTGTTTAGATTGCAAAATCAGCTAGCTAGATTTAGAAATCTGTAGCAATCTAACTAGGTCCGGTTAGAAATGAGAATTAGCTAGTTCGATTACAAACGATTTGCCTGAGAGCAAGCTTCAAAAACGATCTTACTTCAGAAAACGACTCCAAACAGTTCTATTGTGTCGCGGTTCTATTCTGCGCAGTTCTATTATGTTGTACCGCCACTTGAGTTATTCACTGAATTACACGAGCTCTGGCAAATCGTTTCTAATCTAGCTAGCTAATTTGCGTTTCTAACCGGACCTATTATAGGGGCACCGCACAGAAATGGCGCTCTGTTGAGAAACTCTTTTTGCAGTGCAAATTGAGCGACCTCGGGGCCGAGTTTGAAAAGTTAGGCCTTATTTTCAGTGGAAAATTACTTCGCGGCCTAGAAATTCGGGCAGATTGCGAATAGCGCCCTTTCTGTCCTGTGCCTCTATAATAGTTAGATTGCTAATTTACTGCGATTATATTGCAAATTCTTACAACTAGACTGATAAATTTTCTAATTAGATTGGCAAAGCAAAATTTTTCTAATTAGATTGGCAAAGCAAAATTTTTCTAATTAGATTGCAAAAACACTGATATTAGATTCAAAATTCATCTAATTAGATTAACCTTTCGGTCAAATCTAGCTAGATTTAGTTTAGATTCCATTTTCATCTAGCTAGATTAGAAACTCGATTTAGATTACGAAATCTCCTAGTTAGATCACAAACGATTTGCTTGAGAGGTTTTCCGTTTGAAAAACAGACTTGAACAGGCTTGCCGAAAAAAAATTTCCAAAAAAAAATGTTTCGCCAGGTCTCACTGATTCGGGGTATTAGAATCAACTCACTAACCTGCATTCTCGAAAAACTCGCTGTCATCTTTCAGGAATCCTCTGAATTTGCCATGCATATCTGTAAACAATAATAAGTTATACTTGCGAGGCGCAAGTTGCGACAGAAAATATCTCAAGTTCTGAATCTAATCAGATGACTTTGCAATCTAAACAGAATCTATCTAGGCGTTTATCTGGTGCTAACCCGTTTGGAAAATTGTTTCTAAAAATTTCGAGTACTGAAACATTTTTTGTAAGCTGAGTGGTTACCGTGTCGTTCGTTTTTAGCAGGAGGATTATTCCTGTGCACTGCAAAAGTCTTCTCTGGTCGTTCCGCTGAAGAATCAGAAACACTTTGAGGATATTCCACTTGATCATTGAAGTTATCGAAACTATTATTGAATGCCTGAAATACACTTTCATTATTTCGATTATTAAATATTTACAAGGCTGTCGAAAACAGGACCGCGACCTTCTGCACAGGTAGGCTACCGTGGCAAATTCAGGGCAGTCTTCGGAAATCGACTACATAACTGTTTTATTTTCTTGCTCACTTGAAAATGCCTTAAGAGAATTTGGGCGAATTAGGGTTGCAGAACAGGCGCCTGAAATCGCCAATTCTGCAACCGTAGGCCGAGCTAGGGTGTATATTATGAGACATTGAATTTCGGCTAATGGGTAAAACCCTCAAACTTTCTCAACAGCTGACCGAAAATTGGCCAACGTTTTGCCGCCAAATTTTGTTCCTCAAACCCGGCGTCTCTCCCCGTTACCCGTATCAGATACGGCGTATCTTCTTATTAAAACCTCCCTAGGCCTACCCCATGACTCTTTCTTGCATACCCTTCTTGCCCTATGGAACCGAGTGGCCAAATTGTTTCCCGAAAGACTGTCTCCTGAGGCTTTTGCGACGCGCATAGAAAAGATCCCCCCTCCCCCTAGTATATTGTATTCTACTTGACCTATGGCTATTGCCGGTCAATGGTCATTTTAGTCATTATTCCCTCATCCATATACTATCTCTCCTCTCTTTTCCTGTAAATTTTTTCCTAGGTGGTCGAAGCGAATAAATGAGTTATTATTATTATTATAAATTTTTGTTAATTGAATTCTCAACACAATTGTGTGGGTATAATACCAAACCATCATTCTCATTAACACAAGTCTTACGGGGTTTGTCCCTTTGTTTATTTCTTTATTTATTTACAAGACATCAACGTGGGTCCGCTGAGCGGGCGCTCGGAAGCGGCTTCGCGGCTAGTTATTTTTCTTCAACTAGCTCGAAAGTTCACGCGTGATCACGTGTTAATTTCTTGATTTCTACATAACAACTTTTCCCGTTTTAGAAATGAAAAAAAAAAATCATTCTTATTAATTTAACTCTTCACGGGTTTGGCCCTCTGTTTGTTTGTTTGTTTGTTTATCTCTCCGTTTGCCCGTCCCCGCGTTAATTTGTAAAACGAAAATAGTTGTGACGGAGAAATTGAGAAATGAACACATGAACTTCCAAACGGTTATAAGAAAGAAACAAGGGGCGTAGCCGCTTTCGAGCATTAGCTCGCCCCGCGCAACGAGCCTCGGTTTCAAAAGTCTTGTAAAATTAATATAACTCTTCACGGGTTTGTCTCTTTGTCTGTTCGTTCATTTCACTGTGTGTTCGTCCTCATGTTCATTTGTAAAACGGAAATAGTTTTGACCAGGGCTGGGCAATTGGCCGGCACAGGCTTTGCCGACCCTTGACCTAGACTTTTGAACCACTTGCAATATTCCGATCGGACCCAAACTTTGCAGGATTGTTGGACTTGGATTGAGGGCCATTGGGTCCAAGTTTCAGCCTGATAAGATCGTCGGGTCCCGAGATATGTGGATCATTGGCCGATTTTTTCCAAAAAGCCAGGGCTTCCGGCCAATTTCGGTCAATGATCCACATATCTCGGGCCCAGATGATCTGATCGGGCTGAAACTTGGTCCCAATATGCTCCAACCCATGTCCATGAAGCCTGCAAAGTTTGGCTACGATCAGAATATTGCAAGTGGTTCAAACGTCCAGGTCAAGGGCCGGCCAATTGCCCAGCCCTGGTTGCGACGGAGAAATTAAGAAATGAACACGTGAACTTTCAAACTACTCTGAGGATCAAACAAGCGGCTAAGCCGCTTTCGAGCGTCAGCTCGGACCGCGCAGCGGGCCCAGGTTAAAAAAAATCATTCTTATTAATATAACTCTTCACGGGTATGTCCGTCTGTTTTTTTGTTTATTTCCCGTTTGTCCGTCCCCACTTTTTTCATTTCTAACAAAATGTTTGTGACGGAGAAATTGAGGAATGAACAAGTGACCTTTCGAACGGTTTTGCGAAGCAAAAAAGCGGTGAAGCCTCTTCCGAGCGTCAGCTCGGACCGCGCAGCGGGCACACGTTCAGAGTCTTGTTTATGATAATAAAAGCAGTCACTTTGATATTTTCCTAGTAGACAAAAAGAGGGTCCTAGTAGTCAAAAAACAGCAGGCACCGACACCCGAGCGGTATGTTATCAGGACAAAGCACTGATTGGCCAAATTAATTTTACCTCTCCGGCAACAACGCCAACCTGCTTGTTATTATCTACATCCGGATGTAAATCAATCGACCTAACGTCGTTCGGAGAATTTACCGTACTTAATTCATCCGACACGAATCCTGCAAAAATTGAGTTTTTAAGAAACAACAAAAACGTTACCTTTATCAAAGACGTTTTTCATAGGAACCGCTTCCAGGTCATTTTTTGATACGAAGCTGTTGATGCGCGTATTCTAAAATTAGATTGGGTGATTATTAAGGGTTACGAAACTGTTTTGAATCATAACCAGTTGAACCCTTGCAAGGGGGTTCAACAAGGCCTTGATCGCTATGACTGAAAATTCGACCTTTTGTGATTCTCAATAAGCCGATAATTGTTTGTTATAAAGAAAAAAATTATATTGGGAGTGGATTTGAGAGAGATCAGTCTTGACTACTCACTCTGTGTCCCGTCCTAATTTGTGAATCGCACCCAGTCAAGCAAAACTTCTCTTTTGAACTCAGATCTTCAAGAGATTCACAACATGTGAGCACAGGTGTCTGAAAAATAAATGATTTTTGAAAGTTCTGTAATAGTTACCATAAAATTCAAATCTGGTTCGACAAAAGAATAACCACCGAACAAAACTGTTTGTCTGGCAGGAATTATATAGAATTTTTCCTCCGATACCATCTGCAAAAACAAAAAAATATTTAATACAAGAATATTGGAACCCAAGAGAACAATTGAAAAAGGAAAAAACAACGGCAGTCCGAAATTGTGCTGACTCTAGTGACTAGAGTCTAGTCCATTGGAAAATTTGTTCACGTTTTGACTTTCGAAAAAATTAATTTCTGATATTTGCCTCTCGAAGGACACACAACACGTGGAGTTTTCTAGTCCTCGGCCACCAGATTTTAAAAATTAAATTCTGTTTAAGAAATTGTATGTACCTATTCAGTGGGGAAAAAAATAGTATTTTTACCGGAAAAAAAACCCGGGTACCCGGTTTAAACCTTATTGCGGAAAAAAATCTAGAAAAAACTTCAGAAAATCTATTTTTTCTGCTGTTCGTTGTGAGACCCGGCGCTTTTAAGACATGCGCCTTTGAATAATTTAAATGGCATTTAATTCGGAGGGTACAAAAATTAGGGGGTACAACAGGGTACAAATGGTTTTGGGGTACAACTTTCATGGTTTTGGGGTACAAAAAGTCGAGGGTACAAAATTTTCGATTCTGGGGTACAAAAATTTACCGATTCAGTAGGCATTGATTAAGGGGTACAACTTTTATGATTTAAGGGTACAAATTTCACGATTTTGGGGTACAAAAGTTGCACGAAGCACATTTTCGAAGTTTTCATTCCAGATTTGAATTTTTGAGAGCTCACGAGACACAGTCGTGTGTAGCCATGCTTTGTTTTATGCAGTATTTTGTGTCATTTCGAGAAAAAAACTTTACTTGGGTAAATTTCACACACAACATCAGATGCTGAAATTCTGCTGTGAAATTGCAGAATTTAAAGCGGCCAAAACAGCAAAACAACTTGTAAGTAATATTATAGGGGCACCGAATAGAAAGGACGCTCTGTTCGCAATCTGGCCGAATTTCTAGGCCGCGAAGTAATTTCCCACTGAAAATGTGGCCTAATTTTTCAAACTCGGCCCCGAGGTCGCTCAATTTGCACTGCAAAAAGAGTTTCTCAACAGAGCGCCATTTCTGTTCGGTGCCCCTATAATAATCAATGCCTACTGAATCGGTAAATTTTTGTACTCTAGAATCGAAAATTTTGTACCCTCGACTTTTTGTACCCCAAAACAATTAGTACCCTGTTGTACCCCTAATTTTTGTACCCCCCGAATTAAATGCCAAAAAATCTTTCTCAAAATCATTTTTAGCTGTTTTTCGAAGATTAGTATTCATTTCAATACACGGGCCGGCAATTCATACATTGGCCGAGAAAATTTTGCGCCTTGCGAAACTTCGGCCACGTGTGTTTTTTCAACACACGAACTGTATTATCTGCTATAAGAGATTCTCTGACAGTTTTAAGTGATTCATTCGTGTTTTGTCATTGAAGTTAATACATTTCTTTACTTTGACTTCCGTTTTTATTAATTTTCACAGGTTTTCCATCGAAGTTTTTGTAACATTCGCTAAACATTGAGATTTCCGCTCCGTGACGTTTTCAGAAACCTTACATCGATCGGAGTCCTGGCTTAAATCATCAAATATAAGAGTGAGAAACTTTTAACAAAAAATCAGAGCCCTCTGTGATCAAAATCTCAACTATTTTTTCGGTTTTTCATAAATTTCCCGAGATATAAGGGTGTGAGGCCGAAAAGGGCGCAATGTTCGCAAAAATTCGGCTTTTCCAGCCTCTAAACTTGGATCAAAGATGTTTCAAGCCAAGTCCAAGAAGCCTGCAAGGTATGGACCCGACCCGGTAATTGCGTGGAGTCAACACTCATCAACAAGTCAGAACGCTGATTATCGTCAATTCAGAAAGCTGGCATGTGAATGCTCTACATCGAAAGGATATGCGCCGGAAACTCTCCCCTCATATATAATAAAAATTGGAAGACACAATTCTCCACAAATTAATAAATTTAGGGCTACTGTTGAAAAAAAAAGTTTCGACATTGGAATCGAAGCTGGCAGCGTGCCAAGGCCCGGCCTCCCAAACGCATATGCTGCGCGCCATTGTTGCAACATTGCCGCACGCTTTATTGTTCTTCGTTTTTGTCTTTATTTTTCGGCTAAAAATCAGCAGAAATTTGGTTTTTTCCCATTTTTTACCCCTATTTATTCATTTCAATCGGCTTTTGCTATAAAAAATCAACTTTGAAAACAGATTTATCGATTTTTAGCTTGAATTTTCGAACATTTCTTGATTTTGTGTTTTTCTCCTTTCGATTTCGGAAAGTTGAAGAAGCATCTCCCGTTGGATGATTGGCACTAATAACAATTATTTTAGATGTATTTATAACGTTCTCCAATAAATTAAATGACATGACAAGTTTAAGAATGTTATTATCAATGATATTCAATTTTCTTCTCCTTTTTTCCGGATTGAAGCGTCCACGGACTTTGGAAAAACGGTCGGAGAGAAAATATCTTCGTTCCTCTTCAAACTAATACGACAAGTTTTTGTATTCCGTTGTGTGCTGACGGCGGAGTGGAGAAGACGGCGGAGGAGTGAAGTCTGTAAACGTTGATCGGAGAGAAAATTATTGTTACGTCAAAAACTAACACGAAAAGAAGAAATTCATGCCCTTTTGTTGCTTGTTCGACTTTTCCGTAGGTGGAAATCCTGAAAATTCTCAAATTCACCGAAATCGAAAGGAGAAAAACACAAAATCAAGAAATAATAAAGACAAAAACGAAGAACAATAAAGCGTGCGGCAATGTTGCAACAATGGCGCGCAGCATATGCGTTTGGGAGGCCGGGCCTTGGCACGCTGCCAGCTTCGATTCCAATGTCGAATATTTTTTTTCAACAGTAGAAATCCGATTCATGAATCAGAAGAGTGTTTCAGTGAGTTAACAGAGAATTTTATAACTCGTAGATGAGAATTTCAGATTTTGAAGATGGTGTCTCCTACATCGCCTGCATTTTCACTTATAACAACGTGTCTTTTTTCAGTTATGAAAGTGAAAACTAAAAATCACTTCGCCGAAAAAACGCGGCCACATCTAAGTGAATAAATGAGTTATTATTATTATTTAAAAAATTTCAAACTTTTCCAAGCGCCACTTATGGGGTTATTCAGGCTGTGAAAAAAAATGATTTTTTTTCCGTTTTTTTCGTTTTTTTACGTCAAAAAAACCAATTAAGCGGTGTAAAAAAGAAAAAACGGAAAACAGACATACGCTGAATAGCCCCATTAAGACTTTTTAAAACTTTCTGAAGTAAAAAATTTTTCCAAAATTTTTTCAAACTTTCTGAAGTAAAAAAGCATTTCCAAGACTTATTAAACTTTCTCAAACATTTTCAGGAATTTCTTAAGTGGCGCCTGGAAAAGTTTGAAATTAAGAAAGGCTTAGAAAAGTTTTAGTGCTTCAGAAAGTTTGAAAAGGTCTTGGAAAAGTTTTTTGTCTTGAGAAAGTTTGAGAATGTCTTCAGAAGAGCCAAGAAAAGTTTGAAATTTTACCTGAGGAGGCTCTCAGATTTTCAATCTTAAAATGAATAAAACTCCCTCGAGTCTGCACAAAAACTGATCGTCCGGTGCTGAAAAGATTCAATTTATCACTGATAAAAAAACAAAAAACTCGATTTAACACCTTTTTTCGAGAAATCCTTCAAAATCCACGTAAAAAAATAAAAATTATAAACTGCAGTGGCCAGCTCATCGACACAAGCTTAAAGGACTCATCCGTAACAACTTTTAAATATTGCAACGATTAAAAAAAGCATTTATTATAAATATTAGTAATGATGGAGTAATAAAATACCAAATAAGAAAGTGAGTAAGTTATCTTCTATTTTTTTTTTTAAATAAACTTGAAGAAGGTTATGATAGACCGGAGGAGGCAGAGAAGCTATTTCTCTCTCTCACCATCTTTTCTCTCAGACTCATGAATGAAAGAAAGAAAACAGCGAGAAGAACTCTTAGTGTCCAGAGAAGTGCGACGGCAGAGACACAGGCGCGATGCAAAATCGATGGTGATATACTGTGAAGCGATGGGGAGCCTACATCGCAGACGGTCGGAAATAGTGTGTGGAGATAGGAGACGTGGGGACACGCCCTCGGCGCAAACAGACGCTAGCGGAAAGAGAATCGAGGCCACGATGCGAATAGAAGAGTAGGCAGCATAAGCTACGAGGAGAGTCATTTCTCTGGGTGGACAACACTCGTCTTGTTGCTGTGCCTATTTCGTCAGTCTTCGCCTTTCTCAACCCTCCATCGCAAGAGATCGCGAGTATTCTCTGCTTCATTCTACCGTAACCCGAGAGACAGCGCCGAGCAAAGGACTACACTATCACATCGTAAATTCGGGAATTAATTCATTGAGAAAAAATAAAAAAGAAACAATACCAGCTCATGGGAAACAATCTGTCGTAGAAAGGATATTATCAGAAATGAGGAGTGCTTAAAGGACCAGGGAACTCTCCGAGTTTATGTGTCTGTCTAAATTGGTTCTTATTGCCACATCCACTTTCCCATTTCCAAGTCTCAGAAAGGCCTATAAGCGGAACAACGCGCATTTAAAATTGCCGTGGCCTAGTAAAATCCGCGGCCAGGCAATCCTTTCCGTATTTTTTTGCGTTCGGCACAGTCCTTACTATTAGACGTTGCCAAACATTCACACAAATCAACAGCCCGTCAGGGTGCATGGTCGTCATATTGCCAGCAGGGAAGTTTTCACACTTTAATTTTCTAGACCACGACCACAACTTTGACTTCGCGGTCTCAGGTAAATCGTTTGTAATCTAGCTAGCTATTATAGGGGCACCGAACAGAAAGGGCGCTCTATTGATAAACTTTTTTGCAGTGCAAATTGAGTGAGCTCGGGGCCGAGTTTGAAAAGTTAGGCCACGTTTTCAGTGGAAAATTACTCGCGGACTAGAAATTCGGCCAGATTGCGAACAGAGCGTCCTTTCTATTCGGTGCCCCTATAATAATTCGCGTTTCTAACCGGATCTAATTAGATTGCTAATTTACTGCGATTAGATTGCAAATTCTTCTAACTGGACTGATAAATTTTCTAATTAGACTGGCGAAGCTAATTAGATTGCAAAAACACTGATATTAGATTCAAAATTTATCTAATTAGATTAAAATTTCGGGCAAGCCTAGCTAGATTATGCTTAGATTGCAAAATCAGCTAGCTAGATTCAGAAATCTGTAGCAATCTAACTAGGTCCGGTTAGAAATGAGAATTAGCTAGTTCGATTACAAACGATTTGCCTGAGTAGTTCAGAAAAGAAAACTTCAGAAATGAAAACGTGTGCAGACATACCAAGAAAAAAAAAAGCATTCTTATTAATATAAATCTTCACGGGTTTGCAGTCGTAGCCGGTTTCGAGCGTTAGCTCGGCCCACGCAACGGGCCTCGGTTTCAAAGGTCTTGTAAATAGATAAACAAAGGGGCAGACCCCGTAAGACTTTTATTAAAAAGATGATTAGAATGATGATGATGAGGAAATGATGAAGTTCTGTTAAAACGTTAATGGGGTTCCCATGAGTTGTACTCCCATGTGCAGAATTTCATGTCGTGAAGAATATTAGCAAGTATATTAGCAATTAGGAAAGGGTAGTAAACAGTTGGAAAAGTGAATAGTCTAGTACTCAGTAGTCAACAGGTATTTGCCAAAAATTCTGGCTTTTTGACACTGAGCGGCGGTTTCTACGCTAAAAAAAATTCTATACAGAATTTTGCGTGAAATTTAATCATAACAAGCCTGACCCCAGTTTCAAGAAGCAAAAAAGCGGCGAAGTCGCTTCCGCGGACCTCGTTTCTAAAGTCCTGTTTTTGGATTAATCAGAGCTTCCTTTGGAGAAGTTACTTGAAACATTGAATCTTTTCCTATCGCGTTGTCGGTTAATTTTCGCTCGTTTGGAAGTTTTCCGCTGATATACTTGTTGTTTGTTTCTCTACGTATCAAATGTCGAGTCGATCGTCACACTCTCCGGCACTCTCCACAATCTATGCGATCTCGTCTCCCCCTCGCTCTCCATTGTCTCTGCGGACAGCACGCTGTCTTCCGAGCGTCTCTCCATTTGCCCACTATATCGTTCATTATTGTCTCTCTCCACCCAGTGTTGTCTTTTACGTCGCAACGCGACTACGCGTCGCGGTCGACCCTCCTCTTCGCATTCGTCTTCTTCGTCGCACGACACTTCTCTCCTCTAATATGCAACCATTTCGTTACTGCTGCTGCGCATCGCAGCGTTGTGTTTCGTCTTGCCGTGTCGTTTCTCTTCTTTTGTGTTTCTCCGATCTCTCTTCCTGTCTCTCTTTCTCTTCTTCACTTAAAAATTTCTCTGTGAACTTCTCAGCACGTCTTGCTTTGTAGTCATTTTCAAAAACGGGATAAAGAACAAACGAGAAACGAACAACATCGAACAAATCAGAGCACATTCAATAAGGTCATACAAGTTTCTACTAAACTGTAAAAGCAAGAATATAATATTCTTTGGAAATTGAAATATTTTTTGTTTGAAAACTTTTGAAATTTCGTTTAACTAAAAACAAGTTCAAGTATAAAGACGAAAATTGCGAACAAAAGTTAGTATATTATTAAATCTTCAGTGAAGAAGATTCTTCCCAAATACGTGTGGCATGTTTTTTTTTTGACATTGAGTAGTTGCTTTTCAAAAAAAATCGTAAAAATAAGGCTCAATGTTTTCTCGCAAATTCTTCTCGGTGTCCACAACTATTCGGCCATAACGTCAAGAAATTATTTTTTTAAGTCCAAAAGCTGCAAAATGCTTTCTCAATGAACATTTTTAAATACAGATAAAAGATATTGCAATCTAAACCAAGATGTGAATCTAGCTAGATGATTTACATCTTCTGCTGAGAAAATCTAGTCCATGGGAGGTTTTTTGAGAATCACTCGAAAGCACAGGTCTAAAGTGTTTTAAACACGTCTTTTTCCGGACTGGATGAGCCTAGGAGAGAAGTTTAAGTTTTCCCTTTTTGAATATCAGTTTGGTTACCGTACCCTGACGATTAAAGGCACAGTACACAATTATTCATTTTTCACACAAAAAAGAAACGAGCTTATAGTATTTAGTTTTTACTCGTTTCAAACATGAAATTATTTTATTCATTTCTGAATCGATTAATTTGTTACTATCTGTATTAATTACAAGGTTTTGAAAAAAGGGCCCGCTGCGCGGTCCGAGCAAACGCTCGGAAGCGGCCTCTCCGCTTGTTTCTTTCTCAGAACCGTTTGAAAGTTCACGTGTTTCTTTTTTAGAAATGAAATCATTTTACAATTAGAAATGAACGTGGGGACGGGCAAACGGAGAAATAAACAAACAGGCAAAGAAACAAACCCGGTAATTACTTAAGACTTATATTAATGAGAAGGATATGTTATATAAATGCCGTTAATTTCTTGCTTTCGAATTCGCGTATTAAACAATGAAATATGTTATTTTACAGGATTGCGTTTGAGGATGAATCAGAATCTACAATACACTTATAATTCGGATCCCCGATCGTCCGGGAATCAAAATCAGCAAATCCAAGGAATATCCTTTCATCAGAATTCGTATCAACCAACAACCTATACAAATTCGACTACTGGAACGTTTCATTCATCTTCTTCAGCTGCATTCATTCCAAACACTGTCACAGTGCGCTCTTTCCAATTGAAAATAAATTTTAACAAATTTTTCAGCCAACCCCACAGCGCCGGATGGGAGAAGAGAAGAATCTTGTTAACATGCTAGATGCTTATTTCATTGACAGTACAACTCCTTCGACATCTTCTTCGTGGAATAACCAAGCTCCTGTTCAGGTAACTTCGTGCTATGAGCTGTTTAGTATAGTGTTGTGAATTTATTGTCATTTGTGTATTGTGATCGTGTTTTTGCGCAGATGCCTTCAATTCAACAGACAGTCAGCACGTACAACCAGCAAATACCGCAAATTAAGGTAATTGATGTTGTTCAATCTGTTGTATACTAATATTTATGCCGTGTCTAAAGTCACAATAATCTATGAAATCTGTAGTGTTTTCGCTGTCCAAAGTCGGCAGAGATTTGCTTGAAAAACGGGGTGCGCACAGCTGAACGAATGTCACCGTATACCATAAAACTACGGTATTTTTTGAAAATTTACCCAAGAAATTTAAATATTTTTAAGTATTCACACTAAATTTAAACTTTTCCAAAAAATACCGTAGTTTTATGGTATACGGTGACCTTCGTTTCAGCTGTTCGCACCCCTTTTTTCTGTAGAATTGCCACGAGTGTTGGACTGCAAAAACACTACAGATTTCACAGATTTGTTTGACTTTGGACACGACATTATAAAAACAATGATTTGGAAAAAATTATAATGTAAGTTGTGGAATACTCATTACAGGAAATGCAAGTGGATTCTATGAGTGTTAAGCTCTCTTCCTCGCCAGATAAATCGGAGAAGGAAAGAGCTAAAAAAGCTCGTCAAGCAGAAGCTGCAAGAATGAGATATCATCGACTTTCCAATGAAGAAAAACGTGAGCTAAATCTGAAACGCACGCTAGCTCAGAAACGGAAACGACAACGCGAAAAAGAAATGGAAGAACTAGAATCAATTTTACGCGAAACTAACGACATACAAGAAGATCCTGATATTACGGAGCAGCTGCGTGAAAAACGAATGCGTGCCAAATGGGCAGAAGCTGCACGGACTCGCTACGCTCGTATGACTCCTGAAGAACGACGAGCACACAATACGAGAAGACGTATGCGACAGATGCAAAACGCAATGTCAGCGATTAAGGTACGACACAACGGGCACAGGTTGAGAGCGGGCTGCTTCCAAATTGCACAACCATTACAGAATTCGGAGTTTCAGGCGGCTGGAATGGCAACTGGTGATCCTGTGAAAGACGATGAGGCTGTGCGCCAACACATAAAAACTCAAAATGCCAAAAAGGCAGAAGCTGCACGCCAAAGGTGAGCATTCCACCAGACAATTGCTTACAAGCATTTCACGTTTCAGATATCACCGCATGAATGACGACGAGAAACGTGTTTACAATCAGAGGCGCACTGAAGCATTCCGTCGAAGGCGCATGGAAGAAGAGATGCTTTTGGCCATGCCCATAGGACGTATTAATGGAGAAGCTTTGGACAGGGCTCAGCAAATTGTCGTTAGAAACGCAAAGAGAGCTGAAGCGGCACGTCTGCGTTATCAAAGGATGACTCCAGATCAGAGAAAGGTAAGAGAAACGACATGAGATTTTCAATTATTTGAAAAATTGCTTCAATACACTAAATGTATCCCTCTTATCCTTTGGTGCTTTCAAAGCTCTGTTGCAAAATCATTTTCAATAGCTATCTCAGGCCTGGGCGAGCGATCTGCTTCCCGCTGCCTGAGAAATTGCTTAGCGAAAAAACGGGGAGGGGGAAGAAATACCACTTGCGCGGAAGAAGAGAGAAGCGCAGACGGTAGATAGGTAAAATCATATCATCAAATTTATTTCAATACGCTTCTAACCTTTCGTCTGCGCCTCTCTCTTCTACCACGCAGATAGTATTTCCCTGGCCCCCAGATTTTTTTGCGTTGGCCAGATTTTTCTCTGCTTCAAGCACTAATCCGCCCAGGCCTGCCCGGAGATAGCAGCTATATCCGGGGCCAAGTTTTTGCTACGCGAAATACTTTTCAGTTGTTTCTCTGGGAACTCGATCGCAATCTAATTAGAAAACTTCGCAATCTAATACGAACTCGTTTGAAATAGAATTTGCTTCAATTAGATTGCAAAATCTTCTAATTAGATTGCAATCACTGAAATTTTTCTAATTAGATTGCAATGTTTTCTAATTAGATTGCAATTTTTTCTTATTAGATTGCAATTCAGGAAAAATATATTGCAATCTAATAAGATTTCACTGAAACTTCAATCAAATCTTATTAGATTGCGAAATAGAGCTTTTTCTTATTAGATTGCAAACTTTTCTAATTAGATTGCAATCGAGTTTCCAGAGTTTTCACCGGAAAGATAATCTAATTTTCTTATTGTTCTTTTCGCGACAAAAAAACGGGGCTCTTGCACTGGAACACGGATATTTTCTCGGCCACATGGCCCACATGCAAGGAAATACAACGTAGAAGTGCCACTTACCGAATTTTTAACTCTTTTTCAAAGCTTATCGCATTTCAGTCTTATGAGAGCCGGATTTTTGATTTCACGCAAAAAATCGCCTGGGACTGGAAAAAGACGAGGCTACGTCGAACCAGAACTGTCCCGAATCAGAACTGTGCCCCGGATCACAACTGTCCCGTATCAGAACTTTCTAGTCCCGTAGTAAAAACAAAGTTTTTCAACAGAGCGTAGTGAAATGCTATCATAATAGTTGTAACTGTAAATAAATAATTAGTGTATATCAAATTTAGTGTGGTGACCGATAATATCTAGCTAAATTTAAAAAATTTATTTAGGCTCTACAAAATGAACATATTGTTTAAGTGAAATTCAATAGAACATTCCGTTAAATTCAGGGCTGGGCAGCCAATTGCCCAGCCCTGGTTAAATTTGTTCACAACTAGGGCATTGGGAACATGAACCCCCGCTTTAAACATCAGTTAAAAAATATATTCATTTTTACTACACGACACCAGAGTTGAGCGGAATTCCGTTTGCCGTCTTCCGTCTTCCGTCTTCCGTGGATTTTTTTGTTCCGTCTTCCGTGGATTTTTTTTGTTCCGTCTTCCGTCTGCCGTCTTCCGTGAGAAAAATTTTCTTCCGTATTCCGTTTTTCGTGTTCCGTTAAAAAAAATATTCCTCCGTCTGCCGTCTGCCGTCTTCCGGATTTCAAAATTCCATTTCCGCTCAACTCTGCACGACACCTTTAAAACAACTCACGGCACCCTATTATCGCGGTATTCCTCTGCAGTCGCGCTCTGTTCGCAATCTGGCCGAATTTCTTGGCCGCGAAGTAATTTTCGACTGAAGATGTCCTAACTTTTCAAACTCGGCCCCGAGGTCACTCAATTTGCACTTCAAACAGTGTTTCTCAACAGAGAGCGATTGCAGTGAAAGACCGCCATAATACCATAGAAGTAGGAATTATCTTGTGGAACCATACCGTATTTCCGCCCTGATTACTTTTAAATCAACTGAAAAAGAAGTTTTCAGTCGTGTTCGGTCAGACGTTTTTCTAAGGAACCTGTTCTCTAGATGACGCTCTATCGAATAATCACAAGCTGCACCCACAAAACCTAATCTTCGAGGAGGAGATCGTCTCGAAAGTTATAACTGAGAAAATTAACTGAGTTTCAGATATTTTGATTTTACAAGAGAACTATATAAGTAGTTTAGCTATAGATACATAATTTTTTCTCAAGAGCTAAAAGCGCAGTGTGTTAGGATTATTTCAAGAGCTCGAGTGCCATTTTCAGTTAACTGTATGAGGAGACCTCGTTTGAAGTCTACTGACCTAATTTTTTCCATCTAAAAACTTTTTTTTTGTCACCTTGTTATATTCATTCGATATAGTTCCATCTGGAGAACAGGTTTTTGAGCATCAATGCTCAGAAATGTTCGAGTTCTGACCGAGTACGGCTGAAAAAATAGGCTCTCAGTCGATTTTGAAAGGTAACTAGAGGGCAATAGTTGCGAATAAAATGGCATTTCACTGCAATCGCGCTCTGTTGATAAACTCTTTTGCAGTGCAAACTACAGTGAGGGGGCCGAGTTTGAAGAAAAATGAAACATTTGGGCGACATTGAAAAACATCCATTAAAAAACAATGAAAAACAATTAATTCGATGCAGAAAAACTCGGCCACCGATTTAGAGCGCGATTGCAGAGATAAGCTCCTTCTATATTATACTCTGGCAATTCGATATTAATCTAATTAGAAAGTTACTGATCTAAACGCGACCTAATTAGATTCGACTGTTTTTTCTTGGCGCAATCAAGATTTGAGCCAGCAGACGGTTGGCGTGAAACTTGATTTGAGCACTTATTAATCTAATTAGAAGATTTATTAATCTAGCTAGACAATTTATTAATCTAATTAGGTGTCATATCAATCTTATTAGGCCGCCGTTAGATTAATAACGAAATGCCAGAGTAGGGCCACCGCACAGAAATGGCGCTCTGTTGAGAAGCTCTTTTTGCAGTGCAAATTGAGCGACCTCGGGGTCGAGTTTGAAAAGTTAGGCCACATTTTCAGTGGAAAATTACTTCGCGGCCTAGAAATTCGGCCAGATTGCGAACAGCGCGCCCTTTCTGTCCGGTGCCCCTATAATAATAGAGAATATTTTATTATATTTTGTTATAAAGGCTTTTCACTGTCCTCTCAGTTGAAAAACTAGTTCTGCAGAGTAAATTGTAACTATCTCGGGGCTGATTTTTTTTTCGCGAAAAAAAAGCTAAAATGTTACTGAGCAGACTTGTGTAACGTCTGCGCCAATCTTACGCAACTTTAGCTGGCAAGTTGCACTGAAGCTCCGTAAAGTCTGCGCAAAAGTTGCATAAAATTTGTTTCCCGAAATAGCAACTTCTGCGCAGACTTTATAATAGGGCCACCGCACAGAAATGGCGCTCTGTTGAGAAGCTCTTTTTGCAGTGCAAATTGAGCGACCTCGGGGCCGAGTTTGAAAAGTTAGGCCACGTTTTCAGTGGAAAATTACTTCGCGGCCTAGAAATTCGGTCAAATTGCGGACAGAGCGCCATTTCTGTGAGATAACCCTATAATAAGCAACTTTTGCGCAAACTCTACGCAGCCAACTCGCCAGCTAAAGCTGCGTAATCTTTCCGCAAAAGTTACAGAGGCTTGACGAGTAGGTCATTTTTCCAGTAAAAAACAAGTAATATATTATTTCGCAGCGAAAAAACTCGGTCCTGAGAACACTACCCTAAATGGTTTCGCAACAGAGTAAACTAAATTCGTCGCTATTGCCTTTCGGTGTTTTCAGACTCAAGCCAAGCCAAAATTTCAAAAATTAAACATTAGTCTGAAAAAAATCACATTTTTTTGATAATACCATCCTTGTCGTTCATGTGCTTGTAAAATTATTCTCGGGTTTGCTTGTTTTGTCCGTCGCCCGTTTTTGGGGTTTTCAGTAAATTTAATATGACGGAGAAATTCAGAAATTATTACTTGCACTTTCAAACAAGCGGCAAAACCACACCCGAACTTGCGCTCGACCAGAGCAACTAGTTCAGGTTCCGAAAGTCTGTGTGAATATAAAATAAATCTTTTGAAAAGTTCGTGTAGGCAATTCTTGTGAGGCGTAAAATAAAAAGTTTCATTAATGTCATCCAAGATCTTTAGTAAAGAAATTTAGATCGCGAAACAAGAACCCAAAGATGATTCTTGGCTGGATAGCCCAACTCAACTCGAAGATCTGGGAGACGTTAGTGAAACTTTTTTTTATAACATTTTTCTTGTCTTGTGTGAATGTGTGAACATGAAAATAAGTTTAAGAACGTGTCCACTCGCTCGCTAGCTATAGTTTTGCTTGCTTTATCTCAAATTGCTCATTACAGTCGTACAATCAAAAACGTTACACCCCCAAACGAAGGAGGAACGATCTTGAAGACATGATGGCTGCAGGGCAAATGGCTGTCGGATCGTCAGGAACTATTGCAATGGGAAGCGGAACGCCGGCTAAAAAAGACGATATGGATGCTTTATCAACATTGGAGCGGGATGTTGTGAAACGAACTCAGCATGCACAGCAAATTTTGCTAAGACAACGTGCGAACCAGGCATCGACGCCTAGATCTGTGACTCCTCCACAGCAAGCATATATCATTCAACAATCAAACAGTCAACAGTCGCAGTCACATTTGAACAATCAACAACTGAATCTGGCTGGTAATTCTGGAAACAGTGGAATAAATCACCAAGTGCTGCACGGTGTGCAACACATGTCACAGCCGCAGATTCAGGTGTCTCACCAGGTAACAGTTATCTTTAATGATAATTAACTCGAGCACTCGAGTAATTTTACTTTTTCAGGCATCTTCCAATACCATTCCACAGAATATTTATACTAGTGGGATGCTGATACAGAATCAACAATCTCAACAGTCTCAATCGCAACAGCCACAGCAGCAGCAACAACAACAACAACAGCAAATATTGAACCCCTACAGAACATGATTGACACCTAAATGCTAGTTTGCGTGATTAACTGCGCTTGGCGAAGCCCATCCTGTTACTGAGATTCTCATCAATCATTTGAAGCTCTTCTCATCGAATCGTATCAGTCTATCAACATTGTACCTCATCACTTGTTTGTCGTTTCCATAATGAGAATAAGCAGTTATTAGCCCCACATAATAATCGCGATCCCGCTTCGCTTAACTCGGTCAACGGTCGAGGTTTCACACTTCGGTCAACAGGCAAAAATGCTGAGAAGGACGAATTTTTTTATTATAAGGGCTTTAAAAATTGGCCTAACTTTTTCATTTTCCTTTCACAGCTAAAAACTTGGCCACGAGATCATTGAAGTTTGCACTGCAGAAAGAGGTTCTCAACTGAGCCGATTGGCAGTAAAATGCCCCCATAATACAGTGGCCGAGGCTCAAGTCTAGCAAGCGGAATTGCAACAATTGTGCGAGGCTAATTTTGAAAATACTAACTCATGTTGTTTCCTTATTAGTCATTTGAATAGAACCTTCCAATTTGAAAGTTTTTTGGAGAATACATATATTCGGTAAACCTCTGCAACTTCTCAGCAAACGTTGGGGTGATAGCAGCGTTTGAACAAAAGTTCAGCAACCTTTGAGCAAAAGTTTGGAATTACCTTTTTTGAACAACCCTTCAAAATTTCCTGAAATTAGGCTTCAGTCTGCAAACACCGAGGGGCAAGAGCGGTAAATTGAGTATACCTCTGAGTAGGCTGGTCGAACAGGCGATTTCAGGAGCCTGTGCCTAGCTGTTTTCTCAGCGCAAGAACGCGGCGACGCGTTGAAAAAACAGGCGTCTGAAAAGCAGGCGCCTGTTCGACCAGCCTACCTCTGAGTTGATGCATAGTTAAGGTCTAATTAGGTGTCGTATCAATCTTATTAGGCCGCCGTATAACTCGAGTAGACTACGATTAGATTAATAACGAAATGCCAGAGCTCTCCAATCTGCGAAAAATGCGCCAAAACGTCATTAATTCTGAGAATTAGTGTGTTTTCATGTCGAACAATCATTTTTCATCGCCGTTGACCACAAAAAGCAGAGAAAACCTGCTCAATTCATTAAAACGCCATTTGGCCGAGGCCACGCCCATATTGTCAGCTCTGGAGACCGTGCAGAGTCTGTCTGTCTTTTTGGATGTCTGCAAGGGCAGCAGAAAGAAATACAGACCGGACCAAACCGAACACCCACCGCGTGCGCCGCAGGCGTGCGTTCAACCACTCGGCCACCAGCGCACCGTGTGATCACCTCGAGGCCGGAGGCCGAGCGAGCCTTTTTTGCATTGCATTGATAATGATGTTAACACATTGAGTTTTAGTCGAAATGCTTCATTAGCTAAACTTTTAAACTTATATACTATAGGGGCACCGGACAGAAAGGACGCGCTGTTCGCAATCTGGCAAAATTTCTAGGCCGCGAAGTAATTTTCCACTGAAAACGTGGCCTAACTTTTCAAACTCGGCCCCGAGGTCGCTCAATTTGCACTGCAAAAAGAGTTTCTCAATAGAGCGCCATTTCTGTGCGGTGCCCCTATAATATGACAGTTCATTCAAACTTCATATGCCGAATTTTCATCGCTCCGAAATGAAGTTTTTCCATTTCCGCATCGTCCAAGTGTAACTCGGAAACCTGAAGTGAATTAGGCCCTATTTATTTTGTAATTGTAATTTTTAACCTTTTGAACAAGAAACTCTTCCTCTGTCAGTTGAGGTGGTAAATTACGCAGCATCGTTACTATAGATGGCATGTCTGGGGACTTTCTTGTTTGAGACGTTGTTCCGAAGCTGTTCTTCAATAAAACTAATGCTACTTTGAAAAGAATTTTCACTCCTTCACAAAGAAACATGTCCCAAACACGAAGAACAGTTGCCCATGGTAGAGTGCGACAATACACACACATGAACCATTCGATCATGTACAGGGCTGGATCCACTCCATTGTTTTTCTGAAAATTTCACTGTTGCAAGTATAGCCACGCAATCAAATATGGTTGTTGTTCACAAAAAGTAACCGAATTGCTATTATAAGGGCACCGAACAGAAATGGCGCTCTGTTGAGAAACTCTTTTTGCAGTGCAAATTGAGCGACCTCGGGGCCGAGTTAGAAAAATTAGGCCACATTTTCAGTGGAAAATTACTTCGCGGCCTAGAAATTCGGCCAGATTGCGAACAGCGCGCCCTTTCTGTCCGGTGCCCTTATAATACGTTGGTTGGTCTGGTCTGAAGCGGTTTCGCTTCTTGTTTGATTCTCAGAACTGTTAGAAAGTTCATTTCTTAATTTTCGCAACTTTTAGAAATGAAAGTTGGCAGTGCCAACTTGGCACGGATAAATGGAGAAATAAACAAACAGACAAACCCGTGAAAACTTTGATAAAATAAGAATGATGATTTCCTCGACAGCGAAGTGTTTCACGTTTTATTTCCCACCCAAACTCACAAAGTGACGATATGTCAGCTTAGAACGCTCCCGAAGCAATTTGGTAAGAATGTCGCCGTCAATTTGTACGGCTTCGAGGCCAGAACTGTAGTAGCCGGGCAAATATTTATGACATATTTGGACAAAGCAGTAGAATGCGTCCCGCACCGGCATGTGCATTAGAAGTACAGCTGCTATGGGTGCTTGCCCTTGACAATAACCTTCTTCAGGATGTAGTACGGTCCAAGCTTTTAAAAGTTGGAATAGATCATCTTTTCTTGAAAATTATTACCGCAGTTCAAGAAGATATCTGTATGTGTCTTACCCGTTGGTTCCATATTTTCCTACTCGTGAGAAGAGTTCGTGCTCGGGAAATTGTCGGTTTAAATCTTTCTGTATATCCTCATTCCATTTTGCGTCTCCCTCTTGTTTCACACAAAACTGTAAGTTTGTCTATTGTTAATGTTTGAAAAATTGATTTTTTTTTGTTGTAATCTTAACATGAATACACAACACGGGCCGGCAAAGCATACGGAGGAGTGGAAATTGTGAAGCTGTAACTTCTCTCGGAAACCTTACATTTACCTCTGACCTGGCTCATATTGAAGAACCCAGTAAAACTGTTATCAAAAAATCAGAGGTCCCTATGTTCGATTTCTGGAGATATATTTAAAAAACCGAAAGTCCTATGTATGAAAAGCCGGGCCGTGCACAGGTGTAGGCTGGTCGAACAGGCGCCGGAAAAAACAGGCGCAGGCGCCTAAAATCACCTGTTCGACCAGCCTACACAGGTGGTGTGTCTATTCAGAACTCGGAGAGGGTTCTTCAATAGACGCATGATAGACCAATCACGAAAATTTCGTGCTTAAAGGTGTGGTGCACGAAAAAAAGTAACATATTTTTAAAGTGAAGTTCAAAATGGGGGATTCATGTTCCTAAAGTACTAAATTCTAAACAATTTCTCCGAATTGTTGTGAATTTTTCAAAAAAGCTAAGGAGGCCACGAAAAGTACTCGCGGATATCGAACTTATTTTAGGGTACAACTTTTTCAATTTTAAGGTACAACTTCATCGATTTTAGGGTAACAATTTTTTTTAATACACTTTTGGGTACAACAATTTGAGCGCACAACAATTTTAGGATACAATTGTTGCATATTATAGGGGCACCGGATAGAAAGGGCGCGCTGTTCGCAATCTAGCAGAATTTCTAGGCCGCGAAGTAATTTTCCACTGAAAACGTGGCCTAACTTTTCAAACTCGGCCCCGAGGTCGCTCAATTTGCACTGCAAAAAGAGTTTCTCAACAGAGCGCCATTTCTGTGCGGCGCCCCTATCTCTGGTAAATGGATTGCGATTTAATTAGAACTCATTCACATCTAATTTAAGGTCTGTTACCGCCTAACATGTCATTATTAGATGTGAAAATCTTCTAATTAGATGTGAAAACTTCCAATTAGATGTGAAAATCTTCTGATTAGATGCCAAAATTTCCTAATTAGATGTGAAAATCTTCTGATTAGATGCCAAAATTTCCTAATTAGATCCATGTTCCCCATGTTCCACAGTCGGCTACTTCGTGTATATTGACAATGTAAAGGACAAAAAATTCATGTCGAGTGCTGACGGGAAGCATTTAAAAAAGACAATGAAACGAGTGAGGGAAATTGAAATTTTTCCGTTGTAGCGCCGGATTCCGTTGTAGCGCCGGATAGCACCTAAGCACTCGTATTCTCGTCCTTTTTCTGCTTCTGCATGCGATGACGGGCGTGACTGCTGGAAAAGTAGATTGGAACGTTGTTTTTCGCATCGACTCACAAGCAATAATCCAAGTGATGCTGGAAGAGCAGCGCCACAGTGATCGCCACCATTTCTCTGTCGCATCCGTGAATTTCGATCGCTCCACTGAGTACGGCTGCAAAAACATTTCATAGCATACTAACTCAGATATAATTTATACCGATTGGAGGGTTAATGAATCGACTCGGAAGGGAAACTTGTGGTTTTTGTGGTTTCGTGCTGACAGAGAAGTTGTGGCGTAAGTTGTCCGGAATCATCTGAAAGAAATACCGTTTTGGTGTATTCGTCGTATATTCTTACCTCGGTCAGCCATTTGTTGGCGACGATCTGAATTTTTTCGTCTGGCTGTTCGACACTTTTTCGAACAGAACCTCAAGCTGAAAGCCAAAAAACATTTAAGAACACACAGTGTATTGTACAGTTTTCATGATGCCGGATTGCCCAATCAGAACAGCTTTTGTCTCCCCAGTACTGTTCTCAATCAGTTCGTTGATAGTGCGGTAGTCGAACTGGAGTCGTCCGCGTGCGGCGTCCCAGATTGATTTCTAGAAAAATTATTCATTGTTGTCACGGGCCGGACCAGGCCATAGGAATATGTCCACCGGCCCGCCCCGGAAGAAAAATTTCGAATTTCAGCTGTGTGTTTTTTCAAGTTTTCAGTATGCTTTCGGCTTTTTTCATCTCGGTTCGTCATATTGATGTCGAAGTTGACACGTGTGTTCATTCAGAACTCCCGCCATAAAAATTTGAATTTATTTTCGAAGGGCGCTACGCACCGATTCAAAATTTTCGTTTGCCGCCTTTACGCCGGCGTACGCCCATTGGCTGCGTGTCGCCCCTGTGCAAACACCGTTCTAGATATTTTGCGTACTTGGCACCAGATACTACGCAAATTTTAGGCCAGCTGTTTATTTATTCAAATTAGAGAGTGCGAGATTGAAGAGACGCCGACGATGTTCGGTAGGGCGCGCTTGCATGCGCGTAACAGTTCGAACGCTCGTGAGTTGACAGGGATAGGCTATTTCCTACCTAATAACTATGAAAACCGACGAAAAAAGCCAAAATTTACGATCGTCAGGCAGAATCCGCACCGTCCGGGCCGAGCCGTAAAATCACAAGCATGCAAGAAACTATGCAAATATCAGGCTTAATGCAGACTCACATTCAGCAATCCCATTTGTTCTATCGAGGTAGAGATCAACTTCTCACCGATGACGAACGGACAGATGCCGTCCGTTCCAGTTTTTCTTGCCGATTTGTTGCCCGCTTCCGATGTGCCACCGTCCAACTCGTTGAATACGTTGTAGCCTCCACTTGGGTCAATGATCAGTTCATCATCTCCTTGCTTTTCGATAATTTCTTCATCTTCTCCATCAGCTAAAAATTAAGGCCAGCAAACGAGTGAGCATGATTAATGTTATGCGCAGAAGAATTGTCAATGGTGCGCACTTGCAACACTGAACACACACGTGGATATTCTCAGTTGAATACAAATGCAATAAACAACAGAAGACGAGGAGAACATTTCAAAAATTGAGAAAAAAAAGTTGTTCCGCGGTGCGCAGAGATTGCATCATTTCTAATTAGATTGCATCATTTCTAATTAGATCCCAAAAACTCCTAATTAGATGTGAAAAATCCAACTTCTAATTAGATTCGAATTTCTGTTTTCACATCTAATTAGATTCAAATTAAACCTGAAAAACTTCTAACTAGATCTGAAAATCATGCTTTCTTGAATTAGATGTGAATGAGTTCTAATTAAATCGCAATCCATTTACCAGAGTATAATACTTTTAGGGCACAACTTCTTACAATCTCTGGAAACTCGATTGCAATCTTATTAGAAGAGTTTGCAATCTAATAAGAGAAAGCTCTATTTCGCAATCTAATCAGATTTAATTAAAGTTCCAGTAAAATTGTATTAGATTACAATATATTTTTCCTGAATTGCAATCTAATAATAAAAAATTGCAATCTATTTAGAAAACATTGCAATCTAATTAGAAAAATTGCAGTGATTGCAATCTAATTAGAAAAATTGCAGTGATTGCAATCTAATTAGAAAAATTGCAGTGATTGCAATCTAATTAGAAAAATTGCAGTGATTGCAATCTAATTAGAAGATTTTGCAGTCTAATTCAAGCAAATTCTATTTCAAACGAGTTCGTATTAGATTGCAAAGTTTTCTAATTAGATTGCGATCGAGTTCCCAGAGATTTTGGGGTACAACAAATTTTTTTTCATTTTAGTCGCTTCAGACCAGTTTACTTTTGGTCCCAAAACATGGCCGAACGGCAGAAGGTCGTCCACGAAGGCCTCTGGCAATTCGATATTAATCTAATTAGAAAGTTACTGATCTAAACGCGACCTGATTAGATTTGACTGTTTTTTCTAGGCGCAATCGAGATTTGAGCCAGCAGACGGTTAGCGTGAAACTTGATTTGAGCACATATCAATTTAATTAGAAGATTTATTAATCTAGCTAGACAATTTATAAATCTAATTAGGTGTCATATCAATCTTATTAGGCCGCCGTAGAACTCGAGTACACTACGATTAGATTAATAACGAAATGCCAGAGCCGTACAAAAAAGATTAATCTGCTGAAATTCAGCGGATTAATCTTTTTTTGATATGTATCAGTGTGTTTGCAATCTAATTAGCTTCGCCAATCTAATTAGAAAATTTACCAGTCCAGTAAGAAGAATTTGCAATCTAATCGCAGTAAGTTAGCAATCTAATTAGATCCGGTTAAAAACGCGAATTAGCTAGCTAGATTACAAACGATTTACCTGAGGGCCCCAGGTTTCAGAAGTCTTGTAAATAAGTAAATAAGTAAATAAACAAGGCGACAGTCCCCGTAAGACTTTTATTAATAAGAATGGTCGTACCCTAAAATTGTTGTGCCCTCGAATTGGTGTACCCTTAAGTGTATTTAAAAAAAATTGTATCCTAAAATCGATGAAGTCGTACCCTAACAATAATAAGTTGTGCCCTGTTCTGCCCTCGGAATTAAATGCCTTATTTTTAAACTCACGTCAAAAACAAAGCGGTTTGAAGAAACTTCCATCTGATAAGTAGCACCACTCAAATATTTCCAAGCTCGGCCGCGCAGGCTTGGTGGTATACCTTTCCGACATCGATTACGAACAAGTTCGAATTTTTCATCCATGAAGTATCGCCAGTTTTCCAGCATTTGTATCCATTTTTTCTCTCTTCTACGCAATTTTTTAGCATCGAATTGAAATTTTGTTCTAAAGTGTTATCTATTCCATTAGTCTTCTGGTAATAATCTCACAGTGAACTTGAAACCAAGAAGAAGCCGAATCTGTCAGTTTGTGGCTCGTTCTGGTTATCGCTGACACAGTTGTTTATGTCGCGCGGCACATCCAAATCGTCGTCGTCATCGGCAGAGTAGCATGAGCTACGCTTACTGCCATGTCTGGAGTCAATCTTTAAAGGATTTTTCTTACAGTACAACTTTTTTCTTACTTCACCCGCGTGCTCGGGTCGCTGGATTGTGAATTTTGAATGTTCCATTTAATTGGTTTCCGTAACGCTCAATTTTGTAAATTTGATGCCAACTTTGACTGTAATGGGGTTATTCAGGCTGTTTTTTACGTCAAAAAATTCAATTCAGCGATGTACAAAAAACGGAAAAACCCGGAAAACAAACATATGCTGTATAGCCCCATAAGATCCTACCTTTCTTACTTTGAACATGGTCTTAAAAGGCGTAAAACTCTGAAGACAAAACTAAATTCATCGCTATTGCCCCTCGGTGTTTGCAGACTCAAGCCAAATTTTCCTGAAATTAGGCTAGAGTCTGCAAACACCGAGGGGGCAAGAGCGGTAAATTGGGTGCTGCCCCGAATGGGAACTGCCCGAATCAGAACTGCTACGAATCAGAACTGCGCCCGTATCAGAACGCGCCCGAATAAGAACTGCCCGAATCAGAACTGGTAAAAATCAGAACCGGTATGAATGCGAACTGCCCGAATGAGAACTCTTCAAGCTAGAACTGCTACTAATCAGAACTGATCAAATTAAAACCACCCTGACAATATTAATTCCAAAAAAACCGAAAATGAATAGGAATGCTTCTAATCCAGGATCTCTGCTTTTTTCTGCTCCTATTTTTTTGTATTTCTCTTTCTTCCTCTTCTTCTGTCTCTCTTACTTTCTCTCTTTCTTTCTCTCTTTCTTTTTTCTCGCAATTTTGTGCATGGTTTCAACAAGCTCTACTTTTTACGAGTAGTTGCGCAAAAGTTTCTCGTTGTAATGGGGTTATTCAGGCTGTGAAAAAAAATATATTTTTTTCCGATTTTTTTTTCGTTTTTTTACGTCAAAAAACCCAATTAAGCGATGTAAAAAAACGAAAAAAAAAACGAAAAACAAACATACGCTGAATAGCCCCATAAGCAATTTTGAGTAACGCGTAACCAAAAAGTTCAATCACTTTCTAAGATTTTATCCCGTTCTCTTTTTTCTGCTTATTCACAATCTTTTTTCTGTTTCACACTTGTTTTCGTTACCAACGAACTGTTTCATTTCAATGTCTAGCTGTATCTAAAATACCTACACTACGCTTAAGTACAAAGGAAACACTTTTTTCTACGCCTTCATGTTCTGATTTAGGAAGTATTGCCATAAGGAGTTCTGATTCGGACAGTTCGCATTCATACCAGTTCTGATTTGGGCAGTTCTCATTTGGAGCAGTTCTGATTCGGGCGCGTTCTGATACGGGCGCAGTTCTGATTCGTGGCAGTTCTGATTCGGGCAGTTCCTATTTGGGGCTGCACCCTGCACCCATCTTTCGAGGGCGTCAGGCGTGTTGTTTAGCCTATTTTGCCAGCCTAATTATGTGTTAGAATAACTCTTGGCCCTTCAATGAATAACATAGTGTCATTGAGAGCAAAGGTCATCAAGTAAACTAAGTGAATAATAGGGAAGTCATTGAGCATTTCTAGTTATACTGCCAACAATTTATGGGGTTATTCAGAAATGTCAAAAAATGAAAAAAAAAAACGGAAAAAAACGCAACGCGTGCACTGTTTCTTTCCATTTTTTGACATCGCTGAATAACCCATTACCAGAGGTCCAATCTCCCTCCACGCCATGGTTTTACCAAGTTTTGAAATTATTGAATGCGCTATATTCTTATTGAGCAATTGAGCAAATTAGTTTTATTGAAAAAAAGGAGGGAGAGAAAAAGAAAACCAGGAGAATAAGACAAGCAAAGAATTGCGATAGAGCGAAAATGCGATCCATTCAGCACTGGTTACCCAAAGGACACTTGTGAAAACATGCATTTCAAATTGAGTTAATTTGTGAATTTGAATGTGGTGAAATCGTGTTTTAAGGCATTGTTCGAAATCCTGTAACCCGATTGTAATGTCCGTTTAGAGTAAATTGACGGAACATGAATAGAAAAATCGATATTTAGATAGGACGACATAGTCTAAACAGATCATCGATTATGTCTCGGCACAACACGTGGATTGTTTATGAGAAAATGTAGAAGTTGATGATTTGGCATCGCGGGAATGGAGCCAGAACAGAAAAGAGTAGGAGAAAATATAGTTGCCAGATTTTCAACAGTCATCTTGTTTCTTGAACTGTTCTCAGCGACCTGAAAATGCAAAAATCCTCTATTCAAAACCTCATAAAATTTTTGATTTACAAAAAAAAACCACACGTCCACGGCCTCGTCTATTGACCTTTCTTTATCTCAGGTAAATTTTCAAACTTTTCCAGGCGCTAATTAAGAAATTCTCAGAAAAGTTTGACAATTCCTTGGAAAAGTGTCTTAGAAACGTCTGAAGTAGTCTTGGAAAGGTTTTTTTGCTTCAGAAAGTTTGATAAAGTTTTCTGAGGCTTTTACGAAAGTGTCTAGTCGTCGGCAATTTTTTCAAAAAATAAACATGAATTCAAAATTCTGTCCCCATGTAATTTTTCTAAGTTAAATTTGCCATTTGATTAGAAAAACGTTGCCAAAAGCGCACTTTTACGACGAACATACGTAAATCCCTTGATAATTCTAAGTAGTTCCAGTGAAGTTGCTTTGAGAATCTTTTGAAAAAAATATAAATTAAAATCATTAAATTAAAACCCTTATAAAACTCCGATAATGGAGTTATTCAGGCCGTGAAAAAATGATTGTTTTCCGTTTTTTTTTCGTTTTTTACGTCAAAAAATTCAATTCAGTGATGTAAAAAAAAAAAACGGAAACTAACATACGCTGAGTAGCCCCATGAGCTTTTTTTCACATTTCTTTTTCGAAGAAATGAGACTTGAAAAAGTTGATGGGCGGGGCGAGGTTGTGAACGTGGACGTGGAGTTCTTTTTTCGGAACATGTTCAGTTCTTTGGACACCGCTGGATAACCTCATAAGATAGTTTTACCTTTTTCAAATGAGCCAGAATTGCACCGAGAGTTATTATATTTGCATCAGACAACTCCATCATTATTTTCCTGTGAGACATTGTTTGAATTCTGTTCGGAATATATTATGGCGGTATTTCGCTCTGTTGAAAACTTTTTTTGCAGCGCAAATTGAGTAACCTCGGGGTCGAGTTTGAAAAGTATTTTCAGTGGAAACATACTTCGCGGCCTAGAAATTCGGCCAGATTGCGAACAGAGCGCGATTGCAGAGGAATACCGCGATAATATTTACAGTACTTACCTAAGACCCCGTTCTCGCTCATGCACTGACCGGCCATTGGTGTCTTGGTAAACTACGAGAAGTTGTTTATGCACACTGAATGGAATAAGCTGTTGAGGCAAAAGTCGAAAGTATAATTTCATTAGACCGCAAACTGTGTGAATGTCCGAAACCTTCAACAGGAAAATTAACACGGAACTCACTCGACTTCATTACTTACAGTGGACAAATCGACATATTGATTAGAGTCAAACTGTTGACGGAGTTTCTCCATGTGTTCGTGTGATCCAGACACTCGATAAATGCCTTCAACATCAAGTCCTCTTGACTCCACTTCATTAATACATTGGGATACAACTGGCGGTAAATCACTGCTGTGCGCCAAGCATAAAGTTGTGATATCAACGGCGAACATTCTTTTCACATATTTTGCTTCTGGTACACAGTCATGCAGAGTTTTCTCTGAGCATTTCTTGTGTGCAGCAAATCCACAGTCTTCACAACGCATGCCCTTTAAGTTTAAATTCAACGTGACATTATATGGTCGCGGTAAATTTCGAAATCATGCGTTTTCTTGGAAGCTCAAATCTCGTTTGTTGGCTCAAAAGAAAGTTACTGATCTAAACGCGACCTAATTAGATACGGCTGTTTTTTCTTGGCGCAATCGAGATTTGAGCCAACAAACGGTTGGCCTGAAACTTGATTTGAGCACTTACTAATCTATCTAGACAATTTATTAATCTAATTCGGTGGCATATCAATCTTATTAGGCTGCCGTATAACTCGAGTAGACTACGATCAGATTAATAACTAATTAGACAAAATAGTACTCTAAACTTTACCTGTTATAATTTAAAATTTCTACGATTAGATTGCAAATTATCTGATTATATTGTAAAATCTCTAATTACTAGATTGAATAAATACCTAATTAGATTTTAGCAATATTTTCTGTGTAACTAGACTGTGCTTAGATTGATCATTCATCTAATTAGATTTAAAAATGGCCTCTTTTCTCAGGTAAATCGTTTGTAATCTAGCTAGCTAATTCGCAGTTTCTAACCGGACCTAATTAGATTTCGAATTTACTGCGATTAGATTGCAAATTCTTCTAACTGGACTGATAAATTTTCTAATTAGATTGGTGAAGCTAATTAGATTGCAAAAACACAGATATTAGATTCAAAATTTATCTAACTAGATTAAAATTTCGGGCAAAACCTAGCTAGATTATGTTTAGATTGCGAAATCAGCTAGCTAGATTCAGAAATTTGTAGCAATCTAACTAGGTTCGGTTAGAAACGAGAATTAGCTAGTTAGATTAGAAACGATTTGCCTGAGTTCACACTTCTTTTTTGTCTAATTAGACTGAAGTCGAGTTACCAGAGTGTGCCCTGCGCGGTCCGAGCTAACTCTCGAAAGCGTCGCCGGCAGCGCTCGGCGCCAAATGAGCGCAAATTTGGTACAGGCGCCGGAACGCCACCTGAGCCTTTCAAAAGGCGTCGAAACGCTGCCGACGCCTTTTTTTTTGAGGACGAAAAATAGAGAAATGAACACGTTAACTTTCAAACAGTTATGAGAAACAAACAAACGGCAAAGTCGCTTCCGAGCGTCAGCTCGGGCCGCGCAGCGGGCTCAGTTCGGCAATTCGATATTAATCTAATTAGAAAGTTACTGATCTAAACGCGACCTAATTAGATTCGACTGTTTTTTCTTGGCGCAATCGAGATTTGAGCCAGCAGACTGTTGGCGGAAACTTGATTTGAGCACATATCAATCTAATTAGAAGATTTATTAATCTAGCTAGACAATTTATTAATCTAATTACTCTGGAAACTCGATTGCAATCTAACTAGAAGAGTTTGCAATCTAATAAGAAAAAGCTATATTTCGCAATCTAATCAGATTTAATTGAAGTTCCAGTAAAATCGTATTTGATTACAATATATTTTTCCTGAATTGCAATCTAATAAGAAAAAATTGCAGTCTAATTAGAAAACATTGCAATCTAATTAGAAAAATTGCAGTGATTGTAATCTAATTAGACGATTTTGCAATCTAATTGAAGCAAATTCTATTTCAAACGAGTTCGTATTAGATTGCAAAGTGTTCTAATTAGATTGCGATCGAGTTCCCAGAGTATTATAGGGGCACCGCACAGAAATGGCGCTCTGTTGAGAAACTCCTTTTGCAGTGCAAATTGAGCGACCTCGGGGTTGAGTTTGAAAGTTAGGCCACATTTTCGGTGGAAAATTACTTCGCGGCCTAGAAATTCGGCCAGATTGCGAACAGCGCGCCCTTTCTGTCCGGTGCCCCTATAATAGGTCGTATTAATCTTATTAGGTCGCCGTTAGATTAATAACGAAATGCCAGAGTTTTAGAAAGTCTTGTAGAATAATATAAGCCCACCTGGTGCACCAAGCCCCACAAAAAATTTCGACAATAATCACAGTAATGTGGAGCTTTGAAAGTGTATGACGAAAAGTTATGTGCCCTTGTGATGGGTCGACGGACTAGATCAGCTGCAGCACTTGCATACCGAGAATATGGGCTGAAATTATTAATCATATCCATGTTTATTTTTAGAGTCCCACATACCTATCTTCATAAATGGCTTCATCAGCCATTCTTCTAATGTAATCAGATGCATGCAGGTCAACAAACATTGAAATAAGACCGTCGGCGACGAGTAAATCCATAGTGTCAAATCGTTTCTCTCCAACATAAAACTGACCATCATAATATAGCTACAAAAAAGGTAAAAGCTTTTGCTCCAAAAAGCCGCTTTGTGCGACGGAGCGAACTTGCGCTCATTTGAAGCTCTGGAAACCGCAGGGACCCACTTTATAGTTCATGACTTTTCCGTCGAAAACCATGCACAGCGTAAATGCGTCCCGTGATCTGTTAGATTCCCTGACTAAATAGCTTCCTTCTCCGGCTTCAATTAACATTCTTTCGGCCTGAAGACGATGTAACAACATTAATGATTTCATCTGCTCGTGCCTACCTCAGTTCGATCGATGAGACCGTGAAACTCATTCCCATAATGTTTTGGCCTAATTGTGACGTGCTCTCTGCACACAATCGCATTCGGCTTCGGTGCTCTTTCCTGTAGAAGAAAGAGGTTTTGCTTCCAGTAGCCTTTGCTGCAACCTGGAAAGAAATTGAGGTTTTCGAAATAAATATTAGCCAAACGCGTAGCGGTCTCAAGTTCGAAAAGTTTTGTTTTGTATATATTGCCAAAAACACTTGATTAGAAAAATATAACAATAACGAGAAGGCAATACGTAATGATGTTATTCAGTGCATGTTTTTAATCGTTTTTAAAGTTTGTCTGCGTCAAAAAATGCATTTTCACCAATGTAAAAAACCTTTAAAACAAAAAATCCGCTGAATAACCACATAAGTGTCGGAGGAGAGCAAAAATTGAAGCACATGCTCACCAGTGCTTTCTTGTAATGCATCTTCGTCCATACTGAACTCAAATCCAAAAGTACTTAAACTGGATATTCTTGTGTTCTAGGATATAGAGATTTTTTTCATAGCAAGTGCGAGGTTTCTGCAATAAAAAAATATCCTTCCTTGGTTGACTTCCAAAAACGTTTTGCTGGACAGACAAGCAAGCAATCAAACAAAGAAATCGACGGGATTCATGAGATTTTGTTTTCAAATACCAGTGTCGGTGAGTGATCAGATAACGTAGACTTTACTCTTGTTCAAGTAAAGTCTACGTATTTGCAAATTTTCCGGCTTCAAGAAACGGAGCGTCGTATTAGCGCTCTGTTTAGCAGCGGAGCACAACTTCCCCGACGAGGTGAACATTGTCTAATGGGGCTATTCAGCGTATGTTCGTTTTCCGTTTTTTTCGTTTTTTACGTTGCTGAATTGGATTTTTTGACGTAAAAAAACGAAAAAAACGGAAAACAATCATTTTTTTCACAGCCTGAATAACCCCATAATGACCGAGTTTATCCGATTTACAAAACAAGATCAATCAGCTTGTTAAAGTAATTATCAGAAATCATCTAACTTCGAAATAGACTTCGTCTCGGAATAAAAGTGTTTCCCCACGTTTTGATCGAAATGGAACTTGACACGGAAATGAGCTGCACGGACTCTGGAAACTCGATTGCAATCTAATTAGAAGAGTTTGCAATCTAATAAGAAAAAGCTCTATTTCGCAATCTAATCAGATTTAATTGAAGTTCCAGTAAAATCGTATAAGATTACAATATATTTTTCCTGAATTGCAATCTAATAAGAAAAATTGCAATCTAATTAGAAAACATTGCAATCTAATTAGAAAAATTGCTGTGATTGCAATCTAAATAATTAGAAAATTTTGCAATCTAATTGAAGCAAATTCTATTTCAAACGAGTTCGTATTAGATTGCAAAGTTTTCTAATTAGATTGCGATCGAGTTCCCAGAGTAATAGAATTTTTTTTGGAAATGAGCTGCTTCGAAAGAGACGTTGACGCGAAATGCAAGTGTTCCGAAACACTATAGTATATATACTGTCCCGAAATGGAACTGTTTCGAAATACAACAGTTGTGATAGAGCCCGTTTGCGCCTGTTACCGGGAAACACTTCAAAAAATGAGTTCAGGACCACGGCCCGGCAATTCAAACAATGGCCGAGAAAAATGCGTGGATTAAATACTCAGCCCAGCGATTTCGCTGCTGTGGACTTGCGTACAACGGTGTATGCAGATTCTGCATACCGTAACCCAAAAATATGCGGCTAATTAAAAAAAAATTTATTGAAAGTACAGAAAAAGCCGAAGAAAGAAGGAAAAATGTGCTAATCTCATCGAAAGTATAGGGAAACGTCGAAAGTATACAAGAAATCGTGATTTTGACAGTAATTGCAGACATTTTCGACTGGAATTGACCGGGTCGAGCGGGCTGGAATTCCGGAAAAATGAATTTTTAAAAATGCACGGTCTCCCACGGCGCGAATGATTTCAATGGGGCGCACTTGCAACAGGCGGGCTGTGTCGATTTACGCGGCGGCAGATTAATTAATTTTCAACGGGAGTTCGCGTTCTTTCCATGTTTTCTGTACAATACACCTATTTTTTGTACGCCTGGAACCTGGATTCGAATAATTAGAGCACTAGCTACGTTTTGGTAACAAAAATCTCGCATATCGTTGAGAATTAGCCGAGTTATTTCGACTTGAAGGTTTTGGCTTGGATTTTGATGTTTTTCGAATTGTTTTCGAAAACTGCTCAAGAAGACTAACCGCCGGAACCTGAATTTTGTGAAGAAAGATTCAGCGAACATTTTTATCGTTCGTTGGGCTCATGAAATGCAAAATGAGCTGAAATATAAAGGTTTGAAGTTTTGACGAAATGCGAAAAAGACGCCAAAAACATGAAAAACTCTAAATTCTGTAAAGAACGGTTTCCAATCAGTAAAATATTGTTTTCTAGACGTTTTTCAAGTCAAAAAGAAAGAAATAAAGGTCGTAAACTCGAATTGAACTGCATTTTTAGACCTGCAAATTTTCTAAAGTTACAACGACACTCCGCAATTTACGAGCGCACTGTGTTTATTATAGGGGCACCGGACAGAAAGGGCGCGCTGTTCGCAATCTGGCCGAATTTCTAGGCCGCGAAGTAATTTTCCACTGAAAATGTGGCCTAACCTTTCAAACTCGGCCCCGAGGTCGCTCAATTTGCACTGCAAAAGGAGTTTCTCAACAGAGCGCCATTTCTGTGCGGTGCCCCTATAATAGCATTAGCGCCCTTGGGAGACCGTGAAATGAAAAAAAATTGAAAAATACCTAGTAAGCTGAAACGAATTTAGAGCCTTTTTGAAACCTAATCTGCAGCGAGTTCAAGCAAATCAGTAGTGAGTTAAGGCAAATTGGCACGCTGCGGGAATCGACAAATTGGATGAAACTATAAAATCACAAGAATCATGGTGATTCACTGTGCCAGCCAATTCAAGTGCGCGATTTTTCCCGCGACATTCAAACCTTATTTGTGCACGCCGTGTAGAATGGAAAAAAGTAAAACCAAATGGCTTTTTATTTGAACATAAAAATCATTTGAACATTAAAGATCATTTAGCACTGTTCTGGACGGATAGGGGTGTGGGTGCTCGAGTAGAAGCAATCAACTGAGGTGTTGACTGGGTAGGACGGCTCTGTCTTTCTGTTGTTAATGAATGGAAGGATCCTATCCTTATAGCAATGTCGAGAATCGGTTTTACCTGTCATAATATACGTACATTTCTCTGAAAAACTTAGCTGTCCGTACTTTTGCTAACACCGGCTTAACAGGTAATTTCTGTTCTTCTTCATATTCGGACTTCAGACTTCCAACAGCAGTCAGTACGAATTGGGCGAGGACTTCGAACGGCATATCCATTCCCAGCGATTTACCACATACAGCTTCAATACTTAAAAATACCGTTTAATTAGAAACAAAGAAGAATTCTTGAATAAGATTTGGTCTCTTAAAAATTTAAGCGTTCTCCACCAGAAGAAAATTCTCGATTTGAGTACTTTAAGCGTTTTTGTTTTTTGACACGGCATAGTGCCGTGTCAAAAAAATAAGTTGAATTTTGCCGGCCGAAGTTTGCTGCAATTCTACAGGATGGGACGCGCACAGTTAGACCACTGTTACAGTTCGCCATTAAACAACGGACAGTTTTTTTAAAATTTTCTTGTATCGAAAAATGGTGTACGGTAACAAAAATGCCTTTACTTTGCGTGCCGCTATTGCTCCGCGTAATCAATTCGGTTCGGTACTTAAAACGAACGTACTTTTTGATGAAGCCGACGTCTACCTGTCTGGCCAAACTTTTGGAATCTTCCCAGTACCGACTCGCTAAAATCAATGAGTGAGATGTCTTGACTTGTGACTTTAATGTGTCAAAAATAACTTGCGGCATGGTAACCTGAAATTGCACCATTTTCGTTTGTGATCATAATTATTATACTGTCGTAGGGCAATTAGAAACGCTTGTGATCCAAGTGCCTATTTGCGCGTTCGGTGGTGTTGAACCTGCGGAAGTGCAAGAAATATTAGTCTGCGTTTGCGTCAATGGCGGTAAAGGTTTTCCCGCTACTAAGTTAGATGTATTCGAGCTATCTGTAACTGGAAAAGCTGCCGACGTTTGACGAATTTCGTAAAATTCCGGAAGTGTACGCATTTCGAGCCGTGTGTAGTTTTTGATAGCTTGCTAAAAAATTATCGTTCAAACATTGTGGCTGTCTCATCTCACCTCAGATCGGAAAAGATATATCTGATATTGCATGACCGATAACATTATTTGCCCCACTATCTTAATGCGTGGTAGGAAATGGACGGCGAGAGACTCATCTGTTTCTCTGACACCTTGAAAAACCGCAACACTGAAATTACCTCATTGGATGCGTTTCGCAAGCATTTTGATCACCCCAGTAAATCATATGTGTCCCTGAAAATCGAAGCACACTGCATTCTTGATTGGGGAGTTCGCTCTTTTTCCAATTTTGTGATAGCTTCTAGCACGAAATACACAGATGACAGCATATAGTTTAATGGACGTAACACCCTATCTTTGCTTTTATCAGCTTTATTTTTCCATCCCTTTGCAAGATCATGATAAAAATCTCCTTTCAATTTTGCGTGCGGATTGGTAGGATCAGGGATTGGGACTCGTTGAACGATTTTCAACTTTGCATGCTCCCACTGACAACTCCATCGCGTTTGCTTTTTATCCAAAATAGACTTTGTTGTACTTTGTTCGGTGTTCTTCGTTGTTTTTTGTAGCTGGCTGACAGAATTTTCATGCGAAGAAAGTGATGATGATGGTCTAGATAAAGAAGTCGGCGTATCCGAGTTAATGGATCGAGGAGATGGAGGTCGAGGACTCAAGTTCTGCAAGCCTTTTGCAGAATTGAAGACGGGCTTCTTCTGCTTGAACGGAGCATCTAATTCTTCAGAAATTTCGTGTTTCATCTTCGGTTTTTTTGCTATCACTGGCGACCTGTCGACAGAATTTCTTTCGAGCTGGAAAAAATATTTGTGATTAATGGGATTATGGGGCTATTCAGGGGATGAAAAAATGATTGTTTTCCGTTTTTTTCCCTATTCAGCGATGTCAAAAAATGGAAAGAAATGCATTGTTCGCAGCGTTTTTTTTCCGGCGGGTCTCGCAGCGATTTCCCGGACGCGATGCATGCGGCTACTGTGAGAGACGTTTTATGAGTGGATTTACGAAAATGTTTATAATTTTTCAGCGAAATTGCCACGTTTCCCCGCTATTTTGAACAGATTTTCACCGAAAAGCTCAATGTTTTGAACGATATGACGAGGCACTCGAAACTATCCAAAAAAAAGAATTCAAGCGAAATCGGTCGGAAATAGCGGTAAACGTGGCAATTTCGCATCAGTCACTATCACAGATAAATAAGAACAGAAATTCCGTTGAAAATCGGTTGAAAATAGCGGGCAAACGTGGCAATTTCGCTAAAAAATTAGAAAAAAAAATTCCCCCTTCTCGTATTATAGAGGCATTGCACAGAAATGGCGCTCTGTTGAGAAACTCTTTTTGCAGTGCAAATTGAGCGACCTCGGGCCGAGTTTGAAAAGTTAGGCCACGTTTTCAGTGGAAAATTTCTTCGCGGCCTAGAAATTCGGCCAGATTGCGAACAGCGCGCCCATTCTGTCCGGTGACCCTATAATAAATCCACTCATAAAACGTCTCTCACAGTAGCCGCATGCATCGCGTTTCTTTCCGTTTTTTTTTCATTTTTTAACATCGCTGAATAGGGAAAAAACGGAAAACAATCATTTTTTCATCCCCTGAATAGCCCCATAAGATTACGGCTCATGAACGTAAGTATGCATCATGTGAAAAACATTTTGAAGAAAATTTAAGTCAAAAGTTATTATAGGGTCACTGGACAGAAAGGGCGCGCTGTTCGAAATCTGGCCGAATTTCTAGGCCGCGAAGTAATTTTCCACTGAAAATGTGGCCTAACTTTTCAAACTCGGCCCCGAGGTCGCCAAAAATCAATTTGCACTGCAAAAAGAGTTTCTCAACAGAGCGCCATTTCTGTGCGGTGTCCCTATAATACAGAGACACGAATAGTTGGTATTAGGCTGGTCGAGCAGGCGATTTCAGGCGCCTGTTCGACCAGCTTAGTTGCACAGGTGAACTGCGATTGATCAATTATCAAGTCATCACTAATAATAGACGAATGATACGTCAACCCGCGAGCCGGTTAGTCGCGGATTGATCAACCGCTCGCGGGTTGATCAATTGTTAGCCATGTGGCTCGCGATTGACGCATGATTGGCCAATATTAACGGAAATGGGCCCGCGATTGATTAATCGAGTACCCCAGATACGTCAAATCGCAGTTCACCTGTGTGGTATGAATGCCTGGAAACACTAGCTAGAGTACTAGACGGGCTTGCATTTAGGTTCCCTCCAGTTTTTAATTTCTAAGACAGAAATACTTAGGAGGCTAATCCGAATAAGAACTGTGCCGAGTTAGAATTGTTCGGATCAGAACTGTTTCGAATCAGAACCCGCCATAGCACGACTTTTCGTAGCGAAAACCACCTGCAGATAGGTTCTGATTCGGGATAGTTCTGGTTCAGGGTAGCTAGGGTTGCAGAACAGGCGCCTGTTTTCGCCTGTTTTGCAAAAATTCCACGTTAAAATCGCAAAACAGGCGAAAGCAGGCGCCTGTTCTGCAACCCTAGGGGTAGCCTCCTGAGACAGTTGCGACGGCGACATTAGGAAATGAACACGTGAATTCACGTGAACTTTCTAAAGGTCGTAAGAAGAGAAAGCGGCAAAACTTCCGAGCGTTAACGTCTTGCAAATCATATCAGACTCACCTTCTTTTTCTCCTTTTCACGAGGGCTGTCACGGCTAATTGAGAGGTCAGAAGTGCCAGCAGTGAACTCACTCCTTTCTTCAAAAATTTTTCCACGATGCTCAGCAAAATTGAGCAGTTTTTGAACCCGTTCGGCATTTAAATTATGCAACGTAATTTGCCCACGTGTTTTCGTTCCAGTGCGTGGGAATCGTGTTTGACTGGGGGAGAAGCGATTTGCTGACGAGGACCGTGGTGTCGCTGAAGCAGGTGAGGTAGAGCTACCCTCATTGAAATGCCTTAAATTATCATTCTTATTTAATAAAAAGCTAGCGGGGTCTGTCCGTAACTTTCTTTCTTTGTTTCTTTCTCCGTTTGTCCGGCCATTTTTTCATTTCTAAAACGAAAAAGTTGTGACGGAGAAATTAAGAAATGGACACGTGAACTTTAGAATGGTTTTGCGAAACAAAAAAAGCGGCGAAGCCGCCGTTTCAAAAGTCTTGTTTTGCATAGGAAGTTCACACATTTTGAAAATGGACAATTGTCGATTTTCAGAAAATTCTACACAATACAGCTCATTTTTGCTTAAAATTAGAAATACATATTTTTCGAACTGTTGAGATGTGTCACTGGGAAAAAAAGAGAGAAAAAAAGAGAAATGTTTGCGCTAGTTTGGGGCCTTACTGTTCTGTCCCGGGGATCCCGTGAATGGCCCGAGAACGTATTTTTCCCGGGCAGCCCGGGAAAGTCTGCGGCTAGAATAGCTTGTTTGCCAAAAATCACAAAAGGGAAACTCACTCTCGATGAGTACATTGATTTCTCGGCACTGGTACATTTGCGAATTCATGTCCGATCGATTCTTTACTTTGATTGCAGTCTCCTTTTAAATATGTCTTCTCATCAACTCCGTTGTCTCGTCCTTCAGATTTGTTCGGGCATTGATCGGAGTATACGCCTCTTTTAAAATTGTGCAAGAATTTGTCCGATATAGGAGATAATGTAGGCCTTTCTAATCTGTCAATTATCCATCTTATTATAGGGGCAGCGCACAGAAATGGCGCTCTGTTGAGAAACTCTTTTTGCAGTGCAAATTGAGCGACCTCGGGGCCGAGTTTGAAAAGTTAGACCACGTTTTCAGTGGAAAATTTCTTCGCGGACTAGAAATTCTGCCAGATTGCGAACAGCGCGCCCTTTCTGTCCGGTGCCCCTATAATAATATATAAAACACAAGAGGCGTCTGTCTGTGTGCCTGACTGTCTGTCTGTCTTTTTGTATGTCTGCTGACTGCTTAGCGCAGCAGAAAGAAAGACGAACCGGAGAAAACCGAGCGGGGGTCGAACATGCGACCGCTCGTTTTACCACTCGACCACCAGCGGACCTCGGTAAACCTCTGCAACTTCTCAGCAAACGCTGGGGTGATAGCAGATTTTGAACTTAAGTTCGGCAACTTTCGAGTAGGGATGCAAAACACTCAGGTAAATCGTTTGTAATCTAGCTAGCTAATTCGCGTTTCTAACCGGATCTAATTAGATTGCAAATTCTTCTAACTGGACTGATAAATTTTCTAATTAGACTGGCGCAGCTAATTAGATTGCAAAAACACTAATATTAGATTCAAAATTTATCTAATTAGATTAAAATTTCGGGCAAACCTAGCTAGATTATGCTTAGATTGCAAAATCAGCTAGCTAGATTCTGAAATCTGTAGCAATCTAACTAGGTCCGGTTAGAAACGAGAATTAGCTAGTTAGATTAGAAACGATTTGCCTGAGCATGCGATTTTAGGCGCCAGCGCCCGTTCTGCATCCCTACTTTCGAGTAAAACTTTTGGATTAGCATATTTTTTTGAAACAACACTTCAGCAACTTCTGAGCAAACGTTCAGCGCCATCAGCTTTTGAACAACACTTCAGCAACTTTTGAACAGCAGTTAAGCCAGCTTTTAGCAAACTTTTAGGCGATAGCAACTTCTGCACAGAATTTCAGCAACTTTTGTGGATAACATTAGCTGCTCTTGAGCAGGAGTTAGGTGAAAGTTGCTGAAGTTCAGCTGAAAAGATCCAGAGGTTAGCCGAGATCATGCGAGCCTTTTTTTTGCAATGCGCAGCAATGCCCGTAGCAAAGCCTGGATCCCGGCGTAGCCGGGGGCAGACTTGTGGTAAATATGTATTTTCAGTTTTGATTTCCCACGGTATTCGGAAGACTACACAAAGACTACTGATCACGGACTGGCAAAGTATACGGGTGACTGGAAATTGTGAAGCTGTAACTTCTCACGGAAACCTTAAATTTACCTCTAACCACCTGGCTCATTTTAAAGAAAAAAAGTCGCTCAATTTGCACTGCAAAAAGAGTTTCTCAACAGAGCGCCATTTCTGTGCGGTGCCCCTATAATAATTAGGTCGCGTTTAGATCAGTAACTTTCTAATTAGATTAATATCGAATTGCCAGAGTAGGTTGCTCGAAATTTTAATCTAATTAGATAAATTTTGAATCTAATATCAGCGTTTTTTCAATCTAATTAGAAAATTTATCAGTCCAGTTAGAAGAATTTGCAATCTAATCGCAGTAAATTAGCAATCTAATCGCAGTAAATTAGCAATCTAATTAGTTCCCGTTAGAAACGCAAATTAGCTAGCTAGATTACAAACGCTTTACCTGACAAGTCTGATAAACATGCGACGGAGTCGCTTCCGAGTATCAGATCGGCTAGCGCAGCAGGCCAAATTTCAGAAAGTTTTGTTCTTAAATATTTAATAACTCTTAAGTGGTGGTGGTGGATGTCTGTTCAATTGTTGACATAAACTTTCAAACGGTCCGGAGAATCGAACAAGCGTTATCGACCAGCGCAGCGGGCCCAGGTTTCAAAAGTCTTGTTTTTAATTAAGGTTTTGAAAATTGGCTTTGCGCCAGGCGGGCGGTTTGATAGAGCGTGTTTGTTCAAGTATACTAAATTTACCGATCTTGCCCCCTCTGTGTTTGCGCACTCAAGCCGAATTTCAGAAATTTTGGCTTGAGTCTGCAAGTACCGGGGGGCAATAGCGATGAATTGAGTTTGGTTTTCGAAAGGCCGTGGTTTCACTAACGAAGTCATAATATTGAGCATTGCCTCGACGGTATTCGACTCTGTTGATGCTGCATTTTCGGGTGAATGAAGTTCGGACTCCGAGCTGAAAGTGAGGTGAAGATCCTCATTGTCCGTAATGATGTTTGTTGCTGAAATTGATATAGGGGTTGTTCCAAAATGCCATGTCGTCCAGTACAAAATTAGCGAAAAAATTAGCATATTTTCTGAAGATTGATATTCAGTTAAACGGGAAATACAGTGCGCGTCATAAGTATACGTCACCCGCTATTTTCGATGATATTAGTAGAACTAGACGTTTTATCAAAGAACGGCTAATGCGCATACTTTTGACGCGGCCAAAATTTCGAATTTCCGACCTGGTCGGGTACCCGTAATTTTTATGTAGGTTTTCGCAGTCGAAGTTAAATAAATGGCTTACATTTGGGCATACAAGTCCTGTTTCCTTGATCCGATGTTTCAACACATTTTCTATGCTTCGGTTCAGGAGACTCTACCGTTTTCTCCAATCCTCCATTATTGTTCCTTCTCATTGAAATCACCGTCTTTTTACGTTCGCTGATTTGTTGTGCCGTCAACTTGAGTGCTGGTAACTCATTGGGCAGAGCACTGAGAGGTTCATCGACGAGATTACGCATACTTTGAAGTGCAACATGGACTGCAATGTGACTGGGAGAGTCATGCGGCAGTTGCAACGAAACAAAAGGACTTGACCATTTTTTCATTTTCGTCTGAACTTTTTTTGTGAACCATTCTCCAAATTAGTCGCGAAATACTGAATGACTACCAGATTTTTGACTACCTGTATTTTTAACTACTAATATTTTTTACTACCAGATAGATTTATGATTACCAGGATTTTTGACTACCGGATAGATTTTTGGCTACTCGATTTCTGGTCAACAATAATGCAGCCCCGTCATATTTTTTATGATCTGCACAATGTAGGATCCCGTACACACAGGTGATTCGCGATCGGTCTATTGAGAACGTGGACCTGTGATAGGCCTATGTGTAATATGCCTATCACCAGGGCTGGGCAAATGGCCGGCCATGGCTGGCTAATGAAAAGCCCTGGCTGGCTAATGAAAAGCCCTGGCCGGGCTAGTTGCAAGCGCGCTCCACTGCAAAAAAGCCTTGGCCGGTCAATGGGACGGTAAGCAATTCGGTTCACTGAGCGGTGTTTGCACACAAGCATTTTAAATAAAGAAAAAACGTGTTTTCGAAAGGGTTTTCTTTTTTTCTAAGTTTTTTCACTTCATGATCAAATATTTTCACAGAAAAATGCTCAATTCGATGAATTCGATTCATTCGAGGCAGCACCGGGTGCAGGCGGCCGTGGATGTGAAAGTCGCTTCCCAAAAGTGAGCTCTAGCACATCACCGGGGATGCAAATTGAGCGACCTCGGGGCCGAGTTTGAACAGTTAGGCCACATTTTCAGTGGAAAATTACTTTGCGGCCTAGAAATTCGGCCAGATTGCGAACAGCGCGCCATTTCTGTCCGGTGCCCCAATAATATACTCAATTTACTGCTCTTGCCCCCTCGGTGTTTGCAGACTCAAGCCTAATTTCAGGAAATTTTGGCTTGCGTCTGCAAACACCGAGGGGCAATAGCGATGAATTGAGTTTACCGTTTGCCGAAAGAAAGTCAAAAATCTATTCGGTAGTCAAAAATCCCAGTTGTCATAAATCCGGGTAGTCAAAAATCAATCCGGTAGTAAAAAATCCTGGTAGTCGAAAAACAAGACAGTCAAAAATCTGGTAGTCAGTCAGTATTTGCGAAATTAGTCTTACTCTGATTATCCCATGCTGTACATTTCTGTTCACTTTCTCGGAAAATTCGTCAAACGACCCAAACCATTCTATAATCGTTGTTTATTTTGTATTAATTAATTGATTAGGTAAGCTCACCAATGAGGTTCCTTCTTATACGATAATTCAGGTCATCTCGCGATTCTTCTTCCTCCATATGTAGTTTACGTTTTCAGATAAATAAATAAAATCACAATACTATCCAAATATTTCTAAATTTTTTTAATTTTATTTTTGAAAACAATGAAAAAACGTAATAAACTGCCAGACACGTTGAAACAAATCGATACGCAGACAACAAAGATATGGTAAAAAAATTTTTCGTTTTTCAATGGGAGGTATTTAGCTTAGTTTATATTTAAGCGATTGAATTTGCAACATCGAGCTTATTACCGATATAGCCTATGCGAAGATTAGTTTCCTTTTTCCTAAACTCAATTAATCGATATCGCCCTTCGGTGTTTGCAGACACAAGCCAAAATTTCTGAAATTAGGCTTGAGAACGCAAATACCGAGGGAGCAAGAGCGGTGAATTGAGAAGAATATTTAATCGTTATTATCAAACTATTTTAGCTTAATTGAACTTTCATCTATTTCACTTCTTATGTTACCGAGACAAAGCGCTTTTCAAAAAAGGAAAAAGTGTTTTTTAAGCTTTCCTTGGGTATACCTAGAAATTAGTTACTTTTATATGTCGAAATTCTGAGTATATGGTCCTAGTCGGCGCAAATTGCGCAAAGAAGAAAAATAGAACGATGGCCTAGAAATCCTAGCTACAGTTGTTCGTCCATCTTCGCAAACCATTAATCTTAAATAAACAACCATCAAACAGATTTTTATTGAATAAACCACTGCTTTTCCGAATTAAATGTTTTATTTATTTATTTATTTACGTTTATTTTAACGTGGAGATGAGAGAGAGAGAGGAGAGAAAAATGTTGTACACCTCTGGTGAAATACCCGAGTATTCAATGAGAACGACTCAACATATCGTATCATCATGTTTTAAAAAAAAGCAATTTCTCTATCTAAACGTCCGAACTGCCACATTGAAAGCTCGTTTAACATTTATGTTCTTCAGAAAAACATGGAATGAGTAGAACCATGCTCAGTGTTCGGATCATCGTTCTTGCACTTCTACTCAGCGCAGGGCTCGGCCAACGAGTAACTAGAAGTGAGTTGATGGTGCGACGTCGAAATAAAAATAGAATTGTTTCGAAATACAAGTGTTCCGAAAAGCGACGGCGCGAAATAGAACTTGTCTAGAAACAGCAGTTTCGGAATGTCATTTAATCAAAACTTCAGTTTTAGAACTGTTCCGAAATAGAACAATTCTCGTTGAGTTTTGAGTTTTTGGCATACTTCAGAACAGTTGTATTTCGGAACAGTGGAATTCCGAAACAGCCATATTCCGAGACACGTGCTATATCGAGACAGTTCTATTACGGAACAAGTTCTATTTCGGAACACTTCTATTCCGAGACGAGCACTATTTCGAAGTCGCACCGAGTTGATCAAAATCCGTCAGTTTAATATGATCAATAAACATCAGATGTGGAAGTGACAGCTGAAGAAGAAAAAATACGAGATAAACTAGGTTACGAAGTTAGTCCTTAATTCAATGACAAGCCAGAATCTAAGCATTTTCAGGCGGTTAAAGAAATTCACCGCGACATGGATGACGATCATTCCGGGTCAATCGACAGGAATGAGTCAACAGGAGTATGTAAAAAGCTTTCCACTAGACGGTCATTGTATTTTTAAAGTTCATGAAAGAGGATATGCAAATGAGAGGTTCCGAAAGAACTCGTCGCGAGAACAAATTTCACAGAGATGATGATGCGATTAGCGTAGATGATCTGTGGGAAGCTTGGTTCGAAAGCGACGAACGATCTTGGAGTAGTGACAGGGTTAGTATGAAATAAACTATCATAGGCTTTCTCAAAAATTCAGCTCGTGGATTGGATACTGAACGACGTGAACCTACCGAGCATTGCGGATTCTATTAAAAAGAAAAAAGTGGATGGGAAATTTCTTCCGAGGTGAAATGGGTACCCGGCATTATGCCGCGTCCAAAGTTAATAAAAAAGTGCTGCCCCGAATCGGAACCGCTCGAATCAGAACTAATCTCAGTGCTACTTGGTTCTGATTCGTACCAGTTCTGATTCGGGCGGTTCCGATTCTGGGCAGCACCAAAAAATTCCGGATTCACGTCGGACTTTTCTGGCATTTACGGGTTTTTTAAAAGAACTTTGGACGCGGCATTACGTAAGTCAACTAATGCTTCTCAGATTCGCTTCGCCGAATTCAGATTTTCTGACAAAGGAACTGGGAATCAAATCGTCTGTTTATCGACAGAAGCTAAGACTTAATTCATTGGACGTTGTTCTGTTTGGTTACAAAGACAACAATAACAGAACAAAAGATATTCTTCTAGCTTTTCTGGTGAATAAATATTTTCTGACAAATTTCACTAAATTAAAATTAGTCTAGGCACTTCTCTTCACTTCACTTCTGTTCATATACGTCCGACAAAAACAAAAGGCCCAGCGGAAAATGAATGAGTTATCATCTAAACTTACTGAATTAAAGTGCATGGAAAGCGAATTTGAAGACGTGCAGAAAATGCTGAACGATGAGAGGAGTAAAAGGTTGCAACCGTTGCTTAAACAGAAAATTCGAAAACAAAATTATTTTTAGATCAGTTACGGATGGTGTAGTAAATCGGACAGAAATGGAAAATTTGAGAGTACAATTGGAAGAAGCTGAGCGTCGTCTAGAAGCAAATACAAACGGTTCCGGCACACCACTTGCACTTCAACCACTTCTGCGAAGAACTTGTGAGAACGAGATGACCTTTCTAGAAAAACAACGTCAAGAGTAGCTCTGAACTAATTTTTTTGCAAGCAATGCAGGCTTACAGGTGTTTCAAAGAAATGAAGGAGGCGATTGAAATGGTAGATAGACTGCAGAAAAAACAAGGAAGTGTTCTTTCATCACTGAAGTTAGCGACGGGAGCTGCGTCAACTAGCGATCAAGTTGACTCGAGGATTTTTGCTCTAAAGTGAGAAACCTATTCATACAGGGTGCGCCAAAATTATTATGGCGGTATTTCATTGCAAACGTGCTCTGTTGAGAACTTTTTTTGCAGTGCAAATTGAGTAACCTCGGGGTCGAGTTTGAAAAGTATTTTCAGTGGAAAGATACTTCGCGGCCTAGAAATTCGGCCAGATTGCGAACAGAGCGCGATTGCAGAGGAATACCGCGATAATGTTATATTTTTTATGCAGACGTAATTTTGGCGCACCCTGTATATCGCTGCTGCATTATTCTGGCAATCTAGGGACCGCGACGGGTTTCGCAAAGCTAAAAATTTGTGTAATTTTCTTGTGGAAATGTGTTCCCCTAATCTCTTATTGTGGTATTTTTCTTACGTCATGCGGACCACCATTGTCAACATTGTTCAACTGGCTCCGTCCCCTCCGCCTCGAGTAATTGCCGATTCGGCTGACAGATCGATTTTTGCGCTAATTTCGATGTTTTCCTAGCATGATTTAAAGTCGAGCTCCAGTAATTATTTTTTGTCACAAACGAGCAAAACGAGTTACGACTCGGCAAAGGCGCGCCACTTTTGCGCAAAGTTAGCGCAGCTTCTGCTTGCTAGTTGCGCAAAAGCTGCGTAAAGTTTGCGCAAAACCTGCCAGTTTTAAAAGTTTGCCCAAATGCTGTTAAAAAAATGTTCAGTTTATTTCCACTTCATTTCTGCACGAAAAAACAATTTCATTGGGATAGTATAAAAACCCAGTAAAAATAACCATTTAGAGATCAGTGATTGTATAGTCTTCGTCACTTTCATAACTCAAAAAAGACACGTTGTTATCTATAAGTGAAAATGCACGCGATGTAGGAGACACCATCCTCAAAATCTGAAATTCTCATCTACGAGTTATAAAATTCTCTGGTAACTCACTGAAACACTTCTGATTCATGAATCGGAGCAGTAACGGCCGTGTCTATGCCGCGTATTTTCGCCTTCCCCCAAAAAATTTGAATTCCGCCTTTTCAAAAACTCTGGAAACTCGATCTCTGGAAACTCGATTGCAATCTAATTAGAAGAGTTTGCAATCTATTAAGAAAAAGCTCTATTTCGCAATCTAATCAGATTTAATTGAAGTTCCAGTAAAATCGTATTAGATTACAAAATATTTTTCCTGAATTGCAATCTAATAAGAAATCATTGCAATCTAATTAGAAAAATTGCAGTGATTGTAATCTAATTAGAAGATTTTGCAATCTAATTGAAGCAAATTCTATTTCAAACGAGTTCGTATTAGATTGCAAAGTTTTCTAATTAGATTGCGATCGAGTTCCCAGAGAAATCGATTCGGCTCAACTCTGGTTCCACTTCTCTTCTGAATCATATTTCACGTAGTCAATGACTACTAGTCATATAACAGTTTTAATCTAAACGGAACTCACCGAGTCTCCTTTCGAGACAAATGACTGGGACACTATTTGGCTGAAGTCGATAGTTTCGTCCGAATCCATTTTTCGGTTTTTGTTCTATCTAAATCAGAAAAGAATGTGATGTAGTACAAAAGTACGAGCATGTGAATCATTCGAACATCTTAAATAATTGTGAAGTAGCTCGAATTCAAGTGATTTCATACAAATTTTCAATAACACTCGCTTCTAAACGAAATCCGACTGAAATTTCGCTTGAAGTGCGCTCAAACCGAGGAAATACGGAAAAAGATCAGTAGTTTCAATTTGATAAGCAACAAAAAACAAATGAAACGCATAAAAACAAACTGGAAAAAGCGAACAGTGCTGAAAATGCAAAGTTTCTCCATAACAACTTCGAGATGCCTTAAAGTTTGCGCAAAAGCTTCGATGACGCTTAAAGTTTGCGCAAAAGCTGCGAGGATCCTTAAAGTTTGCGCAAAAGCTGCGAGAATCCTTAAAGTTTGCGCAAAAGTGGCGCGCCTTTGCCGAGGAGTGGAAAACACAGCAAAATTAGCACGAAATTCAATCTGCCAGCCAAATCGGCGATTTTTCGAGGCGAAGGGGGCGTGGTTTGGTAGTTACTGTTGACAACGGCACGGCGACCAAAAGTGTAGAAAGGGGCGTGGTCGCGACACTGGTGACACGGGAACGGTGTTAGCGCGTTTTCCGTTTTTCCTTGCGCAAAACGCGATCGCGCGAGGGATCAAAATGTGAACATTTGACGTATTTCGCAAAGTTTTTATCTTTTCCGACTGTTGTTCTTTGTAATAAATGCTTTATTTTGTTTCTGCAGTACTACTGTCTCGGCTTTTCTTTCAAAAAATGATATAAAATGGGTTTCAGGTCGGTGAAATCGACGTCGGACAGACAGGAAACGAAAATGAAACTAGATCTGCGGTCAGTTAAGGTTGTAACTATATGTTTACTCTCCGCCACACTTTCCAGAAACTCCCCGTCTGGATCCTGCATTAAAATCGGTTCATGCGCATCTGCGGAAAAAACAGCGAAAATGAGGTTGCGAGAGCGACAGACACCGGATGGATTTCATCGGGTATTCAGGCTTCCCGAGAACAAATTTTAAACTTTCAGATAACACAACGATTCATAACAAAGAAAAAAGAGTAATGATGAAAGAAAATAGACGAATACGGACAGTGGCTTAGTCGATAGACATTCCACAGTCAAAAATGGCATTGAAGCAGGCCATTTGTTGGAGAATGAGCTGCGCATGCAGCTTTTCGTCTCGAACCGCTGCGAATCTGCGATTGAACGTATTGAAGAGCGCGTGCAGGCTTTCGATCGCCTGTTCCGTCAGTCTTCCCCATGAACGGTTGGCACGAAGGAAAGGAACCAGATGGCACGCAACCAAATGCAATTTTGGTGTAAGAACCGCTTCCGGCGTCGCTGATTTGATATTACGGATCAGTTCGTTCACATTTTGCTCGATCTCATCGATTTCTTTCTCACTTTTAGCGGCAGGATCCGCATTTGTCATGAGAAAGTCGAGATTGTACATAACGAGCCTGATCTTCGAAATAAAGCGACTAGGAGGGAAGACGTTCACAATCTTCTCGATGTTTTCCGCTCGCAGAATCTTTCTGATATGATTTCCGCAGAAGTCTTGAAGCCACACACGCTGATCAACACCAAACGATCGGAGTGCCTCTTCGAACTTCTTCCTCGTTGGCCCCGAAGACTTTTGCATGCAGCCTTCCAATTCGGTCATCATTTCAGTGAATTCCTCGAGCACAGCGGAGTCTTCTTCCAAATCAGCAGCGATACGGTCCCTTCTGTGAGACAGAAGATCAATCCGCGTCTCCACTGAAATCGTCGATCCGACGGAACAATCTAGACAATCAATCGTCGGCTGCGCATTTTCGAAGACTTCCCCATCGTCGAATTGAAATGCGCAAACTGCATGGATCGTCTTCGAGCAACGGGAGCACACGAACGAATGGAGCGGCGAAAAAGTGCTTTTCTTCGCGTTTGCTGCCAGACAAACCGACGACGCGCATGCCTCCACCTGACTGCGACGGCCCCTTCCCGTTGATCCAAACTTCTTCAGAACTTCCGAAGCTCTGTCGGCCATGGTCTTCGACTGTTGCAGGGCGTCAACCCGCATCTCGTATCTTTCCACGCCCGCTTTCCTCTGCTTCAGAAGCTTCCTTTGATGTTTCAGCTCTCTGGGAAGTACTTGGCTTTTCGAATCGATTTGATTGCAATGAGCAATGAGCGGGTCGAGAACATAGGACTTAGTCACCCCGGACAGTGAATGAAGAGCAGGAGGAGCAATCGAGATTGGTTCGACGTCGAGCAGCACGTCTCCCTGCAGTTTCAGCTCGTCCAAGGACCTCACGTCGCCACTGTTTTCAAAGGGAAAAGTGCCGACGAGAGCGGCATTCGCCCCGTGAGTTGTCCAAGGAAGCGTGCACACAAAACACGGGCACTTCGAAGACTGTCCCGGGTGATGAAGAAGAGCAGAGAGATATTTACAGTCGCCCACAACCAATTTCCGAACTTTCTTTGTGACATATCCTCCATTGCACATGTACGTGACACTTTTCAGTTCGTTCACCTGAAAACAATAGCTTAACAATCGTTGTGAATTTGAGGTACTCACTTGCTTGAAAACGGATCCCAATCGTTCCTTCAGTGTTCGGTGATCGTCGTTCCCCGTGTAGAACCCGAGAACAATGCTTCCTTTCGGATCATTCGGAGTGTGCGAGTTGGCAATCATCATTGCTACCTTCGTCTGCTCTCCTCCTTTGTCTCCCGCAATTCCGACAATTATTTCATCATCTGTCACGTCGTCGAAAACAAGGCGACCGGATTTCTGGAGAGCGGATATTCTTCTCGAGAGCACTTCTTCCAAGTGAACGATCCCGACGACTGCGGAGCGAACGTGGATCCGACGGCCTGTTCTCGTGGTTCTCTCTCCGGACACAATGTCGATGGCGTAGTTGACACCTGGAGCAAACTTTTTCTTCAGATTTGCAATTTCTGCTCGCGATCCGAACACGTCGAAGTGCAAGCGGCTTGTGACGAAAGCCTTAAAAGACCTGAGAAATCGGTCGGAAAGGCGCCAATGAATTGCGGCAACGAACGAATCCCAGTCGCTCAGCGACAAAGAGAAAGAAAACTGCTCGCTCTCAGACACAAATCGCACGAAGTCGATGAGAAACTGATCGACGCTGCTTGGACCGGCAAACTCCTTCACGTATTCGGCAAGCTCTCTGCACCTCTCTTCTCTGGCGGTTCTGCTCAACAGTTTGCAATACTCCTTCTTGAATCGAAACGCGGATATGTTCGACAGCCTTTCCCGGAGCGGCGACACTTCTGCTTCCTTCTCTTTCTGGAGATTTTCCTTCACAACCTCAACCGCATGGGAGAAGTGTTGCTCGTACGAAGAACGCAAATCTGCGGCTTCATTCTCCGCTTTTTCCGCTCTATCCCGGTGGCGACGCACCCACTCCTCATCTTCGCGAGCCTCTTGCTTCAGAGCTTGGATTTGGTCTCTGAGGAACTTCACAAGCTTCTCTCCGTCGTCGAGTAGCATCTTCAGGTGTTCATTCTCTCGCTTCAATTGTTTCCGTTCTTCTTCCCAATTCTCCTTTTCGACTTTCAAGAGCGCCCATTCATTTGTCCGATGGTTTTCTTCTTCGCGGCGCTTTTCCGCAGCTATTCGCAGGTTTCTCGTGCGAATCTCGTCGACTTTTTTAGGTCTTGGCATTTCTGTAACAGTTATTGTTCGTTCAACTGCCTCTACTTCACTTTTTTTTCTTCAAGCTCCCTCCTCTTGCTTTTTATAGCCTTTTCATGAAGACAACAAGTTTTCTAATTGTTATGACCACGATTCACCAACCTTTCGGAAGATTCCTTTCTTTCGCTCGATCTACCCGTCGAAACACCCGCCTTGCGTACCCAATAATCACCTGTAAAACGACAATTCGGCCGGAAACAATCGATAGCAATCAAGAAAACCGAGCAGCTTCGAAAAAACAAACGTCGGAACGAGAAAACAGATCGGAGACAACGTTACTCTGCGCAAATTACTGTGATTTTCCACTATTCGATTGAAAACGTTTGTATTCTCTCCTGATTTATTTGTTTTAAAGTCTATTTCTCTCTAATTTCCGTTTTTTTCAGCCGGCGCGCCACATTTCAAGAGGCGCCTTTTCGAAAAATCGATTCAAAAAATTCATTTCTGAAGCAAATGCCACAAACTCGCGCCTAAAATGCTCAAAAAGATAAATTTAAAAAAGTTAAGCAGTTACATCAACAAAAAATGTGCGAAAACCAGTAAATTTACGTCAAAAACATCAAATTGACTGTTTAATTTCAAATTTCCCGCGGAACTTGTTCCTGGTATACGGTAGCCGGCCACGCCCCTTTCTACACTTTTGGTCGCCGTGAACGGTGGTCCGCAAACACCACGTAAGAAAAATACCGCGTCAATATATATGTATGAGTAAGATTTCAGTTTTTTTCGAACATTCTCGGTACTTCCCTATAGGGTTTCGGATCTTCCGGACATCGCGTTTTAAAGAAGGCATCCGGGTAGAGAATTGAAAAATAATTTGACACTGCAGAATTGTACCTTGACGTTGTTCCAAATCAACTCCAAAAACCAGCTCCTCTGGCAATTCGATATTAATCTAATTAGAAAGTTACTGAACTAAACGCGACCTAATTAGATTCGACAGTTTTTTCTTGGCGCAATCGAGATTTGAGCCAGCAGACGGTTGGCGTGAAACTTGATTTGAGCACATTTCAATCTAATTAGAAGATTTATTAATCTAGCTAGACAATTTATTAATCTAATTAGGTGTCATATCAATCTTATTAGGCCGCCGTATAACTCGAGTAGACTGCGATTAGATTAATAACGAAATGCCAGAGTCGGCAAATCTCTGTAACCTTAGCGCAAAGATGGCGCAACTTTAGCTGGCAAGTTGCGCGGCGCAAATTCTACGCAGCTTTTGCCCAACTTCCCAGCTAAAGTTGCGTAAGCTTTGTGCAGAAGTTACAGAGGTTTGCCGAGAGGGCTGGGTCTGGGCGAGCGATCAGCTTCCCGTTGCCTGAGAAATTGTCCTTGGCTCGCTGCCAACTCCGATTCGAATGTCAAACCTTTTTTTCAACAGTAGCGAAAAAACGCGGGGCGAGAGAAATACCCAGACTTGCCAAATTACGGGCCGGCCCGGCCCGGCTCAAAAGGCGCGAATTCATATTTTTGGGGGAAATCTATTTTATCGTTTTTTTTGCGGGGATCAAAATTAAAAAAAAATGTTGCGCATCGAACAGCTCAAGTGCCCGACGTACACAAATTCCATTTTGATGATGAAGAGGTCAAACTTTTGAAAAGTGCCGATGACCTGATAAAAGAAGCTTCCAAAGTTTCGAATGCAATCCGAACAAATGTCAATTTGTGTTCAATTTTGACTAAGTTGCCGCCGCCCCCATGATACTTGCAAAATTCGTTAGTTCTACGAAAAACAAACATTTTATTTAATCAATAGTTCAAAGTTTGGATTCCCGCTTTTTGAACCGGGCCGACCGGGCCGGAGTTTTTAAAATTTCGGCCCGGCCCGGCCCGTGGCAACTCTGGAAATACCAGTTGCGCGGTAGAAGAGAGAGGACAGACGGACAGTTACTCTGGCAATTCGATATTAATCTAATTTGAAATCTACGATCTAATCTCAAACTACTCAGATTAGGCTGTTTTTTTCTTGGCGCTAGGCTGGTCGAACAGGCGATTTTAGGCGCCTGCGCCTGATTTCTCAACGCAAAAACGCAGCGACGTGTTGAAAAAACAGGCGCCTGTTTTTTATATAGATATGTGGATCATTGGCTGAAAGCCCGGGCTTTTCTTTTACAATTTCTCCCCGATTTTTCTCGATTTTTTTGTTGTTCTGTTTTCTACAGTAATCTTCCGTAATCTTGTCGAGTTGAGTTTCCAGTGACCGGTGGAAAGGAACCTTAGAATAAGTAATGCGCCCGAAGGGAAAACATTTTTGACGGTGTGAATCTGGAGAAAACGAGGCTTCGTAATAAAAAAAAACCACGTGCAGATAGGTTTTTTTTCGGGACAGTTCTGGTTCGGCGTAGCATCGGAGAAAACATTATTTGTTTCGGAAAATTGGAAAAATCGATGAACAGCAATTTGCTGCTGAAAAAATCGGGGAGAAATTGTAAAAATCTGCACTTTTGCGGTTGATATGGAACATCGTCAAGGTACATTTCTGCAGTGTCAAATTATTTTTTAATTTTCTCCACGGATGCCTCCTTTAACAGGTAGGAACATTTGATATGGTTTGGTCACACTAGGCTGGTCGAACAGGCGCCTGAAAAAACAGGCGCCTGTTTTTTCAACACGCCGCTGCGTTCTTGCGTTGAGAAAACAGGCACAGGCGCCTGAAATCGCCTGTTCGACCAGCCTAGGTCGCACTCCAAAATTCGCATAACAGTGAGCAAAAATCTGCCCGTCGTAGGGAGACAGTGAGATTGATGATGTTTGCTGTTTTAGAAGTCGAATGGAGAAGATTCATACGCTTACCCGCGAAACGCAAGAGCGATGGATGCAAATTGAATCTTTATGTGGTTTTCCTCTCCTCTATATAAATGGTAATTTTCAAACTTTATCAAGTGGTACCGTGCGTTGTTTTCCATGCATGATATTTCTTTCACTACTGTGCGCGTCTTCACAATTAGAAAAAAGGGCATGGCCTACTTGGCATACTCGAAAGCGGCAACGCCGGTTGTTTGAAAGTCCACGTTCACATTTTAGAAGTGAAAAAAAATAGCGACGGACAAAAAGAGAAGACTTTCATTTAAAGAAGAATACTTAAGTTTTAAACCTGGGTCCGCTACGCAGGTCGAGCTCACTTCTGTTTATGAGGGTGACAAAATGCCGATACTCCCAGGGGTCAACAATGCCCGTAGTCAAGCCTGAGGGGGGGGGTCAGGCTTGTTTTTACGTATATTAGGCCCGACACGGTATTGCGTTTTGGGCGATTTAAGGTTTACAAGCCTGACAGATGAATATTTTTAGAATCATCTCCATCGGGATCAGTAAAGATCGCTATTCGACCCGCCGTTGTACAAGAAGACAATTGGGAAGTAAGTTATGTTAAAAAGGAATCTCCAAAGTTAATCTGAATTTCTTGAAAACCGTCCGATGACTGCTATCGTACTATATCTCTCGATATTTTCCCCCTGAAAAAATTACATAGCTTTTAGTAAATTATTATTTGAACGAAATCGCATCGAATTTTCGGAGTTTTATGAGAGCCTGGTTATTAATTTAGGTCTTTGTTTTCGTGAGATTCTCGAGTAACCTTCCGGGGACCATGATTAGGGACCGCAGCGGGTTTTACGAAACTCAAAATTTCTATAAGATGGTTGGAATGCGTTCCCCTACTCTACTGTTGAAAAAAAAAAGTTTCGACATTAGAATCGAAGCTGGCAGCGTGCCAAGGCCCGGCCTCCCAAACGCATATGCTGCGCGGGGTTGTTGCAACATTGCCGCACGCTTTATTGTTCTTCGTTTTTGTCTTTATTTTTCGGCTAAAAATCAGCAGAAATTTGGTTATTCTCCTTTTTTACTCGTATTTATTCATTTCAATTGTCTTTTGCTATAAAAAATCAACTTTGAAAACAGGTTTATCGATTTTTAGCTTGAATTTTCGAACATTTCTCGATTTCTGTTTTTCTCCTTTCGATTTCGCTGAATTTGAGAATTTTCAGGATTTCCGCCTACGGAAAACTCGAACAAGCAACAAAAGGGCATGGATTTCTTCTTTTCGTGTTAGTTTTTGACATAACAACAATTTTCTCTCCGATCAACGTTTACAGAGCGTCTTCTCCACTTCGCCGTCAGCACACAACGGAATACAAAAAGCTGTCGTGTTAGCTTGAAGAAGAACGAGATTATTTTCTCTCCGACCGTATTTTCAGAGTCCGTGGACGCTTCAATCCGGAAAAAAGGAGAAGAAAATAGAATATCACTGATAATTAGAGTGACGTGTCGACACGAAAATCGAGGAAATGTCGGGTCGATTATCGAAGGGGATGATCGACAAAAATAATGTCGATCGACAAAAAATGCGCGGACTGTCGACAAATTATCGATCGACAACACTTGCCCAATTTACTTGTCGACAGAATGTCGATAGTCGACAAAATATTTTTTGTCGACAATCGACAATGTCGATAATCGACAATCGCTCATTGTCGATAGTCGACAAACTGTCGACAATTTGTCGACAATTTGTCGACATTCCCGTGGCCTAGAAAACATCACGTGTAGTCCGAGAGGACAATAAATTATCATTATTTTTCGAAACTTTTTTTGTGTTTATTACTTTTTTTGTACATATGACAATTGTTATAACTAGGGGCCACAACGGGTTTCACGAAACTCAAAAATTCTAAAAATTTGCTGGAATGTGTTCCCCTACTCTATATGAGTACGCTCCCAATTTTTTTTCCAAAATTTTCGGTACATCCCGAGTTACGCCCATTCAAAGTTGGCCTGTTTTCTCCCGGTCGGCGGCAGAGGAGGGGGCGGAGTCTCGCCTGCAAGTCCGCCGCACGCGTTTTTCGCCTCTGTTTGGTGGCTGAAACCAAAGAGGCAACATATAAATTGAAGAAAAATGATGTTCTAAAAAAGCAAAACATCTTTCAAGGTCAAAAGTTTCGAACCCGACACCTCCAGACTGCCGAGTGAGCACTCTGCCACTGCGCCAAACGGGCGGGGGCGCGCCGACCACCAATGGCAATGAGAACGTCGGTTTGCGCGGCCCCCTTCCAGGCCACGGGAATGTCGACAAATTGTCGACAAATTGTCGACAGTTTATCGACTATCGACACTGAGCGATTGTCGACTATCGACAATGAGCGATTGTCGACAATCGACATTGTCGATTGTCGACAAAAAATATTTTGTCGACTATCGACATTCTGTCGACAAGTAAATTGGGCAAGTGTTGTCGATAGATAATTTGTCGACAGTCCGCTGTCGATCGACATTACTTTTGTCGATACTGTCGACATAAATTTCCTCGACTTTTATCGACTTTTCGACAAACTCTCATGTCGACACGTCACTCTACTGATAATAAAATTCTTTCACTTTTCTTGTCATTTAATTTATTGTAAAACGTAATAAATACATCTAAAATAATTGGTATTAGTGCCAATTCATACTGTCCGCTGCAGCGGGAGATGCTTCTTCAACTTTCACTTGTGTGCTGACGGCGGAGTGGAGAAGACGCTCTGTAAACGCTGATCGGAGAGAAAATTATTGTTACGCCAAAAAATTACACGAAAAGAAGAAATCCATGCCCTTTTGTTGCTTGTTCGAGTTTTCCGTAGGCGGAAATCCTGAAAATTCTCAAATTCAGCGAAATCGAAAGGAGAAAAACAGAAATCGAGAAATGTTCGAAAATTCAAGCTAAAAATCGATAAACCTGTTTTCAAAGTTGATTTTTTATAGCAAAAGACAATTGAAATGAATAAATACGAGTAAAAAAGGAGAATAACCAAATTTCTGCTGATTTTTAGCCGAAAAATAAAGACAAAAACGAAGAACAATAAAGCGTGCGGCAATGTTGCAACAACCCCGCGCAGCATATGCGTTTGGGAGGCCGGGCCTTGGCACGCTGCCAGCTTCGATTCTAATGTCGAAACTTTTTTTTTTCAACAGTATATGAGTACGCTCCCAATATTTTTTTTTCATACTTGAACGCTTCTGTTCAACAATCGCCCCCGGCAGTGCAAAAAAGGGGGCACAGCTCAATGAATGTAACCGTACCCCTAAAACTACGGTATTTTTTGAAAATTTGTTAATTTCTTGCGCAAGAAAAACCTGCCGTTTTTACGGTTTTTCCGAGACTTTGGACGCGGCATAAAGAATAGCCCCCTTTTTTGCACTGCCGGGGGCGATTGTTGAACAGAAGCGTTCAAGTATGAAAAAAAAATATTGGGAGCGTACTCATATAGAGTAGGGGAACGCATTCCAACCATCTTATAGAAATTTTGAGTTTCGTAAAACCCGTTGCGGTCCCTAATCATGGTCCCCGGAAGGTTACTCGAGAATCTCACGACGATTTGTTAATTTCTTGAGGATATTTGAAAATATTGAAATTTCTTGCGCAAATTTTCAAAAAATACCGTAGTTTTAGGGGTACGGTTACATTCATTGAGCTGTGCGCACCCCCGTTTTTCACGCAAATTTCGGCCGAGCCGAACAGCCCCACACTTAGAAAAGCCCCCCACTCTAGTGAAACTCATTAAATGAGAACTGTGTGTTTTCTGAATTTCAGGCAAAACACATCGAAAACGGGTGAAAAAACAATCATAGCGACGAAAAAGTAAAAAAAAAACAACTTGTTTCACGGTCTCCCAGGGCGGTAATGCTAAACACAGTGCGCTCGTAAATTGCGGAGTGTCGTTGTAACTTTTGAAAATTTGCAGGTCTGACAAAGGGGGGGACTTTATTTGAATTTACCCGCATTTTTTTCTACATATACTCAATTTACCGCTCTTGCCCCCTCGGTGTTTGCGTACTCAAGCCTAATCTCTGGGAACTCAATCGCAATCTAATTAGAAAACTTTGCAATCTAATACGAACTCGTTTGAAATAGAATTTGCTTCAATTAGATTGCAAAATCTTCTAATTAGATTACAATCACTGCAATTTTTCTAATTAGATTGCAATGTTTTCTAATTAGTTTGCAATTTATTCTTATTAGATTGCAATTCAGGAAAAATATATTGTAATCTAATACGATTTTACTGGAACTTCAATTAAATCTAATTAGATTGCGAAATAGATATTTTTCTTATTAGATTGCAAACTCTTCTAATTAGATTGCAATCGAGTTTCCAGAGATTTCAGAAATTTTGGCTTGAGTCTGTAAACACCGAGGGGCAATAGCGATGAATTGAGTTTAGGTGTTTTGAGTTGCGTGCCGGCAGTTCGGGCGAGTGGGAGAGGCCTGGTTCGGGGAAAAATTTGGCAGCCATAAGCAATCTCTGGCAATTCGATATTAATCTAATTAGAAAGTTACTGATCTAAACGCGACCTAATTAGATTCGACTGTTTTTTCTTGGCGCAATCGAGATTTGAGCCAGCAGACGGTTGGCGTGAAACTTGATTTGAGCACTTATCAATCTAATTAGAAGATTTATTAATCTAGCTAGACAATTTATTAATCTAATTAGGTGTCATATCAATCTTATTAGGCCGCCGTATAACTCGACAAGACTGCGATTTGATTAATAACGAAATGCCAGAGATTGCGAAGTTTGCCGGGGGGAATTGCCTCACCACCAGCGTCTTGTACCGCGCCGGGCTTTAAAACGACAACTATGAAATTTTCAGTCGAGTAGTTCAGTCTCTACAAATGTTCGTTTTGTTCCAAAAGCCGATGACTCAGAATTGGAAACCTGTGCAGAATCTGGTGATCTTGTCGATATTCGAGGGTCAATAAACGACGGAATCGAATGTCAACCGGTTGTAAAGTGAGTTCCTGTATTTTATTGTTCTGTAAACTCAATTCATCGCTATTGCCTCTCGGTGTTTGCAGACTCAAGACAAAATTTCTGAAATTACTCTGGCATTTCGTTATTAATCTAATCGTAGTCTACTCGAGTTATACGGCGGCCTAATAAGATTGATATGACACCTAATTAGATTAATAAATTGTCTAGCTAGATTAATAAATCTTCTAGATAGATTAATAAGTGCTCAAATCAAGTTTCACGTAGGGTTGGCAGCGGGGCGCCCCCTCGCCCCCGACCGGTTTTTCCAAAAGCGAGCAAGAATTTTTTTAAAAATTTTTCTCAACGCACGTCGATAGTGAGTAAACGCATTAATCTACTAAATTTTTTACAGAATTTTAATTACACATTAAGGGCCCGGGGGCGTGTGGGGCGAGGGGGCGCCCCGTTGCCAATCCTAGTTTCACGCCAACCGTTTGTTGGCTCAAATCTCGCTTGCGCCAAGAAAAACAGCCGAATCTAATTAGGTCGCGTTTAGATCAGTAACTTTCTAATTAGATTGATATCGAATTGCCAGAGTTAGGCTTGAGTCTACAAACGCCGAGGGGGCAAGAGCGGTAAATTGAGAGAACCAGTGCGCTCCCGAGAATATACCAAAACTCAAAGCAAAAAAGAACAATGTCGGTAACTATAAATATTGTATCAGCACCTCAACATTCTGGCATTGTCGCGCTACCACAGTTCCACGTGAAAACCCGATTGCAGCTGCGAGTTTTTCAAATTTAGCGCTGAATTTATGTGAAGAGCGGTACAGCGCGATTGCCAGACATTTACAGTAGCAATAGCACTCATTTCAAAAATTATAAAGCAGTCTTAACAGCGAAATATTTTCAGAGATACGCAGCTCGAAAATCGTCTATCCCTAGCTACTGTTCGAACAACAATCGAAAGCCCTTATGTGATCGTGAAGAAACGAAGAAATATTTTTCCGAAACTGTTTCGCAGGAATACATCGAAAAGTAGCCTCGGAAGTTCATCACTTGTGAATTCTTGAATTCGACTTGATAATGCAATCCCTTACCTAATACAATTTTTAAGAGATTTAATTTTTCCTCGCCTTTGTGCCGGCCGTGTCCGAATCTAGGGAAAATTTGGCGACCAGCCATGAGAAAGCCGAGATATATTTAATTATTCTCAATTACCATCAAATTAAGCTTCCTGCTTCCGTCCGACCAAAAAATAAAAGCAACGCGTCAAAAAAGACCACGCCCCTTTTTCTCTTCCCGCGCAATTTCGGATTTTGCCGCGGAAGTTTTTTCTAAGCTTTTTGAAGTAGTGCGAATGCAACGAGATCTCTCGACACCCCGTCAGGGCTGGGAAATTGGCCGGAACGTACTTTTCGTTGGCCGGCCCTTGACCTGGACTTTTGAACCACTTGCAATATTCCGATCGGACCCAAACTTTGCAGGCTTCTTGGACATGGGTTGAAGCCTACTGGGACCAAGTTTCAGCCCGATCGGAGCATCTGGTCCCGAGATATGTGGATCATTGGCCGAAATTGGCCGGAAGCCCGGGCTTTTTGGAAAAAATCGGCCAATGATCCACATATCTCGGTACCAGATTATCCGATGGGGCTGACACTTGGTTCCAATCCAAGTCCAACAATCCTGCAAAGTTTGGGTCCGATCGGAATATTGCAAGTGGTTAAAAGGTCCAGGTCAAGGGCCGGCCAATTGCCCAGCCCTGCACCCCGTGGATACCAGATTGAAACTTAGGTTCCAAAAGCATTTCTTTCTCTATAACAATAAAAAAAATGGTGGAAACGGTATCACTGCGGCCTAATTCGTGATCAATTTTCATCAGACACTTTTCGTTCCTAGTTCAGTCCAGTTCACGATTTCATGCTTCAATCTTGCGCAATGAACATAACGGAAGAATCTGGATTAATAAAGTCTATCTAAGGAGAGAGAAAAACGTATGATAGCGTCAAACAAAACTAGAAGCATAAGCTTGATTCGTCACAAGCCGACTGCGTTTTTCTCGTAAGGATGAAATTGTTTATCGAAGAAACATAAACTACTGCATTTTCAGTTTTGCATTATGTTGATTGAACCCACTGCTAGATTGAATCGAGAAGCTCTTTCTGTTCTTACTGTGTTTTTTCTTCTATTACCAACTGGAGCAGGTAGTGATTTTGACATTCACGGCTGAGTCGCTACGCAGCCAATTGCAAAAACAGCTGGAAATTCGGATGAGTTCGGCCGCGTAGTTTTTCGTGCACTTTCTGGAATAACATATTTTTCGGGAAAAGTCATTGAATTTTCGGGGCCAAAAACGACGAAAATTTTTATTCGGGAAGTTACATGAAAAACGGAGTTAATTTTTTGCTGTGAACACAAATAATGCTAAAAAAAAAGGATACAAGAAACACAATTCCGTTGAGTTTGAGTTAATAGGATCTTTTCGAAATTTTTTAGTTGTTGGGCCTACTGCGCAGCGCTGCACTACCATAATCCTTTCAAAAGGGACGCAGCCTAATCGAACCCGGTTCCAAGTTCTTATCTTGTTGGGACTACTAACATCTCGGCATTTGCTAGCAAAAGTTTTGGAAAATACTCATTGACTACCTGATTTTTTACTCCCTCGCTCTTTCTTTTATTATAGGGGCACCGCAAAGAAATGGCGCTCTGTTGAGAAGCTCTTTTTGCAGTGCAAATTTTGCGACCTCGGGGCCGAGTTTGAAAAGTTAGGCCACGTTTTCAGTGGAAAATTACTTCGCGACCTAGAAATTCGGCCAGATTGCGAACAGCGCGCCCTTTCTGTCCGGTGCCCCAATAATACTGCCCTGGATCTTTCCCTACTCTTATTTATTTACTACCCTTGATATCTTACTACCCTGGATATTTTACTACCCATCATATTTTTTATTACCTTTGTACTGTTGAAAAAAAAAAGTTTCGACATTAGAATCGAAGCTGGCAGCGTGCCAAGGCCCGGCCTCCCAAACGCATATGCTGCGCGGGGTTGTTGCAACATTGCCGCACGCTTTATTGTTCTTCGTTTTTGTCTTTATTTTTCGGCTAAAAATCAGCAGAAATTTGGTTATTCTCCTTTTTTACTCGTATTTATTCATTTCAATTGTCTTTTGCTATAAAAAATCAACTTTGAAAACAGGTTTATCGATTTTTAGCTTGAATTTTCGAACATTTCTCGATTTCTGTTTTTCTCCTTTCGATTTCGCTGAATTTGAGAATTTTCAGGATTTCCACCTACGGAAAACTCGAACAAGCAACAAAAGGGCATGGATTTCTTCTTTTCGTGTTAGTTTTTTTGACATAACAACAATTTTTCTCCGATCAACGTTTACAGAGCGTCTTCTCCACTCCGCCGTCAGCACACAAGTGAAAGTTGAAGAAGCATCTCCCGCTGCAGCGGACAGTATGAATTGGCACTAATACCAATTATTTTAGATGTATTTATTACGTTTTACAATAAATTACATGACAAGAAAAGTGAAAGAATTTTATTATCAGTGATATTCTATTTTCTTCTCCTTTTTTCCGGATTGAAGCGTCCACGGACTCTGAAAATACGGTCGGAGAGAAAATAATCTCGTTCTTCTTCAAGCTAACACGACAGCTTTTTGTATTCCGTTGTGTGCTGACGGCGGAGTGGAGAAGACGCTCTGTAAACGTTGATCGGAGAGAAAATTGTTGTTATGTCAAAAACTAACACGAAAAGAAGAAATCCATGCCCTTTTGTTGCTTGTTCGAGTTTTCCGTAGGTGGAAATCCTGAAAATTCTCAAATTCAGCGAAATCGAAAGGAGAAAAACAGAAATCGAGAAATGTTCGAAAATTCAAGCTAAAAATCGATAAACCTGTTTTCAAAGTTGATTTTTTATAGCAAAAGACAATTGAAATGAATAAATACGAGTAAAAAAGGAGAATAACCAAATTTCTGCTGATTTTTAGCCGAAAAATAAAGACAAAAACGAAGAACAATAAAGCGTGCGGCAATGTTGCAACAACCCCGCGCAGCAAATGCATTTGGGAGGCCGGGCCTTGGCACGCTGCCAGCTTCGATTCTAATGTCGAAACTTTTTTTTTTCAACAGTAGTTAGAATTTGCTTGCGCGAAAGTTGGTCACCTTTGCCGAGCAGTTCTGTAATTATTCGGAATATTATTATAGGGGCACCTCACAGAAATGACGATAGAAAATCGGCCAGATTGCGAACAGAGCGCCATTTCCGTGAGATCCCCTATAATATATTCTGGAATGTAGCGAGTGGTTTATTAAGCGGACAGAGCAACAATGCTGCGCATCATGAGATTCTGATTCGAGTAACATCATCTGAAATTCAAATTTCAACACACAAATAATAAACAAATTTCTACCGATTTCTAAATCTAGCTAGCTGATTTTCCAATCTAATCATAATCTAGCTAGGTTTGCAGGAAATTTTAATCTAATTAAATAAATTTTAAATCTAATATCAGCGTTTTTGCAATCTAATTAGCTTCGCCAATCTAATTAGAAAATTCATCAGTCCGTTAGAAGAATTTGCAATCTAATCGCAGTAAATTAGCAATCTAATTAGATCCGGTTAGAAACGCGAATTAGCTAGTTAGATTAGAAACGATTTGCCTGAGGAGCAACGAGTAACCAAAAAGTTCAGTCGCTTTCTAAGATTTTCTCTCGTTCTCTTTTTCTGCTTATTCACAATCTTTCTTCTTTTTCACACTTGTTTTCGTTACCAACGAACTGTTTCATTTGAATGTCTAGCTGTATCTAGAAGACCTACACTACGAAAAGTACCAAGGAAACACTTTTTTCTACGCTTTCATGTTCTAATTTAGGAAGTATTGCCATAAGGAGTTCTGATTCGAGCAGTTCTGATTTGGAGCAGTTCTGATTCGGGCGCGTTCTCATTTGGAGCAGTTCTGATTCGGGCGCGTTCTGATACGGGGGAAGTTCCCATTCGGGGCAGCACCTCCAAATTTTTGATGTTTTTTCAGAAGTTTTAACCGTTTTGCGTCGAACATCGTCGTTTTTCGTGTGGTTTTTACCAGTTTGAAATCTTTTGATCAGCTCTGGCATTTCGTTATTAATCTAATCGCAGTCTACTCGAGTTATACGGCGGCCTAATAAGATTGATATGACACCTAATTAGATTAATAAATTGTCTAGCTAGATTAATAAATCTTCTAATTAGATTGATATTTGCTCAAATCAAGTTTCACGCCAACCGTCTGCTGTCAAATCTCGATTGCGCCAAGAAAAAAACAGTCGAATCTAATTAGGTCGCGTTTAGATCAGTAACTTTCAAATTAGATTAATATCGAATTGCCAGCGAGTTCACTAGATTCTTATGCGAAATTTGCGTTTAGTTGGCTTAATTCACCCATATGTTCTGGAAAATTTCCTTTATTACTGAAATTCGATTTGCTTATGATCAGTCGGCTCTAGTGTGCACTTTTGAATGATACATTTCGAAAAGCTCTGTCGAACTTCCCTCAAAAGTACACACATGAGCCGAACAGCTCATGATTCGCAATTTCTCATTGTCTTTCTTCTTGTCGCTCAGGTAAAATTTCAAACTTTTCCAAACGCCACTTAGGACTTTTTCAAAATGTCTGAAGTAAAAAAACGTTTCCAAAACTTATTCAAACTTTCTTATCTTATAATCATACTGTCCATGGCTCAGCTAAACATTTCATCATCTTATAATCATACTGTCCATGGCTCAGCTAAACATTTCATTTCATCAGACCCAAGGCTATCGAAGCCTTTTTGGGTCGCCGTTTTGACCACTGCACGGTCTCCCACGGCGCGAATGATTTCAATGGGGCGCATTTGCAACAGGTGGGCTGTGTCGATTTACGCGGCGGCCGATTAATTAATTTTCAACGGGAGTTCGCGTTCTTTCCATGTTTTCTGTACAATACGTAGCGATGCGTTAATGCGCAGTGCTTGAGCGAGTTTGTGCACTTTCAACTGACTGTGTGTGCGGCTAATGTGGTAGACTTCCCGCGCTATCCTTTGAAAATGCAAAATTTTGCAACAGACATTTGCCGTTTAGCTGGGTGCCAAGAGAGTTCGCAAGTTTTCGCCTTGTACTCTCAATTCACCGCTCTTGCTCCCTCGGTGTTTGCAAACTCAAGCCTAATTTCTAAAATTTCGGCTTGAGTCTGCAAACACCGAGGGGCAAGAGCGGTGAATTGAGTTTAATATTAAAACATAGTCGCCACGGGCCGGGCCGGGCCGGGCCGAAATTTCCAAAACTCCGGCCCGACCCGGCCCGGCCCGGTCGGCCCGGTTCAAAAAGCGGGAATTCAAAATTTGAATTATTGATCTCATGAAGTTATTTTTTGTAGAATTAGGGGTTTTTTGCAAGCATCGAACATTGAAAAACAAATGTATTTCTCATAAAAAATTCATAATAGCAAAAAAACAAAGAAGAAACACTAAAACTTTAGTTCGAAATTTTTTTTTGTAATAACGAAAAAAAAATTTCCGCGAACATTTGAATTCCCGCCTTTTGAACCGGGCCGACCGGGCCGGGCCGGGCCGGCACTTCACCGACCCGGCCCGGCCCGCATGGCCGGCCCGAAATCTGGCAAGTCTATATTAAAATACTATCAAATTAATTTTCTTGCCCTCACGGCGACCAAAAGTGTAGAAAGGGGAGTGGCCTAATCTAAGACGCGTTTTCTGAAAATTGCCGCAATTCCAGCACCTTTCCGATATTTTTGTGTTTGATATCGACGAAAGAAGACATTAAAGAGAGAAAACATCGAAATTTTCGTGAAAACGCCGCGTTTGAGACGTTTTTGGCATAATTCGCAATACGCTCTCCGTGGCCAATCGCCGCCGCAATTTCGGAATTTTCATACCGGCCGATCTGGACAGTTTTGAGACGAAGTGAGTGTCGGAAGTGATTAAGCACGTTAATACAAGTATTTTAAGCGTTCAAACGGCAAAAAGTATCGGCGAATGACTGAAATTCGCGCATTTTCAGCACAAAACTTAAAATCGATTCAATTGCTTCATTTCTGAATGAAACCTGCTCGTTTTAAGCTCAAAAAGTGCGCGATGATTAGTTTAACAAAGTTATGCAATTACATCGTCGAAATCGGCAAAAATTTGGGTAATTTTTGACGAAAAACATGAAAAATGGGGTTAAAATTCGAATTTCGCGCGAAAATCGTGATAAACCGTGCACGCTAAGCCACGCCCCTTTCTATGTTTTTGGTCGCCGTGCCCTCTACATCCGGCCGCAGCAAGAGTTATTTGGTCTTCAGATTGTCGAGATCTCAGGCGGTGGACTAAAAAGGTTATCACATGGACGTTTGCTGATCCGTATTCTTTTCTTACATCAAAGCAGTTCAAAATGGTTAGGTAAGGCGCTATTATTTTTCTGATATGATTTGGATTGAGCTGAGACTCAACAATTTTATTTATGAAATACGAAACTTTTCTAAAAAAGTTGTCATCACCCGGCGCTATCGCTACAAAGCTTCGTGCACGCAATTTTCGCGTACCCTGTAAACAAAGTCCATTGAAAAGTTGTCCGAAAATGTGTATACTTGTGAAGTAACTTGTCAACCGTGACTGCCAGGCTGTGCCCCCTCCTCCAGACAAATTGTCGATTCAGCTCAAAACAGCTCAGGAAAAAAAGCGCCAATTCGGCTCCAAAATCCGCGCTGGAGCCGTTCTGTCACGGCGCCGGCGCTGACTTGCTTTTTTGGAGCCGTTTTGTCGCTTCTTTTGGCGCTGATCTGCGCCATTTTGACGCCGGCAGAGCCGATTTGACGCCTTCTTGCAGGGAAACCGGGGTAGAAAATCGATTTTTTTGTTTGTAAAAATAGCAAAAATAGTTATCTAAAGAACATTGCTTTTCAGTCACTAAGACACACGGTCTCCCACGGCGCGAATGATTTCAATGGGGCGCACTTGCAACAGGCGGGCTGTGTCGATTTACGCGGCGGCCGATTAATTAATTTTCAACGGGAGTTCGCGTTCTTTCCATGTCTCTCAATCCTGCAAGTAAATGAGAGCACGGCAAAAAAGACTTGCGAAAAAATGAAAAAAATGTGATAGTGAAAAAGAAAAGCGCCAGAGAATTGCGAGTCAGCACTGTCTCCCGTTCGGCGAAAAAACTTTTCGCGCGCTTTTTTGCGTGCGGCTCTCAGTGTCGATTTACGGGATACGGTTTTTCAACTGAAAATGATGTTTTCTCGAGTTTTTGGGATTATGCAGTTTTCCTTTAAAACTTTTGCCTCACGTTTGTTCGTATGACCGATATCTACAAAACGGTCACAGAGTGCTCGTGTAAAAGTGAAAATTCGAAGAGTAATATCGTTTTTTAAATTTGGCTTGAAAAAACTAACTTTCGGAAGTTTTGAAAAAACAGTTGACAGAATCAAAAAACAGTTGCCTCACGATTGTTCAGCAGACAAAGGCGGTCATTTTGAGCACAGAGACGGCCCATAAAATGCAAAAATCACTGAGAAATTTCAGTTTTTGAGGATCCGGACTGAAATTCACGGAAACGTGTAATAATGCGCGCTTTCTTGTGGGCAAAACGCTAATTTAAGGTCACAGCTGTCATTAACAATTCTGAAATTCTCTGTTTTACTTCATTTTTCTCATTTTCGGATGAAATTTCGGGTTTTCGGAAAAAAATCCAGAAATTTCAGACCTGCTTTTGTTTTCAACGACACTCCGTGTTAACGCGGCGCTCAATTTAGCCTAAATTAGCATTAACTATTGGGAAGACAGTGCTAGTCAGTAATGATTTTCTTGGCGTACTAAGCGCCGGCGATGGCGCCGAAGTAGTGCCGAGTTCTCGCCGCCGGCGCCTCTCTGGGAACTCGATCGCAATCTAATTAGAAAACTTTGAAATCTAATACGAACTCGTTTGAAATAGAATTTGCTTCAATTAGATTGCAAAATCTTCTAATTAGATTGCAGTCACTGCAATTTTTCTAATTAGATTGCAATGTTTTCTAATTAGATTGCAATTTTTTCTTATTAGATTGCAATTCAGGAAAAATATATTGTAATCTAATACGATTTTACTGGAACTTCAATTAAATCTGATTAGATTGCGAAATAGAGTTTTTTCTTATTAGATTGCAAACTCTTCTAATTAGATTGCAAACGAGTTTCCAGAGCTTTTCGATTTTGTGTGTCTCTCTCGAATTCGGAAAATGCGCCTGTGGCGAAGTGGAGCCGAATTGACGCCGAGCGACCCCGCGGGCGCCGTTTCGGTTTTTGGACCCGAATTTGCGCCTTTTTTTCCTGAGTAGCTCACATTTTCCTGTTTTCCCACTTCTTGTTCATAAAAAAGATTTACTGGAGCTCGAATTCATTACATTTTGTCGGAATTGGACGAAAAATCAGCAATATCAGCGCTAAGTTTGATTGGTCAGCCAAATCGGCTATTTGACGATGCGAAGGGAGCGTAGCTTTGCTGTTACGGTTGACAACGGTGGTCCGCAAACACCACGACGCAAGAAAAATACCGCAATAATAATGTTAACGTTAAAGCAGACTGAGCAAATACTAAGCACAGCTTAAGCAATTCCAAGTGAAACACAATTCAGAGTCTTGGTCAAAACTTCAATAAACGAATGGGCAACCGCTCTAGAAGGGATTGTTGAAATAGAAGAATTGCGAATGGTAGATGGAAGCAGTTATGATTTTTCGGGAGACGCAGACATCAAAGTGTATTTTGCAAAGCGAAATCACTCTTGTTACGAGGTACGTGTAAGTTTCCAGATCCAAAAAAAATTTAATATTGAGGCATTTCGAGTAAGTGTCTCAGGAGGCAAGAAGATTAATTTGATAATAACACACGACTTTTGAAGCCGGGGCCCGCTGGGTGGGCTGAGCTAATGCGAAAACTTTCTATTATAGGGGCACCGAACAGAAATGGCGCTCTGTTGAGAAACTCTTTTTGCAGTGCAAATTGAGCGACCTCGGGGCCGAGTTTGAAAAATTAGGCCACATTTTCAGTGGAAAATTACTTCGCGGCCTAGAAATTCGGCCAGATTGCGAACAGCGCGCCCTTTCTGTCCGGTGCCAATATAATAAGTAGATTCGCAAATTGTCTTATTAAACTCGAAATTTTTATAATTCGAATTGGTTTTCTTGCGAAACAAGAGCGTAGCCGATGCTCGGAAGCGGCTACGCTCTTTTTTCTTTTTTATAACCGTTCGAAAGTTCACGTGTTCATTTCTCAATTTCTCCTCCACAATTTTCTGTTCTAGAAATGAACGTGGGGACGGAAAAACGGAGAAATAAACAAACAAACAAACAAACAGAGGGACAAACCCGTGAAGAGTTATATTAATAAGAATGATGATTACTTTCAGGCTTTCGATGGAAAAGGAGGCATTGTAGCTCATTCAATGTATCCTCCTTATGGTGTCATCCATCTTGACGGTGATGAGGATTGGCATAACCACAATGGGCCAGAAGATTCTATTGACATTCGATTAGTATGAAAACAATTAAACTGCTCTGGGAACTCGATCGCAATCTAATTAGAAAACTTTGCATTCTATTATAGGGGCACCGAACAGAAAGGGCGCTCTATTGAGAAACTTTTTTGCAGTGCAAATTGAGTGAGCTCGGGGCCGAGTTTGAAAAGTTAGGCCACGTTTTCAGTGGAAAATTACTTCGCGGACTAGAAATTCGGCCAGATTGCGAACAGAGCGCCCTTTCTATTCTGCCCCTATGTGCCCCTATAACAATACCAACTCGTTTGAAAAAGAATTTGCTTCAATTCGATTGCAAAATCTTCTAAGTAGATTACAATCACTGCAATTTTTCTAATTAGATTGCAATTTTTTCTAATTAGATTGCAATTTGTTCTTATTAGATTGCAATTCAGGAAAAATAGATTTTAATCTAATACGATTTTACTGAAACTTCAATTAAATCTGATTAGATTGCGAAATAGAGCTTTTTCTTATTAGATTCCAAACTCTTCTAAATAGATTGCAATCGAGTTTCCATAGTGAAATGAAGCTCATTTTACAGGTTTTACTTCATGAAATAGGACACACTTTAGGACTTCGCCATTCTCGACATAAAAGTTCCGTTATGAAAAACAACTACGAGTAAGCCGTATATCATAACTTCACCGCTACTGCCCCCTTAGAAAAGCCCGCGAAATTCAACTGGGGCCCCGCCTCTTCCGTGTTCAATTCTTGCAAGTGCCGCAATTTTCGCAACGCTGCCGCACAAATTGTTCTGAACACCGAATTCTTGAAAATTAATGCAGATTATTATTTTTTGTTATCAAAACTTATTCTTTCGCTTTGTTGGATCTTCTTATTATGCTACGAGTGAAATTTACTGCAATCGCGTTCTCTTCGGAAACTCTTTTTGCGAAGCAAATTGCAATGACCTCGCGGCCGAGCTAGAAAAGTTAGGCCACATTTTCAGACAAAAACAACTAAAAATTATTTCGTGGATTAGGAACAGAGCGCGAATGCAGAGAAATGCCGGGATAATAAAAAAGCTTTGAAAACCAACAACAGATGTTCTCGCACTTGTTTTTTAACTGTCGAACAGAAGAGAGAAATGCGTGCGGCAGCGTTGCGAAAAAAATTCCCCCTCGGAGCTCCAGAGTATTGGCCCTTTGGCGGAAACTTTGCGCAGCTTTTGCGCAGCCACATATTATTTTCTTTCAGACATCTCAAAAGCGACATATGGCTGTCAAAATACGATATTCGAGCCGTCCGAAGCCTATATGACCGTTTTCGATAAACTATTTGATAAGTCTCCAGCCCCTCGAAAACCTTGTTTTATAAATAGATGTGATTTGAAGTTTTCAACAGTGCAAATTTATGAAAATAAACGCAAGTTCGAAAATACTTCCGTCGACAACATATGACTGGTAAAACTAGATCAGTCTAATTTTACTTTTTTTCGATTATTACAGGTAACGATTAGATTGCTAATTTACTGAGTTTATACTGCAAAAATTCGAATTAGGCTGTGAAACTTTCTTATACTGAAAACAGCAAAATTTTTTCTAATTAGATAGCAACATATTATACTGTTGAAAAAAAATATTCGACATTGGAATCGAAGCTGGCAGCGTGCCAAGGCCCGGCTTCCCAAACGCATATGCTGCGCGCCATTGTTGCAACATTGCCGCACGCTTTATTGTTCTTCGTTTTTGTCTTTATTTTTCGGCTAAAAATCAGCAGAAACTTCGGTTTTTCCCATTTTTTACCTGTATTTATTCATCTCAATCGCCTTTTGCTATAAAAAATCAACTTTGAAAACAGGTTTATTGACCTTTAGCTTGAATTTTCGAACATTTATCGATTTCTGTTTTTCTCCTTTCAGTAGTATACAAAAAGTTGTCACTGGACGGTCATTTTGCCCAAACTTGATTTTTGCACTATTTTGTGCTTTTTAGACTCATTTTTTAACGAATAAGTGTCTAAGCTCATCGAAAATCAGTCATTTTTGAAAAACGTCACTTTTTGGGCTGGATGTAGAAGTGACCATTTTGCCCACTTTTAATTTTTCACTTGTATTTAACATTTTAAGGCTTAATTTCAACAATTTTCAAAAATGGTGGGAGGTGTACTTTGTAGTTTGTAGTTTATAAAAATGATAATTAATAAATGCGCTTTTCAAAAGATCTAAAGCCTTTAACAAATCTGGATCTCCTTGAATTTGTAGACTCTCTGGGAATCAAGAATTTCCGTGGTGTATTTATGCGAGATACTTTGCCAGCGAAGCCGAAAGATAAAGAAGTAGGCATTGTAAATTTAGATTCTTCTAGTGGTAAAGGTACTCATTGGGTTTGTTATTCCAAAAACAAAGATAAAATATATTACTTTGATTCGTTCGGATTAGATCCACCTTTAGAACTTCAAGGATATTTGAAAAATGGAGAAGATAAAATAAAAATATCGAGTTCAACATTTCAAATTCAAGACTTCGGAAGTCATCACTGTGGTTATTATTGCTTACTTCTTCTGAAACTACTAGAAACTAAAGACTTTCAGGACGTTGTTTTATCATTTCTATAAAAGATTCGGTTTATTATTAGAATCAAAGATTCATAGAACCTCTGGTTTGATATTCACATTTCCAAAAGCCATTGTCGAGTGACTATCTTTAATAATATATCTTTTATGTTCAGTAGAAACTTCATCATTGTTGAGAGCTACTTTATTCTGACATTGTGTGAAAATAGTGTGTTTAACACTCCTAATAGTATATTGAGTCTTTCTTACAACAGTCTTATTGAAAAGGCTGTGCTTATAATCTTCCACAGTCATTGATTTTACAACATTTTTTTTTATTCCTTTATTTTTTTTACTTTCATCTCCAGGTTTTGGTACCTTTGGGAGTTTAGGATTCTTTTTTTCTTCTTGACTCTTCTTATTATAATACTCTCTAAAGTTTTCACGTGTTTCTTCAGCAATTTTATATCCATATTGTTTTGGACGAAGGGCTATAAGTTCTTCCATTATTAAACCATTTAATTCATCCTTGAATTTGCCAACTACTTTTTTATTTTCTGTAGAGTATAAGTGATGACAGGGTGGATAATCACTGAAATCAAATTCATTCTTCAAGATGGAATCCTTCTGAATATCTTCATAAAGATCAGGTGTAAAAATTTCATAGATAAGAGAGTCTGTATCTTGATAACACAAATTAATATTATCTCCATACTTCTTCTGCATAACATTGTAATGAAAGTCATACATCAACCACTTACTAAGATCTAGAATAGCAAAACCGACATAAATAGGTTTATCAAGTGTTATATTGGTTTTCTCCATTTCTACAGCTACCAGGTGTTTGTTATACATTATTCTTCTTTTAAAGTTAGGTTTTGAAGCAAGCTTAACTATTTTATCCTCATCAGTAACTAAACGAACATCAACTCGTTCTCTAACATTTTCCATAGTTTTTCCAAAAACTGAGTTATTCATTAATTTGAAGAAATCTTTTTCAAACTCATTTTTTGCTTGTTTTCGAAGATTAGTGTTCATTTCAATATATTCTTTGAGCCAATCACTTTCTTTAAAGGTTAGAATTCTATGAATTTTTTTCACTTTAAGACCTAATTGGAGACATTGTAGCAAATTCTTATAATGGATTACATATTTTTCTTTATCGAATAAGGTATTGCATAACTTTTTTACTGTTTGCTTAAAACCTATGGTTCCGGGAATCTTTGATTCTTTATCAATTTTTACATTTTCTGGACACAAAGGAAAATCATTGTGCTTTGAGTGTAAATTTTTAGGATATTCCAAATCTACTTCGAAAATACATCCTTTACCTACATTTTTCAAATAATCAATATAGTCCTCTATTTTTAAACTCTTATCATTGAGAATATCAATTGAAGATTGAGTTTCGAATTGAAAATCTCCAGTAGGTAAATTTTGACACATTGCCCAACCATATAAATTATTGGCATCTAAGTACAATAGATAATTTGAAGGAATTGATGGATCAAAAGTATTAGTGTATTTATTATTAACCTTAGAGTATCTTTTAACAGCATTAACTATTCCACCTCTTATTCCCTTCTCAATCATCAAGTATTTCTCAACATCTTGGAGTACTTCTAATTCCACTTTAGTCTTTTTCAACATAGCATCCCAAGCTAATCCAGGACTTGTGAAATACCAACAAGGATCAAGTTCATAAACCCGGAGACTCAAGTTTCTAAAATTCTCAAAAACATCTGCCAAGAGAAGGACATCATTGATCATATAAATTTCAGTATAATCTTCTAAATTAGAGCATTTCATTTTCTTCCAAACTAACTTGGCATATAGATAATCTTTTCGCGAGCATTCTTTACCATTCAGATAATCATAAAATGCTGAAATGCTTGGTAATTTTGTTTCTTCAAATCTCTTGAAAGAGTCCATGTATTCATAAGGATAAACTCCTTTTCTCCGCATTAATTTGAACTTTTTTTTGGAAGACGAGTAATAATCTCTACTAATATGAAAAAGATCTTTACTTAAGTTGCTAGCAAGTTTATCCAGTGAAGAAGGCATGAAAGAAAAGGAATCTAGAAATCTACATTCAATTCCATTTTCTCTAGTTTCTTGATTATATCCATAATACCAAGGTAATTTATAACTAAAACTGATAAATTTTTCAGTATTACTAGAGATGTTTTTGATATCGATTTCATGCTCACATAAATACTTGGTACTTTCAAGACATCCAACAATGAGATGAGAATCATAACCTCTAAGATTGTGAAAGAATATCGGAATGAAGGTATTTTTTCTTTTTAATAGATTACATGTTCCACATAATGGACCTCTATATTCTCCAGTCCAATGATCATGATCTCTAACTTTAGTCGTTTTCATTTCTTTAGAATCATACTTTATTGAACAATTAGGGCACTCTTTATTCTCATCATGGAAAGTCCATTCTTCTTCAGTTAATTCTCTCATTTCCACATCACCTAAATGCATAATTTCTTGAGATATTTTAATGATGTATTTATTAAATTCTAGCGCAGTATTATGCCCAATATAAGATTTGATACTATACAATTTTTTGGTGAAAGAATCAACTACTATGACACAAAATCCAGCTGGAATGTGTTTTCCAACATCAGTAGTCCAAGATATATTTGGATTATCTAGTGATCTTTGATATTTCTCAATGATACTTTCAAAGTCTGCATAAATGACGTATCTATGCTTTTGTGTATTACTGATATTTTTGAACTTTACAGATGTTTTCTTGGATAAATTATGTCCAATAGGTTTGTTTTTACCACAGTCTTCGAGGTGTCTATGATAATTTGATCTAGTTTTATCATTCATATTTACATTATAAGAGCAGTGACATCTAACACAGAAAGTTTTTTGATGTTCTCCTCGTTTATTCATGAGTTTATTAAGATTTTTGATTAGGGAATAATGGGAGTTTCCTTGTTTGTTTTCATGATATAGTAGATTCACTACTCTACTATTATCAGCAGTAAAACTTCTTGAAGGACGTAATGGATTTATTTGTCCTTTTTCAGTGCATTCTAATACATTTACAACAAGATCATTCATCTTCTCAAACTTATTTATATCTTTTATTTTCATTGGAAAAGTTAGACCTTCAAAATTCAATTCGTTTTCAAAAGGAGTATAATTATAAACTTCTGAAACATGATCTTTTGCTGGATGAAGATGAGCTAATATAGACCACATAAAACACTTGTCATCCTTATTTTTAGGATTAACACAACAATGCTTAATATCAATACATTTTGGAAGTGGAATATAAGCTGAACCACTAGGTGAATTACACATAGTTTGATTCATCTCAAGGTAATTTATTCCTGAAATAGTCCAACCAGAACCTCTTGATTGCAAATTCTCCATGTTCATTGTCAATTCTTGACAAGCATGATGATACCATTCTTCTCGATCTTCACCAGTACACAATTCCTTAGTTTCAGATCTGACAGCAAAACTTTCTTCTTTTTGAGAGTCTTTCTTTTGTTTGAATTCTAGTTTCAAATATATTTTAACACTAGAATCACTTCGAATATCGTTGATTACGATGTTTTTGTTCTTTTCAAAGAAAGAATTTATTTTGTTTGTAATGATTTTCATGTAATATTCAATTCCTCTTCTCTCAAAAAGATCAAAATATTTCTCAAAGTTTATATCTTTTTTGTTGTTTTTATAAGTTGTTGTTCTTACAATTCCTTTTCTAGTTTCTCTGTAATCACTAAAAATAAGATCTTCATAAGG